CAAGGCAGATGCTTCTCACATGGCATTGGATCAGACCATCTGAACGTCGTTCAAACAGACGGGCCGCCCATGTGAGAATGCAGTTGGGCGAAGTGCACCTGCAGTGGTGAGTGGCTCGATGGTCGATGGCCCGTTGATGGAACATTGATGCCCGGGGAATCCAGGGCGAGATGGATCATGCAGGCCAAGCGTGGAGATGATCCCAGAGGGGTTTAGTCGTCCTGGCCAAAGAGCCAACGACATGAGAGGGCGCGTCTTGGGGACATTTTGAAGATGCTTCAGTTGGGAATTTAATCTCATCAACTGACAAGAGAGATCGATTGTCTTTTTCTCCAAAGCTGTGCCTGGTCACCTGTCACTCTTTGCGCAAGTGGCCTGTGACTATCCGCTTCTCTACCTTATATTGCCGTGATCCGTGTACCGCGTTGGCCGCACTCAACTTGTCGTCGTGCACCAACACTGATTGTTTACTCTTTTTGAAATATCATTTCCATCCGTCCTGAACAGAAACAGGCAAGATAAGATAGATTGAAGGGCGAAGCGAGACCCTTTGGCAATTTGGCTGGGGATTGCTCATTGCGCTCCTCTCACCCATCCCCACCGCCTCCACCTATCAAGTAACAGCCGGCACGGGAACCCTCGTCTGGCGGTTGCAATCTCCTTTTTCGGATCGCTCGCGGTCACTCTAGAGTGCAGAGACTACGGGAGGAAATAGCTCGCCGCCCACCTGCCCGCCTGCCCGCCTGCCCGCCCGAAGACGCTACTGCCACTGGACGCTGGACACTGGAAAGTCAAAATCGACCTCGCCAGCACGATCCCTTCGCTCCGGTCCTCCCTTTTTTCCTCTCCTTCTGTTCGCACTCCCGACTGCTTGTCACTGGACATCCACCCCCAAGGATCAATATTCGCACTCTCTTTGTGCTTGATCGCGTCCACGGCCTTGCATATACATCCCGCCGTACACAACTACAGTACCCTCCTTATACCTTTACCATTACCCGCGACACCGATCGATCCTGGCCGGTCGACGAAAAAGAAGCATCTCAAGCTAATCACTCCTATTTTCGCTCCCTCTCTCGTCCATCCCAAACACCACCACCACTCTCAGCTCTGCAGCGAGCTTGCATCTTCTGCGCCGCCGGCTGCAGACAAAGCTCAGCCTCGAGCCCAGCGAGTCTCGCACTCCCATCGTCCGTCACCTTGCAGTTGTGTTGGTCAGCCGACCCGAGACCAAGTCCGCTTTTCGCAACCACCCCTCAAAGAAGAAGCCAACCGCCCGCCCGTGTCACACCACTGGGACCGATTCGGAAGCCCAGGGACGTCGGAAACAACAGAGAGAAAGAACAGGAAGCGCGATCGAGCAGCAGCAATCCATCTGGGAAGCAGTGCTTGCATATTTGTATTCACTCAAGACCCCGCGCAATTGGGTTCGAAATTCAACGTCGAGCGCCAATTAACACAAAAACACACACCGGCTGTGGCAGCGTTGCGTCGCGTGGCGAAACACAGCCCTTCAAGACTCATCGTCCAGTCGGAACCCGCGGCCGTTGGCTGATTCAGGTTCCAAGGGACAAAAGAGATCGACCTGTTGGCTGCCTGCTCTTTTATATTTGGCCAGGCACAAACCGTCATCAACCACCACCCGGCAATTCGTTCATTCTGCAAAGCCAACTGCAGCTTCTTATCTGGTATGACGCGAGCCCACGGCACGGCAACCCAGAACCCCAAGACACTTTAAAGACCCGTATCACAGACCGCGCGTCCGCATCCCGCAGCACGCATCCGGAGCGATACGGCACCATACGGCACCTGCTCAGACAGCCAGACCAAAAACCAGCGTTGGTGGCCACAAACCAGGCAAACCAACCACCACCAGCATCAACACCAGACGGACGAACGTGCATACCTCTGCATTCCAGCAAATCCCCCTCAACACCCAAAGTTAGCCCATCATGGCGTTTTTCCAGTCGGAGCAGAATGGTGAGTGCCTGGTTCCCTTTTATATCTTTCACAAAGCACCCGACCCCTGGGCGATCTGCTTCCCCTTCTACCCCCTTCCCAAACACATGCCCCCTCGTTTGTGTTTAGCGGCCCCCCCTCAATTGCAGCAGAACAGAAACGGCCGATCCACCCATTGGCATGTTCTGAAGGTTGCCGCTTTTCCCACTTCCCAGTTTTTTGTCCATCTTTGTTCCATTGGGGGGTCCTGCCCGGCTGGTCTCTTGGCCGCCCTGGGCGCCACCTTATCAGTGCGCTCCGCCGTTGAGTCCGCTGTGTCATGTAGAGGAGATTGCTGTTTCATATCCCTATCACAGGCGTCACTCGCATGCATGGTGCCGCTGCTCCTTTTTTTCCTTGATTGACGGCTTGCTGACGCTTTGGGGTTTCCCCCTGACCTGGGATTTAGATCAGCGGTCTGCTGGCTCTCTCAATTCAAACAATCCTTTCCGCAACCGTGGCTCTCCCACCACTTCAGGACCTGCCGTCTCTCCATTCGACGATCCCCCTCCGAGACCTACCTCGCGGAACCCTTTTCTCGATATTGGAGCTGCCAACAACTCTCGTCCGACTCACCAAACCCACCGATCAGTTTCCGACACAATGTCTGGCTTTGGAAAGAGGTCGTCGTCCCCCACGGCCGAGGACATGTTTGTAGGTTGCCCCCAATCCTCCTACTCGCGGCTGTAACAAGTCACAAGCCCTCATTTGCTGGGTGTCATGGAGCCAGATTGATGTCGTACCGGTTGATTGACATTTCTTTCATAGGGCTCCATCACGCTCGATGACAAGCCAGCTGGCTCAAGGCCGCCCCCGCCGCCGGCCGCCCGCCGACCTGTCCCTCCCTCAGCAGGACGTGAGAATGCCAAGCCCAGAGCACCTCCTCCCGCTCATCGCCCCTCTCGCTCTCAAGAGGAAGACTCTCGCTCCAGGAAGCCCCGTGGAACAGGAAACAGCGGCATACTCATCGACATCGATTCTCCCCCGCAGCAGCGAAGAACGGAGAGGCGTCCGCGCAGGAACTCGGATACGTCTGTCCTCGAATTGACCGAGGATGAGAAGGAGAAGAGGGCCCGTGATGCCAGGCGGCGTGATCGTGAGCGTGAGCGTCGCCACCGTGAAAACAAGGAGAAGAAGCCTACCAACCGCAAGCTCGACATCATCGACCAGCTTGATGCCACAAGCATTTATGGAACCGGAAGTGAGTTATCCCAATTATAAGTCTGCTTTTCAGCGCTAACAGAAATGGTCAACAGTGTTCCATCACGATGGCCCATTCGATGCTCTTAACGCCCACCGGAACAAGAACGGAACTCGGCGTGCTCCTATGGAAGCCTTCCCTGAAGGCTCACTAAACAACAGTCTTGGTGGTCCTGGACCTTTGAACCCCCGACCCGATCATGCCACGTTCTTGGGTAATCACGACGAAGAGGCCTATAGAGAGTGGACAGTCAGGGACAAGAATCTTCCGTCCAAGAATGAGGTGCCCGTTTTCGACCCCACCTCCCGCGGCAGCGCTATGCACGGCGACGAGTCCCTGGGACTTGGCACTTCGACTTTCTTGGAGGGCACACCGGCTGCGCGTACCGCGATCCAGCAACGCCAAGACGAGCTTGCTCAGGAGTTGACTACCAACGGTCTGGCACGCAAGAAGTCCCTTGCCCACCGGATTCGCAACATCAACAAGGGCACCTCCCGTGAGCGGGAGTTCCAGTCTCTGAGCAAAATCAACAGCTCGGATTACAATTACGCGAGGTCTCCCCCAGGCGACGGTGGTAGAACTTCTAACAGCAACAATACCCCCAACTCTGAGCGCAACCCCTTCTTTTCAGAATACGGCCAGGGGAAGGGAGGGGAGGAGGGCTTCAGCGTGCGGAAAACCGACAACAACAGCCCTAGAGGCAACATGGAGCGTCGGGCTACCACAGATGCGGCCATGACCCTCGACGAAGGACAGGAAAAGCCAAGCGGTATTCTGGGCCGCATGAAGAGCTTGAAGGGCGGACGGAGGACCCGTCCGGCCCCTCCTGGCGCTGACGCTGGTCCCGTGCCCTCGCGATACGCGTAGAAACGAGGATTGTCGTGGGGTGAACGGCGTGATGGTGAAACGAGCTAGCATCAGCACCTGAAGCCGAAGTTTGCTGGGTTGTTTTATGCCAAGATCTGACGCGAGGAATTGCGAAGCACGACGTATGGCTCCATACACGGCCGCCGGGATCGTTCGAGCAGGACCTCCGTTCTGGGCAAGGGTTGTTTGTCGGTAGTCACATGGGAGGAAACGATCGCGGCGTGCAGGAAAACTCCTGTACAAAAATATTGCTAATCTTTGCTTTTGGTGCGCAAATGATGGGAGAGAGTAACAGGCGTGCTCATTGGGACCGCCGCTCCTATGCTGCTCTTACCATCTTCCTTATCTCTCTGTCTGTTTAGTTTTTGTTAAACGTCAATGGGAGTCCGACGATTCCTCTTATCGGGCGGTTGTTTCTCGCGATCGTCTTTTTTGCATTGTTTCCTCCTGCAGCTGCTCAACGAGAATCAACGCACAGTACCATACCAAGTTTACCTAGCACATAATCAAGGACATGACCTTTGGAATTCTATGGTTTACTCGTCCTTGAACGAACATGGAATAGTGTTGCATGTATGTATTATTAGACAATTGAGAAAACGAATGATGGATTGTGGTACATTTGAAGATTTGCAATCAGTGATGGCGATACTTTGCCGATGTGTCATGATAATGTGTTGTTACAGTGTTGAAGTTTTTCTTGTCTGAGATTCTTGAAGCAGCGCCACTCGCATATTGTCTCCAACTCCCCCATTCTTTGGACGAGACAATTTGCTCACCAAACAACTACGTCAACCCAACATCCAACCACATCAAAAATGTTCTCATGACTACAACCCCATTTAAATTTTCACGAACTCTCACTCAATCACCGACACATCACCCTACCCCCAACCCACACCTCACCACCCATTTCTTCACCCAAGTAGAAGCCATGACCTCTATCCCCAACCAGAACCGCAAAACATCCCACCCATCGCACCTTCCCATGCTACCTCTACAACCAACCCCCGCCTCCCTCCTCCTCTCCCAAGACCCCCGACTCACACAGCGGCTCCAAAATCGCAATGGATTCTTCTCCACCGGCTGTCGCGAGCTCGACTCCCACGTTCTTCTCGACGGAGGACTCAATGGAGGAGGTTTAGGAGGAGGATTCGAAGGGAGTTGTGTGGTCGGTCTGAGCTGCGAAGAAGAGACGATCGGGTTGGCGATTGGGTTGCAGGTTATTGCGAGGATGTTGTTATTGTCCTCTGATGAGAGCAAAGCAAAGGCGAAGTCGAAGGCAATGATCATCACGACACTTTCCACGACTTCGCTGCTGCCTAGGTTGAGATTGGCGGTGGTTAGTGAGGCGAGGGCAGCGCTGCTTCAAGGGAATGGGAATGAGAATGGGAATGGGAACGGGAACGGGCAGCAGAAGCAGGTGGATAGGGGGGTGATCAAGGCTTGTTTGGAAAGGGTGTTGGTGGCGAGGGTTTTTGATGCGGAGGGGTTGAGGGAAGTTTTGAGGGAGTTGGAGGGTGATGAAGCTGGTTCGGAAGAGAAGGAGGAGAAGCACCCCCAGCAGCAGCGGCGGCGGCGGCAGGGAGACGACATGCAAGAAGAAGAGAATGAACAAAGCCATGAAGGCGAGAACAGCAGCAGCAAAGAGAGCAGCAGCAAAAACGGTCATCTACCAGACCTAATCCTAATAACCAACACCTCCCACCTGCTCAACACCCTCTTCACCCGCAACAAGACCGGCGCCGCCGACAGGTCTACAGCTCACAACTCGGCGGTTCAGCTATCTGATCAAATCCGCGCTCTTAGCAGGAGAGGGCCGTTGGTGATGATGCTGAACTCGACTACCTCACCGGCTTCCACTTCCTCCTCTAACAACTCCACCTCCTCGATCTACGATGATGACAGAGGAGGACCAAAACAACCAGATCTCAGCATCATGCGCTCAATCTTCAATCCTCCACCAATTCCGGCACCTATGGAGGCTGCGCCGCCGGGGTATATGGCTGGTTTAGTCGGTAGTGGTACTGCTACCGGGCCCGCCGTGGCAAGTTACAGAGGTGGAGGAGGATATGGAGGACGTGGAGGATACGGCAGCAGCCACTTTGATCACCAAGTAGCGCAAACCCAATCAGCAGCAGCAGCAGCAGCAGTAGCAGCCGCCGCGGCATCAAGAAGAAACAAACCCTCCTACGGCATGGTCTTCTCCCAGATGCTGGATTTACATTTATTGTGCACCAAAGTGGCTAGGGGGAGGATCCGTCACGGCGGTGGCTACGGAGGAGGCTACGGAGGGTATGGGGGGTATGGAGGGTATATATGGGCGGTGGAAGTGCTGTTGGATGAGCTTGGGGTTTATGCGGGGTTGGAGGGGGTTTTGGGTAAAGCAGGAAAAGGGGAAGGGGAGGGGGGGCAACATGAGGAAGAGAAGGGAAGAAGGGAAAGGAGAGGGCTGATAAGGAGGAATAGGGAGCAGAGATGGGGTGCTGTGGTGATTGAGGAGGGGAGTGGGAGGGTTTTTGATGCGTTTAGATAGGGGAGGGAGTTTGGGGAGGTGGAGGTTATGAAGAGGGTGGAAATGGGGATTGGAGGAGGTGGTTTTCGGGAAGGTTGATTGATGATGCTCGGATCGTGATGGACCGAGAAATGTTTTACCTAAGATCATCGAAAGGAGTTTCTTCTTCGACTTGATACCTGGGGTTGAGATGTACATACAGATTGACCCCTTCGAGATTCTTCCTGAAAACTACCAGTCATATCATACACTCACTCCTTACTGTGCCATTCCATATTCACAAATCACCAGAGTGCGGCCGCTCCGACTCCTCCTCCTCCTTCATATACGGCTCCAACCTAGCCACCAACTCCTCAACACTCATCTCCCCCACCTCCCCCTCCTCTTTTTCATCCCCATAATTGCCCCTACGCGGCGGAATCAACACGCTAGAAACAACATGAATGACCCCATCCTCCGCCGGTCCATCCAACACGCTCGGGCGATTAAACCCATTAACCACCATAATTGTATACCCCCTCCAATTCTTGATATCTACGCCCAGCCTCGCGTCCTCACTCAACAACGTTGGGAGATCATAGTGCGTCGGCGGACAGTTGTGCGGACAGTTGGAGGTATACTCCTCGGACTTGTCGTCGTCGGAGCCAGCCTTGTAATAAGCATCCGAATAAACCGTCTGCCCCGGAACAAAGTGATACTTGAGAATAGCCTTCAGATACTTCTTGCCCCGCTCCGTGTTAAACAGGAACGCATTAAGACGGGGGCCGAGACGGGCAAAGGCGCGGTTGGTGGGGGCGAAGAGGGTGCCCCCTTTGCCTTCCTTTTCTCCGCCTCCCATCTTTTTTCCTCCCTTTTGTTTAACATCATCATTTTCGTCGTTATCATCGTGGCCATGGCCATGCCCCAACTCCTCACCAAGCCCCGTCTTCTCCAGCGCCAAAGAGAAAGTGCTAAACAAACTCGGCAAAAGCGAAACCCCTTTCAGGGCAGGAGGAGGCGGGACCAAGATCCCGTCGACGGCGTGGATCAAGCCGTTGGAGGCGTAGATGTCGGGCATGACGACGCGGTTGACGAAGTTGACGCGCACGCGGCCGTGGCCGAAGAATAAGGGGTTGGTGGACAGGCGAAGGCGTTGAGGGCGGTGGTCGAGGAGGGGGGAGTGAAGTTCGGTGGGGAGGGTGTGGAGGGAGGGGAGGAGGTGGGGAAAGGTTAGGGTGTGGAATAAGTCTTGATCTTCTTGTTCTTCTTCTTGGGAGTGATCATGGTGACGACGATGATCGTGAAAGATGGGTCGACGATAGGGGATGATGTGGTGTTGGAGGATGTGGCGGACTACTTCCTCGGGCGGGGGATGGTCGGGGTGGTGAGGGAACCGTTCAAAGGCCTTGTCGGTGGGCACGAAGATGGTGTAGTTGTGCTTGTTGTTGCCGTCGGTGTTGTTGAGGAGTCTCTTGATGTCGTCATGCTCGTCGACGATATTGGCGAAACGCTCGCTGTACTTGGACTCTTTGATCAGTTCGTAGATGGACTTGTTGGCGTCTCCCGGGGGGTGGTGACCGTGACGGCCGTGGCGGCCGTGGTCGCCATCATCGTCATGGTCATGGTCATGATCGTGGTCGTGATGCTTGTGATCCTTGTGGAGAGTATCTTCAAGCTCTTCGATGATGTGTTTCTCGATCAGAGAGGAGTAGATGGAGGATGCAGAGTCATCCCAACAGTCTTGGACGTTGGAGAGAAGGTTCTTTCCGATACTGTCCTCAGCAACCTCAATGGATAGGAGTTGTTTCTCCTTGACACCCAGGAAAGGCACGTATAGTGCAGCGGCTCCAGCCGCAAAGAGTGGGAGGAGTTGCTGCTTCATGATCACCAAGTCCCTAAACTTTGGAGCAGTAGACTCGGATGGAGATGTGAACTTTCAGGGATAAGAGACATGAAGAGAAAGAGAACTTAAATGAAGCTCTTCTCACGTGAGATACCTGCTATTGTGACTTACATGCACACTGAATATTTGTAAGCCTGTTAGATGACGACGATGACTCAACAATGCAATGCCTCTTCTCCAACTGTTCCAACTATCCGACTGTCCGACTGTGCATTTGAACTGTCCGCGGCGGCCGTCATCCCAATGTCTCCAATGAGTGCTTCAGCCGAGATCTGATGACAAGACGGCAGAAAGAGGGGTTTGAGACTGTCTCATTGGCTCTCGGTCAAGATCTCGGGCCAGTCGGTGCTTTGTGTGAGCATGCTGGCGTCATCTTGTTCGATCTCTCTTGGGCACGGCTTTCATCCCATCGAAACAGTGTTCGTAGGCTCATGAACCGTGCCTGCTTTTGACGGGATGGCATCGAAGTAAAGATGAAAAGTCGTGAGAAGAGAGATGGAAGTCTCGCCTACCGATGAAAGCCGCTTGTCGACTAGACTAACACAGAGCCTCCGGAGCTGGTCCCGGGCAGTGCCGTCATGCATTGTTCTTCCCCATCGCGGGAAGTCCGGGGAAGGTGGGATGATCCCCGCAAGAAGATGACGGCGCTGCGGCATCGCCACCGCACACTAGCGGAGGCCCCACGATAGTATCTAATCGATAGGTAGCTTAAATCAACACCACGGAACTCATCCAACCTTGCTCAACGAGAATGCCAAATGGCATTGGTAGAAGGTATCGGGCCTCTCCGAGAAGCCATCACCAACGCCCACAGGTATGCCCGGCCACATTTTACGGCCAGGGCTGAGGCTCAGTCGCTTCCACGTCAGTCATTCCAGAGAATGAGCGTCTGCAACCCAACAATTACCCCGTGGATGAATGATATGAATTCGGAACCAAATGGATTGAAATCCGAAACCCACCTCCCTTCGAAATCGGATATTGAGGTCGCCCTTGTTGACCTTGGCAGCCCAGCATTGTTCAGAGGCACCTGCTCGGCATGCTGTGCCATCCGCGTACAGCCCACTGTGGCATCGTGGCACCGCTCTCATTGGATCGGTTGAGCTGGCCACAGAAGTGAAGACCGCGAGGCGGTGGCGGGCAGTCGCAAGCTCTTCCCTCTCACTCATCATCATCTCAGTCTGACACGCGGGGTTGGGTTTGAATCCTTAGGGCTGATGTGTTGATGGATACCACTCTCTAGCTGACAGACGATAGAGACCAACAGTGAATCCCTCAGCAGAGAGAGAGACATGTCCAGCCCCTGAACTGAGGAGATGAACATGATATTGGCGACCAGGAATTCACGAGCAACACAATGACCTGGGTCCACTGGTACGACTGAACACACAGCAGAAGGAAACATGAGTTTGTGGGGTTCCAGAGGACATCCCAGGGTCGGCCTGGTTGTGACTTGTGAGGAGAGAGAGATCGTGAATTGCTGTCGCCCGCTGCCTGCCCGGGCCCTCCCATTCTTCCGCTCACCAGTTATTTCGGAAAGCTTAACGTCCTTTCACCAAGTTGAAGGCGGTGAATTGTTAGTGAAGTACATGGTCCCCTGTCTCGCCTGCCCAATGACCCTCCATGCTTCTCGAATGCTGGGGTCGAGCTTTCTCATCCCGCCGGGTTCCCCGTCGTCCAGATGGCGGTGGACAAATTGTTCCTTCCCAGTGCCTGCCTCGACAGTTGTCGACTTCCCACCAGAGAGGAAAGAACTCATCCAGAATGAGTCTAGGCCTGACATCTACCACCTGCTGATGAGGCTGAACAAATAACCAACCGTCGTAATTGACCGATAGTCTCTTTCTTCTTTTCAACAACTTTCTTTCTCATTATCCGGTCGGTCGAATATCGTCACCTGCAAGACCACATCCCATCTCTTACTGTCGACCAATATTCAATTCCATCGATTCGACTTACTCCGCCCACCAGATCATCAACTATCAAAGCTATTCCGTCATCAACTTTGAAAAAAAAAGGAGAATCGCGCTTGGTGGTCCTGTCGGGTTGTCTGTGGAGCTAGCCCCAGACTTCCCGTCCGCAGGTCCCTGGATTGGTTCAGGCACAGCCTCGGTGCAGTGCTGTGGTGGATTTGCGACAAACCACCGCCAAAAACGACAACACATACCAAATAATTCCTCCCGCTAACCTTGCACCTTGATCACGTCGACGACAACTAACACTCGGGCGCCCTCACATTTCGGACTGCGGCGCATCGCGTTGGATCCTGATTCTCTGGTTTACGAAGCATTGGATCCTGATTTTCTGGGTTACAAAGTCGACAGTCAGCCTTCTCAACAGCCCAAGTGTCACTGCGTTCCATTTCAGAGTTTCAGGACAACGCCAACATGGCAGCGTCCCTGTCTGCGCGGGCCGTCCTCACCCCGCGTGGCAGCTCTCTCTCTGGAGGAGCCATCGCCGGGGCTGTGGTAGGCTCTTGCATGGGGTTTTTCCTGATTCTCCTATGTCTGTTTCCTTTTGTCGTGCGTGCGAGAAGACGCCGGAGCGAAAAGCATGGTGATGCCGGCAATGCGGAAATGGGGCAGGGCCCCGGAGGCCCCATTTTCCCCTATGACAACACCGCCGGGAGCACGCCCAAGCGGCTCTCCGGGGAAGGGGAAGGCTATGCTCCGGACACCCCGCCTGGCCTTGCATCATCGGCCACCTTCATCCCGGGTCACTATCACCCGGGGGACGGTCACGACTCCGATCAGAAGGCGGCCTCCGATCATCAGTCCCAACATACCCCGGCCCTCCCACGAGGCGTAGGTATACAAAAACCACCTTCACCAACCACATCAGCCACAGCAAACAACCAAGGACACCAACCTGTTCCCGATTCGACAAGACCTCGTTTTGGTTCTATAGCGACTACTGAAGCTGAGAGCAACCACGAATTGAGCCTTCACGACTCGCACGGCTTGAGCCCGCCCACTCACCAAGTACCTGCCGTTTTACCTGGAGGCATCACTCAAGAGCCGGAAACCTTTGAACGCCCTACTCAACGCCACTCCTTCCCTCATCTTCCGGAATCGATCAGGAACTTCATTCACAGGCGTCAGTCAGGCCCCAGCCGGAGGGATAGCAGGCGATCAACCCTTGGAGGCACCGCTGGAACACGGTCCCCTTCACTTGTCACCACCAACGACTACCCTGTTCCAACGCATCAACCTGAACCTGTTCCCCCTGTCTTCGAGGTTGATACTGAGGCGCCTGGAGCTGCCTACGAGTATTACCACGGTCACCCATATCTAGACAGTACTGGCCATACTTATTCCGACGACTCTTCTGCGTTTCCACCACCGCAGCCTACGACTCTGCCTACCGCTCAGCCCGTGGTCAACCAACAAGTTCCGCAAGACTTCACCCTCCTCCGTCAAGACACCCTCCTTGCCTCGTGGGAAATCCAGCAAGGCATCAACCGCACCGACAGTTTACCGCCCACCACCATTGTCTCTGACCTTCCAAGTCCTTGTGTGGATTCGACTGTTGGGCCAACCGCCAGTCCTATGGAAATGATGAGGCCTACCAACCAAGCCGAGAGCGCCTGGGCTGTAAACCAGGAGATTATCAAGTTGGAGAACACCCCGCCCGCTCCGGCAGTTAGCACCTTCTCCCCTCAGGCTATTCCGGCCGAGTTCGCCTATCCCCAGCAGATGCAAAGCCCCCAGGAACAGTACAGCCCGGAGCCACAGTATAGCGAGTATACGCATGTACCAGAAATCCAGCAGAACGGCCAGGACTTTGATATCGACTCAGTTGCCTTGTACCCCAACGACGGCTTCGGTCTTCAAGACATGTCCGACGTCTCTACTCCTCCACCATTATCCGAGTCCTCGATGCAGAACACGCCTAGCACGCGGCTCACATACTCGCCATCGCCCAGGCCAGACTTTGACCAGAACACCAACTTTGCGCCACTCATGGTTCCCAACTCCCCAGCCAACTTTTCTACCGGAGGCTTCTCATCCAACCAGGGCATGTCCCCCGGAGGATTGTCGGCCAATGACTATTCCTCATCACAGGGAATGTCACCAGGAGGATTCTCGGTCAACGACTTTGGAAACCAAGTGATGTACCCCCAAGGTCTATCCCCTTCGAGCATCCCTCAGTCTGGAATGTCCCCAGCAACACCATCATCCAGCGGCGCATCGCCCAGAGTGTTTGCCTGCGACCAATGCCACCGCGAATTCGACCAGATTCACAAGCTGAAGTGAGTATTTCCCCTCTTCACCTCAGCTTTCCTCCCACACAAAAATCACTAACCTCCTTATAGCCACCACAAACGCTACCACGAACGACCACACGAGTGCACCCACCCGGGCTGTACCATGCGGTTCGGCACCAAGACCCATCTGGACCGCCACATCAACGACAAGCACAAGAAGACTCGCCAGTTCCATTGCACGGTGCCGGAGTGCCCCTGGTCGAGACAGGGCGGCCGCTCATTCCCCAGGAAGGACAACTGGAGGAGGCACATGATCAACAAGCACCAAATCACGCCTTTGCAAGAGCCAATCGAGTATAACGACGTGGCCATGGGCGACGCATGATGATCTATGGTCTACGGTACTCGATAGGTGGAAGCTATGTACGATGAGGTTTGCTTGGGTGCCATGCTCTTGCTCTTGATGAGCGAGCTGGGTTGTTTAATGTGCTTTTGAACCGATACCAGAAAGACGCCAGGAAAGCGTTTGATTGGGACTTGTGGCCTTGATGGTCGCTTATGAGTTGCAGGAAAGGCAACTTGCTCATTGGATATGGTTTGTCGAAGAAGAAGAGATCAGGGGACTGTGATACCCACCTTAGTTCGGGCATTGAATGCCTTTTTCACTAGCATTTTGGATGATGAACGGTTTGGACATTTTAGATTTTCTCCTTATTGTGGAAAGCGAGAAACGCCTTTTATAGTATTATCATGCATCTATGTGGAGCGCGTGGCTTCAGCGTTTTTTGTCTTTAATACATACCAAAAGCCATTGGGGATCATCTACAATCCGTATGGTCATGGCCTTTGTCTTCTCAACTGAAGATCTGTATCTCTTGAACTTCTTTCTTCCTCAATCGTGAATGCCTAATATGTAGCGGACTCAGCGCTTCAATGAACCCACGGCTCGTAGCCTGTGTATCTCTTCTACTACGGCCCATAGGGGCTCGTCCCATCCTCGGGGTATCAAACTTTGCTGGAGGAGGAATATCTGCACCCTAACCGACTTTCGCTCCTGGCTGGAAGAGAATCGGCCAGGCCCTCTCGCAAAGTCTTGGCATCAGAGATTTCCGACTCCTGCCTCTTGCGAAGAAGCTCTATCGCAGCGCAGCCAGTCACCCAGCCGCTTGCTGCTGGTCTTGCCTGCTCTTTTTCCCTTCTCTGACCGTCGCAGTCGTGATCATTTATTTCCCTCTTCAACCCAGGGCCCATCCCAAAAAATCCTCTGGAATCCTCAACGCATCTCCCTAACCAACTTCTTCACCAACTTCCTCTGCGCCTCCACCCCCAACCCCCTCTCATCCGTCTCCCTCAACGCCCTCCCCACCACCACCACCGTCTTGACACTCTCGCTACCCACCCAAACCTTCCCATTCCTCCCCACCGCCGTCTCAAACGCCAACCCTTCCTCGCCCAGCGCCTCCAACACCTCCACCTTCCCCTCCTCCCTACTTTTCGCCATCAACAACCGTCTCGCGAAACCCAGACTGACATCAAACACCATCCCGTCCTTCAAGGGGCCCAGACCGTCCGCTTTGCCGGTAGAGGAGTTGACGCATTCCAGCTCTGGGTCCATGTGTCGGTTGGCGAGCGACACACGGGCGTAGACGAGCTCGCCTGGGCTCAGCTGGGGACGGGTTTTTTTGGTGGCGGACTCGAAGGCGAGGTGAGGCAACGTGGCGTTGGGGGTGTAAGGGGAGAGGGAGACGTAGTAGAAGTCGGTGGCGGAGCGGGCGATTTGGCCGATTATGAGGTCGCCTTGGGAGGGGATGTACTTTGCGATCAGAGGCTAGAGTTAGTTTTGACTGGATTTGACCAGAGGAAGGAGGGAAGGGAAGGGAAGGGAAGGGAAGGGAAGGGAAGGGAAGGGAGGGGAGGAAGGGAAAGGGAACAGAGAGAGAGAAAATAAAACGTACGCGACCGCCATTGTACTCTATCCACATGGAAGTTTTGCGATGGTCGACTACTAGCTGGCCGGCTACCGTGGGGACGATTTCGCTGGGGGGGATGTGTCGCAGGCCGGGACCGAGACGGAGGGGGTTCTTCTTGTGGGTGGGAATGAGGGAGGGGTCGATGACCTCGCCCGGGAGGACGACGAGGGGCGATTCTGTTGACATGGTGATGTGATGCTGTGTGTTTGGTTTTGTGGTGTGGTTTAGTTGTTCGTTGGTTTTGCGGAAAGCTGTAAAAGGTACCTGTTCGTGTAAGTTTACTTTGGGGAAAGTTGCGACGGCGAGGCCAGCCCCAAGCCTTGAATGGTGGGGCAGCTGGGCGGGCTAGCTTGGGGAGTACAATGGAGGTACTTGACGAGCTACCTTGAGGATCAACTTTGTCCCTGGATTATACGAATATGAATGATCTGACCAGAAACTGTAGTTTTCCTAGAATATCTCGACTTTAACATGCTCTGTATATGCAGCAGATAAGTCTCTGGTGTTGTCGGCGACAGCACATGTAAACAAACAGCAAGTACACCAATCGTACCCACCACAAGTGACGATGTGGGGCCAACAAGCATCCCGTATCGATTAGCGTCCGCCTTCCAAAAATTTCTGAACCCCCACAGGCTGGACGACATTACCGTCGTGGTCTGGTTCCTGCCTTGTCGATACTCGTCTGGTTTGCGCTCTCTTCCCTTCCTCCTCCATCCTCTAGCTGTTTGATACCGTCCTTTCTTTCCGCTTCAACCCACGCACATCCTCACACCCTCAACAAAAATGAGCGAATCCAAGGTCAGCGTTGCGCCCAGCGAGCGCACCGTCATCGGTATCACCTTTGGCAACTCCAACAGCTCCATCGCCTGCACTGTCGACGATAAGGCTGAGGTTATCGCCAACGAGGATGGCGGTACGTGCCACCCACTTTCTCTCGTATGCGACAGCTCCTAACAGACACTCCGTGTACAGACCGCCAGATCCCCACCATCCTGTCCTACGTCGACGGCGACGAGTACTACGGCCAGCAGGCCAAGGCCTTCCTCGTCAGGAACCCCAAGAACACCGCCGCCTACTTCAAGGACTTCCTCGGCAAGGACTTCGCGGCCGTCGACCCTACCCACAACCACGCCTCTGCCCACCCCGAGGATGTCGATGGCACCGTTGCCTTCACCGTCCAGGAGAAGGAGGAGGGTGAGGCTTCCAAGCTCTCTGTCTCCGAGGTCTCTACCCGCTACCTTCGCCGCCTGATCGAAGCCGCCTCCGAGTACCTTGGCAAGAAGGTCACCTCCGCCGTCATGACCGTCCCCACCAACTTCTCCGACAAGCAGAAGCAGGCTCTCCTCGCTGCTGCCGCCGCCGCCAACCTCGAGGTTCTCCAGCTCATCAGCGAGCCCGTTGCCGCTGCTCTCGCCTACGATGCCCGCGCCGAGACCGAGGCCCAGGACAAGATCGTTGTTGTCGCTGACCTTGGTGGCACCCGCTCCGATGTTGCCGTTGTCGCCAGCCGCAGCGGCATGTACACCATCCTCGCCACCGTCCACGACTACGACTTCCACGGCACTGCCCTCGACAAGGTCCTCATTGACCACTTCTCCAAGGAGTTCATCAAGAAGCACCAGGTCGACCCCCGCGAGAACGCCCGCTCCCTCGCCAAGCTCAAGGCCGAGGCCGAGTCAACCAAGAAGGCCCTCAGCTTGAGCACCAACGCCAGCTTCAGCGTCGAGTCCCTCGCCAACGGCATCGACTTCACCAGCTCCATCAACCGCCTCCGCTACGAGACCATTGCCCGCTCCGTCTTTGAGGGCTTCACCCGTCTTGTCGACTCCGCCGTCAAGAAGGCTGGCCTCGATGCTCTCGACATTGACGAGGTCATCCTGTCCGGCGGTACCTCCCACACTCCCCGCATCGCCGCCAACCTCGGCTACCTCTTCCCCCAGACCACCAAGATCCTCGCCCCCTCCACCACCCCCGCCGCCATCAACCCCTCCGAGCTCAACGCCCGCGGTGCCGCTCTTCAGGCTAGCTTGATCCAGGAGTACGAGGCCGAGGACATCGACCAGTCCACCCACGCTGCCGTCACCACCGTCCCCCACATCACCAACGCCATCGGTGTCATCTCCCTCAACGAGGCCGGTGAGGAGGTCTTCGTCCCCGTCGTCGCCCCCGAGACCGCCGTCCCCGCCAGGAGGACAGTCCACGTTGCCGCCCCCAAGGACGGCGGCGACGTTCTCGTCAAGATCGTCGAGGGCAACACCCACATCAAGGTCACCAAGCCCGAGCCCAAGGTCAAGGACGAGTCCAAGGCCGCCAAGGTCGAGGATGCTGATGAGGAGGGTGACGACTCTGACTTCTCCGACGAGGAGGAGGAGGAGGAGGAGAAGCGCGAGAAGGTATGGAAGATCGGCTCCACCCTCGCCGAGGCCGCCATCCGCGGTGTCAAGAAGGGTGGCAAGGTCGAGGTCACCATCCTCGTTGATTCTAACCTCTCCGTCACCGTAACGACAAGGGAGGTTGGTGCCAAGACTGGTGTCCGTGGTACTTTGAGCGCTTAAGCCAAGTTTAATTAGAATATAGCGGAGAGAGAGTTTTGTTTACCTTAGCATTGTGGTGGGAAACAGAAGGATTTTTTTTGTGCAAAAAGGAACCCCACTACTAGTATTTACTGGACAACTTAAAATAGAGGCGAAATGATGAATTTGATGACCCTATTAGACATACAGACAGGAGCAAGCACGCAAGGGAATTTAATTCCAGAACATGACGAAGACCAGAGATGAGTGTTTAATAATGGTTATAATGAGATGAGCCAGAGCGACGACGTTTACCGAGTTTCTTGACAAGTTGGGAAGACGCCAACGCTAACATATTCCACATCATTTCGGGGTTACACGCGCAGTTCAGTTCATCAAAGGCACATAGACGACACTTGACGGTATGAATTCAGCTTCAATGTTTATTACTCGTTACATAGCTAGGTAAATGCCAAATGGTCAATCTTGCAATGGGTATATCCTCCAACAGTTCAAGTTCGCACATCCAAGTCGATGATGATGGTGCTTTTCCACCTAGATACCCGAGTATCCAAATACTCCTCCTGCTGTAGCTTCTTTTCTTCCTCCTCGTAACGGTTCCTCGGTCCCGAAAAACTTCCACCATCTTCCGCCGCCACCTTTGTTCATCTTTGCAGCCCAGCTTCCTCCACCTACGTACTTGTAGTCCCTACCCCCCACGCGCGCGATCCTGAATCCCCACCCCCACGACCCACGATACAAACAAAGAAAGAAGATATCGATCGGAGGACGATAAACCTGATTAGTTGGTTTCCAGAACAAGAAGGGCATAGAAAATTTCGTTCACTTCGTGACAAGTAAAAGCCAAATTTGGGAAAAGCTGGTTAAGCTGTTGGTAAAAAGGAAATGATGTATGATGTGGACGCCTCTGCTCCGTCCGTGATGTTATGCAAAATGCTGAATGCTACCGAGATGATAAATGGACATATGAGAGAGGGTTGAGTGATGCTGATGATTTGCTGACAGTCTGCTTGATGAATGGTTGGTGGTGGGTGGTAGGATTGATAAAATGGTAGTCGTTATGTTATGGTATGAATGATGATAAAACTTGTTGAACGTAAGGGTATCGAAATGGTGCAATTAATAATGATGATAAGTAAGGTTGTTGTCGGAATCAGCGCACAGTAAATGGTGATACCGGTGATTCCTCTCCCGGAGCCACATTCATCTGTGTTCGCGACCTATACCTGCGCAGCTCAGCGTCGAACCGAGCTTGTGTCGGGGTCACCACCGGCGTCACCGTCTTGGGTGTTATCGGTAGTTCGATCTCGGTGGTCTTGATGTTGTTGTTACTGGGCGACCAGTCAGCGGCGGGCCTCTCCTCCTCCTTCTCCTTTTCCACTTCGACTTCTTCGGATTCAGCCTTGGGTTGTTCGAGCTCAATAATTTCTTGCTCCTCCTCCTCCTCTTCCTCTTCCTGAGCAGCGGCGGCAGCTGTCGTTTCCTCTTCTTCCTCATTTTCGGTTTCCGTCTCTGTCTCCGCCTCCTCGCTCTCAGTCGCAACAGGAGAAGGCCACTGCGGCAAAGCCATGGAGGCGTACCGCATCCCAGTCTTCTTCTCCTGCTCGATCCTCAGAATCTCCATGCTAACGAGCCACCTCTTCTGCAGCTTGGCCTTCCTCTCGGCAAAAGTGTGGGAGATGGCGTCTGCCTCGTTGGCGAACTCGACGGCGAGGTCCTCGTTTTCTTCGGATTTTTTATGCAGGAGCGCCTCCATCTCGTCTTCGTGCCGGTCGAGCAGCTGCTCCATCTTCTTGCCTTGTTTCTCGCGCAGCACGTTGATCTGTGCCTGGTGCCGCCGTTCCATGCCGTCGCGGATGCGGTACTGCTCGCTTAGCTGGTCGAGGTGTTTTTGGGTGACTTCCCTCGAGGGCATCTTGGAGTCCTGTAGCGCTTGTTGTTCCTTCTCGTTTATTTCCTCGACTTCATGTGAAAGCTTCTTGCAGTACGCCTCCATGTACTTGAGCTGTATCCGGATGCTCCGCTCCGATGCGTCCAGCGTCGAGCGGAGTTCGATCTCGGCCTCGATCTGCCGGTCCTCGAGGTGCTGCTCCGTTTTCGCATGGCGCTCTTTCATCTTCTCTATGAGCTCCGCGTATTTTTCTAAAAGCGCCTTCTTCTTGTCCGACTGCCGCGTCCGCATCTCCTTCCGCATCCTGGCCTCGTACGCCAAAAACCTGGACAGTTCGTGGTCTTGCTGTTCCCTCAGCGCCTGAAACTCGGCACATTCCCTCGTCCGCCGTTCCGCCTGCTGTTGCGCCCTCACCTCCGCCACCGCCGCCTCTTCCTGCTCCCGCTTCTTCAGCTCCAGCTCCGCGAGCCGCGTCTCCTCCTCCCTCCTGCGCCGCTCGAGCTCCTCCTCGCCATTGCAAAAGTTGGGACACCCCACCACGGGGTCCCATACCGCACCGCAAATGTAGCAGAACTGCGCCTTGCACCGACACGTCATGTGCGTGCACCCCTGCGTGAGCTCAACCAGGTTGCGGCACTTGTAGCATCTACGCCACCCGGATTTCTCGCCCATCTTGAGCACCGTCTCCAGCTCGATGTCCTCGGGACAGTCCTGCCCTAGCCGGTGCGCGCTGCGCTTGCAGGTGAGGCAGACGCGCATCTTGCACGTCTTGCACATGGTTTCGAACGGGTGTTTGGGGTCGAGCTTGGCTCGGGGCGGGATGAACTCGCCGCAGGCCGGGTTCGGGCAGAAGATGCGCGATTCCCAGGGCGTGCTGTACTGCAGGACGGCCTTGAGGAAGGCCTGCTGCTCCTCGCGCGTGAGGATCGTCTTGATGATGGAGCTGGGGATGGGTTGGGTGCAGCAGCGGGGCGGCATCTTGGACTCGTCGGTGGTGGATTGGTTGATCATGACGGCTAGACAGTTTTGGCAGTAGGTGTGGCCGCATGGTAGCGTTTGGAGGAGTTGGTTCCCTTGGGCGAAGTCTTCGCGACAGCATATACAGGTGCTATATTATGGAACAACTTGTCAGGATATCTTATTTGAGATGTTGATGCCCAGAGTATTCGTGTGGGGCGAGATCACTTACACGACTGATAGCGCCGGGTCCGTCTTCCTCCTCTTCAACCTGCCCGTGACACTGCGCCTGAGCTCCCTGACGCCCTTGAAGTGCCCGAAGCCATTCAAGATGTTGTGCGACAGCCGCCTTGAGGGTGCTGCTGGGTTGGAGAACGGGTTGGAGAACTTTGGCTGGTGGAGTGCGGGTTCCAGTTGCGTCAAGTACTTCTCATACTGAGAAAAGTTGACAGTGTTGGACCTCTTCCTGCTCGTAGACTGTGTGAGAGTTGCCGGCATTGCCGCCGACGAGTTCGAGGCCAGATCATTATCGGTGCCCGTGGCCGTTTCCGTGCCCGTCGTACTGTCGTTCGAGCATATTGTGTTGGAGCGCTGGTGGCCGACGAGGGTGCTGCTTCTGGCCGACGTGGCGCCCAAGACAGTGGGATTTCCAAGCTTGTCGGTGAGGTTCGAGACATCGATACCCAGACTCGAAGCCTTTGCTGTCAAGCTCTTCTCGATCTCGGCCTCGGTAGCGGTGGCATCTTCAGTCGTTATCCCAAAAACTTGATCGAGGTACTCGGACTCGTCTAGCTCGGGTGGGTTGGCGATGGTGCCGACCAGATCGGCTGGCGATAACGATGTGAATCCAGCCATTCCGTCACAAATCACTTAACAATTTTCCGTCCCTTCCGCCTTTTCGACACAGCAGATATCCGGGGTAACGACGAGTGGTACCAAGGCAGTCGAAAGGCATGTAGTGGCGGCATGAAAATACAGAAAAGTGGTATATGTACTGAGATCCTTTTCAACAATGGGAGTCGGATGAGATATGTAATAAAGATGCGATCCGATCTATCAGATGAGGGATTCCCATGACGCAAATCTATGGGCGAGGGTGGGGTTCGTCCATCCGGAGAGGTCAGGTTGTAGTGTACATAAGTACAGGTGGATGTCGATCCAAAGGGCCGGATGTCCGTCGTCAATTGGGCTGACCTGATTACGCCAAGTCAACAGCGCTATCACTCCACTACCGATATGTGAGGTGTTCAGTAATGTACGGCGATATCAATAACAAGGGCTGGGAATGGTTGCCGAAAGATGGAGCCCTGGGGAGCCCTGGGTGGGTGACGGGATGGGGTGAGCAGTGAGGTGGTGAGATCTAACGTGTTGTTGGGTTGGTCAAGAGATCACCAGGCAAGGGAAGGGCAAGGGACGATGAGAAGAGTAAGATGACGGGAGGAGTAAGCTCAACATGAGATGGTGGAGGGGTTCAAGGGGAGGGAGATGGAGGGAGAGAGACGGGCTGTTTGGTCGGCTGCAACGGAAAAAGAGAGACAACAAGAGATTTGAGATGGAGGGATCACACGAAAAGCCGCAAAGATGATCGCCAGCTAATAAAGCAAGTGATGTGCAGTAGACCTGACGAGGGTTGCAGTTTTGCGCCCAAACATACATACACTACCTTGCCAGGCTTACCTGTACATTACATATCAAGGCCCAGCTTGCGTTCCGCACAATGCCTGTTAGCGCATTCAGGTCACGTGCTAAGAGCTGTGAACAAGTTGTCTCTATCGCCAGTTGTCTTGATTCAACCTGGATAAAAAGAAACATTAGGTCTATCATCTGGGTAGTCCCTTGTTTGCTGTGTTGGTTGAAGACAACATGTTGATACAATCCTCCCATTAACAGAAGGGATGTTTCACTTGGTGACGGGATCCTCGATGTTGTGTTGGGGGTCACGGCGGGTGCGTTAAAAGGTAGGCTAACGTTACCTACCTGGCGCTGGCTGGCCAAGAAACGAACAAGGGTATTTGATGCGCCTGTGTGAATCCCCGAGGTGACTGCCAACTGGGTGGGGGGGCTCTGGGGTTGGTACGAATTAGGCAAGTACCTTAACAAATCCAACGAATGCCTGGCAACAACAACATGAGGAAATCTGCCTCTGGTGTTCGTATGACAACCAACGCCAAAAGAGCCTCAGCCTGTGGAGTGGCTTGGAAGTGGCCCAACACAAAAGCAACAAAAAGGAAAAAAAAAAATCGGGACCGAACAGAACGTCGATTGGTCTTTGATGATGGAAGAAATGGCCTGTTAAAGCTTGCTGATTGATTGATCGGTTCCGAAAAAAACTTGATCATCTGCCCGTTGCTCCTTGGAAGAAGAAGAGCCACTGAGCCAGCCAAGTAGAAAAAGGCTTTGAAAAGACAAGACAAGACAAGACAAGAGGTGAAGAAAAAAGATGGCATCTTGGAATCTCAAACCCTTCATGCAAGTCTGTCATCACCATCACGGCATCACCACCACCACTACCTACGACCGTGGCCGACCGTTGCCAATGTCTTGCCTTGTCTCCATTCTCCATTCTCCATTCTCCGTAGCTCCAGGTACCGATCTCATTCCGCACATTTCTCGGCCTTCAATCTTGCCATTTTAGCTTTAATCCCACAGTGGGCGGGGGTTGTTGGCGCCGTGACGGCCGGGAATAGACACTAGATCCACCATGGCAATTGAGATCGATTTTTGAAGATCATGATCATCCTGTTGCACCATCGTTGGGACGTTGACGCCTGTCATCTTAAACCTCCACCGTTCAGGGCCATCAGGGCCCTCAGTCCCCATCACACGGCAGCAGCAGAGGAGCGCACGACAGACGATGGTGTGGTTTCAAACGCGACTCGAGTTAGCGGCTCATCCGCTGATCCCACTTTGGTGAGACCTAGTTCTGGGAGTTATGATAGGTATGTATACAGATGGTCACACTACCGTAACGGTAGTGTAGTGTAAGTGGGCGAGTGGGCTTCCAAGGTAGAACAGCAGTTAAGTCCCGGGTCGTTTTCGCATCTTCAACTCTACATTTAGTCTAGGAGGTGAATGTGTACATACCATCATTTTCACACATTCGCAATATTATCGCCGACCTTGCACTCTGTAGATGGCAAAAAAAAAAAAAAAAAAAAAAAAAAAAAAAAAAAAAAAAGAAAACACCCGAGTCTGTTTGAGTCCGGATCAAGAACCCGCCTTTCTGCACTAGTACCAACTCCCAACAAGCCCCCGAACCTCACCGTCGGGTTGTTCAACTTCCTTCTATTCTCCCTTGCTTGCTCCTACGTGTGTGTATATACCTTCAAGTCAGAGGTGTACTGTACAAGCTGTGCCATTCAACCCGTTCGTATCGTATCGTATAGTACCAACAAGACCAACAGAAATACTAAGCTGATTCGGAACCCCCTTTACCAACCGACCGATTGGTAACACAACCAAACTGACAACATTCATTCATTCATTCATGCATTCCTTTTCAAGCTTCTTTCCCGTTTATTTTCCTTGATAGGACCTTTCTGCAGCTTGTTTTCTTGCCGTCGTCTTTCTTGTTCATGACATTTCACGGCTGGAGATCGTCAACGCCAGCCAGCCAGCCAGCCAGCCAAACGAGCGGCTGCATCCGTCTTCTGTCCGTCCTCCGCCTTTCCTTCCGGCTTTTTTTTTTTTTTTTTTTTGCTTTTTTCTTTTGTTAGCCTGGGCTGGCTGTTGTCAACACTATTGTCTTTCATTACTAACCGAACCGAGTAACCCATCCCCGGTTGGTTGGTTGGTTGTTGGAGCTTGCCCCGGACGGACCATATCATACCAACTTCACATTGGTTAAAAGGTGAGACTGGTGACTGTTGGGCACTAAGACTTCGCCAACTCGCCAACTCGCCAACGGCTGGCTGTAGGCTCTTCGTTTCCCCAGACCAGAAACATCTAAAAGCCGAAAGGCTGCAGCGGAATGAATGGCCCTTGATGTCCATTGGAAATCTTGGTTCCACCGACGATCTTCGACAAGGCCTAACGAAAAGCTAAGAGACTTTTGAAATTGCCTTGAACATCTCCGGCATGCATACAGATTTTTCATCGTGACCGGCCCGGATTTTGCTGATAGGTAAAATGTAGGATCCCGATAGGTGCCATGCGGTAATTTTGAATAATAGGGATGTGCAAAGGATACTACTGAGGCTAACGAGTCACGACTTTTGTAGGTAGAGAACTGCGTGATTGTCTACGTATGTAGGTAGGTAGGCGCTGTCAGGGTTTATTCGTACGAGTGTAGTCATTGCGGGGAGACTGGGAGACTAGATGGGCTTCAACTGTCTTGTTAAGTTTCGTACCGAGGAGTCCGCAATCGTTGAACTCAGCAACAGAGTCTCCTCTTGGAGATGATTGAGGGCGCAAGCTGTACAACTCCAAGCGGTCTAGCGTCCACCATCAAGCTTCCCAACTCTTGGCATCGGAAGCTTCCGACGACATGGACTTGGGTTGGACCTGCGTAGATACCACTGTGAGAAAAGCTCGTCGTCGACCGACATCTTCAAGCTAATTCCCCGAATCTTCGGGACTAGAGAAGCCGAGACAAGGCCCCAAGCAAGCGATAGGCTTTTCCCATAATCAACAAAATCTTTATCACTTTTCGCTCTTCTTTCTTCTTTTTCTGAGACCTCATCATCTCGGTGAATTTCCACGGCTTGCAGCCCGCCAAGTATCGATATCAGCAACCGCGTCCATTAACAGGTATCTCATACCGATGTCAGATCTCATATCATGTTATCATCTCATCTCATCTCACTTTGTCTTCACACCAGCTCCCACCTTGCCAGCCAGCCCACGCTCTCCCCGGCATTTCTCACAATGCAGAGCCTTCCCTCCTTGTTGTTGCCCGACTTGCACTCTTGAAGGGTATCAAACGCCTTCTCGGCGGAGATCGCCCCAACAGCCGTACCCTTGCCCTCACTAAGGCTGTACGCCCCTGCCGTCACGAACCCGATCAGGTCCTCCTCGCCGGGGCACAGCGGATGGCCGCCGCCGATATCTGTCTGATTAGCTGCCGAGGGCCTGGGGTAGGGCAATGGATCCCCGGATAGGAGAGACTTGGCCATTAATTGTTTTCGAGTACCCTGATCGACGCCGTGAGGGATATGTGGTGCTGCGTGTGTTGTGGTGGTTTTGGAACATCTGCTGCCGCTTTTCTGGCTAGGGAGTTTCTGAAGCCATTGGTCGCGGAGATCCGCAGGGAGAGAGCCTATGCCGGCTGCGACCGGATCTGTAGCGGGTACTTCCGCCTCCGACGACGGGACGGTCGTCGTTGCTGAAGGCCGAGATGGAAGACGATATATCCTGGCGCATGCGTTTGCAACGCCTCTGGTCACGAACGTGATGTTGACTGATATGATTGACCGTGGGGGAGGTCTGACCAAATTCGCCGAGGAGACAAGGGCGTTGAACTCCGTCTTCTTCATCTGCTCAACTGTCGCCAAAGACGGCAGAGTATCTTTGTGGGGCTTCCCCAACTTGGACGCGGCTTCAGCCTCTTCCCCAGGATCTACGTCCATTGCATTTGGATCGACATCCAGGGTGGACTGGTTCCCAGATGAGCTCGGCGAAGGGTCCTTGGGCAAACCGAACAGATGCTCAAAATCGCACGCTAGGCCATCTCCAATCTCGCCCTTTCGTCCAGCGCCGAGATCCAGCGAGGCCCATTCGATGCGTTTGCCCTTTGGACGCCGATCCCAAGCCTTCTTGCGTTGCGCGCGCTGCTCCATCTCCCAGACAACACCCGCATTCGTCCCCAGGAAGTCCCCAGGAAACCAGGCAGTCCCTTGTTCAAAGGCAATCTGCCGCTGCTCATTCAACCCTCCCAACCGAGGATTTCCTCCAGTGGACAGAGGGTAATGGACAATGCTATACCATATCGGCAAAATACATTTCCATGGTGCCAACAGTGTCCATGTCCCCTGCGCCTGACCACCAGCTGTCGGCCTAGAGGCGAACACGATGACTGGTATGGGAGGGTCCGCTGCCGTGACTTGAATTTCTTGCCCTGGAATATTGGCGCCCTTTCGGCGATTGATGGACTTTTGTGGTGGTAGACTGGAAGCCTTGAAGCGAACATCACGGTCGAAGAGCCCATATGGCTTCACCTGTTCCTCAACAGGCCATTGTGTCAGAGTATCAAGGAGAGCGGGATCGGAAACCTTGCTGGCGGTGTCCACCCGCTTGGGAGGATACGATAATCGGGGATCCTTGACTGAGAAGCCCAGTACTGCATCTTTAGGAAGAGAAGCGGGATTTGTTACCCCAACTAGAGAGGAGAAAACCTGCCCATGGCGCTCCTCGGTATGATATGGCTGGAGTACAGCGAGCAACGTCTCTGTGGAACCGGGTCCGGTAAGTTCGATGCTACCGATTTCGAAACGCAAGTCCTCGACGTGAACTTGCGGTGTCTGTAACTTTGCCAGTTTAACCAACTCGTCGAAGAGTTCAAGGAAACAAGATGGGTGTGTCCGGATCAAGATCTGTCGTTGAGTCTTCTTCTGCTCGGTAGTGTTTGACTCTGGCGCAGTGGTCTCGTCGGTCGGAGTAGGATTCCATATAATCGTAGCAGGCCCAACGTCCCTCCTGGAGCTCCCTTGCTGTCTGCTCACCATACCGCTCCATGTCCTCGTGCCATTTCTCCATTTTCTGCCGCGATTGCCCCATAAGCTCTCCTGGACCAGCCCCAGCGCCTTGAGAACCTGCTCAATGCCTCCGGCTGCTCCATATAGCCTGACTGTGCTCATGTAACTCGTATCCCAGAAAACGGTTCCCTTTTGTCCAGAAGCTCGGTGGGTCGGTCGATAACACTTTTGCGTCGGTGTCAAAGGGATGGCAAATCGCCACAGAGGCTTGGTTGGCTCGGTCATTGTCGCTCGTTTGGCATGCCATAGATGGGTAGGGAGCCAGGTTTTGTTGATCTGTCTCTTCTTGAACTTGGACTTTGGCTTGGGGGGCTCGTTCAGGGTATCACGCCGTATCTTGGGTCTCGGGGCTCTCGTCTGGATTGTAGTCTTTCCGGGCTCGTCCTTATTCTCTCCTTCAGCTTCCCTTTGCAACGCTCTTTTCCTCTTCTTTGCGGCCAGTTTCTCGAGTCGCTTTGCATTCTCGGCACGTATCCTGGCGCGTGTGGTCCGTGGTCGTCGTTTCCTCGCTTCGACGGTTGGTGTGTTGTCCTCCAGCATCTCTCTTTTCGCTCTGTCGCGCAGCCTCTTGGGGACTCTCTTGGCGTTGTGACTCGCTGTTCGGCGTCTCATCTCGCGCGGGACCTGCTGGAAAACTCTGGTGGCATTGGCGCTCTTGCATTTTCGCATGCTCGTCTCGAGGGCCTTGATCTCGAATTCGCGGGCATGGAGGAACTTTTGGAGGTCGAGCTTTCCATCGTCGAGGGCGGCGTCGGAAGGCTGGCTGCGAATGTTGCGGGCATCTTGGAACTTGACGCGCTTTTGTGGCCGGGCTGGAGGACGCGAGTCTTTGCCTTGTTGGTTCTGATTCTTGGTGCCGGTCGCTGCGGATGGCGCTTCCTTGCGTTTCTTGGAATCGGCCGCCTTGCCAGAGGCGGCTTGTTTCTTATTATTGTCCATGGCGACTATGGTTCCGTGGACATTGGCGTACGTGTCCGGCGGATGGAGGTGGTGTGGTGTAAGGTGTTGTACTTGGAGGAATTGGAGTGCGCTTCACAGTGTAACTGCATCACTGGCGCCGACAATGAATTTCTGAAAGCTCTTATCGGGCTTATCAGTCGATCGGCTAGTGGGTCCTAGCGGGGAGCTGTCCCCACTTGGGGTAATGTCCAAACTCAGGTCCCGTTCCTTGACGATTCCACGGCATCCTTGGCAGCGCTCTTGGCGGTCTCTTCAGTGGCTTGCTTGTCTGTAACACGGAATTTCGCCCCAACATGACAGCCCAGAAGCTCGGCATTCTTCAACATCCGGATCACCTATCTTGATGATAGTTCTTTAGGAGAGGTCGTGGTGAGTGGACAAAGTTCTCTAGAGTCGTGGATGGCGGAGTGAGGCAGCAAGGCGAATGCATGTCATCATTCTCATCACCCTCCCCGTTTGACATTTCATTAGTTCATTTTATTTAAGGGGCTGCCCGGACATCCATCATATCCGTGGTGCCGCGTATAACAAATGTTGGGCTAAGAAAGGATTTTGCAGATTTTGTCATGGAAGCATTACTAACCGGCAGTCCAAAGTTCTCATCACCCATACACACATCATTGTCTTGTTGTCTCTTGTTTTGGTTGATAAGGGGGTAATACGGAATACCTTACGTTACAACTGTGTTCGTCCGCGATACATGCCAAGCCCAACCCTGACACGCCTCAACGGCACAACTCCAGCTTTCCACTTCTCTCACTGAGAGTCCCGTTGCCGCTGTTGCGTTGGGATCTCGATATCACCGGCTTAATCCGGGGACGGGAAAGCTCACGTTGCGGCAGGGAACCTCGGCGCCCCTTGTGTCGGCCTTCAACCACGGGAACCTGGATCGGTCCGTTACAGTTACAGTCCTGAGACCACGTACCTGACTATAGAGACGACGGAAGTACCTGCTGAATCCGTCGCATGTAACCATGGCAGCCCTCAGTAAGCATGACTAGCCTCCTCCCTCTTGTCAGATTCAGTTATCATATCCCTTCCACTCCTTCACTTCCAACCAATATCTCCAACTCATCACTCCTTCACTCCAAAACCCGACTATGAACGTCCGTCCTGCTGTGCATGACGTTGCTGCATCTTGTCTACCGGCACTCCCGGCATTATGGAATGGACCTTTCCTCCATCGCTCTGATTCTGCCTTGAAATTCTCTATTATTCGTGTTCCTTTAAGCTGATATGGTTCACATTCCTTTAGTCGGCAAGGGTAAAAAGGTTCGTATTCATCCATTCCCCTCTCGTTACCTACAGGAACACAGTACTAATACCTTTGATCTAGCCCAAGTTCGAACTACACCTCAAGGCATGTCGTCCTCACCATGATCCTCACTTCAGGTCGTCGTCTAACTGGAGCCCTAGATCTATGACTTGAACAATGTACCACTTGTCTCAGGAGGGTCCCTCATAAAATGGCACTTGCCACACAGCATTCACTCGAGGGACCGCGGCACGACGCAGAAATGCCCCATTGCCAACCACCGAGTTGAGTACAACTACTCAAAGGTCATCCCTATCCGCATTGCTGTCGACCGTAGCAACAACCTCACGGAATGCCCGATCGAGTTTGAGGTTCTGCAGCTGTTCAACACCAATGGCACAGTGAACGGCAACGGTCCGGCTCCTGTCCGGGAAGAGAAAACCACCCTAGGTGTCGTCCGCCTCAACCTAGCCGAGTATGTCGAGGAGAGCGAATCCATCCTCCGGGATGGTCTTGGGGCCGGAATCAGTCCGTTTCTCGGTTCTCCGGGTGGTCCAGCAGCTGTCGATTTCCGGTTCGGACACAGCCGTAAACCCAGCTCACTAAATGCGGTAACACCAGCACCCAACAGCCCCCAGTATCTACGGCCTGATGCGGAAGAAAAGGAGCAGGAACGTCCCATGACGGCCATGACTACCAAGACCTTCGCCTCGACAGCCACGGTAACCCCGGCAGAGGACGTCCAAGACGGCGTGGTGCGTCGCTACCTGATGCAGGACAGCAAGATCAACTCGACCCTCAAGATGAGCATCCTGATGATCCAAGTCGAAGGAGAGCGCAACTTCATCGCCCCACCGCTCAAGACCGCTCCCGTTTTCGGCGGCATCGCCGGACTCATGGCAGGCGACGTGCTGGACCCCAACGCCGACGCCCACAACGCCGCCCGCAACCACCACCAAGCCGCGGCCGACCTGGCGCTGGGCCAGTTACCCAGTCTCAGCCACAAGTCGCGGGACGTGTTCGAGTTGCAGGACTGCTACCGTCGGGTTCTGGCTGCCAGCTGGGAATCGCAGCCGGGCGAGCTAACAGCCGATCAGTGCATCGAGGACATCTTCTCGGGCGGCGACGGGTTTCGGACGGACATGTCTTCAGCAGCGAACACCCCTTCCCCCATCTCGCGCGGTCGCGGGGGGTACAGCAACAACGCCAACAGCTTCGGAGGAGACCGGGACGGCGGATTACGTGCGGGAGGACACAGGAAGAAGCACAGTTTCGGAGGAGGAGGAGGACACGGACACCACTTCCGCTCCGCCTCGGGCCAGTACTACCGCGACCAGCGCGACAAGCTCGCGGCCGCCATCTCCATAGGACTGGGTGGCGTGCCGGTACCGGTGCCTACGACTCCCGGGGGACCGAACAACTCCAACACCTACCGCACCCCGAGCGCCGGTTCTTCCCGATCGCGCCACCTCCGCCGCCGCGACGAGCCCACCAGCGGCTCGGCCTCTGGAGACGAAGACAGCGGTAGCAACAGAGATAACACCCTCCGCCCACAGACCGCTGCCGCCCCAACAACATCATCAACAACCCAGACACAAGGAAGCATGGCGCGCATAAGACAGCACATCCGCCACCACAGCAGCGGAACGAGTAATGATAAGAGCAGTTTTCGAACCGTGATGGCTGAACAGCAAGACCAACAGGCCCAGGCCCCCGCCGAAGGAGGAAATGCCGCCGACAAAGATAAAGATAACTGGTACAACATCAACAACTACGGTTTCACCCGCGGAGCCGGAGCAGCAGACGAAGCCAATAACCTCAAAAACCTACTGAACAGCCTCAACAACAGCAATGGTTACAACAACCGCCCCGCCACCTCGGCTTCTACCATGAATGTCGATACAATCAACACCTCCCTAAACAACGGCCTCTCCCCCGCTTTTCGGGACCTGGGCAAGATGTTATCCTCCGCTGCTCCCGTTGTGCCTTCCACTGCCACTGCCCCAGCCGCCCACGGCCACGGCCACGGCCACGGCCACGGCTACTTGAACTCCCCTTATCAATTCCCCTATCATCAATTCCAGGACGCTGCTGCTTCCATGGGGGTGGTGATCACGGATGTTGGAGAGAATAACAGTTATGAGAGAATGGATTTCGGAGGAGGAAGACGGGATAGGAGTGATAGTCTGGCTAGTCTGGACACTTTAACGTTGGGTAGTGAGGCGGGAAGTGGAAGTGGAAGAAGTGGAAGTGGTAGGGGAGGAGGGGGAAGGTATGGTGGTGGTTATGGAGGAGGGTATAAAAAGGCGAGAGAGGTGGATGAGTTTGAAGTTAGGGAGGATTTGGTTGCTTGGACTATACCGGCTAGGGGGTAGTAGGTTTGGTTGTCAAGGGGAGAAGGGGGATGGAGAGTTGTGGACTCGAGGGTCGATGGTTGGTGGGATAGATAGCTGTTTCTTTTTATTTGTATCTTCTCTTCGTACTTTCCTTTGTAGCGTGGAGTTTGTAATAATAGATGGTTTTGGCTTTCTCATTGCCAAGTTTTGCGTCTCGTAGTTTTGACATATTGATAGCTTTGTTATATCACTAGGAGAATATGTACTAATCCTCCACCACCTACGCCTCACACATGAACAACATGATGACAGTAAAGCAAAATGGAACGCCCTGATAACCGCGACCCTTTCAACAGCAGGCCCGGACTAGCCACCTTCAACCATAACCGCCTTCCCATCCACCCCTTAAAAGATGGAATTAACCAAATTAGCGCCCATCGTAGCCCCCGCTCCAAACACCGCCGCATTTCCAAACTTCTTTCCAATACTCTTCCCATGTTTCTCAAACTTGTTCTCCTCCTTCTCTCCCTGCGGCGGCGCATTAGGATCATAGACCTGTCCCTGTGGTGCTCCTGGTGGGGGCGCCATATACCCTCCACCATACGTCGGCTGTCTATACCCAGGCCCACCAGCACCATACCCTCCCACACCGGGATATCCTCCAGATTTCTCGCTGTGTTGACCCTCCCATGCACCAGTACTCTGCACAGGCGCCGCCTCCACCTCCACATAACTCTTAGGAAAGATACCCTCCTGTTCAGTGCGCACGCACCGCCCCATCCACCAGTCGGCATTCATGTACTCGTAGACATGGATCTTGTCGCCTTTATCGAAGCTGCAGTCGCGCGCGTCCGAGGCGTCGTATTTGTACAGGGCTTTGCAGTGGGCTATGATGGGCTTGCTTGGTGGTGCCGCGGGCGCTGGTGTTGGTGGTTGGGAGCGGCCCGGCAAGGGGGGAGGGGGAGCGCTGCTGTTGCCGGTAGATTGGGAGTATGAAGGGGGTGCTGCGGCCGGAGCTGGAGCTGGAGCTGGGGAGGGGCTGCGGTTGTTTAGGGAGAGGTTGGAAAAGGCGTTGGCGGCTGTGGTGACGGCTGGAGGAGGGTTCTGTTGGAAGCGCGCGGCGATGGAGCTGACGCCGCCGCCGCCGCCGGTGGCATGAGGTTGGGCGGCAGCGGCGGGGGCGACGTGTGCGGGAGCAGCACGCGGAGCTGGGACCGGGGTGGAGGATGTGCTGGAGAGACTGGCTTCGGCGGGGAGGAGGGAGGTGATGCTGTCGAAGGCGTCGTCGGTTATGATGCCCTTCTCGAGAAGGGATTCTAGTTCCTGTTTTGGGGGGAGGCGGGGTGTTAGTGACCGAATAGAAGGTAAGGGAGACGAAGGACGTTCTGCCCGCCCTTCCGGCGATGAAGGGAAGGATGCCGAAGAGACACGAGTAATAGAAAGGTATGAACAATGCCCTTACATTCTTGATGAGACGCAGAGACCGGTTGGTCTCGATGATGCGCTGGCGGTCTACTGACACCATGGCTGTGGTTTGAGGTCTCTGGCGAGAGACGAGAGTCGGTTACTTCGTCGGTGTGAATGATGCTGCTCTCCGGGCAAGCAAACAATCGAACAGTTTCTTTGCCGCAGGTATAATAGACTTTGTTGTAAGTCGAATCGAGATGGGCAGGCAGGTTCGGAAATTGTACGATGGAGTCGGTTGTAATAAGTCAGATAAGGATGGATCGATGATAAAGGTGGACGACGGGACGGGAGGATGAAAGTGGAAGATGACGGGAGGGAGTGGCGCAGACCGACAACCACAGCTGACGCAACAGGCGGGAAAGACCACCTGCATGGCGGGGGGCAGTGCTGTTGGGGGCAACTCGGCACCACTAAAACCGCTCCCAGAACCCCGCCAATCCGCCAAGTTTGTCTGCTGCCCGTGGACTCCCGTCGGTACGCAAGAGTTGTCCGGCGATCCGTCCACCACCGCAGATCACGAACCGCCTTGTAAACATCACCAGACTAAGTCTAGATTTCGTCGGCGAAGCTTTTGTTAAAGAAGATCATTACTTTAATCGGCTGTCTATTGAGGGAAGCCATTGATAGCAAGTTCCTTTTTGTCTCAGATTGATCAACCTTCGAGTCTATCTAATCGTACAGTTTGCGCTCTGGCTACATCCATCCATTTGCTAGGGTTAGGGTCATGAAAAGGGGTGTTCCTCGTCGACGTCGACGTCGACGTTCACGCCATCAACAACTCCAAGATCAGAAAAGATCCCAGATAAAACCTAGGTCTAGTCCCTTGATTCCCATACATGTAAACTCCATCATTTGGCTGACATCCTTCATTTTTACTGACCGAAATCTCGTCCATTGAGCAAGTGTTCAAGCAAATAATCTTCCTCCTCCAACACAATCATTCTCCTCAAGAGTCCTCATCCTAGGACGTTTAAGGATGTCTCCCCAACTCTCTCATCAACTCCCTTAAAGCCGGCACAGCCATCCTGACATCCGGCAGAATCTCCTCCAAGTTGCTGAAAGCCGTGCAATGCTCCTCCAGCTTCTTCAACACTCTCGCATCTGACCGATCCCAGTCCTCTGGGCTCAGCTGCTTGGCCGTGTTGGCAATGATCGTCCGCCACCCGTTAGGGATGAAGGAGAGGTGTTTGTCAATCAGCTCATTAGCCGACTTGGTTCGGCGGCTCGGTTGGAAGCGGGAAGGGATTGACTGGGAGGAGAGGTCGATGTCGTTGTCGTTGGGAATGCTTTGAATGGAGCTCGAGGAGGTGGAGCGGCGGTGGGTTGAGCGTGACTTGGACTTGGTCACGGATTGTGAATCGTCGCGGACGCGGAAGCTCGCGTCGAGACTGGGACGGGGACTGCGGCTGCGAGATGTCGTTGTTGCTCCCGTACCTTGAGAATGTCTTCCTGGACGGAGAGAAAACTGGGAGGTAGAGCCTCTCTTCGCGGAGGCTGTCGATTCCGAGCAGTTTTCATCGTCGCTATCGGATGCCAGAAGGATAATACCATTACTGTGTGCGCGAAATTTCGGATAGGGAATCGTAGGCTCGGAGTCGGCGATGTGTGTATTTCGAAGACTGGCCACACTCTGTTGTCCTCTGTTAGCTGGTCGAGTGGTCAAGTCCAAGCCGCTTACCACCGAGCCCGGGGTTCCAGTTTGACCGAGTCCCTTTGTGCTGGGAGCATTTGTGTTCTTGTCGACCTGAGAACTGAACGGCACCAGCGCGGAGGACGTGTAATTCTGCACGTTCTCCTCCCGAGAAGTCGGCCCCCTCATGCTCATCGGACTCAACTCAAACGCTTCCAAAGCAGCCCAATCTTCAGTTGTCGGCTGACTATCCTTCCGTATGTGTCCACGGCTTCTCGTCTTTGTGATGGTGCCGTTGTTTTGGTTGATGCTGTCGAAGGCGTCTGCAGTGAACCTCTCCTCAACACTTTCTCGGGCACGCCCCTTCTTCAACTCCTCGATTTCAGTCTGCATCTTGCGAATCACCCCCCACAGCTCCTCTCTCATCTTCTCCTCAGCCTGCTGTCTCTTCAAGTTCTCCTCCCTCATCTTCGCCAGTTCTTCCTCAATACACAGGCACTTTGTCTGGAACGGCTCGATCGAATCGCGGTAGATAAGATCTACTCGATGAGCAACCGCTTTGTACTGAGTATCAGCAAGATCCTTGATCTTTTGCTCGACCTTGGCCTTGACCTCCCGGGTAATTTTTTGATCCATACTGACAGTCAAGTCAGCATTTAAGTGCGATGGGGTGAGCGCTGGAGACGGGGGTTGAGCTGAAAGGCTCCTGTTTGCTAAATCACGAAGATGTCCCGGAACAGGATCCAGCCTGCGCGGTGTGGCCGAGGCCGAGGCGGCGTCAGCGGCAGACTCGCTGGAGTTGGCGAGGACCGGGAACATTTCCTGAAAGCGGGTATGAAGGCCAAGTAGGTCTCGTGAGAAGCCCTCGAGGTCGTGTCGTAGGAGCGACTCGGGGTTTTTGACTGGGTTGGTGGCTGGTGTTCGCGACATCATGAGTGAGCATGCGCGTGGCGGTTGTTGAAGTAAACTCTTGTCGCTGGAACTTGTCCTTGGAGATGCCTCGTGGCTTGAATACAAGCGTACTGCCTTGAGGGTCAGCTTTCTTCGATACAATATTGAAGATCAAGAACGCGTGGTTTGGAGTTCATACCTCAATAATGTGAAATAAGGTTGATCTGATGAGCAGGTGAGAGGCGCGGAGCGACTTTGAGATATGCAGCTGGTGGAGTAAGAGGGTGTGAGCTGGAACGGTGAAGGGGAGTCAAGCAGGATATTATTGAGAAGCTCGTTGCCAGCGTTGCTTATCGAGTGTGGTAACCCGCTGTTGAAAACAACCTAGGTAGACAGGTTGGTGATGGATGAGGAAATAAGGAGAAAATGGGAGGTGGGGTTGGGGAGGAGTAACTCAGAGCAGATACTTCTCGAAAAGAGAAGGCGCGACCTGGCAAGCGAGACTTGGGGGCAAAAAAAGCCGAGTAAACACGTAGGAGGTGATATCAAAGTGACAAAGGCAGGATCATGAGAACAACAGCGGCCGCCTTCAACGAGGCCGGCCCGTACCTATCTCGCAACTGAGCAAGCGCGTAACAAAAAAGCGATCAGAAGAACAAAAGTGCAAAAAAAAAAAAAAAAAAAAATGTGGACTTACAGCTACCGGGTTCGAACGCGCAGCGTCCACGAGAGCCGGGGGAAGGAAGGGAAGGGGAGGGCGGGGGGCCGTTCAACCGTGCCCGCCACTGCGCCATCCTACCAGCTTGCCACGGAAATATTGACACGGGAAGTAATACATATACCTTACTACAAGGGCTAGATTACGGGCTACCTGTATGTCCTTTGGGCCACAGGCCCAGGCACCAGGCCCAGTTGAACCTAGAGTTGGGATGGAAGACTTGACGGGGCGGGAGGGAAGCATGAAGTGGAAGGTGCCAAACACAGGGTGACATAAAGCATGGCAGCAGCAATGTTATCCTCCAAAAAGACAATCTGATTTCTCATCCACATAAACCACTACTACATGCTCGAGCAACCGGAAACTGAACTCGTAGCAATTAGCATACAAATAGTTCCAAGGCCGAAGAATAACAAATAGCCACAAAAACAAAACGCGTCGTCCCTCGTATAATATCCAAAGTTCACCATATTCATCCTCTCCTTAAACTCGACACCAATTCAAGGTCCATCCCCAACGACGCCCGATTACAGTATCAGGCTCCGTTGAGAAGCCAAGCAGGCACATCATTGGGGTCGACGACAGGAATAGCGCCCTCCTCATCGGGAACATCGATAATGGCAGCACCAACGCCGTCACCTCCCAAGTCGACTGCAGCATCGAGATTAATGATCGGGTCACCCCCCAAGTCGACTCCAGCATCGACATTAATGGTCGGGTCACCCCCCAAGTCGACTCCAGCATCGACATTAATGGCCGGGTCTTCTGGTATAGCATCGATACCAACTTGACCATCGACATTAATGTCGATAGCAGGTACCTGGGGCGACTCAGGAGCCTCAGGCCCTTCAACCGTCGGAATCTCAGGAGCCTCAGGCCCTTCAACCGTCGGGATATCCACATCCTCAACATTGACCTCGAGATCATCCGTGTCAATAGACGGGATCTCAGGGAAATCCAGACCGTCCACGTCAATATCGGGGATGTCGAGGTCACCGACGTCAAGATCAATGTCACCGAGCGACTCGATAAGAGCATCGAGAGCGGCAAGTTCCGCGTCAATATCATCGTAGCCGGCATCCTCCTCAGGAGAGCCAGCCGGGGCTTCTTCACCATCAGTTGGAGGAGTGGGAGGATCGGTGGGACTAGGGGCACTGGCGCTGTACGTGGTGTGGTGATTGCTTGAGCTGATACGCAGGCTGAAAGTGTCATTCCTAGAAGAACTGTAGTTGATCACTCCTGGGATGCTCAACTCTCTGGCCCCCTGGCTGTTCCAGAAGATGTCGAGGGTCGAGTCCTGGAGGAGACTGTCAAGCTGCGACTGCGTAAGGCCAACCTCTCCCGAGATGGGGATCTCAAACTGCTCGGTGCTGTGGGACAGAGAGTCGGAGCTTTGGTCAAGCAGAGCCTGAAGGTGTCGCTGTGGCTGTCGCTCATGTCAAGAACTCCAGGAATGTTGAGCACACGCTCACCTTCGCTGGTCCACTCGAGCTCAATGTTGGTGGATTCGAGAAGATGGTTCAGTTGCTCCTGGGTAAGAACAATCGAGCCTGCCACAGGAATCACAACGGCGGGCGGCGGGCTCGGGGGGGCAGGATGGGGAGGGTGACCACCGGGACCGCCAGGGCCGCCAGGGAAGCCGGGTGCTTGAGGGGAACCAGTTTCCTGGGGGGCGCCGGCACCATAGCCTTCAGAGCAAGGGAGCAAAGTGGTCTCGCCAACATACCAGTAGCCAATGATGGGGATGCAGCGACCAGCATCCGGGGGCGGAGTAGGCGCGAAGATGTTAGCCGGAAGGGCGAGTGTCGCAATATCGCACACCTCCGCAGGGCCGTTTCCCGGAGGGAGCACACCGGTTGGGTGGGGGCCAATGTGGGCAACGTCCCTCGCTCGAAGGCGTCGAGTAGGTGCAGCAGTCATACGTGGCTGGGGACTGCTGCTAGTAGTCTTCTTAGGGAAGATGCTTCCAATCCCGTTGATTGAGTCGAAAATAGAGTTGAGGATGCCAGCAAAGTCCTTTGCCATTGATCACACCAGGACCGGATCCATCAGCAGCGGTGGTAAGCGCATCAGTAATGGCACCTGCAAGAGTGATCAGCGAGTCGGTATCAACAGGGCCAGGGACGGCGATATCGCTGGGGAGTGTGTTCAGGGCTGCAAGAACGGTGTTGGCTAGGCCGGCCAGCTCATCCAAGTTGACGGTCATCGGGGGTGTGGCCGGATCGGGGGCGCGAATGTTTCCAGGAATCAGGCTACCGAGATCCAGTCCACCGAGAACATTCTGAAGACCCGGAACAGAGCTCAACAAACCGCCGAGGTTGAGATTGCTGAGCATATCAACGATGAAGGCATTTGAACCGATGGCAGCGCTGGCGGGGTTGGCTTGTGCAGCAGAAACCATATCGTCCATAGGATCGCTGGTAAGGGTCTCGAGATCCTGGATTTCATCATTGCTTGTAGCGACAGCACGAGTGGAGCCAGCTGGCCTGTGGTTGAAGAATGGGATGTTGTTGAACAGGTTGTCAATGTTCATGCCGAAAACCTTGTCGAAGGAGCTGAAGACATACTGTAAAGCTTGACCAAAGACCTTGTCAGTAATGGCGTCGAGATCGGTGGCGGGAGGGGTTGTTGGTGTGGTGCCAGTGCCAGAACCACTACCACTACCGGAGCCGCTGCTGGTGCTGGTGCTGCTGGTGCTGGTGCTGGTGCTGGTGCTGGTGCTGGTGCTGGTGCTGGTGCTGGTGCTGCTGCTGCTGCTGCCACTGCCGGAGCCAGAACCGCTGCCGGAGCCTGAACCGCTGCCAGTCAATCTCCCGCCCCGGTTATCCGAGGAGCCTGAAACAGGGGAAGATACTGCTACTTGTGCCTTGAGGTAGCACGGTGCGCCAATGGGGGTGTTTCCGGCAGGGCCATGCTGATAGATAAACCCAACACAGCCGGCGGTGGTGGAGCAAGCCGCAGCACATTGAGCGTAGCTGTCAACATAACGTGTGTCTAGGTCGCCACCGGGATATTCGATACCACACTCGACAAGGAAAGTTTGGTTTTGGGCAGTGAGAATGGAGTCCCCATTGTTATCCGGGCAATTGATTGGAGCTTCCTCGATTTCTGGACCTTGGCCTAATTTACAAACCGTTAGATACGAATCATGATGATCGGAGGGAAGGCGTGAATGTCTTACGAGGTGAACAAGTGTACGTCGGAAATCCGGTACCAAGTTTCGCCCGGCGTTCCGAGAACACGCCGTTCGGGTTGTTCAGAGAATAGATAACCGGGCTATTTTGACCGCCACAAGCTTTAGTAGCATCACTTTTGCAAGGGACTCTGCAAGTTCCCATATTATCAAGATTACCGGGGGCGATAAAAGAGGTTGAGCAGTAACAGTCCCTGGTAGAATGTCGAGTTAGTATCTATCTGTCAGATGAGTTTAAAGGGCACTACTCACTGGCCGTTAACCATGCCAAAGTAGTTGAAGCTACTGTTCAAACCGCATTGTCGTGCACACTCATCGAGTGTGCCAGGGGTAATGTTTTGAATGATTCGGCCAGAATCTGAGGCTCCGCCCTGTGAGGGGAGGCTGAGGACCTGTGCAGGATAATTACCGTAGCACCCATATAAGTACCAGGTGTTATTCGCACCCGTGTTAATAGTCAAGGGGCGTGTGAGTGATGGTGTTGAGGTAATGACATTACTCGAATTTAATAACGAGAGCGCGGTGGTAAGGTTCTTGGGGGGGCCCAGAAGGCTGGACGGTGGGTCGTAGCAATTTTGAACTGCCTGCTCGGGCGATAGCTTGAACCCCGGCGTCTTGGGGACGTAGCATCCTTGAAGTTCAGAACTAACGTAGACGGGATAGTGCAAGTTCCTTCCACAGCACTTTTGGGTCTTTGGGTCACAGTTTCCATTCCTGTTGGGAAGCGTTAGACCATGTGCAAGAAAGTATGGGTATCTTGAACTTACAAATCATCGAATGTGCAATCGGCGTTGCAGTCTCCTGGGTTCTGAAGAGTCGATGGAACAACGCGATAGTTGCCGGAGTTGAAGTTTGTACCACACTGGCATCGGATCTGTGTACTGTGCACATTGAGTCAGTCAGTATGAGTTTTCCTGCCTCTTCAAGAGGCATCAGGCTGAGCTTGACTTACCCTTCTCTGGCACCGAAGACAAGAGGATAACCCAAGCCGGCACAGGTTTCGAAACAAGCCTCGATGTCAGCAACGAGTGGCCTGGCCCTGTCATCGTTTTGTGTGTTGAATCCGCCAGAGAAGTAACAGCCGAGGTGCTTGTAGGTCGCACTCAAGTTGACGTTACGAGGAACGACTGGCACCAGCGCCGGTGCGGCAAAGGAAGGATCAAGGTACACCTGGGCGTTGAGGCCACCGCCGCAGGTCTGAGAGCTGTCGCCACTGCACTGAACATTGCAAGCCGTAGGGTCCACGTTCAAGACAGCAGTAGCCGGGAGCTGCAGGCCGCAGTTACAGTTATTGTCCCTCATGGCCGAATACTTGTAACCGTAAGCTCTGCAGGTGCGAGCACAGTCAAGAGGAGTCTGCGTAGAGTCCCAATGGGAGCCGGGGTCCCATCCGTTGAAACTTAAGGAGGGGTCATCGGGATCATTGTAGGGCTGCGGGCTGAAGCGAAAGAAGGTGTTGCCGGCAGTGTCGAGGAAGTTGGCGTAACAGCCGAGAGAGACAAAGTTATCGGCACCACACTTGGCTATGGTATCATTATAGGTTCCGAAGTAAGCCTGTCCGTTGACAAGCCCCAAGAGGCCGGCCGCAGCTACGGCAAGCCGGCCAGGGCTCGATTGCCAGCCCATGATGACGAGAGGTGACCTTGCAAAGGGTAGCGTACCCGGGTGGTCTTGTTCAAAGACAAACGAATAGAAAAGGGAACGAAAGACGTTGGCTCATAGGACCAACACAAGAAGGAATCGGGAAAGAAGCATAAAAGAGCGACTGAGGATAAAAGAAGAAAGAAGATGGTCTGAAAGCAGGCGACGGCCTAGGTCGGTATTTGAAGATGTTGATAACAGGAGCAAAAAAACATGGTCCAAATACCTCCAGCCATCATCGCGTAGGCGTCCTTGACGCGTGGGCTATCCAGAAGCAAGGCATTTTTTCCTTGCTTCTGGCTGGAATGCTCGTGATGGGAAAGAAAGGTGGTGAGATGAAGATTCGAGACAGTCTTGGTGTTGACATTTCTGGCGGAGGGCGACTGGCCGTAGAGGATGCTCGGCTTTGGGGAGATCGTTGGGACCTGCCGTGTGTGCACTGAGCACTCGCTGAGCACCTCCGTGGCCGATATTGAGGATTGAGCCTTCATGTCTTCAAATGTCCCTCCAAATTCTTCCCTGAATGCCCGACTGGCATTTCCAGGGGGCGGATATCGATCGCCAGGAGATTGCCTCGAGTGAGGGAGTGACTTGCAAGGGAGGATAGTCTTGGGATGCAGTGTGGCAGGAATTGTACTTATGGAATGCCTACCTGGTTTCGCGTGTGTGAAGATGCATGTAAACATGGCTGAAGCTCCATATCTATTAGTCTTGTCCTGATGGACTTTGAAGATGTTGACATTGCACTGATTCAGTATGCTGCGCATATTGCCAAGCCTGTGCTGGTCGAACTCGACCGTTCCGAAAAAAGAATAGGATTGGGAAGACATCATCATTGTGAATGCGGAGTGGCTGCGGTGTTTTAGCCAGTCCTGTGGTTCAAGTCGGATTCCAACATTCGTCGATGGATTGTTGAAGTTGAGAGCTAGCTGGGATTGAGTGGAATACCAACATCGTTGTCATGGCGTGGTGCCTGCCGGAGACGTACCTGCACTCCTGCAGCCTACGTTGACCTGGGGTTAGGGTTGGAGCCGTCGATTTCAAAAGATTAATACATGCACAACTCCCGTCGTTTGCTCCTCCACCAACCAATGCGCCTGCCATCTCTCTATCAACATTGCGTTCCAACTGCTTCACTCCTTCCTAACGCCCAAGCTCTTTCTACCCACATGCTATTATCCCGGAATGTACTTAATGCGTCATTTGTCCATGAAATACAATCCACTGAACCACCATGCAAACATGAAGTTTCCATTAGACCTGCTCGACACCCGAGAACCTCGTCGCTTCCCATGCCAACAGAGACATCACCGATCATGGAGAATATGGTAATAACAACTTGAGCACGACAGTGTTTCTTGAAAGAGATAACTCTGTGTTAACTACTTATGCTATGTCATCGGTCTCTGTCCTATGTACAGTAGTAAGAGCTCCTCTGTATAGCACAAAGCTTCCGCTTCCCTGTGGAGCATGACACGACCTGATGTACAATACCGTGTTCACTCAGTCGCCCTTAAGATCCAAAGAGTCACTTTGTTCCTTCCCATTCCAGAGTGGCATCTCCTTCCTCAATACTCTCATAAGGAATGTCGTTCACCCGCTTCTCCATCTGCTCCTCCTCGTCACCATCTTCACCACCCCTACTAACCTCCTTGGAACTTCCAGCCTTCGCTCCAGAAGTACGAGGATTGCCCTCAGGCTCAGCATCATCCCTACAATAGAACAGATCGTACTCATGACCCGGTTCACCCAGTTTCCACCCGTCAGTCAAGTACCTCGTTCCACTTCCCCTCTTATTCATCGTTGACACCTCGGACACAACGATGCCGTCCGCCCCTCGTACCATGTCAGCAATCCGCTGCACATCGTATGTCCTAACCAGGTCCTGCTCTTTCGGATTGCTCGAATTGCGCAGTCGCACCACAGCAAAAATGGAATATCCCTGTCTGACGGCTCTTCCTTGCTTATCATGGCGCGCCCATTCTGCCAGAGAGGTTGAAGTGTCAATCTTGCGGCCGCCGATGGTGATGTGTCTGAGGTCGTCAAATCCTGGGTTCTGGTCGTAGGGACTGGCACTCCCGTCAGGCGAAGAAGAACGGCGAGTGTCCGCGGCGGGTACGTATCTGACCCGCAACACTTTGGGAAAGTTTGGCTGATAGAGCAACCACTGCCCATCTGGACGCTGGCGGGGAAGAACCATGGACGTCAAAAAGGCGCCGAGACCAGCAAACTGTTTGCGCTCGAGCGCCCAGTCGAAGTGAAGGAGGGAGTAATGTGCGTTCATACGGGTCGGGATTTTCTTGCGACCGGCCGTCCACGGTCCAGCTTCGGCGGGGGCGCATCCGACGATAGGGCAGTAGTAGAGGAAGGAGGGGTGGCTCCACAGAGCGTCATTGGCGAGGTCGCTGGACATGATGTAGGAGAAGGAAATTGGTCCGTCGTCATGCCGGTGGTTGGGGAAGCTGGAGAGAAGTAGCTCGGCCATGTCGAACACCGTCTTGTCGTAGGCCGCCGATGATGATACGCTCCCGGTGTTGCTAGTCTTTCCCTTTTCCCGAAGGATGCCGGGGGTGTCGACCCAAGATACTGCGAGGAGGGGAAACTGCTCCTCGTTGTCGTAGAGGAATAATCGGAGATGCGACTGCTCGCGATCCTCGTCTGTCTCGCGCTCTGACTCCCAGTCCTCGTCATCCTCCAGCGCCTCAAGACTTGACTTCGTTGTCGCAGGAGTCGCCAACACGTTGCCGTAGATCATGCGCATTACGATCATGGCGACGTTGAAGCCGCTCATGTCTTTTTCGGGGTGCGACAAGGGCTCAAACCAGGCCTGGTTCGTGAGCGACTTCTTAATAGCTGTGATATCATCGGCCTGGTCGAGCCGGAAATCGATCCAGCTCAGGTCGTTGTAGGACTCGTCGACAATGGTACCGGGGGATGACACGGACATCGTGGTGGCTAAATGTTGTTGAGTTATGAATGTTGTTGAGTTACTGTTCGATCCTCTGCCTTAGAAAGCGGTCTTGTCGCGGGAGTAGGTAATTGTTGACGACGGAAAAGAAGTGACCAAACGTGACAGAAAGAGAGGAAGGAGTGGGGTAGTAACAGAAGGGCAGGACGAGTGAATGGAATTACAAGTGAATGGTTTTCTGAGAAAGAGCGGACTCCAGCTCACATCCCAACATTGCCGCCGGCTACGAGATCACACTGGTATTTTGTGGTTCCGTACGAAGAAAGGATTTGGAGACAACTGAAGTCCCAAGACAAGAAGCAGCCTCCAGCAAGCGAGTAAACAATAATAAAGGTGAAGAACTCAACGGTCGCTTTCTTCAGGTTCTGTGCCATATCTTGTGCTCAACCTCACTTGGTGCCTTCCTGCCAACACGATGAATGCTGTTGCTGTGGCATCTGACCTACTTTCATCCAATGTCTTGATCGAGGGACAGTGGACTCGTCAACTTCAGCAAGCGAACATTGTTCAAGACAACAAGGATGTAAATAATAATGTGCGTTTAAGGATTTTTCTTGATGTATGGTAACTAGTCAATTACGAAGAGTGCCCTGAATTTGTCCTGGTTTTCTATCAATATCTCTTGTCCCTCTCTCCAAAGTTCACTCACGCTCATTTTCCGATACTGTGCTCTCGGGCATCCTCAATGAAGGCCCGGCTGGTTTAGGAAAAGAAGCAACACATAGAAATCCTTGACCTTTCATAATACCCCTTCGCTCAATGCCACTGTTTCCTGAAAGTGTTTCAGATCCGTCAACTCAGCAGACCTCCAACACACGCAGCTCGTCGGGGCATGGAAGGATGGTTGGTAATCAAATTTGATCAAAACTTAAACTGGATGTTTCTTGTCCATAGAAGCAATCCATATCTACCTCGAGCAAACGACGTGAGTTATGATGATAGCTCGGTTGGATTGCAGTAGAAAAAAAGAAAACCGAAAAGCAGGAAAAGCAAAAAAGCAAAAAAGCTCAGCCGCCCAAGCCCCGGATTGAACTCGAGACCAGCTGCAAGACCTACGAAAATACCACGCATTTTCTGCCCCAGGACACTACCACGTATACTACTGGAGGTGTTGGAAGGTACTGAACTTGGGGCTTATATACTCCCGCAAGGTCCTGCCGCTGGGAAGCTGGGGTCTGTGCCGGTGTATTGCAATCTATAAGAGAGAATTAGTTGCGACGAAAGGGAACAACCAGTTCACATCCACTTTGGGGTACCTTATGGTGACAATCCTCAACGTCGAGGTGTTTGTGTTTCCGAGTCGCTTCCGAGATATTCAAGGGGAACTTCATGTAGGTGGTTAGATGTCCTTATCGATAAGACGTAGCCATCAGGGTCCCCAACCATTCAGCAAATGACGTCACAGTTTCGGGTGCCGATAGTTCCCTAACACTGATGCATGAAGATTGTCTTATGGTACGGTCTTGGCCAGTTAGGGCTATAACACACTTCTGATAGTCTTACAAACGCTTGATACAAAGGGAACAACATCCAACGAGTGGGCTTCTCTTCTCCTAAAAACCACCAATCTCGGCATCACTACATCGCTATGTCGCTACATCGCAGCACCGCTCTCCGCCTAGATCGAATCATTCGTCATGCTCTTACGATTGTGATATTCAAGCGAAAAGTCCTCGGTGCGCACAATCTGCCCAGTCGTCCGTGGCCCTCTCCAATCGTCTCCGACGCTCTTCTTGTCCATCATCGGGGGGCACCCGTCTGACAGGACCTTGTTGGGGCCCACAGACACGGTCACGACCAAGTTGTTCTCAGAGTCAGTCATTGTCCTTGAGCGCTTGCCTTCACTAGACGACATCTTGAGCTCGATCGCCTTGCTGTCCTCAGACTTGTAGTAGCGATGCGAAATGGTGGCATCCCGAATCAGCACGCGAAGAATGGGAATACTGGCGGCAATGATCGTAATGGCGCTCTCGGCGTTACCCCAGATGAAGAGGTCGACACCATCGGCTAGCATCGCACCTGTCAACTTTCTGTTCCCTTGATATCCGGATGGATAGACAAACTTACCAAAGTCGGAGGACAACATGCTCGGAATCTTGGTTGTCTTAATGATGCCAGTAATACCCGCGCTAACAAAATCAGTCTCCAGGTGACCATAACATTGTTTTGGTGAAACTGACAAGACACCCATGCTCATCGCAAAAGCACATCCGAACCTCTCCGTTTTCTTCATCTGGAGCTTCCACACCACCGACCACGGAAGCAGGGCCAGCGTGATATCCATCAACGCCGAGTAGGAAGCCGAGAAAAGGTTGTAGTTTACCGTCACGGTAGGATCCCAACACTCTCCCGGGGTAAATACCTCCCATGACTTGCGGATGGGTGTACAGTTGACCCAGGGAAACAGCGCCGTCAGCCCCATGGCTATGTTCATGGTGATTATGATGAACCACAGGAACCACTTCATCCACCCATGAGTGAGTCGGAGCAGTGTAATGGCGAAGCTTGTCTTGGACCAAATGGCTGCAGTGGCGGAGAATGAGCCGGCCATGTTGACAAGCAGCAGCAGGGGAGCCATGTTGTTGACCACATCAAAGTCCCAGATATGGAGACCGTAGCCGAGACGGGTCATCGCGGTGAGCAATGCAGATTCGACGCTAAGGCAGATCTGTGGAAGGTCCAGCGTTTAATGATCAACAGCTGATGATACCAACTAAGCCCAGAAAGCGACCTACCCATGCTCCTATCAACATGATATCGTCCCACCATAGCCCTTTGCGCCGGGAGAACTTGCAATAAACACGAAGCCCAAGAAACGCGCCCGAAAGGCCGATCAACACCCAAATCACAATGTTGAGCCGAATTCCCGCATTGTCGTGAGGAAGTAGCGCCAACTCCTCTGGTGTCGGTGCAACAGGCTGGGCAAACTGGTCGGGCTTCGGTCCTTCGGCTGTGGGAGCTGTGGAATTCGAAGCCATCGATCTGGGGGCTTGCCGCCGAGAAAGATGCTGTTTAGGCTGGATGATGTCGTAAGCCCCAGGCTTCGTATATCTCCATCCCGGAGGAGGTGGACTCGATGGTCTACGGCCGGGCCATCCTGCTGTCTTTATGTTCCAGTCCTGGTGTTCAGACCCTTAGCACCACGACGAAACGGGAGGCGCCAAGCAGACATCCTCGTGATGCTCTGCAACACTTTCGGATGCGGAGAGCAATATGTTGGCCGCTGCACTGTGCATAAACCAAGTTCCGTGCAATATATCGTCGACGGCTGAATGGTGCCAGTGCAGTTGACAGACGGCCTGGCTAAATCTCGTCGACCCGGTTAAGTAGCAACCTTACCCGGGCCATGGTCGATCTCCGCCTGCTCGGGCGCCTTCTGTATGCACAGTATATCGTCGGACACATCTTGGTTGACGAATACATATTGCGCGTGGTCAGACCTCCGGGTGCTTCTGTTGGCGACGCTTGAGCTTCTTTGCATCTGACTTCCCCGGGGTAGGTATCAGCGCCAAAATCCTTCAAAGCGGCCGCTCTCGACGGCCCAGCTCTCATCTTTCGTCTTTCAATATTGACTTCTGCCTGCCATCATCCAATCAGCTATTGTCCCAGGTATGTATACGGTGCACAAACGCTGGGGCTTGAAGTTTCTCACTGCCCTAACTCCTTCTTACCAGATATTTATCGAACCGAAATCACTGCAGCTGCACAGAAGCGTCTGTTGGGTTTCAGCACACGCGAACGTGAGACATGGTGCGGCTTGACAGGAGACTCGACGGGCGAAGTTGATAAGCCTCAAGTAGATGATTCTCGCAAGCAAGCAAAGACAGCTTGAACAAGCTATTGTTGCATCCCGTTCGCCTAGCGATCTCTTTCATGGGAGCCCATGTTATCCCCAGATTATCCCAAGATCACATCATGCGTTGCGCAGATATCATGTCCTTGGCCCTGCTGGCCTAGAACACACACGGCCACAATGCCCCTGGTGGATGGCGAGAGCTCTTGGGAGACGGACTCACAATCCTTCCTCCCCGGACCAAGTGCGTTCTAGGGTGTGTTTGGTTTGATCGATGTAGTTGGAGTGGGGCTATACAAATTAACCCTGTAAAGCCAACCGCTGGTATAATCCGAGCTTCGTCCGTTGATTTTGGCTGCACCTCGAGCTTGGCAGGTATCGAGCTACTGCAACCCCCTTGTACGTGGCTTGCGCCCGCATATTGGTGCATCCTCCTTCCTAATGAAGCTATGTTGGAAGTCCGTGCCCTGGGCCGCCCATTCACCGGCTTTGCCCATCACTGGGCCGTTCCATTACCGGCACTCCCTTCCAGGTATTTAGGCTGCCCTGGTTTCCGTTTCTCCTCTTCCGTTAGACAACTACAATCAAGCCCTTTTCGTTGTCGCCTTCCAGCCTCCATCACATTTGCCCTTGCATAACACGGGTTGTTCCGCGCTCCGGTGGCTGACAGGAAATCGATAGCTTGATGATGTTTTGTTACCCTCTCAAGAATCAGCGCGTTCCTGGTTCTCCGCAGACGGGTGGCACCCAAGAATTGACACCGGCCGCAAGCCGGAAGGAATGATACTTAATGAGCTTAATGAACGCAGCCAAGACGGATCCCAAGACACCAAACATCTGGCATCAATAGACCAGTTTTCCTTACAATATGTTATCCGAAGGATCAATGCCGTCACATATCCACTCACCATTTATATGGTATATAGAAATGCTCCCTCTATTAAACCTTCAAAGAAAAAGGAAGTCATCACCATCACCGTCATACAAATGGCGAACTTCTTACCTGCCACAACCAAAGCTTCTAGCAGCGGCAGATCAGTTCCTGAATAGGCAGCTGGGCCTCTCCGTTTCAGCCGCAGCGCCCACTTTCCCGAACATCGATAGCCAGATGTGTAGATGTGAGAATTCGTTGCTTTTGCGGCAGTACGGTGGCCCAAGTGCATCTTAGGCCCAATTCAAAAAGTTTGGTTGAAAAATGGCCCGTGTCAGCTGCAGGCACTAGGTACGCGCCAAAGGGTGTCATTCGAACTCCAACGCTAATAATGTATAGTATCAACCTCTGAAAGTGCAACCACCCCCAAGTGCAAAAACTCCCCAAAGTGTAAAAGAATCTGGCGGCCCAGATTAGTTGTACTTTCAGGGGTTAATACTGTAACTTTGATTCCAACTCCCCGAAAGAGAGGTAATGAAGTAATGAAGCAATGAAGTTTGATAGTCAATGAGAGTTAATGAGAGCCACGAGGTGCCAAGATTTAGGGTAACAATGCAAATGGACCTTAGTCCTTCTCCAAATTTTGAACCTTGATGAATTGGGGTAGGGTAATAGTACAAATGGATCCTTCCGCCTTCTCAAAAAAATGAGAAAGGAAGAGAGAAAAAAAAGAGGAAAAAAGAAAGAAGGAAGAAAAAGAAAAAAGAAAGAAGAGAGAAAAAAAAAAAAAAAAAAAGAAAGAAAAATAAAAATGAAAGGTAGGAAAAGATAAAAAAGATGAAGTTTGGAAAGGTTGAAGCAGTTTTAAAGCTTGGTGGTTAGCGTTTGATGGGTGTGAGTGTTGAACGCCGCAAGTGCTTTGGAAGCGTTAATATAAAATGGTCGACAGCTGAGGCCAGTTGGGAGCTCGGACCAGTTTTCAATTGGGCCTAAGACACACTTGGGCCACCGTACGGCAGTCAAAAAGGTGATCAAAGACAACTCTCCCCACAAACATAGGTACGGTTCAACGATGCGCCGCTGACCTGCGGGCGACTTTTGTGGTACAACACGTGGGGATGACATAAACACGGAATCTCTCGCAACCATCGGTGTCTCGCAAAGCCCAGCGTTGCACACACCATCCCAGGTCTTCTCTAGCGCCCGATGATGCAACGCGTTCCACCTTCGGCAACTGCAAGACAGTGATGATGGAGGACAGAAAAAGATCGTCGGCCGACTGAAGACAGAATAGACACCGCGATGCTGACATCTTCTCCTTCCGCTTCAGGAAAGAAACAACTTTTGTTTTCTGCAACCATGAGGAATAAACTCTGAAGATCTCCATCTTTCGCACCTTGCCGTTTAACCACTCTTGGCCGAACGTGGGGAACACCATGGAGAGACTGAGAGATTCGAGGGAGAGGAACCATCGGCACCGGCCGTTTAGATCAGTTCCACCCTGAGACAGGGAGACAGTTGGACAGGAAATCCAGATATAAAAAGGTCTCTGGCGATCCCGCTTTCTCGATCGTCTGTCCTGACTCCTCCAGTCTTCCACTCGGCATCTTCTCGGTAAAACCAAGACAGCATCATCATGAAGTCCTTCGTCCTCACGGCCCTCGCCGGCCTCATCGGCGCTGCCCAGGCTACCGTCCAGGGCTTCGATATTTCCCACTACCAGAGCAGCGTCAACTTTGCCGGCGCTTACTCTTCCGGTGCCCGCTTCGTCATCATCAAGGTGAGTCCCTCCTCTCCAGAAGCACCCTCCTCCTCCTCCACAAGAAATCACCCATGCTAACCCACGAGCCCCTCTTCACAGGCCACCGAAGGAACCACCTACATCGACTCCTCATTCTCCTCCCACTACAGCGGCGCCACCTCCGCCGGCCTAATCCGCGGCGGCTACCACTTCGCGCACCCGGACTCCTCCACCGGCGCCGCTCAGGCGGACTACTTCCTCGCGCACGGCGGCGGCTGGTCCGCCGACGGCATCACCTTGCCCGGCATGATCGACCTGGAGTCCGTCTCGGGCAAAGCCACTTGCTTCGGCCTGTCGACTTCGGCCATGGTCTCGTGGATCAAGTCCTTCTCGGATCGCTACTTCGCCAAGACGGGCCGCTACCCCATGATCTACACCAACTACTCGTGGTGGAACCAGTGCACTGGTAACTCTGCCAGCTTTGCCGCGACCAACCCGCTGGTGCTGGCGCGGTGGTCGAGCACGGTGGGCACCCTGCCGGGGGGTTGGAGCGTTCAGACTATTTGGCAGAATAAGGATACGTATACTTATGGTGGTGACTCGGACGTGTTCAACGGGAGCCTTGATCGCCTTAAGGCTCTTGCTAAGGGCTCTTAAGTAGCGGGTCAAGTTGAGGATGTTGTTGGTTAAATCTGAGAGGGAGGACTGGGACTGGACTGGACCGTTTGCACGCACGGCGGGAAGGTTTTGGTTTTGGTTTTTTTTTCTTTGAAGAAAGGAGATAGATGGCATACCTAGAAGGGTTTGAGTTCCAGGGGGTCCAACCTGTGCCCAAACACTTCTGTAGTGTAGGTATGTCGTAAGGACGTGTAGGTAGATATTTAGCTGTATCAAGTATGAAGTTCTTCCATTCACAGAATACATACTCACCTAAGTACGCTTCCAACATCGAATTTTGCGCCTACAAAGTTGAGGCCATTCGAAAAGTGATCGAGAGGTAGTAACACAAACCCAGTCAGTCGTCATGAATTGATCGTCACTTTAGCCTCAGACAAGTCATCGGCAGGGGTAACACTCACTGGTTTCCAGACAGTCCAGGTGACTGATGCCATGACGTTCGTTGACCGGTAGAGGTAACTGTTTGGTAACCAACCGGTGATGAACACCAAAAGCAGTGTCAGATTCACCGTCCGTTAACATGTTTCAGACCTTTTCGACTTTGTGAAGTTGAAGTTTCTCCCTCAGTTGCAGTTACCACCACCTTGCGGGACGGGAAGTTTCAGGTTCAGGTTCAGGTTCAGGTTCTAGTCCGAGTTCTAGTCCAGGTTCTAGTCCAGGTTCTAGTCCAGGTTCAGGTTCAGATTCAGTGGTTGTCAGCACCGAAGTGACTTACTTCCCAGCCGCCTCCCTCTTTGCTTGTGGCACACACAGCGCGACTTCAGACATCTCTTATAGTAGCTTGCTTTTTATCCCGTCTTTCTCTCCCAGTCGTGAAGAACACTCAATCGGACCTTTACAAGGTTGGTTGTGTTACCGGCGGACATCACACCGGTCTTTCAATCCAATTAAGTCGACACGGTCGGCCAGGTCTGTTCAAGGTGTGGGTGGCTGTTATAAGTTAGGTTCTGATGTTGAGATTTCTAACCCGTTTGCACTGTGAATGAATGAAGCCTCTGTGAGATTTCAGCTGAGCCCTCCAACTCCAACGGCGTCCTGGGCGGGCGTCCTCGGCGTCGCGGCAGCGGAGACGGGAGACGGCAGACGGCACATGGCGGGTGGCCCCGTCCGGTTCGGTTGGTAAAAAAATGCCTGTCTGCCTGTCAGCCTGTCAGTGAAATTGATTGATTGAACTTTCTTGCAGATGGACATCTCCTTTCCGCCCGTTTGTGGCATAAATAAAAGCAAAAGCAAAAGTAAGCAATTGGCGAGATTGGTTTTGGGTTGAGGCTCAGCAACGTCATATAAACCTTTCTCTTTTTCTTTTGATTAGAAGTCGTATACGTACCATTCACTCCGTTGTTCTCGTGATATACCATACATCCATCCATCCATCCATCTCCATTCATACCTGTACATGTACGCCGACACCGACCGCCCGCCATAAAGTAGTGTAAGTAAGTAAGAAAACAAGGTATCATCGCAAATTAGAAAAAACAGGCTCGCTAGGTATAAGTCGCTTGCCAACAGGGAAGAGATAACCCAAAATGGTTTGATGACAAAGGAAAAGAAATAGTTTGACGACAGGGAAAGGGCTAGTCGGTTAGTCATAATCCCGAGTAACCACTAAATCATGCTTCACAGAAATTGTCCCTTCCACTGGCCGCGTCCACCTCGACTGCTGGTGCTGCGACCCAACCCTGACTTCTGTCCGCACCGTCGGTTGCAGACCAAGCTGGTTAGGCGATACGTAACCGCCTTCCTCTGCACGTGCTCCACCGGGGCCGCGGTTCTGCGACGGCGACCGGTTGAGTTGATCATTGCTTGCCGTCCTTGCGTGGTGGTGTCCTCCGTGTTGTACCGGAACCGCAGTGTGGGCGATCACGGCCGCGTGCTTCTCCAGTTGGTCCTGGCTGCCGGATTTGGTTTGGAGTTCGACGTCCTCCGGGTATACGACGCTGCGGCCACCGAACTTGCCGGATTTGTGCTTGCTGCCGAGACCGCTCGTGCTGCCCTCGGTGACGTCGCGGCCGGATGAGTGGTGGACGTACTTGGCGTGGCTAGGGGCGCTGCGAGAGCCCATTCCGGGCATGACGTGCGAGAGCAAAGGACGGAGCGTGGGCAGGCAGGAGCAGACAATGCCGGAGCCGAGTTCGGAGACGGACCAGCAGGACGAGTCGACGTTATCCCATGTGGTGTCATCGGTGAGCTTGAGATATTGGATGCGGATAATGGAGATGGCGCAGGTCTGAGAACGGGGATAATGTGTTAGTAACCGACTGTCGGGTTCAGATGACAGACTGCCAAGAAGAGGAATGCTCACAAAGAAACCAAGACAGAAGACGCCGATAAGCGCTATTTTCTGCTGCTTCCGAAGGTTGAGACTTCCCAGCGCCGGTAGGGGGATGATAAAGATCAGGACGTCGGTAACAATGTTGCCAGCCGCATTGATGTACCAGAAGGGCAAGTTGGGCATGCAATGTCCGTTCGGTATCGAGTCTCCTAGCCAAAACTTCTCGATCGGGGTGCAGGAGAAGATGACGATAAGCAGCTGCGAGATGGACCACATAGCAACGAAGACCAGTGCATAGACGACAACCTTGCGCATCTGTCGTGTTCCTAAAACTCGGTAGTACTGGAGTAGGAAGGTGAGCTTGATTGCCGTCAAGGAGGCGTTGTAAAGGACGATGGAGATGTAGAATGTCTGTTCTTGAAGTTAGCACACGATGACCAAGTCCCATAGCTGACTGTCTGAAGGCGTACCCTGAGATACTTTGGTAACTCGGTCCAATCGATCCTAGGATCGCCCATATGGTGACCAGCACCATAGATGGTGTCTAATAGCATGTTAGTACGATATGAGACTTTTGAGTCAGCCACAGAACATACTTGAAGCCACCATAATACCACTGCCCATGGCAAACAAAAGAGCAATGATGGCGGCATAGTCGTCCATGCCGAATTGGCGAATCAGCACGACACGGGCATATGTTCGGAGGCCAACGGCCAACGTAGCGAAGCCCAGCACCACCGTCACGACCGTAATGGGCACATGGGTGCGTGTCTCCCACACCTTGTCTTCTACTGCTGCGGTCGAGTTCGACATTGTGGCGGTTTACCTACACGGCAGTGTAGCCTGGAGAACGGGCTGATACCCACGAAAAGGGCTGCTGTTGAGACTCGAATTTGAGCCGCGAGGACCGTGTCGGCGATGTTGAATATGCACTCAAGGAACGACGGACTCCATGGCAAAAGTAAAGAGCGGGCCAATCGTCTGGTATATGAAAGAAACAAGACCCGGGGCCGGAGTGTAGTCAAGACCGGCGCTACAACACGGACGCTTTGCGGCTTGTCTATCCAAACGGCTAGACTCTGGGAGGGGGGGTAGTCCCGGATGGGACAATATGTAACGCTGAACTGTGTAGCCGATGCAGCATCTCTTTCAATCTCAGTCGCAGTTCCTGGCCCCTGGGTATAGTGCCAGTGCCAGGTTTACCTTGTTAAACCTGGTTTGGCCTGGGAAGGGTAGCTTGGCATCTTCCCCGGATTTTCTTTCACCCTCTCTTCTCTGAGGGTCCTTGCCCCCCTTCCTGTCGCTTCGCATGTGTGGATGCACTCAGATATTGAACAAAGTTTTCCTGCTGTCCAGGAGCGTACCCATATGAGCCATGACGACGATGGGGCCGGTGGGGGGCCGGTGGGTGCGAGATGACGAATATCTCACAGTGGTAGTGGTTCCAGCTATAGTCGCCACCGCGTCTTGACCAGAATGGGTTGCATTGCTCGCGTTTCTCCAATCTCGATGCTGGTCTGGAGGGTCTGAAGTCTGAACCAGGAGAAGTTCGGTGGTCTTCACCCCATTTGGGAAGGCGGTCGTCGCCTGGCCTTTATCCGAGCGCCCTCGTTGGCCAATGCCTGGTCACTGAGGCCCCGAGAAAACGACCGTCGGGTGTCATGGTATCTGCAGACTGCAGGTCCAGCCATGAGATGTATCATTGTGTGACCGTAGTACCGGTATGGGAATGTGTGGTATCAGAATTGCAACTTCTCAACATGCGGGCTGGAAGCGATGGATGGGTCGTGTTGGAGAAAGATGAGATGAACCTCGGGACATGGAAATCGAGGTGATGATTGACGAGAACGAAGGCGAGATGCAAACGACGGTCCGACGCGTTGACTCCTTGGGAAGACGGTTCGACTTCAAAACCCGTCCGGTTCGTGTTGAAGCAGTCAGCAGCTTAGCTCAGAGATGGAAGCTTCTCTTGCGAGTGAGGGAGTCGAAGGATTGAGGAGTTCCATAATCAAGATGGAAATGAGAGATGCGCTGGCTGGACAGGAATGGCCAATGTCAATGCCAAAGAAGAGCAAGGAGGGCGAAGACGGTCCTTGGCAGGAACAAAAATGAAGAGTGTGCCAAGTGAAAAAAAAAAAAAAAAAAAAAAAAAAAAAAAAAGGAAAAGTGTGAGAGAGGTGCTGCACAGGAACAACCTTAAGAGATGCCAAGATACGTTAGAATAGGCGTTTGGATAAGGCGAGTCCGTGCACACGGTTAAAGACGGAGCTAGGGACAAGTGGGGTTAGTGCAGAGGAGCCCCACTCGTGAACTGTTAATGTGCCCGTCTGTGCACCGGACGGGAAGGGTGGGGAATCTCTCGAACCTCTCCAGGCCAAAACACCAAAAGTCCCCCTGCATCACAGATGAGAACTCTCCACCGCGGGAGATCAGCTCTGAATCTTTCCATCTTTCGTCACGTCCTCCACAGACGAACATCTCACCGGGCTGAGCTACAGTACAGTGTTTACGCACATACTAGCCCTCCACGGCTTACAAGGTGACCTCTTCACCAGGTATAACAAGCCGCCTCTCGTTACGATGCACAACAAGTTTAGGTATCCACCACTGGCATACCTACGCCCTACAACAACCTACCATTCGCGATTCCAGTACCAAATTCTCGTCAGATCTGGACTCTTTGAACATCTTCCACCATGATGTGCATTTCTCCACCGATGGTTAACGAGGATACTTACATGGTGCACAGACGAGCCATCTCTGGCTTTCTCAACCTGCACAACTTTACCGCCTTCCAGATCAATCAGTGTACTGTCGTATCGTCCCAAGATAACTCATTCTAGATTCGCCCTTCGTTTCCGCTCAGCGTCGCATAGCACACCCTCAAGCGCACTATGCCGAGGCATAGCCATCAGCAACGCCGGTGGCAGTGGCAGTACCCGCCTAGAGGTAGGGCAAGGTGGTAAGGTAACCAGATACCAAAAACCGAGAACCTACTCTTTCTGTCATCACAGACGGCAAAGCAATATCGCTTGTCTAGCCGACGGTTCGCTTCAGACTGCTAGCAAAGTTCACTTCACTCTTCGCGGGTGGTATCATGCAATAGCACCGGGCTTTATAGTGCTTACGTGTGCTGTAAAAACCCCCGTCCTCATTCACAACCTTTGAAGTACAGGGTCTACCCAGTCTATGAGGATTTGGAGGCTCAACAAGCACGTCACCATCCAAGGACCTGGGAACTTCCAATGGGCTGGGTTTCCCGTGGGGGATGAAAGTCGACAAGATTGACAATACGACAGGCGGCCCTTGAAACAATATGACAAAAGGGAAAATATGGACAAAAACGCAGGAGGGTCAGAGGCCGGTTTCGCTAGACAGCTCTCAATAGGGCTGGCTAGACGGCCCGTTCCAGCACACCATTACACTACAAAACTCCTTCTCACCCAGGATTTGAAGCCATGTCTACACCACTTCACCTCACCGACCTCTACGCGAAGTCAACAACATCAACATCACTTTGCCCATCGCGAGCTAATTTCCAAGTCCGGCACTCGTATCGAAACGCACGGCCGTCAAGCGTTACCTCTAACCAGGGTTCTCGAACTCCCCAAGAGCCGAGAGCCGAGTGACATGCCTTTCCCAGGGGCTTGCACCGGTCGGCCGTTGCCAATGCCCGGTACCATGTCACATATAACGGTTTTATGCGACGCCATTATCAGTAGCAGATATCCGAACTCTTCGACGCTGCAGAGTAACGGTTTAGGATTGTGTTTTATGTATAGACGGGGAGGTACGGTACCTAGCATGTGAAAGAGGAAGGTGCTTTTTCGAAGCTGGACCTCTAAGAAGCGCTCGAATTGTAAGTCAGCCCGTCAAAACTGGGGCACATTCCGTCGCCTCTACTAAGGGACTCTGGAAGTTTGCCCAGAGGCTCAAAAGGGAAGTTCAGTTCTGATCTGTAGGTCATGGGAGAGATAATACTGGTGATTACAGGCATTGACAATGATCGGTAATCACCGGATTGCATGGCACCAAGTCTCACAGGCTGACTGGCGAGACTGGTAACATGGAGGAAAAGGGAGACGGTAAACCCTAACCCTGCGAGCTTTCTAACACCGAATCTCTCCCCCCTATTTTGCAATTCATCTCTTCGACAACAACTTGTTGCGAAGTCGTTGCTTTAACTATCATTCCAATTTTATGATGCTTCCTCGAGAGTTAGCGCCACAACACACAACTCATACGCTGGAAGATGCATATAACCCTCACTCATCGATTGGACCCAAGAGCTGCAGTCAACGTGGCGCCTAAGTGGAATAGGCCTCTTAGCCGCCTGGATAAGTGGCTGAGTATGATCGCCTAAATCCTTCGAGGCCCAATGCGGGGCTCTCCGACCAAAAGGCTGCTGTCGTGTTACGAAGGCAACGATAGGACTTGCGGCCCAACAACGGAAGTCCAAGTCCTGGGGACAGAGCCTCATGATGTCTTCAAATGACTTCTAGTGTAAAGTTTATGTTCTGTGAACCCGCCTGTTCTCTTCGTTGCAACTGTAACAGTGATTGTACGCCCATCTAATGATTGATGATAAAATGAATGCTCATTTCAAGATTAGGATACTTTCTCCCTGTGAGTTTCCATGGCTACCCACGATGGCAATTGTGGACATCCAGCTAACATAGTCGGACTTAGCAGAAAAGGGAGCAAGCTGGACGATTGAGGAAAGATACGTTGATTGTTCGACGTTGATTGACCTTGTACACCCAGAATTCGGTAGCCTACCGGATCAATGCTACATGTGAGTTCAACTACGGGCCGTAAACCAAGCAAACAAAGGTATGAACAGGTACTGATATACATACCTCAGATTCATGCACAAAGATGACTACCCACCCGTAAACGGCGGGCGTGAAGCCCTTCTCGCAGCCTTCAACGTCCCCAGCTTCGTCGCCAGCAGAACCTGCTTCGAACTGAACGGCTACGCGGGATGCAGACCAGTATTCGAAGAACCGCAGCAGAAAGATCCTTTTGGGGAGCAAGACGCTACCCCTACACTCACGACCTGCACAACATGGTTCCGCTATCTCGCAAAGATGGTCCGCAAGATTGACTCCTTCCAGGATAAGCACAAACCTCACGACAAGGAGCCCGAATATGTCCCTGAAGTGTCCAAAAAAGGATATGAGTGGTTCGAAATGAGCGTCTTCACCCGCTGGGACAGCCCCGGAAAATGTCGAGTCCTATGCATCGACACTCCACCCGATTTCCCGAACCGGCTCAAGGACGCACTACTGCTGAAGCTGAAGCAGAAGCCGGCAGGAGGGAGTCCAAGTCCAACTATGCTAGAGGCTGCCCAAGCAGACCCCTTTGCCCTCCACGCCGACCTCCTAGACATCATGATCGTCTACTCAGACATCTCCGTCTGGCGCGTCCGCGATCCCATTCGGCTCTTCGAAAAGTCGCGGCTCAACGGGCACGATCTGTTCGAGCAGATCCACGACCACGCAAGGCACGCGCATCACTCGTCCGAGGTGCTGGAGGCGGCTATTCAGACGGTCGAGCAGTTGGGCAGGTACCAGAGGGAGATTCATGAGAATATTGCACATGGGCAGCGCACGGGCAGCAGCCGATTGGGTCTGACTCTGACGTACAGAGCGCAGGCGAGGGAGTATACGCAGTTTCAGATTTCGCTGGTTACGAGTTTGAAGTTGAGGAGTGATTCGAGTTTGCAGAGGTTGAAGAATGAGGTTGGGTTGGTATGTATTACACCGTTCCCCATCATTTCCAAATTTACATGCTGGATGGTGGGGGAAGATTGATGGAAGAAGGGAGTGATGCTGATGAGAAACAAACAGGCGTACAACAATATCGCCAGACAAGATAACAGCGTCATGAAGTCAATAGCGCTGTTGACCATGATCTTTCTCCCTGCCACCTTCATCTCGGTACGTCCCGCCTCTCTGCAGTCTTGACCGAAAATTCCACTTCTTCGAGGACCGATCGCTCCTTCCTCACTTGTACTTGACTGCTAATCACCAGAGACACGGCAGGCACTCTTCAGCACCACCTTCTTCACCTTTGGCGACAACGGCAACTGGGAAGTCTCTGACGAGCTGTGGATCTACTTTGTCACGACAGTACCAGCGACCATTGCCATCGTGGTGTTTTGGCGCGTATGGCTTGACTATGGTGATGTTATCTACAAGTGGTTCAAACGACTGGTGGGTAGAGCGTGGAACAGGGCTACAGGGTCCGTATCAAGGACGAGGACAAGGACTGGAAATGGGATTGAGACGGACTTGGAGGATAAGATTGATACAGCCAGGGTTCGGACGGGGGTTACGGTGTAGAAACATGGGCATTTCTGGTATCTTTCATGTATTGTACCAGTCTTCATCTGCGTCTTTATTCCAATCTGGTCTGTTCCTTCCGATTACTATTCCCATCGCCCCTTCCCATCCTGCCATCCCATCTTGCCATCCTCCCCACAACAACACCCGTCTTCCCAGCGGCTGGACCTTCCCTAGGACCATATAAGCTCCAAGTTCAGGACCTTCCAGCACCTCCAGTAGCTTAAGTGGTAGTGCTGGGGCAGAAAATGCGTGGTATTTTCGTAGGTCTGCAGCTGGTCTCGAGTTCGATCCGGGGCTTGGGCGGCTGAGCTTTTTGCTTTTTACTTTTCTGTTCGGGTTTCGTTTCTCCTGCAATCTTGTCTCCGTCTTTACATCAATCTTGTCTGCTCTTTCCTATCACCCCTTCCCATTGTCCCTTCCCACTTTTTCCCATCCTCCATCAACCCCAACCAACCAACCCCCTCACGACAACCACCCCTCAACATCCCCCCTCAACTCCTCCAACGCCTCCTTAATCAACTCATACCTCGACACCCCCGCCGCCACCTCCTGCCAGTCCCCTGCGTCCAAGTGCTCCGTGGTTCCATTCCACACCGTCGTCTTCATCTCCTCCCCCACCGGTTTTCTCCCCTTTACTTTCGTCCCCTTGTCATTTCCATCCCCTTCGACAATTCCAGGTTTAGCATCCTCATCCTCAAACCCACACATCCACATAACCTGCCTCACCCACCCCTCATTAACCGTCACGCCCCTAGTAACCACCACCTTCCTCTCTCTTCGGGTAACATTATACATCATAATAACGCTATAATCCACCGGCTTCTTCTTCATCTCCCTTTCCGTCCCCGCCCCCGTCCCCTCTCCCGTCTCATCCTCATACCTATGATACTCCCCATCCGACTTCCCGTCCCAACCCCTTTCCCGAGAAAGCCGTCCAAATTCCAACGGTAACTGCACAAAACTCTGCACCGCAACTAAAATCACCTGTTTATACCGGCTTAGCCCGCCCATTCGAATAGCGGGAAGCGAGTTGAGTACGTTTCCATAAAAGGCAATCCGGTTGTGTGCCCCGGTGAGAGCGATGGCGAGGTTGTAGGGTTGCTTACCGACGCCTGAGACGCGGCTGGAGGTGGTGGGGACGGCGGGGTTGGAGGAGGGGTTGGGGGAGTGGTGGAGGCCTGTGAGAATCCTGAGGCTGGGTTTGGATCTTGGATAATGTCCTTGAGGTTGGTGAGGTTGTTGGCCTGGGCATGGGACACGGATGGAGTGGAAGAAATTCTTGAGGACGCTGATTTGATTTCGGTTGATGGTGGTTAGGATAATGAGGGACGCCCCTTGGTCGAGGTACTTGCATTTGGACTTGGGTTGGTGGGAGATACTCCTATGGATGATATCGGGGTGGGAAAGGGGGGGGAGGGCGTTGACTAGGGTTTGGATGATGGATGGATCGGGGGGAGGGACAATGGTTTCGGTGTTGCGAAGTTGGGAGAGGGAGTGGGGGAAGGAGCTGGGCATGTTGGATAGGTTGGATGAGTTTTCTTTGTGAATTCAAGATAGTTGGCGAAGAAGGTAGGATGAGGTGTAGTGAGGGAATGAGATTGAACGACGAAGCTGGTGTCAATTACTGTAAGTTTTATACCAAGGACACGTTAGGAATGATGGATGCCACTTCTTTGGTTGCGTGCCCATGAATCACCTCTTTCCACTACCCAGACGCTATGCATTAGTAAATCGTTCGAACAATATCACAGCCAAGTTGTAAGTAAGTCCCAGTTATAAGTAGCTTATCGGGCCGGAGCAAAAAGCTGGCTAGGAGTTTAAGTCGTGTTGCACATGAAGCGACCGTGTTACATGGGGTTCTATCTTTCAAATCTGGTTGGGAGGCCAGCAAAAGATATCAGTGGCGCATCAAGTCATCGGAACAGGAACGCCAGCAAACATCAAATGGATGAACCTCATGATATGAGGACATTGGGATGATTCAGCTCGAAAGGAGTGATTTCCAACGACTTCCACCCGTGATTAACCACCAACCCACCACCTCCTCACCCAACCTTCTGCAACGTAGCACACGCAATCCTCGCCGAACTAGCATCATGGAAAACAATCCCCCTATTCCCAATATACCCCAAGTTAATGACATTAAGCGCCGAGTAAGGGTCGTTGAAGCTGCATTTTTTTTTGTTGACCGATCAGCAACCAAACACCAGACACCAGACACCAGACATCAGAAAATACCAGATCTCGAAAATACTGTTCTCCCCAAGAAGAAAAAAAAAAAAAGCAGGAATATTTCACTCACCTCTTCTGCACAGAAGGTCCCGTCACAGTCCCATACTTCCCCGAAAGATCGCCGACCTCACAAGTCTGCGGCGCCGCGCTGTTGCAGGGCGGACTGTCGCCGCGCAGGTAGGAGTCCAGATGGCCGGCTGTGTCGGCGCAGTTACCGTCGGAGGGGACGGGGCGGAGGTGGACGTGGTACTCTGGATGATCGGTAGGGTTAGTAACTAGCAACTCGATCCATAATAACGAATAACGGCCAGGTTGGAGGGCTTTCAGAGAGGTTGTGAGAAAAAAGAAAAAAAAGCACGTACTAAACGGCCCCTGATCCACCGGAAGCCCCGTCACGTCAATGGTGTAGTTGACACCAACGGTATTTGCGACGGCGGTTACGAAGCCCTTGACTGTAGGAGAGTCGAACTTTGCAACCCACACTTCGCCGATGACGGGGTTGTTACGGACCGGACGAGCATCTCCTAGCTTGCCTGTCGTGTTGTTGCTTGACTGGCTGACTGCGAGAGTGGCAGTGGCCAGGAGGCCGAGGAGAGAAATGAGGTGCATGGTCTGATGTCCAGCGTTGGAGTCGACTAACGGCGGTATCTGGGTTTGAAGTTGAGGTTTTGGGATGGTGAGCAGCCGGGGAGCGGCGGTTATGTGTTGCTTTATAGACATTCTCAGATATGCACGAAGCTGAGGCCCGGTAAAAAAAATCAAGCTTTTCCAGGAGCCGGTGCAGGAAGACGCGTCTCAATGCAATTTAAATTTTGGGGTCCGATACGGATCACAATCACATCCAGAGCACCTGCAAGATAGAATGGTGATAGTCCGGACATGCTGCCGGGTGATCTGGATAAGTTCGCAGTCCGGCAGTGCCAAGCCACGGCTTGATCCCGCAGCACACTCAACGGGTCGTTTGTGCATTTGAGGTACAGATGGCGCGAGAAATTGACATGCACGATAGAATGAAAGCAAGGGGCCGTAATCCCTTCTATATCACCGACATTCTCGGGATTGCTGTTCCGGCTCCGGCCTTACTGAGGCGGACTTGAATTGGTGAAAGCGATAGGCAGACAGACAGACCATAGAAAAACAAGCGGATGATTCTGATGGAGATTCGCCAGTAAACGGACAATGGGTATCGTACTAGAGGATTAAGATGATATTTTGAGCCATACAAAGGGCCATTGTAGGAAATACTACAAGTCCCAACCGCCTTGAATAACACACCGGCCCCGTATATGTCCGTACAAAGCAAATACAATCCGTCTCTCTGCACATCTGACAAAACAGCGTCCGTTGCCTCACAACACAGACATGGCTACAGTATGCCCCCTTGCTCAACGAGGTGTTGGAAGTTCACTGGCCGATGACCGGACGGGTAACTCAACGGCATTGTTGACATCAAAGGCCGTAGTCGTGTCGCTGGCACTGAAGTTGCTTATCTCCGTATGTCTGTTCTTCTTATCGGCATCATCTTGGTGATCCAGTATCGACTTGCTAACAGGATAAGGAAGGGGACCTAGTGGTGGCGGTGAAGGCGGCATCGGATGCCACATTGGGCTTTGCATGCTCGCATGTGGCATACGGTCCGAAGTCGATACGGATGACGGTGGGATAACTTGGGCTGGGGCGTCCGAGCGTAGAGGTTGCGAATCCGGAGCCTTCAGTGCTGGTGTATTCGGGGCCGGAGCGGTAGAGCTTGGAGCATCTGAGCCTGGACCGCTCGTATGCTGAGGTTGCGAACGTCTTCGGCACCAAAGAAACAAAGATGCTATAATCGCACATATGACCACTGTGATGCATACGGCGATTATCACAACGGCCGTCGTTGAGATGGTCGAGTTGGAAGCAGCAGGGACTGAAGAAGAAGACGGAGAAGCAGAAGCAGTGGTCTTTGCAGAGGTCGCTGCCGATGTCCCGTTAGCCGTTCGGGTGCCAGTCGTGCCAGTCGTCAACTTATCGGTTGACTGGTAAACCATGCGAACACCGTAGCCGTGAAAAGCATCAGGACTTTTGAGTGTCACGTGCTCCGTAATTGTCTTCCCGTTTGGCGATTTCGTAACATCGGTGGTGAAACCTGCCGCCGGTGCCTCCCATCTGCAATTATAGTTACTCAATGATGAGGCGAGTTGCGTAGGTTCTACGACGCACTGAAGTGCGACATCTCCGCGCTGTGGGCAACAGGTTACCGTCGTGATCGTAGAAACTCCGCCGTTGTCATGGCATGCGCTGGTGTAGCCCTCCGGGCAGATCAGACCAGGTGAGAAGAAAGCGGTCTCGGCGGGAGACCAACCACTCGGAAGGCAGCTCGTATGTTGATCCATGAGATAGACATCGTCCGACTGGACGCCGTAGCAGTCATCCGGCAGGTCGAACTTGGTCGTCAGTGGGACACGAGGGAAAGAGGTGACCACCAATTTGGCGAGAGGAGTAACCGCTGTTGGCACCATTGTTGGCACTAATGTTTGAGGAGGCATGGCTGCGTGTGTCTCGCGCTCTTGCCGTCTGTTATTGGGGGGTTTCGAGATGACTGGATGCTTGGCGTGACAAGAGCCTCAATGAACTCCTCACAAGCCTCGAAGAGGTACGGGGATAGTATGGATTTGTAGACTCGAGGATGCTTGCGACTTACATACATATGCTTCTCCTTGGGGTACGCAACACACCTCGAAACACTTATAACAGTGGTCTACTCGATCCGGATGTCGCACGAGGCGGTATTCCCCTGGTCGGTTTGTTGGAACGGGACCTCATAAAGGGTACTGCCCTCGTCACGTTTAAGCACGTTCTTTGATGGATATGGCCGTAAAGCAAGGGAAGTGAGGTGAGGCATCGTGGCCAAAGGAGCCGAATAAAGAGGCAGACTAGGGTGTTGCTGTAGGTCTGGACTTTTCAGCCATTCAACGATGGGAACAGCCCTGTTTGAAGTGCGAGGTGGGAGAACATGATCGAGGGACGAGCGTGACAGATACTGTGAGAACGGCATGTAAATATCATGACAATACCAGAGGCTTCTCCGATCTTGACTGGGGTCGCAAAGTGTCGCTCTTTGCTGGAAGGACCGAGTCGAATCCCGGCAACAAAGAGTAAAAAGAAAACTAAGCGGTGGTGAGCTTATAATTGTCAAACTGTGCAAGGATCACGGCCATCGCGCGAGGTGTTTGTGTCCGGGGTTGTGAGGAATGAAGGAAGTTAAAGTTGGAAGCGGAATTGAGTTGCCATTTCGTTCGTCGTTGATCGAGACGGGAAGCTCAAGGCAGGAGGCGGCAGGCAGTTCTGGCGGCATTGCAATTGCACACCATTGGCTGGAGCCTAATGTACAAACAGGCCGATAAGATAAGCAGGTTTGCGAAAGGGCGACACGGGGCCACGGAGGGCATTTTTTCCGGATAGCGCACAGACCAGGCACACAGGGCACACGCAGCACCACCCAAATTTGTCAAGGTGGGCAAAAAATCCAAGCCGAAGCTGGTCAGCGTACGATCTTCGACCTCACACATCAACGACCGACGTCCGAATCGCAAAAATGGTCAACGTACCCAAGACCCGCAAGACCTACTGCGCTGGCCGCTCTTGCGGCAAGCACACCCTCCACAAGGTCACCCAGTACAAGGCCGGCAAGGCTTCGGCTTTCGCTCAGGGAAAGCGCCGTTACGACCGCAAGCAGTCCGGTTACGGTGGTCAGACCAAGCCCGTCTTCCACAAGAAGGCGAAGACCACCAAGAAGGTCGTCCTCAGACTGGTACGGGAGCCCGAATAGGAATTGTGAAGACTTGGAGGGATCGAGGCTAAAAATGGTGAATCTACAGGAGTGCTCCGTCTGCAAGCAGAAGAAGCAGCTTCCCCTCAAGCGCTGCAAGCACTTCGAGCTTGGGTAAGTTTTTTTCCGTTCAGTGATTGAAATGTTTGGGATCAAGAAGACACGGCATCATCACCGGGATCGGGGATATGCGACATTGCGCGACAAGAGCGACTATTTTCGCCGCCGAACTACGAGACGACAGAATGCAATCATTACCCCGCCGGGCGCGAGACCGAGACCACACGATGGCAATCACCCACAGCTCGACGCGACATGAACGACACCGTACCGCATTCGAAACCATGTGTTTGCGTGGGAAATGTGTGAAGGACCGGTGCCCCAGGCAGCCGCTGTTTCGCCGCTATCCATCAACAACAAAAAGGAATATCGCCACACTTGGGTTCCGCGCATGTCATCAAGTTGGACGCAGTGTAGGAGGCATCGACAGAAGCAACAGAAGAAAGCATGTGGCCGATACAGATTTCTGCCTGGCATGGTCCAGATGACATAAAGCTCTTCCCGGATCTATCGCCAACCTGCGTCACTGCGACACCATCTTACGATATCCCACGATCGACCGTTCATGATGCTTTGTCTTCTTGGCCTATAACTCGTACTCTGTTGGATTGGTTCTAACATGTTTGAAACTACAGTGGTGACAAGAAGACCAAGGGCGCTGCTCTCGTCTTCTAAACGCCTTCCATGGGAAGAATGCGGTGGTAGCGAGGTTGAGAAGCCGGCAATGGTTTTCTTGACTGGTCTTGCATGGGTTTTGCGTGTTGTGGCGTCGAAGTCAACGGACTGGCTTCGATGTTGGCACGGAAAAGTTGGTCTTTGAGGTACATGTACAATGGACACGGATGGTCGGGTGCGGGAAACGAACACAATACCATCTTTGGGGCGTTTCGTCTGCGGTTTCTATCTACCAATGCTGCCACCATTTTCCTCGCAACCTACTTCCACGCAGTTCCTCCGCCTTGGGCATATCTTGGTCAAGGGGTGATGTGAGATGTGTCCCGACGTCACATCGGTCTCGACCTGTGTGCTGGAAGACGGAGTTTCGAGACATGCTGCTGGCCAAGGAGCTCACGGTCGTTATCCAACCCGCAAGCAAACCATGCGGACAAATACTCTAGTCTCGCAACTGGAGTCCACCAACAGTCAAATAATAATATCAGCAAGCCACCAACACCCCGAGTTCCATACTCGTCACATGTGTTTCCTACCAGTGGCAGCCCGTGCTTCCATGTTTGACCGTTTTCGGCGTTCCACTTCCAACTGCACCAACGATGCTGACTACACAAATGCTTGCCGAATATGGCCGCACCAGACAATCCAGACACTTCATTATCATCTGAGATTCTGCTCACGATGGGGTGTCCTTCGAAACGCATATGGCCACGGGTATTGCCTAAGCAAACTGCTAGATACCTAGTGAAGCTGCAAGCTGGGACGGCGAGACCAGTCAAACTGACATCACTCTAATCACCTGAATCATGAAGCTTTCCATTCAGACGAACCGCATCTCCACCCCAGAGTGCACCGATAACGATAACCTTAAAAGCGGCAATGCCCCACGCCCCTGTGGGGTTGGTGGAGAGTGAATGCAGATCGTGAATTCCCCATTCTTTCTTTCCGTGTCAATCTGTTTCCCGCTTCTCTTGTTCCCCAACACTGAACTTGTTTGCTTCTCCCGTCAGATCTCAACCGTCTCCCTCATTCATTCCAGCTTGTCAACCTGTTGGTCCGCCACCACGAATCTGACACCGCTCGCAAGAGGACCTACTTGCATCGTCTCAAATGCCAGTCTGAGAAGCGTTCGCATGTGCGTCATCTGCCAGGGACGGCTAGGGGAGTACATCGACCCGTTCGTCGGTACCATTCGAGCCGTCATGAGCGCGTACGGGAAAGTTCCATGTTGTTGGCGTTGGCGCGCTCACGTTCCATCGTCATCACGGACGGCTCGGTTGCCAGCAGCAAACGCCCTTCTTACCTGCCGACCTGACCCCGCGTCTCCGGCATTTGCACTTCAGTTGGCGATCTGCTCAGCCCGAGGCAGTATCCTTACCAAGTCTGTCATCAAATTCCACCATCGTTTACAACTGATGTTGCGCATGTTCTCTTCTCACTCTTTACTCTAGGTCCAACATCCTCTGACAGTACTATGTTTTCGCGGGTATGGACGAAAGAATACTGCGTACACCAAGTGGTGTGCCTGTTCCTTCAGCGACAAGCAAATGGCGCTGCTGAGGGACCAGTCAAGATACATACGAAGACTCAGGATGTCCATATTTTGTCGGCCACAACTTCCTGGGCCTTCAATATGGAATTACAGGCGGCGGCATGTTGTCTCACCCTGGTATCTGTTCGCCTTGCCTCGCCACTACCACTGTCGTCGAGAGACTGGCGTTGAAGAACATATTGTCCTATATTGTATAGCCAAGAATATCCAGACTGCCTCCGGCACCTCAAGTGTTGATCCCGAGGTTCAGGGCATGGTGTTCTGGGCACTTTGAGACCACCCAAAGCCCAGATCATAATGGATGGCCCACTGCAAAAAGGGTACGGACATACCGAACGTTTTGCGGCGGGACAAACATCACACACAACCCCCTTCACGTTGTTACACTATGCACAGCAGAAGAAAACTACCTGCTTACCGTTTCCCTTGTCTTTACAAGCCAAGAATTTTCAAGATAAAGAACATGAGCGGTTCTTGAGAATCAAAAAGGTTGAGAAGGCCGCGACTAACCCTAACCCCCCTCGTGTAATGCCTGCCCAAGCACGCCAAGGTTGGACCCAAGCGCTGGGAAGGCTGGACTAAAAAAGAACGGAGTAGCCATGCAAGTGGAACACTCCAAAATTTCTTTTGTGGGCCGTTTGTACTTTGCCTTTGCCTTATAGGATTTTTTTTTTTCTTCGTTGGGCCTCACCATCATATTCACTTCTTCACATCTAGACCCTCAGTGTCACCCTCGCCACCACACACAGTCTCTTGTCTTTGATTGCTTCTCACTCGCCTTTGCGGTACCTCTGTCTACGACTCATCAACTCTTTCAACCATTACACAACACACAACAGCAACTATGGACAGAATCGCCAACGACACGACCATGCAGAACTCTGACGCCCTTACCGAGGGTCGTCGCATCTACATGGGCAACCTTCTGTACTCGGTCAAGCCCGCTGATGTCGAGGGACTCCTTCAGGATGCCGGCTTCACCCAGTACGAGAAGATTCACATTTCGGTTGATCCCCTTAGCGGAAGGAACCCCGGCTACTGCTTCATCGAGTTCACCACTCGTGAGGAGGCTGAGCGCGCTCTTGAGAGCTTGGCTGGCGTTGACCTCTGCGGACGTTCCGTGAAGCTCGGACCTTGCCATCCCAAGACTTCTTCTCAGCGTCGTGAGGGAGCCTCCGCCTCCCCTGCGCCCCGCTCTACTTTCGATCGTTGGGGTGACTGGAGAAGCGGCAGCAAGCCCGCCGCGGCCGAGGAGCAGAGGTCGTATGGCACTCAGAGGCGCAACACTGGTAGTGATGCGAAGGAGGGCGTTGTCCAGAACAACAAGAGACTCTATGTTGGTGGTCTTGGCGAGATGATCGACCAGGAGCAGAACGACGCTGAGATCCGTGAGATCTTCCTTGGATTTGAGATGTGAGTGGAGAGCCTCCTTGTGGTGGGAAATCAGCCCAGTTTGATGTGCAGGCGTATTAACTTTGTGACAGTGTGACTATCGGAAAGCGTATCGCTCCTAACCCACTTTCGAGGCCTCAGAACGGCAGCGGTAGCCACCACTACTGCTTCGTCGACTTTGCGTCCGAGGAGGAGGCTGAGCGTGCCATGACGGCGACCAACGGCAGGCCCATCTTGGGCGGCACCCTTCGTGTCTACCCTGCCAAGTCCAAGGCTCCTGTCCGCGAGTCTGAGGAGGGCTCCTCCTACAGGCCCCGCGGCGAGCGCACTGAGCGCACTGAGCGCCCCGAGCGTGCCGAGAGGGCCGAGCGTGCCGAGAGGGCGGAGCGCCCCGCGAGGACTGATCGCAACCCTGAGCGCCAGAGGGAGATCCTCGGTGCCAGGAGCTGGAGGACCGGCCCCAGCGCCGTTGCTGCCGAGTGAACAACATCATGATCGGTTCATCAAGCGCTACTGTCCAAGTCGGCACGGATGTGCCCTAGTTATACCCCTCCGTCAAATCAACCTTCAGAGTGTCTCATCCTGGCGATGGAGACAAACAATGAGGTCGAAAGCCGCCTCGCGTTCGGTGGCGTTGTGAGCTGGATGATACATGGCATGCAGTTGCTTGAACTGGTCCAGACTCCCGCCATTCGATGCAGTTGAAGGGGCTGAAGTACGGATGCATGAGCGGCCCCATGCAAAAGGCCGAGCAGCCAGTGCTGCAAGTCATTTGTTTTGGTTGAGCGAGCTCAATCAGGGCCGATGACAAGCGAAGGGGGAAGGCACTAGAGAGGGAATGGATGGATGAAGCTACAAAAAGGGGGTCTCATGATAACAAGGGGGGAGCAAAAACACCCAGCGGGAGCAGGGTATGAATCATTCAAAAATTGCCTTCGGGTTGTACAACCACATCTGGTCTTCAATGTGCCTTCTTTGTCCTCTCCGTGACGCGGAGATGCCCCAATGGCCTCCTCATTTGACGACACTCTCAAGCCCCTGCTTTTTTAAAACTTACGTTCAAGTTCAAGATTCTTACACACAGCAGGTTCGACTTCCATACCGCTGACCATCTAGGCCTAGAAGCTCGATTATCTCGCCTTCTTGCTAGCCCTAGAAAGACACCTACATACGGCTTCCATATACGGCTTCCATCTGTCCGGATCTAACTCAACCCTCCTAAGCATGGCTTTCAACTCCAATTCCAGCCTCGCCTTACTCACCACCCTAAGCCTCACAACCCTCACCAACGCCGATGTCCCCGTCTCCATCTTCTCTTACACGCCTTACCTTCAACAGCGAGAATGCGTCAAGGATTGCATCTGGCACTCGGGCTTTACAGCAAAAGACCTTATTGTCGCCCTTGGATGCAGCGGGCCATGGGTTAACGAATGCTATTGCAGCGGCAACGACAATTACGAACACGCCAGTACGGCCAGCTCCTTTCTCCAGAGCTGCGTCGCCGATAGTTGTCGGACTCCGTCGACGGACATGCTGGTTACGAGCGCTTTTGGGGTTTATAACGAGTACTGCGCGGAGGCGGGGATGGCTATTCCTTTGGTGGTGGCTAGTACCACGGGGTCTGGTGAGGTGACGGGTGTGGTGACTGAGTCTGTGGGAAGGGGGGAGCCGACGGCGGGGTTTGAGGATGGGACTGGGTCGTTGGGTACGGGTTCAGGTGAGTTTCACCATCTTGCTTTCTCCTTGAGCCTTTGCACATTTCTGCCTACTCTTTCATGGCCGATTTACTACTACATTACCAGGCTTATCCACCGGTGCGAAAGTCGGGATAGCAGTCGGTTCTACCGTCGTTGCCTTGGCACTGGTTGCATCTGCTGTCATTACATGGCGTCTCAAGGTCAAGGCTCGTGTATCTCTTTCCAGACGTAAAGATGCCAGGGAAGTCAGGGCAAACGATGCCGGAAAAACTGAAGTTCCTCAACTGCAAATTATCCGGCACTCAGGACTCCCAGCAGCGACCATTCGTTACAACTAGGTTGCCGAGATATGTCAAGCAAGATCTTGATGTCAAAACGAACTATCACGGTCTAGGTGCCGCATGCATGCAAGCGTTCACCGGTAGACCACCGGTAGACCGGCCCTACCGGATATTGCACGGCCCCGGCCTGTCAAAGGTGAAGTCGCAGCGTCATTGGGCCGCATCTACACTACATCTCCGCGCGCGCGCGTGCCGTCCCGATCTCTGCGGCCGGGATCGTCAAATCGTGCATGAGCTTCTCCGCAGTTGCAATTATCCGGAGTGTGCTTCTGAGGAGAAGAGGAAATGAGGAGATGGGGTGGCAGCCGCCCCAATAGGGTTTCAGCCGCTTAATTACAAAATCTTGGGGTAGGGACGACGTAGTGACAAATGACAAGGGAAACAAGGCAAGTGAAGGAATATCTCATTATCATGTCGTCATATACTGCGGGCTTCAACGGATGAAGATGCCGTCGACGATGCCGATATTGGGAAGCATGGGAACAAAACTGAAGTCTTTTTCAGATCTCAAGACGGCAGATGGGCATATGAAGAGCCGTCAAGGCGCACCATACCTAGCCATCTCTAGATATCCTCACTCATTCATACAACCAAGCCTGTCAACTACAGCTTGTCTCCCATGAATCATGAAGCCACTCACTTGTTCCTCCATCCCCTTGTTTGCCTGTATCCTTACGGCCCATGCCTTCCAGTTCCCCGACTGCAGCAGCGGCCCTCTATCCAACTCCATAGCATGCGATCCAACCGCCTCAGCCCCCGACCGCGCAGCATCGTTGGTTGACCAGTTAACCATCGACGAGAAGCTCGTCAACCTCGTCGAGTAAGATACCCCAATCCTCATCTTCACATCTTAACACTGAAACTAACTTTCACCCAAACAGCCGAAGCAAAGGCGCTCCTCGCCTCGGCCTCCCACCCTATTATTGGTGGTCCGAAGGCCTCCACGGCGTCGCCGGCTCCCCAGGCGTCCACTTCAACACCACCGGCTACCCCTTCTCCTACGCCACCTCCTTCGCCAACGCCATCAACCTGGGCGCCACCTTTGACGACGAGCTTGTGTACGAAGTCGGCACAGCCATCAGCACCGAAGCCAGGGCATTTGCCAACTTCGGGTTTGGCGGGCTGGATTACTGGACACCGAATATCAACCCCTACAAAGATCCGAGATGGGGGAGGGGGGCCGAGACGCCCGGGGAAGATCCCCTCAGGATTAAAGGGTATGTGAAGGCGCTGGTTGCGGGCTTGGAGGGGAATGGGACGGTGAGGAAGGTGATTGCTACTTGCAAGCATTATGCTGCGTATGATCTGGAGAGGTGGAGGGGTCTGACGAGGTATGAGTTTGATGCGATTGTGAGTCTGCAGGATCTAAGTGAGTATTATTTGCCGCCGTTTCAGCAGTGTGCGAGGGATTCGAGGGTGGGGAGTATCATGTGCAGGTATGTTCTTTCCGTCAGTCCTAGAAGCATCTCGTCGCCAACCGGATCTCGAAGTGGGAGTTGTACATATGCTCACCCGTCGGTCCCAATACCAGTTACAATGCCCTCAACGGAACGCCCGCCTGTGCCAACACTTACCTTATGACTGATATCCTGCGCGACCACTGGAATTGGACCGACCATAATAACTACATTACATCCGACTGTAACGCCATCCAGGACTTTTTGCCCGATAACCACAACTTCTCGCAAACGCCCGCCGAAGCCGCCGCCGCCGCTTACATAGCCGGCACCGACACCGTCTGCGAAGTCTCCGGCTGGCCGCCCTACACGGACGTTGTGGGCGCCTACAACCAGTCCTTACTGCCCGAATCCGTAATCGACACCGCCCTCCGCCGTCTTTACGAAGGCCTTGTCCGCGTTGGCTATCTCGACCACGGCTCATCCTCAAATGGCCCCTTCTCCTCGCCAGCTTACGACGCTTTGGGTTGGAAGGACGTCAACACCCCTTTGTCCCAAGAACTAGCCCTCCGTTCTGCCACAGAGGGTATCGTCCTGCTTAAAAACTCCAACAACCTCCTCCCTTTGAGTTTTACCGGAAAGAAAGTAGCGTTAATAGGCCACTGGGCCAACGCCACCGGCACCATGCGCGGTCCGTACTCTGGTATACCTCCCTTTTACCATAACCCTCTGTACGCCGCGCAGCAGCTGAACCTCAGCCTTTCCTACGCCAATGGACCTGTGATGAACGGAAGTGACCCCGATACTTGGACCGCTACCGCGCTGGCGGCTGCGGACAAAGCTGATTTGGTTTTATATTTCGGCGGGACGGACACGACCGTTGCTGCGGAGGATCTCGACCGAGAGTCTATCGCGTGGCCTGAGACGCAAGTGGCACTGATGGCGAAGCTGGCGGGGCTGGGGAAACCGATGGTGGTGATCCAGTTAGGCGACCAAGTGGATGATTCTTCTCTCTTAAGCAACGGGAACGTGTCCTCGATTTTGTGGGTGGGTTACCCAGGCCAGTCGGGCGGGACGGCCGTGTTTGATGTTTTGACAGGCAAAAAAGCGCCGGCGGGACGATTGCCTGTGACGCAATATCCGGCAGGCTACGTGGAGGAGGTGCCGTTGACCGAGATGGAGTTGAGGCCCTTTAACCATTCTTCGTCTGCTGCCTCTTCTGAGGACGACCAAGCCGATATTGAAGGCGACTTGACAATCCAACTTGAACGCCGCTCAACACCCGGTAACAAAACCCTCTCCTCCCCCGGCCGCACCTACAAATGGTACTCCCGCCCCGTCCTCCCCTTTGGTTACGGGCTTCATTACACCACTTTCAATGTCTCCCTCTCCCTCTCCCTTCCTGCCTCCAACTCCCTCTCCATCCCCTCCCTCCTCACCCCCTGCACCGCCGCCCACCTCGACCTCTGCCCCTTCTCCCCTTCTGCCAACTTCACTCTCTTCCTCTCGATAACCAACACAGGCCTCCGCACCTCCGACTACGTCGCCCTCCTCTTTTTGTCTGGGGAATTCGGACCTAAGCCGTACCCGCTCAAGACGCTGGTGAGCTACAAGCGGGTGAAGGACATCAAGCCGGGGGAGACGGTTACGGTCAGTGGCGAGGAGATACCGGTGAGCTTGGGGGCGATTAGTAGGGTTGATGGGAATGGGAACACGGTTTTGTATCCGGGGACCTATCGGTTTGGTGTTGATGTGGATGGGTTACTGGATGAGGAAAGAGAGGTGGTAGTTGGATTGACGGGTGAGGCGGCGGTGCTGGACGAGTTTCCGCAACCGAAGGAGTAGAGTAGGGGAAGGGAGAAGAAGAGAGGGGAAGGAGGGGAGAGAGTGTCTGGATAGGTCACACAGAAAGGCTGGAAGACCAGCTAGGATATGGGTTTGTATATACGATGTTTATGGTTCAAGTATGTACATCGAAGTCATCATCTTTGTAAGGAATCTTCCCCCAACTCCTCCCTCACAACACACGTCCTACCACACCCCTTTACAAGCACTGAGAGTACCAATCGTTACTCTTCTGGCAAGTGTAAGGGCTAGCGCAAACAGTGCATCCAGTCCAGCCATTGCCTCCGCACTGGCCCCAGTGCTGGCTGGTGCATTCACCATTGCTAGCAGAGCTGGTGGTCGCCGGAGCAGTCGAAGTCTTCTTGGTAGAGGTAGCCAGAGTAGTGGTAGGAGCAGCGGTGCTAGGCGAGGCGTTGTTGCCAGTAATACCAAACCACTCAAGATCATCTTGAGCAAAGACGGGGATGTTATGTGTGATTCCGGCGCCGTAATCACCAACGAGGTTAGGGCCGTAGACGTACTTGGTCCAGCCCGAAGCAGGCTGGTTGGAGATAGTCTGCCGGGGCTGGCCGTACGTGTAGCCGAAGACGCCGGCCCACTGCTTGAGCGTCTCGTTGAAGTTCTGCGGGTAGAGGGTGGTGTCGGCGGAGCCGTGATGAATGAGGATCCTGGGGCGCTTGCCGGCGTAGCCCGGGTACATGTTGAAGACGGTGTTGGCCCACTCCTGCTGGGTATGGATGGACTTGCCCCCCGAGCAGGTCGAGTTCCAGCCGTTGACGGTGCCCGTGTAAAAACACCCGGCAGGAACGCCGGCGTAGACGGAGGCGGCGGCGAACATCTCCGGGTAGGTGGCGGCCATGACGTTGGTCATCATGGCGCCGGAGCTGGTACCGGTGACGAAGACCTTGCTGGCGTCGGCACCGTACTGCTTGATGGTGTAAGTAACCATCTACATACGATGTGTTAGCATCATCAACCTTAACATAATCATCTAGATGCTGTCTGAAGGAAGACTTGCGTTGGCAATGGAGTTGCTGTTGCCTCCACCGTTGTGGGTGAGAGAGGCCGGCGACGAGACATCCCAGCAAGTGCCACTGTAGGGAGACTCGGGGTAGATAACCTATCAGCAAGCAGCCTCTGTTAGTGGTGTCCTCGAGGAGAAAGAAGGCCAAAGCCAAGAACGCCAGCACTCACAATGTAGCCATGTGTGTCAGCCAACTGGGCAAACTGAGTGCCCTGGTAGAAGGCCGAAGCAGTGCCGCTGCAGTAGTGGATGGCGACGATGATGGCGGGCTTGGTAGCGAGCTTGTTGGGGACATAGATGTACATCTTGACGCCCGAGGGGTTGGAGCCGAAGTTGGTGACCTGCTGGAGCGAAGCGCGCTTGACCATCTCGGCGGCGCTCGCGAAGGAGGCGCCGAGGGCCAAAAGGCCGGAGGCGAAGGACGAGAACTTCATTGTCGTCGAAGATGGATTGGCCTTTCTTTCGAACAGCGAACTTGTCGATGGATGATACGGCTGGAGGAAACGGGTGTCTTCCTCTTGTCGAGAACCTCATAAACTTGGACGGCCATGACATTGCGTGCCCTCCCCCTTTATACGTTTATTCGCAAGCACCATGGCACCAACCTTGGCCAGCTTGGAATAGAAGGACCATGGGGTGCATGATGGATGTTACCATAAACACCACCGTCATGGTCGGCATGGCCGGTGCGGACTCGATTGCGGACGGTCAAGTTCCGGATGAAACACGGTGGGTGAGTTGCATGAGCCGGGGTTTTGAAACAGCCCGTATTGGCTCATCCTGATCCGCGGTTGTCACAGCTACCATCCTGTCTCTCCTTCGAATATTGCGAGGCCATGTTCGCGGTGTGAGCCCAGTGCCGCTGACCCAGACGATATCAGGTTCATGTGTTGTTGCTCGGGGACCTTGTGTCTGGTGATGATTTGGGGAAGGTAGGTTATTTCTAACATGCACAAAGACCCACTTTTGTTAGTGAGTATGAACTTGGACGCAACCCTCCCTTCGTTATATCAAGACGCCTCACGAGCCTCAAACAGAATTTTGATTTCTGCTACTTGGAAGGAAGTAAGCTCTTTATTTAAAGTGGTTTGACCAAAATAGATTTTCACTTCTTAATGAATCATGGCGAAAGAGGAGAGTGTGCGAGGCAAGCCTAGCATAGCACCAAGGGAACCATAACAGACAACAGAAGTAACGATGCACTGTTCCCAACGGAAGCTCAAACGCCTTGTCGTTTTCTTGGCACGGGGGGGATTGTGCACACAACAACTTGCAACAACTTTTTGGCATTTGGACCTTCGAAACGAAGGAAGCAAATCAACCAACTCAGGTCGATTATCAAAAGAATTACTCTGCTGATAGTCTAAAGTACACTGACTTCGAATGCACAATCATTTTTCTTGTATCTCCCTATTTGGTGGAGATGCAAAGCGAATGACGTCTTGTTCGTTTCGTTTCGAAGGTAACCCCTGTGCCAAGAAAACGACAAGGCGTTTGAGCTTGGGAATGGTTGCACCTCGCTGTAAGCGCACCACTACCACGTACCCGGTTACCGCTTCTGTACCGCTCCAATCCCCTCCCTTCCCCAAGCCAAGATATTACTCTTCTAGGAAAGTGTTTTTCGCCCGGCGAGCCTCAACCCACCCGTTACGAGGGCACAGACATTTCACCTCGAGAAACACCAGGGCTTCGCGAACAAAATCCTGGTTTTGGCGGACGGTATCCTTCCATCAAAAAGCGGGAATGCTTCTAGCGCGCGGTAATGGAACCTTCTTCTCCGCATCCTTCGCGGGCTTCGCTTGTTATTTTGCCGAGTGGTGCGAAAAATAGTCCGAACACACACTCGGTGCAATTGCATCGCCGGCATGGGGAAGCAGTCCTTCTTCTGTACGACTTCAATCATGGATACTTTCACGAAAGACTTTCTTCTATGTTCGTATATGTGTATGTGTGTGGTCTTTCAAAAGTGCCGTTGATGGGAGGATGTAGTTATGTTTTATGTACGACTTTGTATTTTGTATTGTTAGGAGAGAGGGGTATCTTATCTTTTGTTCGTTTATCGTTCATGTCCTGAAAGCCGAATTATACAACTAGAATCCAGGACGGCATTCTCATGTTGAATTAAGGATATACTGGTTTGATCATGTAGTCCAGTCCGTATTACTCCCTCTTTTCCCCCCTCTCACGCCCAACGCCGCCATCTTTTCCAAAACCCATCCCAACTCCAACCCCCTCTCTCCTCCCAAAAAATTACCCACTAGAACCCTTCTCCTCATCCTCAGGAGTCTGTCTCCTCCCCTCAACCGCCGCATCCTCCTTCGCCTTCTTCATATTATCCAAACCCGTCTTGTGCTCCTCATGCTCCTTACTCAACGTCCTCGAGCCGACAAACAGCGAGATGAACAGGCCCAGCCCCGAAAAGGCCACGTACACGATGTACATGGTGCGCAGGGCGTTGAAGTAGGCATCGCGGGCGATTTGGCGCTGGTCGGGAGGCAAGGAGGCGAGTCGGCCCACGTTCGACGCGGCGCTTCCTCCCGTCAGGAGGCTGGCATTTTCGGGGCCCAGCTGTTGGACGAGCCGCTCGTGCTGCTTCTCCATGCGGTTTTGGAAGACGACGCCGCCGACGACGACGGAGATGGACGTCGAGAGCTGCCGGATGAAGCCGAATGTGCCTGTTGCTGCGGCGACGTCGCGGCCTGGGACGGTGGTCTGAAGAGCGATGAGTGGTGCTTGGAAGTTGGGACCAACTCCGATGCCGGCAACGATCCTGTTTTGACTGTCAGTTATTGCGATCAAGGTAAAGAGAGATCAAAGGAATAACTTACTGGAATATGATAATCTTGGCCCAGTTGGGCCTCGGCTCCAAGTCGATGAAAAGACCAAAGCCCAACGTCATGACAGTCATGCCAAAGATAATCGGAGGCAAGTACTTGCCCGTCTTCTTGATATAGACACCGGTAGCAGCCGACACGATGGACAGCGACATGGCAAACGCCAACACATAGACTCCCGACAACAACGGCGTGGCGCCCAGCACAGCCTGGAAGTAGAGCGGGAGGTAGTAACTACCAGAGATGAAGACAAATCCCTGGCAAGCACACACCAACAACGAAGCCACGCTCGCCCGGCGCTTGAACAGCCGCATCGGGATGACGGGGTACTCGGCGACCTTCCACTCGATCAGACCAAAGATGCCGATCATCAGGACGCCGAAGACAATAAGGCAGATGACGGTGGCGGACTTCCAGGGGTACGATACGCCGCCGAACTCCAAGCCGAGCAGGACCATGAGCGTGCCTCCGACAATCGTCAAGGAGCCGAGCCAGTCAACCGCCATCAGTCCCTGGCGAATCGGTGTCCGCGGGTTGTGCAGCTTGAGGACAAACGCCAAAATGGCCATGCCCACTCCCGAGATGGGCAGATTGATGTAGAAACACCATCTCCAAGTCACCTTGCTCGTGAAAGTACCTCCGAGAATGGGTCCGATCGCGCTCGCCAGTGCCCAGACCATGCCCATGACACCAAAGTAGATACCTGTAACAAAACCCTGTCAGCTTTTTTTGACTTCCCCAAACACTTGTTGTGCCCCAGAAGTTGCAACATACCTCGTTTCCGCATCGAAAACAAATCACTAATACAAATATTCACCAAAATGATGATCCCCCCACCGCCCACACCCTGAATCGCCCTCGCAGCCAGTAACATGCCCATATTCTTGCTCAACGCGCAAATCAGCGAGCCAACCCAAAACACGGCCACCGTGATCAACAAAATCGGCTTGCGTCCCCAGATGTCCGAGATCTTGCCCCACATGGGCGCCGTTGCCGCGTTAGCCAAAAGGTACGCCGACCCGATCCACGTGTAGCCCGTCGTGCTGTTGAACTCCTCCGAGATTGTCGGGATGGCAACCGTCACGATGGTCACGTCCAGAGCGGCCAGGAAGAGCGCGCTGGCTAGGGCGAGGATGATGGCTGTTGTTTCGAGGTTGGTGCGGCCTTCTTCGGGGGCAGCGGCTGACGGGCCGGTGCCGGGGCCGGTGGCCGCCGTTGGTGGGTCGGTTGGCGGCGCGGTTGGGTCGGCATTTTCGTTGGCTCTTTCGAGTTCTTGCTCTTTCTCTTGCTCTTCCTTTGCTTGTGAGTTGTTAAAGTTGTTTTGTACCGTGTTGTCGGAACTGCTGCCGTTGTCTGAGGCGGCTGCCGAGGTTTGTGTGAGTGTGGCACTGTCGACGGCCGGTGTCTCTCGACTGCCACGCGCCGCTGACGCCATGTCTCGCTTTTGGTTTGTCACTGGATGGTGACTTTGTGACAGGCGCAACGCTTTCTCTCTTTTGTAAGACCGGGTTAAAAAGTGTTGAGCGTACAAGTACTTCGAGATGTAGACGTCTTGCCAACTGTTGATAAGTGAGAAGAAAGCTTCTTTTCACACTTGTCGTCTCAGTCGCCCTCGCTTGACTATCACAGGAATGTTGTTTGCGCCGTTGTGAAGAATGCCTTGTGCGACCGATCAGGGAAGAGTGGGAAACCGGGCGCAAACGTTCGGTGGAAGCCGAGAGTCGGAGGAGAGGTAGGTAAGAGAGATATCGTATGCGAAAGCGTCCAGCCGTTCACTGCGATGATCGTATTTGATCCCCGGGATGATATCGGAGGATTATTTGATAATATAATAATAAGATATCGGAGGATTGTTTGAAAATAATAACAAAGTCTCTTGCGATACGAGTCGCAAAAAAAAAAAATGGTCTCAGATTAAGGAAGAAATGATATCATCCAAGAATGAAACCAAAACCTCGGGTCCAAGTGTTGCAGTGGCCGGTGTCGCGTACACAGTTGAAAGTCCCAAAATGTTTGTCCAAGAGGAAAGAACAAAACAAACTTGGAAGGAAAGAGAAATTTAAAACCTCTGGACTTTGAAGTTGTAGTAAAAGAAGAAAAACTTCAAAGCAAGCAAAGTATCTGAATTAGGGAAGGTGCGCGTTTGCTTCTAGCCCCACTCCCCGGAGTTTGGCGTGTGGTCGTTAGGTAGCTCCGACTTATATGAGAGTGACTAACCCCACAAAAACTTTCTACACCATCCTAAATCCCTAACTCCAGGTCCAGATATATCCATGACGGCACCGAAGCCGGGTACGTAACACGTACTTGTAAATGAGCAAACAAGTGAACAAAACAGTCATAACAGCAAAGAAATGATGATGATTAAGAACCTACACTACTTCTACGTACATACCGGGTTGATGGATGAAACTGTATTTCCGTATTTGTCAGAGTGTGTCCTTGCGGCTGCCTTCACAGTTAGATCCGAACCGAGAGCCTGACCTGGCTTGAGGTTTCTTGGGCCTTCACAATCCGCGAGTTATCAGTCATACCGACTGTCATAACAAAAGACAGCGAAACTCCCCCGATTCGCGCGGAGATTAGGGAACCTTATATCCGGGAGACTGAAGAGAGAGCATGAAGGGCTCGGAGGAAACGGTTGGTTGGTTCGGTCGATTCCGACATTCACGACCACCCTTGCGAATCTTTGGGGAAGGTTGGGAATCTGGGGATCTTTGAAGTCTGGACCGCCCTTTGACCTTTCGCTGTGTACCCGTGCCTCGCCCCCACTTTTTTGGATCTCGCCAGGCGGCCAGACTCGGTAAAGTTGATGGGGGGAAAGTTGAAAAGACTAAACGATTACGTACGAGCCGAGCTCCGAGCGCAACGTTGAAGTGAAGACTGAAACTGATTGGACCTATCGCATCATTTCTTTGACAGGACGTTGTAAAGTGTAGGGCGTACTCGTGCTGACGCGGAATCGGACACTGGCACGCGACGGGAAACAGAAACTCAAACAAAGACTTCCACTTCCAACGCCCATTGCCCCACCTCCCCGCCACGTGCCGGGCGCTGCCCGAGCGGGGGCACGGGTTGTGAGTGGTGGGGCCGGGTTCGGGAGTTTTGAGCCGAAGCCGGGAGGGGAGGAGTTCGGGAAGTGGGGTGCCGGAGCTGTGGTCAATTGGTTCTCTATCGCGGCAGCCTCAGTGAGTACAAGGCGAAATGGAAAAAGTCCCCTCTCCAGTTACACAAGTCACAACGGTCTGCAGGTGTCCGACTTTGCCTTGACGAGCTTGACACAAAGCACGACCACCACCACGTGAGGAAATACAAACTAACAAAGGTAGGTGCACGCACTGAAATGAACAAGAATCTAGTTCTTTCTATTAGAATCACCTTTCGAGAAAGAAAACGTATAAACTAATATACTCAAACGTTACAGTCCTTCCAGTGACACACTGACCACTCAGTATCCATCCATCCATGGCTCGTGTCTCTGTATGAGCTTCGCACTAATTACCGGTTACTGCTAGCAGCAGTTTATTCATCCCAAGTAAAAAAAAATGTAGTACGAAAACAGAGTCCCGCTCTACGCCCACGACTCCTATGCTTCTTTCTTTTGATGCATGCATGCGGTGGGCAGCACATAAACTTTTCAATCCCCATCCCCTATCTAACGTAGTGTATAGGTATAAGTATATGTATATAGGGTATGTACAATAAAAATTACCTTGAACATTCAGGCGTAAATGTCCAGGTTAGATCGTTTCGGTCCATGTTCGTCGTGACCGATTCATTCCTCAGCGACGCGAACGCTCGACCGCAGCAGCGCTGGGGTTGGCGCTCGTCATCGTGAGACCAGCAGCGGCAGCAGGTGCCGGTGTGCTGGTGCGGGTGGAAGGGGCGGAACGGTTGTGGGCCATGTGCGCCCTAACCAAGTGGCCGGCGGCAAGAGCACTGCAGAGAGACAACTCGCCGGCCAGGACGGCAGCGGCGACAACGCGAGCCAGACGCCTGGCGTTCTCACCAGGGTTGGTAGGATGAGGACCGCGGACACCGAGCATGTCGAGCATGGCCGACTGGGGCTCGAGGATGGTGCCACCGCCAAGGGTGCCGACTTCAATGGAAGGCATCGAGACGGAGATCTGGAGGTTTCCGCGCAGGCTATAAATATGTTAGTCATGCATCTCTACGTTATCTAGGGGAAAATGGATACTCACTTCCTCATGAGGGTGATGCAGTTGGCACTTTCAACCACCTGGGCGGGATCCTGGCCAGTAGCAAGGAAGATAGCCGCGACAATGTTAGCCGCGTGGGCATTGAAACCACCAACGGAGCCAGCCATAGCGGAACCGATCAAGTTCTTGTTGACGTTAAGCTCGACAAGGGTATCAACGTCAGTCTTGAGCACGTTCTTGACGACGTCACCAGGAATGATGGCCTCAGCGACAACGCTCTTTCCGCGTCCGTCGATCCAGTTGATAGCGGCAGGCTTCTTATCCGTGCAGTAGTTGCCACTGACGGAGACAATGTTCATATCCTCGAAACCCTCGTTGTACATGACGCTAAGGGCGTGCTCGACACCCTTGGAAATCATGTTCATACCCATAGCATCACCAGTAGTAGTCTTGAAGCGGATGTAAAGGTTGGTACCGGCGATAGCAGTCTTCATGGTCTCCAGACGAGCGAAGCGAGACGTCGAGTTGAAAGCCTTCTTCATGATAGACTGTCCCTTCTCGGAATCGAGCCAAAGCTTGGCAGCACCAGCTCTTTCAAGAGTCTCGAACTGAACGCAAGGACCGCGAGTCATACCATCAGCAGTCAAAACAGTAACAGCACCACCGCCAGAGTTGATGGCCTTGCAACCTCTGCTGGTGGAAGCGACCAAGACACCTTCAGTGGTAGCCATAGGGATGAAGTAGCTCTGTCCGTCGATAACAAGGGGACCGGCAACACCAACAGGGAGAGGCATATAGCCGATGACGTTCTCGCAGCAAGCACCGTGGACCTGGGCCCAGTTGTACTTCTGGTAAGGAAGCTTAGAGTGGTCGAGGACGTTGGTCAACTCGGTAGTGGCCTTGGTGCGAGAGATGATCGTGCGGCGAACCTTGACAGCGCGAGTGAAATCCTTGAGCGTCTTCTCGAGAGCATAACCGGGGATCTTGCCCTTGAGCGAGAGGTGAACGATTTCCTCATCATTGAGCTCGTGAGTACGCTTCTCCGCGAGCATCTTATCGAGCTCCTCCTTAGAACGGATAGTAGTAGCGCGTTGGGCGGCAAGGGTAACAGCGCGGTTCTCCTTGGCCTGAGCATCATTTTCGTCATCAGTGCTGGACGGGGTAAGAGGAGCAACGGGGCTCGAGGGAGCGGTGGGCTTCATGTACTCTCCCAGGGGAAGGGTGGCAGACGCGGTATCGTTAAACTTCTGTGCCTCATCCAGCTCCTTGGGGTTGATGGGGTGATCCGGAACGTTGGGGTCCTTGATGCCCCAGCGGGCAGCGTTGAAGAGATAGCCGTTGAGCGCAACACTGAGAGCGAGGGCAACCACAATCCACTTGGACAGGATAGGGTCCTCCAAGCTCTTGAGAATACTGCCGACCATGCGGCCACCATAGCCACCGAGGTTGGCGTAATCGCCATCCTCAACACCGGCCGACTTCTGAGGGAGATTGTAGTGGATAGAAGGATACTCAAGCTCGTAGCGGATAGGAGTAAGGACGGTCACGACAGTTTCCCTGCCATCGGCGCGGGCGGCCTCGAGAATGATATCCAAACCGTTGGACGCAACCTTGAAAGGGTCAACCGGAGGAGGCGTCACGACACCGCCAAGACCACGAGCCCACGAAGAGATGCTAGAGATGGAGTTGGCGCTGCGGAAGGGAATGGCGCAGAGGTTAAGGGCGTTGATCAGAACAAAGCCGGTAACCATCATGACCTTGAACTTGGGGATATGGGTGCTCTTGAGCTGACGACCGAAGATGGTGGTTCCAGGCTGATCCTTGCCATCAGCGCGGGGCCAGTCGTTGCTCTGGGCAACATTTTCAGCAACGCGACGGCTGACGCCATCCTCCTCCAAAGCCTTGCGCATCTCAACGTGACGCTTGATGCGGTTGATCTCGAGCTTGATGCAGAGAATGGCAGTGTAGAAGGAGAAGAGCAGGATGCAGTCGAAGAAGAGGATCCACGCGGCAAGGAAGCAGAACTGCTGCAGGCCGCCCTGGACGCCAGAAGCAGCGCCCAAGACAAGAATACCGGCCTCAATGGCGTAGTCCTTGACAATGTCAAAGCCCTTCTCCTTGATCGCAAGCTGAATAGCGGACTGGATGTTGTGGGCCGAATCAGCCTTCTTGGCGGTCTTGCCAGACTTCTCGGTCGGGCGGCGGTGGTCAATGGCATGCGACAAAACGGCGCGGGTCAGAACAATGTTCTTCTCAAAACCAATGGTAACGACCAAGAAGGGCAGACCCTCCGAGAGCAAAACCATGGTAATGGGAACCCCGAGCTTGGTGGTAACAAGGAGACCAAAGAGGAACGCGAAGATGGACGAGAAGATAACGCTGGTAGCAAGCCAGAAGTTGGATCCCATGCGGCGCATCGAGAGGAAGAGCGAAACGAAAGTGAGGTGCATCGAGATGTAGCCCAGAGCCATGATGATGATATCAAGAGTCTCGGCGTTTCTGAGGAGATCGGTGAATTCAACCCAGGCGTTCTGAACCCACTTCACAATGCTGCTGCGAGTCTGGACACGGGCAGCCTTCATGATCCACATCTTCTTCTCGTGGCCGCGCTCGGTCTCGATGGTCTCCTGCGAGGAGACGGCATTCGGAATTTCCTGGGCGTTTGTCAAGAACTCGGGAGCTTGGCTGTACGGGAGAGAGAAGGCGAGCGCGCTGTCTTGGGAGTAGGTGAACGAGATGGCGGTCGAGGGCAGAGGCGTGATCGAGAGGTTGCTGGGGATGGGAACGGCGTTCATCTGCGCGACAGCGGGGCCCGACTCGGCGGTATCGGGGAAGACGAGGGTGAGAAGAGCGAGGTGGTTGGCATTCGCAGGAATGGGAGCTTCGGCGTCGTGGTTTTGCCAGTTCCATTCTGTATCGGCACCGGCGCGAAGCATCCTACTGCCCGCCTGGAGCGACTCCCAGTCGGCCTTTCTGACGCTTCTGGTGACATCGAAGAGGCTGTTCTGCAGGAGGCCGATATAGGAGGAGCTGGCGAGCAGAGCGACGAGAACAATGGTGTGAATTGGGTTGGACGAGGTGATCTTGGACAATTTTTGGAGCGGAGGGGTGACCTTCTTGTTTATCCACGAAGGTGCGGCGGCCTGGGTGGCCGGCTGCTCCCCTCGGAAGCGCGAGGGGAGAAGGCTCGAGGCGATCATGTTGGCAGATGTTTAGGGGGGTTGGGACTGATCACCGAGATCCGACAGACATTGAGCAGGGTCGAGAGTGCAGTAGATATGGAATCTAGGACGAAGCAAGCGTCAGTAATCATCATCGAGACAAGACGACGCGCAAGAGGCGCAGATGGTTATAATAAGACCGAGTTGGCGGTCAGCAGCAACGCGTGCCACAAGGAGCGAACTACGCCATCCGCAGGCTGCCGAATATTGAGAGAAACAACACTCTTCTGCCTAGAATTATGGTGATACTGCTGAAGGAGGATTACAGCGCGAAAGGGCCAACTTACATCAGAGGTTGCGATCAATTGTCGCGGGTACAGAGACTGCTTTGACAGAACCGGTGCTGCGCTTGGAAAGCTGTCACGCGCAACCTTGCGTCGTGCGCACTGGCCCCAAGTACAACAGGAACGGGGAGTTGGAGAAACCGCTGGAGTATCTCTCTTCCCGCCTTTTGCTTGCAGAAAGTCCGATTATTGCAAAGAATAATCAGAAGTGCCACAGTCCCAAGGAACTGGAAGTTGGTGCAACAAACTGATGTTCAGTTGGCAGCTGCAATGAAGCTGCTACCTCGAGGTACGGTTGATGTACCTTTGTTGGTGGAGGGGAAAGGGAGGGGAGGGGGAAGAAGGATCGTGAGACAATGTTGAATTGAGCAACAAAAAGTCCAAGATCCTGGAACTGTGAGTGAGGTACTTCTCCGTCACTTCAATTGTTGCTTGCTCGACTCCACGAGATGAGGAGGCGGAGTGGGTGTTGTCCTCTTGGTATGGAAAATAAAAACCAAAAAAAATAAAATGGGAAGGACCAGGGAACCTCTGGGTTGGACGATGCCAGCCAGTAACACGGGCCACACCCGCTTTTGTGTCTCCCCAAGACGCTCCAACCCGTGGCCTTTCCTGCTGTACGACGACCCCCTTTTTCTCATGACGGAACATTTTGCTACTTGGACGGGTTCGCAAAAACACATACAAAAAGACTCTACTATGCTCGATTTGGGCTACGCTGTGTGCACCGATCCATATCTTTTGCTTCAACCACCAACGATATTTCAACACGCCGTCCTTGAGCAGCGGCCTTGGGCCCGAATGTTGGGGTAGAAGAGGTCGCCTCACCGCCTTCACCTGCATTGTTCCATTAGAGGTAACATCGCTAGTGTCGTTCTGGATATGCCACCATTTCTTCTTATCTTGTTTTCCCTCCATCCGGCGCATGTCTACCGTACAAATACTCGCCGTTGAATCATTATTTCACTGAGTCGGGCATCCATGTGAACATGCCAGTGTCATCAGCTCGGTGTTCAACACTTTGCGCCGGCTATATGCGATGCTCGATGCGATGTGCAGTGGCTTGAGACAGAGTGTGCAAGTGGGAACAGGCCGTGCCGACTGGATCGTTCACTTTGACGGCTACGTAATGATTGTACGCCTCCCCCTTTTCCTATTGTTTTTTTTTCCCCAACGAACACTTTCCGGCTTCCAGAGATACACATTCATTGGTTGTTCGCCAGGGCTTTTCTTTCTTCTCGTGAGCAGCGCCAACTGAGCCAGTCATCACGGGCACCAAAGTTGAAAGACGAAAACCGCGGCATGGCGAATCGACATGATCTCCCAGACTCCCTCCCAGCTGGGCAGCTTTGTTTCAATTCCAGCCTCCTCCAGCCTCTCCAGGTTGTCCCCTGGAAATCATCACGTTGCAATAACCAGCCCCACCGAAACAGGCCGAATGGATTTATGGGCTTATCCCCCACTATCGTGACCGTTATCGTCCGTTATCGCCCGTCAAGGTCGCTTGGACGTGGCATCCAATTGCAGAAGGCTCTCGGCTGGATGAGCTCGTTGATCCCCGGCCTGGAAGAATGGTGTTGACCCATCGTTATCGATACCGGTTGTTGCTTATCAGATGATCTGATTATTTCTCACTGCCCCTCCATCTCCGTCACGACTCCATAGCGTCGCCATATGCCCCTCCATGATCGGCCGTCTACGGTTCGTGAAACTATTGTGAGCTCCAGCAAACTTAACGCTCAGTTCATGGGAGTTTGGCTAATGTTTTGGTGGTAAGAGTGTACGGATGTTGAACTTGACAGGTTCCTCGGAATTCAGCGTTTCTCTGGAATTGGGGCTTTCGATATGATAGGTGAGCTGTCGCAATGACCATCTGTTCTCGAGCCGGACTTTGGGAGCATCGAAGCTGGGTTTCGACACATGAAACCCCGCCGAAGTGCAGACGTTCGAACTGCGTTTGTACCCAATGCTACCGAGTGCAATGTCCCCTCACCGTCAACGGCTACACGAAGTGTTCGTACGCGGAGTTCATACTCGAAGTTGTGTCTCGTTCGTTGCAGTTTTCACAGTACATAAAGGGCCTCCCTGCCTATCCAATGTCAGATTCAGCTCAAGCTGTACAAAGGTAACGAGAAACTATACCATGCTGACTTCAAAAGGTCGACATATCTGCCAGGAACAACCAAGTTTAGTGGATCCCCTGGCCTCTGACAGTTGCGGACTTGCGGCAGGGCTGGCTTTACCCTTAAAACCCTAACCCTTGCGCATTGACCGTTGTCGCCGTTGTGTTCCTGCGGCAGGTCAATTCTAGAATGCGCACAGACGCCGTTCCTTGGCGGTATGCGCCGATGGATGGCGCCCAGGGACCTTATCAGCGCTTATCTATCCGTCTTAACGGCCATCACCAACCGCCGGATTCTTCTCAAAGAAACTGAAAAGCCGTCTTCTGAATAAACACACCCAAACAACATGGGTCTCCTCGAGTGGTTGATGCCCCCAAGCATCTTCAATGTGTTCCAAACACGCCTGCTAGATAACGAGCAAGGTGCTCAACTGGAGCCCGATTTCCGGCCGGCTCTCCTGGTGGTTGACATGCAAGAGGACTTTTGCCCACCGGTAAGCCCTTTCTGGACCTGCTTCCTGCACATTCCTGTACAGATTCCGCGGCATCATCTCCTTGAAAGTTTTTCATATGACATGGCTATCTTCACTTGTGCCTTTTCTCTCGAAACCATCATCTCAATCCTCGCATCGTTTTGGTCTGCTTCATCACTTCACTTCATTCCAGAAACCAGGAAAATCGTACAGTGGGGAAAACCATGTCATTCGTATTACCGTGTAAGCCTCATTCTACGGACAAACAGGCCACTCACAATCTCCCAATGGCTTCGGTGGCTTGCAAAATTACAAAGTCACATCACATCTCATCTCAAACTCATCTCACTCATCAAATCGCAACCACTTACTTACTCAATCTCATTTTGACCTTCACTTACCCTCACCTATACCCAAAACACTAATTAACCACCACTCTCCTTCTAGAACGGCACCCTCGCCGTCACAGGCGGCCGCTCCATAACCCCCCTAATCAACACCCTCCTCTCCTCCCCTCTCTTCGTCCTCCGCGTCGCCACAAAGGACTGGCACCCGCCCAACCACATCTCCTTCGCCTCCAACCACAACCACACCTCTTCCTCCTCCCCCTGCTGCCCCGAGTTCGCCGGAGAAGCCATCCCCTTCCTCTCCACCACCACCGTCCACAACCCCCACAACCCCTCCGAATCCTACACCACCCGCCTCTGGCCCGCCCACTGCATCGCCGGCACCCCCGGCGCCTGCCTCATCCCGGAATTGGACGTCTCCAAAATCGACAAGATCCTCGAAAAGGGAACCAACCCCCTCGTCGAAATGTACAGCGCCTTCTACGACCCCCTCAAAAACCCCCGAGTCTCGGACTCCGGACTGGCACAGATGTTAAGGGAAGCGAGGGTGACGCATGTGTATGTGGTGGGACTGGCGGCTGATTATTGCGTGTGGAGCACGGCGATGGATGCGCATAACGAAGGGTTTGAGACGGTGGTGGTGGAGGAGGCGACGAAGCCTGTTGACGAGGAAGGATGGAGGAGGTGTAAGGAGGCTTTGGTGGCCGAGGGGAAAGGGGTGAAGGTTGTGAGGTGGGAGGGGGAGGAGGTTGGGAGGTTGTTTCCGGGGGGTTTGGTGACGACAGGTGTTGGTGCTGGGGGTGAGGAGGTGGAGGAGGAGAAGATTTGAGGAGGTGGAAGGGGGAGGAGGGAGGATTGGAATTGTTGTGAGGGGGTGGACGAGGTCAGTGGGAAGGCTTGGGCTTTTTGTTGTGCTTTTGCAGGCGGGCGAGGAAGGTACCTTATATGCAGCGCTGGCTGTTCCGGCTGTATGATGGGAGCATGACAACATGCAGTGCACACACAGGCATGGCATGGCGGACCATGCTTCGGGACGGATACTGCGTCGCTTCAGCGCCTGCGTTGCGTTGCGTCGCGTGGCGTTGCGTTACGAGTTTTACGATTGTTTATTTTTTTTTTCGGCGGATTAGAGTTGACTTTGTTTAAGCTTAGCGATGAGCGCTATCAGCGATAGAGAGAATTTTGATACCCTTCCAGGAAGAGGACGGGTAGATACCGACACGCGTAGCGAGATATCATCGTGGGTTTCAAGCTCCGTCGTCTATTGGTGAAATGCTCAATATTTAGTATCCCGCTCTACGGGGTTACCATCCAAGGGGCGTTGAAGGTTTTTGCCTCCAATGTCGTTGTATTCCGTCGTTGGATACATGGAGACGACGGAGTTTCAAGAAGCAAGCGGTGCCAAAGAGGTTCCATGTCCGTGTGCGTTGATGAAGTGTGCACGAAGACAACAAGGACAGTGAAAATTGATGAATCGCCTTCATTTTGCCATGGGACTGAATGTAATGTACAAAAAAGTGGTAAAGATAGATGCTCATTTCTCATGCAATTCATTATGGGATGGTATGATCTCCCATTCAAAAGGGAGTAAAATGTGTGTTCAAGAAACCCACGCCATTCCGACCTTCGTCCCAAGCGCCAATGCTATGAACCTCGACCAACCAATGCCCCTTTTCGTTTCCCTTTTCGTTCAATTTCACAATTTACCTGCCAACACGGATGACACCAGCAGCGATAAGCTTCTGGATCTTGGTCCTGACGTTGGGGTTCTTCATGTGCTCAGCCAAAGCCGCAGGGTCGGACTGAGCCTGCTGGAGGATGGCCTGCATGACAGGATCGGACATGATACCCATGATCTGAAAGCGAATATGTTAGTATAGGTTGCAAACAGTAAGTTTGGCATAACGATATGACATACCTCAGGATCACGCGCCAAGCGCTCCCTTGTCTGCTCCTCAGTCTCGTTCTCGCGAGCCGCATACATGGAGTTGAAAGCCTTCTGCTGTATCTGCTCAATCTCACGAGCGTTGGCGCCGTTGTGGTACTCGTTGTCGACGTTGTGGGCTTCGGTGCAGGCGTCAACGCACTTGCTGTACTCGCGCATGCCCAAGTAGATCTGAGCCTTGCGGATGTAAGCACGGATGAACTTGGGGTCCTTCTTGATGGCCATGTCGCAGTCCTCTAGGGCGCTGGGGAACTCGAGGAGCTTCATGAAAGCAGCAGCACGGTTGCTGTAGCCGCGGGGGTCATCCGGAGCACGCTTGATCATCTCGGAGTAGGCAGCAACAGCGCCGGGCCAGTCCATCTCCTTGAACTTCTTGTTACCCTCCTCACGAGCCTCCTCAGCCTTGACGGGGTCGATGTAGGCCTTGCGGGCGTCCTCGATCTTTTTGCGCTCAGCGGCGCGCACCTTGTTGAGAACATCAGGGGTACGGTGCTCACGCAGACTCTGGTTGTAGAAGTCAATCGCATTGGTAAGATCACCCAGCTTCTCGTAGGCAGAACCAATACGCGCAAGCGACTTGGCAATGACCTTGAAGTCGGCATAACGAGAGCGACCCTCCTCGGCAGCCTTCTTGCAGGTGTCAATGCAGGCCTGGTAGTCGCCCTTCTCGAAGTAGGCGGCGCCGAGGTTGTTGAGGTAGACAATGTCCGGGTACAAGTCCCAAGCGGCCTGGTAGTGCTTGATGGCCTCGTCGAAGTTGCGCTTCTTGTAGGCCTCGGTGCCAAGGGCCTTTTCCTTGTCGGCCGCCTCCTTGGCCTTCTTCTTCTCCAACTCCTCCTCATCCACCTCCGGCTCGGGCTCGGGCTCGGGCGTCTTGGGCTTCGGTGGCGTCTCCTGCTTGGGGGCCGGGGCATCAGTCATCTGGACGTCCTCCTGGGAGGCGCCAGGGGGCACCTCCGAGTCCCTCAACTCCATGTCTACACCCATTAGGACACCAAGGACCTGGATCATCCTGGGGTCGGAGAAGAGATCTTGTGCGTTCGAAGGGTTCTGCTTGATAGCCTGGAGCTTGGCCATGAAGCCGGGGTCAGAGAGGAAGGCAGCCGTCTTAGGGTTGCCGGCGAGCTTCTGGATGATGTTGGGGTCGGCGAACATCTGACCAATACCGCCGCTGAGATCACCACCGGCCTCCTGCTGCATGGCGCGCTGAACAGCCTCATAATCCTTCTTCATGCCAGCATTGTTAGGATCGATCTTGAGGCCCTGGTCATAAGCATCGTTTGCGCCCAGCAGGTCACCCTTGCCGAAGAGCGCTGTGCCCTTGCGGCCCCAACCCTTGGGCCAGTCAGGCTTGATCTCGGTGGTCTTCTCGGCATCCTTCAGAGCATTGTCCCAGTCCTTCTTGGACGCGTATGCGGCGGAACGGTTGCTGTAGAGGATGTGGTTGCTAGGGTCGAGGGCAATGGCTTGTGTGAACTTGTCACTGTAAAGGGACACCCAGTCAGTAATGGTCAGGGGAGAGCTAAGATGGATATGATATCGGCGGTAGAGCTTACATGGCCTCGTCAAAGTTCTTCTCGGCAATGGCCTTGTTGCCAAGAGCCTTGAGCTCGTCCGCAGTCGACATTATGGTGTGTGGTTACTTGTATTAGGGGTTGCTGAAGGTGATATGGGTATCTAGAGAAAGAGGAAAATGACAGAATGCTGCTTTTGGGTATCAAAGAATTGGATGTCAGTACCCAGGAAAAAGGGTTCGTCGAAGATCAGGCTGAAGGATCACCCGATTTATTCAGAGGGAGAAGGAGGGCGCGACCTGAATGGAAACGGCAGCGGCCCAGGCGGCCTTCGTTGACTCTTGCGGCCGTGGAAAGGGAATGGAAAGCTCTGGACCTTCGATGCCTTTCGATGGTCATACCGGCTTCTGATTGGTTGATATTTGCTTGTTTCCGTGGAGCACTGGAGGACAGCTCCCCGCCAGTGTCTTTCAGGGTGGCAGGTGCCCCTCTTTTGAGGCTGCCTGCCCAGTGACCCCGCTGACAGTTCCCCCGACCCCCGCTGTCCCTCGAGCTATCGGCCCCGCATCTTGTCGTGGTCGAGGCCGATGCGGTGCTTCTTCCGTCCCGGAGCTGTGCCGACTTCACCAACAGGAGACTACTCAGTTCAAAACACGGCTGTATTTCGTTCGACTTACACCTGCGATGCGAGTGTTCTCTGTCGCACCTCACTTCTCCTCTTATTTTTCGCCTCAAATTAACGACCTGGTATCTCGGAATGAATCCAAGTTAAGGCTTACGTAGCCAGGATCCGGACAATCACAGGCAACAACGATTGCCGATGTCGTTGGCCCATTCATCATGGTTAGCAATGTTGATGATATCCTCGGGTCATCAGTTCCCAGCTCCTGAAGAGAGGGTGCTTCTGATGCTTCGAATTCGATGGACGGGTTCTCCCTGGCATTACACCTCCAAACTGCTACATACCAGCTATCTCCTTGTCCCCTTTTCCCCGTGTGTTGGCACAGACAGAGGGTCATGGCTCGAATGACACGTTCCTTACGTCAAGCTCATCGTGGATGTCCGCCGTGAGCCTGCCCATCCTCTTTGGAACCCATCCTCCTCGCCCCGAGGATCCGATTTGGGTAGAGATGGGCTGTAGACCCTGATTCTGAAGAGACGAGGTTGAAAGCTTCAGGTAATCTCGGACATCTTGGGCCAAGCTCACGCGCTTTTGGTTCAACTTGCGGTGATTGTCGTGAGAATCTCAGCCGTAGGATATCCGTCAGTTGCTGGGTTGGTGGCCGGCAGATCGGGAGCAGCCTTTGCGCACTGCCGGAAACTCGTATGGCTCATGGCATACAAGGAAGCCCAAGTTGTTTCCAACGCTTGGTGGCCAGGAGTATTTAAACGCTCCAGTCGGTCGTCATTATGTCACTCATTGGGCTTTGACCTGACGATAAAGGAGTATATGAGGGCCTTTTGTCCTATTGCTAATATAATCAGTATCTTGGTCCATTTTGGTCCAGCAGCCATCACCAACCCACAATTACGACAATGCCCATCATACCTGGAATGCCAACGGGCCCGGAGGACCCTAGCCATCCCGGCGAGAGTCCGCCTGCGATATCCATTGTCATGTGTATCATTGTATCCATCCTCATCTTGATAGCCATATTCGTGGCCAGACGGAGCTCTTACAGGACGGAATCGCACGAAGACTCACACCGAAGACTGAGGAAAGGATCAGGAGGCATTGGGATCAACGCTCTTCATTCGTTGCCCCTCGTCAAATACGACCCTGACTTAATGGCTCAGGACTTTCACCATGACGGGAGCACAAGTCCACGGGGATTGAGTTTGGTGCGCGGCATGGACATGGCAGTCAGCGATTCTGATCGAGGGGATAAGCCATCTCGAAAGGCATGGCGCGCGTTCTATCCCCAGATACGACACGCACTCTTGGGCAAGCATAGGGGACGACAGCCTTGCCCGGAAGACGCCGACACCACATCACTGATACAGACTTGCGCCATTTGTACCGATGACTTTGTCCGTGGCACGAACGTGAGAAGGCTTCCTTGCGGTCACTTCTTCCATCCACCGTGTATCGATCCATGGCTTCTGAATTTTGGAAAAACATGCCCCTTGTGGCAAGTCTTCCTCCCCTCTCTCTCCTTTGAGTTTTGTTGTCCCAGATCTGGGTTAACGATGTCGCCTTTTGCTGACTCCATCACAGTCGGGCAAATCTCAGAACGTTGACGAATGCAAATAGCCAGAGCGAAGGCTGTGTAGCTGAACCACCGCGAGCACTGTTAGCAAGAGCCGGACTGATAGAGGATTAGAAAGTTGTACTGTACACCAGTTCCTCATCTACACGCACCATCTCATACCGGATGAGTGTTCTTGCAATCATGACTTCGAATGTCTTTGAACTTACCTCCAAATACAAAGTACACACTCATATGATTGTGTATTCGTTGAAGACAGGGGGAACGCAGTATTAAGCCGCCAACAATGATCTGAGTGGACTCACAGAAATCATACTCTACTAACGTTCCAGTTCTTTGAACTTCTCAAGGAAAAGACGAATGTTAGTTACCGTAACGTTTGTCATTGCCTTTTGTGTTCACTGCAAGAGCTATCTTATCTCCTCGCTACTCCTGCCATTCTCAGTACGACATCGGCCGCTGATGCCCCACTCGGATTGGTGATAAGGAAGGCGCATGGGCGGCCGGCCCCCGCCCCCGCCTCTCGACCGAGGAAGGAACTCCGGTGCAGCATTCAAATAACTGGCAGGCGAGGAACTTGTTGATGAAATTCAAATATCCAGTCTTCCTTATTTTCTTTTCTTTCCTCAGAGTATCTTCTTGTTAAGACACAGCTTCAGAGTGTCGACGAATTCACCGCCGTCTTGTCTCCACTGCGCCGTCGCCCGGGCAACCTTATTTGTATACAACAACCCCTAAACTTGTATCATCGTGATCACCACAACAGGACATAACCAGCGGGAAAAAATGACCACAGAACATTTGCTATGGATTGGTGGCTCTGAGAGGGCAGGAAATGGAGAGTTGTAAGTATCACCTCAGAACCTGAAGGAGATGGCATGAGACCGAATCACTGACTTTCCGACCTAGGATCCCCGTGGAGAACCCAGCAACAGGCGAGATCATTGCACAGTGAGCAGAACCTTCCATACATGCGATAATTATTCTCGGCTAACACAGTTTTCCTCCAACACAGCTGCCACTCCGCTTCACAAGAGGATGTCGTCTCCGCCGTCGAGCTCGCCCACGCCACCTACAAGTCCGGCGTCTGGTCCCGTGCTCCCCGTCATGTCCGCGCGGAGGTCCTCGAACGAGCCGCCAGCCTCTTCGAAACCCACCTCGCCGCCCTCATCGAGATCGAAGTAGAGCAAACAGGTCGAGCAATTCGTGAGATGAACGCCCAAGTCCCTTCCCTCGTTAAATGGTTCCGGTACTACGCCGCCTTGCTCCGTACCGGAGAACGCTCCGTGCTTCCTACTGTCGGCAAACTACACAACTTCCTCGACCGTCGACCGCTGGGTGTGGTCGTGCAAATTACCCCCTTCAACCACCCTCTCTTGATTGCTGTCAAGAAGCTTGCTCCGGCTTTGGCGGCAGGTAACTCGGTGCTGCTGAAGCCAAGTGAGCTGACCCCCATTACATCACTGATGCTGGGGAAGATTATGAAGGAGGCGGGTCTGCCAGACGGAGTCCTGAGTGTGCTTCCCGGGTACGGTGCTACTACTGGGAAGGCGCTTGTTGAACATCCGCTTGTAAAGAAGGTGGATGTCACGGGCGGGACGGCGGCGGGACGGGCCATTGGTGAGATCGTAGGGAGGAATTTGGCCAAGTATACGGCCGAGTTGGGTGGGAAGGCGCCGCTGGTTGTCTTTAAGGACGCAGACTTGGACGCAGCTGTCAACGGCATCGCTTTTGGAGCTTTTATTGCGAGTGGGCAGACGTGCGTGGCCGCTACGAGGATCATTGTTCACGAATCGATCTACGATGGAGTGCTTCAAAGACTAAAAACCAGAGCTACCTCTATCGAACGGCGGATGGGCTCACCAAAGAATCCCGAGTGTATGATGGGTCCACTGATCTCAGAGCGGCAGCTGAAGAATGTTGAGGAGCTAGTGGATGAGGCGTACCTATACCACGAGCGAATCATACAAGTAGGCGGAAACAGACTGGAGGGACAAAGTGAACTCGACGACACAGACTTTTCCAAGGGCTACTACTTCCCACCTACCATCCTTGCGTATAGTAAGCCAACAGACAGGAGCATTCTCAACGCAAGGATCTGGCGCGAGGAGGCATTTGGGCCGGTTGTTGTGGTAGTCGGATTCAGCACTGAAGAGGAAGCCATTGAGCTCGCCAATGACAGCGAGTTCGGACTTGGTGCAGCGATATGGACTCGCGATCTGGCGCAGGCTTTCCGCGTGTCTGAGCAGATCGACGCAGGTATTGTCTGGGTCAACACTCACCATCGCAACGATCCTAGCAGTCCTTGGGGAGGAGCCAAAAGCCAGAGTGGTGTGGGAAGTGAAAACGGCATCGATGCGTACCATGCGTATACTACGACCAAGAGCACGATCATCAACTATGCTTCTGCGGAGGAGATGGCAGCGGAAGACTGGTTCAAGGAGGGCGCAGGGAATGTGAGATATGGTTGAAAGCGGCCTACTGGCACTTCAGATTCCTTCGGGACTGCCTTCTTCACTTTCTTCAGAATACCAATCACACACAGACTAAGTCCCGGTCAACTTTTCTAAATGACGTGCCTGCCCTTCTTCAATAAGCAAACTCCCGTCCCCAGATATCCCAAATCAAATCATAAACCGCCTTCGGGCTCGGCTCATACGAGTTCCAGCCCCTCGCATACAACACGCTCCTCACGTACGGATCCCGAATGGTCAACGACAAAATAAACTTGGCCTGCGCCCTTCCCCGTCGCCAACACTCGTGCAGCCACACGTCCTCGGTCCAGTCGGGCTCCGGGAACTCGTACTCGATGAACATGAGCAGGTTGTCCGCTGCGAGAAAGTCGCGGAGCGTGGTGTACCAGAGCTCGAAGTTGATGGAGTCGGTGCCGGTGAGGGGGACGAGGGTGGAGAGGGGAAAGGTGGGGAGGGTGTTCATTTTGGCTTCTTTCGTTGTTGTTGGAGGAAAAAAAAAAAAAAAGAGGCAAACGAGATCGAGAGATTTGACTGTCAAGTTGCAAGGCCTAGCTTGCTGGCTTTGCGGTATCAAGAAAGGCGGGAAAGATGAAAGAGAAAATGGGACTGTTGTCGAAATCGCTTGATTTCCTTTTTCTCGGTTTGTGATTTTTGTGAGAGCTTCTTGTGAGTAACTGGTGATTTTGGTTTGAACTGTGAAGCACTCGTCGGTTCGGATCACCATAGAGTCAGTTCGTATTTCTTGTTTCGTTCAAAAAAGAAGCGCGTCTCATATCTGTCAATGTGATACTCACCTCAAAATTTGATCAAGTTTCGATGACGGAAGTGAGTGACTGACTTGTGAATGCTGTTTTTGGGAGGCTAGATGGGAGAATATATTCCGTCTGGTAAAATGCAGATCGAAGTTCAGTGGGTGTTGCTTCAACTTTGGTCTTTGTCTTTCTCGCTTGAGACAGAAGAAGGGAACTTTGATGAGATGGCTTCGTCCTTGAAGATGAGAGGGAAGAAGGTTTGGTCGGAAGAAAGAAGGGAGAGGAATGGATGGATCTTTATAGTACGATTCTGGCGATTCAGTATTCCTCTCGCTATTGCAGACTCCTATTGTCATTATCGACATCCTATTGAGAGTAGACTTCAATAGGAGTATGTAAATAACCTTGAGGTCTACAATACTCCTGTGGTCTAATGTTCGGGTGGTTGTGATTCAATCCTATTATGGTCCTCCTGACTTTTACAAGTCCCAGGTCTGAGTTCTGAAACATCGAATAGGATGGATGCCCCAGAGAAAGTCTGCCTCGGTCATACAAGCAAAGCTCACAGCAAAGGAGTTACTATGCGTCTCAAACTCCCTTCACCCTCACACTTCCATCTAATCTGACCTAGATCTGAAGCAATAGTTATGTGAGATTACAATAATCAAAGAAGAGATTAAACTAAGGTAGGTACAACAAGATTTCATCCCAAAAACCGTCATCCATTCGTTCAGTCATTACTCCCTTCCATCGTTACTCCCTTTCGTCATTTCTGGCCAATCCTTCCATCCCATATCTGTGCCCCTGTTCCGTCCCCGTCAATTATCATTTCATCATTACTTCCTTTCTTCCTTCCATTCTTCATCCTTCTGCTTCCTTCAGTTAGGCCAAGGGATATCCTGAGGATAGACATACGGGCGGCACTTATTCGCCGCGCAGAAGCCATTGCAGCAGGAGCCAACGAACTGTCCGTTCTTGTAACAGTCCTCTGTTGAGACATCCATCCGTGTTAGCCATCACTTATCACTCACTCACTTATCACTCAGTCTTTCATATTGCATCATCATCAACCTGAACCCAGAACTCAAATACAAGAGCAGGCAGGAAAGAGTAAGACGTACGATAAATCTGCAAACAATAACCATGGCACCTAACCCTGTCAATCGGCTGCGGCGGTCCAACAGCGAACTGCTCCTTGGGATAAGGGTCGGCACCGCTCAGCTGGTAGGCGAAAGCGACCTGCTGGTGCGTGGCGAACTCGCACTGGGTGACGGTGAAGTCGAGGGCGGTGATGATGTTGACGTTTAGGCCGTTGTCTAGGTAGATAGAAAGATGTCTTGTCAGTCTCACTGTGTCTCAATGGGAAACGTACTTGACATAGGGGCTGGGGAGAATAGGTATATGTAACATACTGGTAGGATACCAGTTGCCGTCGGCGGGGACGGTCAAGTTGTAGCCGGTAGCGGCGGCTTGGAAATAGAAGTGAGCGATTTGGGGAGCGGCGCGCGGGTCAAGCTCGGGAGCTGGGTGGGCGAAGGCGAGGCCGAGGAGGGCGGGGAGGAGGAGGAGGGACTTCATTTTGATGAGAGGGGTTTGTCGTGCAGACAGATAATGTGAAGTGGTATAGTTGGTTCAAGGTGTTTCTTTGATCTTGATGATCTTTGAGATGAGGATGCTGGATCAAGCGTCTTCTCCGTCTGGAGACCTGAAGGTCTTTATACTTCCATCCCCCTCTCTGTATATCTTCATGTGACGATGTTCTGACTGATGCAAAATAGCTCTAGATCCGGAGCCGTAAAGCTCACCCGTCATTACCGACATAGGCACATCGTGATGAACTGGTGATCGGTCAACCAACTACAGGAGTAGTAACCGCCTCAACCCCTCAAATTCTCACGTAAGTGTGTGTGCCTCAGTGTTCATGTTTGTCATAGACTATCGCACTCCACGGCCTTAAAATGCCTTAAGAATCGATAGTCACTGAACATTCCAAGTTTTCCAGAAAAGGAGGCGTCCCTCGACATTCTCGTATAAGCAGCCATGGCTTTTCAGTCACAACGCGCGATGTTGCGAGCCCGTAACCGGATTATAACATGGTGTCGGTCGGGTCTTTTTTGGACTTTGGAGTGTCCCGTGATGCTCCGGTTTGACAGCCTGGGCTGCGCTGCGTTGAGGAGGCGCACCTGTCAAATACGAGACATTGCCGTTTTGGGCGCTCATCACGGATCGTGGTGATTGGTTTACTGTTCCGCGCGTGGGGTGCTTCTCTTTGCATTTGTAACTGCATTTCTGTCTTGCATGCGTTTGCGTTTGTGTTTTGCGTGCTTTGTCAACATGGCGCTTACATATGTGTGCAGCCTTGAAAGCCAGTGCCACCTTTATCGATATCCGATACTCGATACCGACTTCGGTGCCACGGCTAACATGACTCGGTTTAGAGCAAAGCTAGAGCTACTGTAGCGCTTCTAGCAGTTAACCTATTTGGGAGGTTCCGAACGTGGTGTGCTGGGAACTGTTAATGGGGTAAGAGGGTCATCACACCACTACCGAACGTAGCGGTGAACTATCGAAAATCCTAGCTCAGCCTTACGATTATGCATATCTTGACTGCGGCGCATGCATGATGGGGAAAAACTCTGGGGTAGTAAGACGGGGAAACTTTTCGATGCATGACATTGGCGGTTTTACTTAGATTTGGCATTTCTGTTAGCAATATGGCTTGTAGCCACAGCTCGAAGAAGTCAGACAAACATTTGACAAGAGTGCATACCTCGGATGCCTCGACTTGGCGAAAGACTGCAGTTGTAATCGGATGTATCTAGGCAGCTGAGGACAACCTGACGAGGACCGCCGTATATCGATTATACGTTCCATCGCCGTGATTCGGTAAAAATCCGGTGACGCTTGGCAAGTATGTGGAGTCCTATACCGGAGCGTGCGTGCGAACATCAGCAATGGCTATCTTCGATGTCCCCGGGCTCTGCCAAGAAAATACGATAATGCTTGACATGTTGTTTAGGGTAGGTTTGTGTCCTGGACCGACTGGGAGCTGAAAATCCCGTCCCGTGCCCACGCCCTGGCTCCCTCCTTCCGGCTGTTTTGCGGAAGGTGGGGAAACCCCAAGATCAATGGCGCTTGCCACGGGAGAGGTTCGGTGAGCCGGAACTTACAGGCGTGTTTACAGTGGAGACGTAAACCGGGAAATGTGGGGCTTGCGCGGCGTGAATCCCGGAGGGACCGGAGGACGCCCGGATCGGGAGGGATTTGGTATTGCCAGTGATAACAAGAGGGTAAGATCGCGATACTAACGACCCTGGGCGTTTTTTTACTACAAGAGGAGGGAAGAATACTAGTCGACATGCCGAGGTGAACTCGATCATTCCGAATCAAGGATTCGGGGAGTCTGGGGCAGTCTTCTCAACAGGCCACGATGTTTCGGACAGGTTTACTTTGATCAGGGTAATCCCATTGCCATAAGTTAGAAAGGATAATAAGCAATGTTGTGATATATCTTATAACGCTTTGTACCGGTATCTTCCGCTTTGTAACCATCTACCATATACCTCTATACCTCTACCGGTATACCAAGAAATTGAACCTTCTTCACAAATGAAAGAATACCTGTATCCAAAACCCAGAACGCCATCATTCATCATCATTCCCAAGAAGAAAAACACAACCTTGAAAATGCTATTGAAAACCCCATATCCAAAAAAAACGCACTCAACACCACCCCTTCTACAGAGATCATGAACATAACTTTATGCCTCCCAGTCATTTTCATCCATGACCATTGCTGTGGGGGCTTTCTCTCTCTCCGTTCGGCACAACTCCGACTTTATGTGATTGTAGAATATGAACTTTAGAAGCTGAAAAGACCGCTTCGCCTCTTTCCGAACGGATAAACAATCAGCGCGCTCAGCGACAGTCCAACCGAAATGCTAATAGCGACCTGAATGACACTGAACAAGACGTTGAAGGCCGTGCTGTTCAGGTCTGCCGTTTGCGTGCCCTGTGTGAACGTCTGTCCATCGGCGGAGAGCGTCTCGTTGCGGGTGATCTGGTCGGCGCTCGCCACGCCACTGAGGAGCGAGCCGCTGACGGCCAGGCCTGAGGGGACCTGCACGAAGATGGCGGGCAACATGGCGGCGGCGGCAAGCCCGTATCCAATCTTGCGGGCGTGTTTGTGAGGGGCTGCGGCGGGCTTTTCTGCCGGTAGACCCATTTCTGGGTCTGGGTCCTTTCGGAAGGAGTTGTTGGATCCTCCTTCGGTGGAGTATAAACGCCGGTGGTTCCCCTTGAGACGAGCGATTCGCGGCTCAAAGATCTTTTCCCAGATATCGAGGAACTTGTTTTGTACTACGCGGCCCATCCGCGAGTATAGATTTGCCAGGACTCCGATGCACAGAGCACCCAACGTGTTGGAAAGGGTGGTGTTTCCTGAGAAGTACCTCGATGAAAAGCTGTTCACGCAGTAGCTTGCCAGTGAGATGACAACCATGACTGTAGAGATCGTTAGCAATGTTATCATGGATACCAGGGGGAATAAGATGATGCGTACCTGGAAGCTGCTTGAACTTGGCCTGATTGATGGCACATAGACACAACGTAAAAGGCAACACAAACAGGATGTAATAGTTCTGGTCTGGCCGTTTGCTGTACCACTCAGGACCAATCCTGCAATGGACGGCACTGACTGCATTGTGGTCCATGTATCCGTAGATAACGGACCCGATAGTGATGCCGTAGCCAAGGAATAGCGAGTAGATGAGTGCGTAAACCATGCGGACCGAACCGGATATCATGGAATGACTTTGTAACTCCAAACTTGCACAAAGAACCATGTAACCCGGAAGAATCAGAGCAATCGAAGACTGTGCAAGTGAGGAGAAGCAAAACAGCTCTCCATTGTGGAGCGATCCGAAAACACGCGCGAAGAAGGACGTGAGGAGAGCGGCCGTGATTTCGAAAACGTTTGCGTACAGCTCATTCGCAGGCGCAATGTAAAGCTGCAAAATGCCAACCATGCACCCGAGAATGAAGGCGATAGGCAAGTCGATGTACCGACCCTCAAAAGCAAAAGGGGCTACTGACGCGGAGGCAACACCAAAGAGCAGAACACGCAACCAAGTTGGATACTTGTTCTTCCGATTCGTGATGTCGTTCAATCGGGCTGTAGCCTCGTCGACGCTGATGAGATCACGTACGACCTCTTTGTAAACCTCGTGAACGTCGCGTAGTTTGCCGAGGTCGACGCCGGCATTGCTGCGCACAATTTTCATCTCGGTAGTGTGAGTGTTGCTGTCGTCGAATGAAATGATCATGGTTCCCGGCAAGTACATGAATTGGCCTTCGATGCCAAGGACGCGGGCGGACATTCTCATGTAGGCTTCCAAGCGATGTGTGGGTGCACCATACATCATCAACGCGTTGCACAGCTTCAAGAGGTACCGATGGCGGCTGATAATCTCTGCAATGTGTTTGGTGATGCGGAACTCCTCCAGCTTTTGCCTGTCGGCTCTGAGTCTCGATCTCGATCTCGACCGTCTCTTGGTCTTGTCCTTTTCCTGCTTAACCTTGTCCGCAGCTTCGGTTACCTCTCTTGCGGCACTAGGGACAGCAAACATGAAGGATGATTCCATAAGCCTCGATGTAGACGTTGACCGGAACCCGCGGGGTCTCCCCCGATCCTTTTCCGACTTGGGAGTACTGGGCCTGGAGGTAGGAGGAGTCGTTGTTGGCGTTCTGTTCGGTGTTTGACTTGGGGTGGTCATGGTACTGGAGCCACCAGGCGTTGTTGCTCCCGTATTCTCTTCTGCGTTGTATAACTTGAGCAAGTTCCCCAAAATACCACCTCTATACTTGTCTGGGCGAGGTACATAGTCCACGTCGTGAGGGATTGGCGTGGTAGCTCCGGACACGGTCGTGCTCAGGGCGGTTTGTGGGCGGTTGAGAGCGTTGAAAGCGCTGATGCGGCGTGTATGGTTCCGGACGAGTTCATTGGCGACTTGCTGTGATTTTCTGCGAGCCCGGAGGCTGTGGGAGTCGTCTTGCTCCTGGGCCTCAAAGTCGCGACTGATAGAGATGCCAATTGGCGGCACGTTCCCGTTGAGAGTAGCTTCGTCTCCGGAGTCGGTATCATTGCCAGTAAACGAGCTTCTTCGAGACGCACCAGCTGATGAAGTCCCGACGGCGTGGGCAAGCTTGTCGGCGCGGTTGCGTGCTTCCACCTCGGATCGATGGGGAGGCTTGAGCATATCGGGCTGAGGATCGGGAACAGTTGTTGTGTTTTTCCGAAGAACAGGACGTGGCCGGACGGGATGGGCGGAACTGTCCTGATTGTGAAGCTCGGGCCTCAGAATCTCCGCTAGGGCAGCGGTGACCTCATCTCTATTAAAGGAGTCGCGCTTTGCTGGAGGGCCGAAGGGGTGCGGCGGGGTCGTGGCAAAGTCATAGTCGTTGATGGGCGAGGAGAAGTAATCGTGCGCAGCATACTCCTGTCCATCCGGAGTGACGACTACCTGGGGGGCTGGCGGGCCACCGGCCTGTGCTGGTGGTCTATCGCTGAGGAAGCCAACTCGCTTCTTCTCCTTTCCCTTTGGAAGCTGAAGGTGGGGGATCTGTGGTGTAAGTAGCGGTTGCTCCGGTTGAGGTGTCGGAATTACGCTGATGTTGGCGCTGGCATTCGGGCTGGTGCTACTGCTTCCCTCCCCGTTTCCATTCCCAGATTCAACCCCATTTCCTCCCTGAAGAGTAGTCTCACTATCTCTTCCACTCAGGGTGTTGCTGGGCCCGCCGATTTCGTCCTGATCCTGCGGAGAAACCATGGCTACGGCAACGCCCTCTCACCGGTGAGAGGGTTACTTTGCCCTTTCCACAAGTATCCCAAGGTTGCTGATGTAAGAGTTGGTTGAGATATCTGGAGCTCTGGTGCTAATGACGACGAGGCTCCAGGCTGGGTTCGGATCGTCGATGGAGAGATTCCAGAAACGTGGAACTGAGGAAGAAGGAGAAATCAGGTGAATGATAATCTCGGGAGGAGAGGCGCCCGTACTGCCCTGATGTGTCCTGGGAGTTAGCTGCAGGTGAGTCGTGGGGGTCGGCCGTCAACAGGCATTGATCAACAACAGGGATGGAGATAAAGGAGTTGAGGAGGCAGGGTTCTGGCCTTGGACAAAGAGGGAAAAGATATGTAGAGGCTGTAGTATGTACAGCACTGAGATTGAGCGAGTAAAAAGAGAAGAGAATAGAGATTGGATAGCAGGAGAGTGAGTGGAATGTTCATATGAACGATGGAGTGAATATGACAAATCCTGGTCAAGAACCATGAGCGAAGAGAAAAAATAACATAAAGATGCACAGCTCGCCCACTCCCGCTCTACTGCGTACAGCCGGTAGCAGGGAGTTATCATCCCACATGTGCTGCCAGACAAGTACCTGTACTTGGCATTGTTCCCATCTGATCCTGTACTTAGCATTGTTCCCGTCTGATCTCGGTGTCCTTGTCACCATCATTGATGATTGGACGGCGAGGAGTGTTGGCAGCAGGGCAGCTAGGGCCAGGTCCGGGTACCGTCTCAGACTGTGTACGAATTGTTGGTGTTAGCGTCGGTGGTGGTGTTAGTGTTAAGGCCCCGGCCCCCGGGCGGCGGGTTAGCCGAACCGGACGATCGGTTAACCCAAACAGGGCATCCGCAAGGGCGAGTCCACTGGAGATCCACCTTGACGACAACATGACAACCATGTCCTGTCAAAGCCTGTCTTTCCCTGTCATGTCTTGCCCTGTCTTTTGGCAGAAAGGGTCTTGAGTCGCAGTCCCCCTCTTGTCTCAACAGTCTCGAAACAACCGATGACAGTATAATCGACTCGTGTGAGACTTTGTTTCGCTGAACATTTCCGGCCAGGAAAACCAGGGCAGCGTGGGGTGTTGTGGTTGTGAGATCACTTGGACTCGTATTCCCGATCTACCTTTGAGGTAGGTCTCCCGTGCGTCGAATGTGACTGCAGATAGCGCTGAGAGCGCGTACTTTGATCGGCATCTTATGATCTCAGCTTGCTCTGGCAAGGTGCTTGCGGGCGGCTAGAACAGTCGACGCATATTGCCAAGGTGAGTTGGATCGGGCCGTCGGTGTCTTGTCCAGTCGCCCCTGGGAGTCCTGAAGTGTTGGTCGCGGCACCGTAGAATTTTCGATGTTTTTGTCATGGCTACTGGAAGAAAAGCGCTGTGTGTGTGTCAAATCGCTTTGTGCAGGCCGGTTGCAGCTGGTCGCAAGCGGCAAGGGCACCTACGGTAACATCCTGACATGCCGCCATTGTCAGTCATTCTTGCAATATAAAAAAAGGGACTCGAGCGTTGGGTGGAAGGTACCGCATTTCCGCCACTTCAGTGGGACTCGAGAGTTTCGCAACTTCCGCTTCCAGGTTTGGATCCCAGGCTTGGCTCCCAGGTTTTGGTTGTCGCGACGTTCCTAGGGTGAACAGCGATGTCGACACACGTCATTCCTTCCCTGAGGTCTGCGCGTTGTCTCCACCCAAAACCCCCACCGCCTTTGTCGCCCTTGTCCGAAGTGGCCCCGCCAGGTGTGCCAACGGCTGGCAAACTGAAATAGCGAAAAGGGGAACCCGTTAACAGCCAAGCTGTGTTAGTGGCTCCCTGCCCTGTAAAGTCTTCGGCCACAAAGTTGCGATAAGACATTGTCGACCATCACCGATCATGGCTGAGTTTCGAAGAGAGATACCGATGGGCGACAGAGCGAGAGATTGTAGCGCCCGGAGTATTTATGTCTGCTATATCGGTAAACACCGCTGAACGTTGATGATCATATCAAGAGTCCCTTTTTTCCAGGGACGAGTCTCATCTGCTGATTGTGTGAACTGTGAGAGTTTTCCAGTTTTCGATCGATCGATGTCGTCGACGGTCTACCCTGGTGGTCCACGAGTCATGAGGATCGATATTGCTTCAAAGCTGAAGAGAACCCCAACCCCCCAAAAAGCCATCCAGGATTTCTTTGACGAGACCACCTTGGGCATTGCGAATGGCAGCCCAAAATGGGGTCAAATTTTACGACTGTGGGGGAGAAGGGGAAAAGAAGGAGAGCCTTGCACTTGGTGAAAAGCTAGCAGCTCGTCTGAAATTGGCCGGTTTCGTTTCGAGGGTTGCGCCATCGCGGTCCGACTTCGTTGGGGATGTCGTGATGAGGTAGGGGAATGCGGCTCTTCACTGACAGTGGTCTGGTACCTGTACCAGCCATTGATTCGACTGTACCTGCAGATATCAAACCACCATCGCCGCGGGAGGGAACTGGAAACTTTCCATTTTGAGGGAACCTCGACGGCTGGATGGACGAGACCCCCTTTTCAGGAGCAGCCCTGTTTCTTGGCAGGGAAAATGCTGGACATTGGTCGCCCGGGCCGCTGCGGAAACAGTGGGTTCCTGCCCTGATGCCGCTGAGGGGCGAACTGACCCGGTCCTATCTTATCTGGCGCACAGTGCACTGACCAGCCTTATCAGTATTGCTCAACGCATTGGGCCTTTCGACTCAGGACCAAACACCACCAAAGCGACCATGAAACCACAGTTCAGCAGCACGGACAATAACAAATCAATCAATTGCCCATTCCAGACCGGTCCGCGCTCTTACTTCCCAAACGATTCTCGTGTCCGATTTTAGAAACCTTGTTTCGCATTCCCCCGCGGTTCCGCCCACCACGAGGCGGTGCCTGAAAGTCTGATACGCGCGTCAGTCAGTGATCAGAGCGATCGTTTCCAAGTGCGAAAAGCTTCAATTTTCGGATCAAGTTGACAGTTCGATCTACCTAGATCGTTGCTCCGTACATACCATCCTCAAACCACCGAAACACGGCCATCTACGTACCACCCCAACTCGTCTTCCACGATTCCCTTTCCACCTACACTTCTACATCAACGACCGGATAACGAAATTCGAGTTGTCGTACTTTTGAGAGGTACACTTGAGCTGGCCAGTGCTGTTCTGGATGTTCCAGAAGATCCCTCCGTCCACGCCCAGCTTGGTGCCTCCGACGGTGGTCGCTGCCGTATACTCGAACCAAACATCGTTGAAGCTGGCCATGTTCATGCCCCCAGCCCCATCGTAATAGTCCTCGACGATCCACGCGGCATCCGTCCGACACAGAGTCGCTCCGGTCGTAGCGTTGATGGACATCGTGTATCCTCGTTGGGTGTTGACGATTTTGCTGCCCCAAGTCAAACACGCCATGTCAGCATGTCTCTGGTCCAAATGTCATGGCTCTCGATTAGGCACTACATACATCACAGCAGAAGTGGGCGACGTGATGGTGATATTGACCGCCATCCAATCACCTGGGGCAGTGGGAATGCTCGGGATGGAATACGCAGCCGACGGCCACCACTCCCACCAGGCCTCTGTGATCTGCTGGCCATTTGAAGCGATCTAATCAAAACGGAAAATCAGCAACGGGATCAGAACTGAAGCAAACTCCAACATGACGACGGAAACAAACAACGACAAAAAAAAAACAGCAATGGTGGTTCTCCTCGTTTTTCACTTACCAACGTCGTCACCCCCGCCTGTAGCAGCGCCCTGTTACAGGATCCCCCGTCAACACCGACCCACGCAGCCGCATTCTGCGGAGCCGACAAGCCCGCGCGCAGTTTCAGGTTCGGCACGCTGAAGACACCATATATGCTGGAGAGCTGTTCAGGCGAAGCGAGCTGTTGCGACGCACCGCACCAGCTCGGGCCATAAGCCGTAATGTCCCTCTTCCCCAGCTCCACTGTTTCTGTTTCTGTCTGGCTAGGCTCGCCATGAAAGTTTCGTTGGTGTCGTCTGGGCGCGGTGCGTACGAATTCGAGCTCGGAGCTGGGAATCTCTCTGTCGCCTTGTCTTGCTGTCGCGACAAAAGTCAACTCGGCAATGGCTGAGCCGGCCACTGCTGACACAAGGAATAGGGTGCGAAGAAGGGAGGAGGGTGGCATCTTCATCTTAACCAAGTTTGTTTCAGACCGGAGCCAGACAAAGTACACAGAGCTAACTAAGCTTTGGATTAGGTAAGGAGATTCGTGCAACGAACAAACTTGGGAAACCCAAGGCTTCCCTAAGCTGTAAGGTAGGTACCGGACGGTGTCTACGTTTTGTAAATCACCGTCACAACCACAACGTGGACTCATCAACCAGAAAGGGGAGGACACTCGACACCTGAAAGAGCATATCGTACTGACCGGTCCAGATCTCCCGTCCAACCCGGTTAGCATCATCATATCTGTCATATCCAAAGCCTCCATGTCTCTCTGCATCTTCCTAACCCATCACATCACACATCACTCACCTGCTTACGGCTAGCTAAGTGCTAGCTAAGTAGGTAGCTGAGCTGAGCATACAGTACTTTGCGCAGACACCCAATCCGCAATATGCAATCCGCGGTTCCGTCTTCAGCAGTGCCAGAACCAGAACCAGGTTTTTCGATTATCTGGATGTTGAAAGCTGTGTCTTGAAAGTTCTCTCGATTGAGGATTATGGGCAAGTACAACGTTAAGGTAGGGTTGCAATATGGGGTGCTTAGCGAGCAGCCACAGTTCCTAAAATAGCCTCCATTAGCACGGTAGGGCCCGTTAACCCGGTCATCATTCATGTTTCACGGATAGGTTCTATAAATTTCTCGACATTGTTACTGTGTCATATTCTCAACGCAACGGACTGGGTTAGTCATCTTAACAATAAGTTAGTTGGGGCCAGAGGAGACGGTCACCATGCAGATATGTATCAGAAAGGAAGAGCATACAGTTTGGTCACTTGGTCCTCGGTCAAACAGCTCACCTTGCCTACTCCGGCATGGCAGTCTGAGGTGATGGTCCTGTTCCCACACTCAAGCACCTTGACAGTTGCTAAGACTTCCCGAGAATTGAGCTGACCACAACTTTTTGACAAACGGACCATCGAAACGAAAGACGAAAATCAAGAAACTCAATTATATCATTAGAAAGAGTGCTCTCTTGATAGTTTCAAGCATGCTGATGTCGAATCTACAATCATTTTTCTTTCATCTCCTCGTTTGGTGGAGATATGGGCAAATGAAGTCTTGTTCTTTTCGTTTCGATGGTCCGTTTGCCAAAAAGTTGTGGTCAGCTCAATTCTCGGGAAGTCTTAGCAACTGTCAAGGTGCTTGAGTGTGGGAATGATTGAATGGATGGCCGGAACTTCGGTTGCTGGTCTGACAACTATCTACCATAGCCCGTGATGCTCAAACTGCAACCGAAAACAAAAACTCAGCCACTGGATCGATTCATCGGACAAAATATTACCATCGAGATACTTGACCTTCTCAACGATCATTCCTTCACACTACTCTTAACTGGCTCGAGACCATAAGCCGTACAAGGGCGCTCTCAGATTTGCGAGCAGAGTCAGTTCTTGAGATTTCACCATGGACTGACATCAACTTCGAGTGGATTCCCTCCTTCCGGTTCGGGTCGATTATCGTCAAAGTTTCTTGGCCGTTGGACTCTATGAGACACCTGAAAGCCTCGACGTCTAGGAGAAGGGAGAACACAGACCAGTTGCCAGGTTTGCTGTCAAAATTTTCTCGGGCTAGCCTAATCACCTTGGCCACCCGCCGGCGTCTTCCATCCCAACTCTTCAACTGGGCATAGCCCGCAATCCAGCCCTTGTAGTAGGGTACCGCAAAGACTCGGGCCATCCGTTTTTAGGTTCCAGGGAAATTAGGCATAATCAGTACACTTGAGGCACCTCTAGCATTGCAGACTGCTCGAATGTCTTCCAAAACCCAAACTCTTAAGGCACCTAATACATAGATTCTGTCAGTTAGGCCCTGGAACCTAAAAACGGATAGCCCGAGTCTTTGCGGTATATGTATTACTTCCCCCGTGGTTATTTTCGTGGCAAGCTGGTAGGATGGCGCAGCGGGCACGGTTGCCGGCCCCCCGCCTTCCTTTCCTTCCCCCGGCTCTCATGTACGCTGCGCGTTCGAACCCGGAAGCTATAAGTCCAATTTTTTTTTATTTTTTTTTATTTTTAATTTTAAAAAAAATTTTTATTTTTTTTATTTTTTTGCGACTCAGCTTGAGCGGACCGGGCCGACGCTTTTCACCCCAACCAGGCTTTTCGATCCTATCGGCATTGCTCTTTCCCGTCTTCTTGACCGACTCGAGTACGCTGCAAGAACGGAAAGAGCATGTCCTCTTTCTCTCCAAAATTGCCGTCGGGTGACGACGGGACTAACTGATCGAGAAAGCCAGAGCAGAAACTCCTGGTTGTCGGATAATGACTGCCCTCCTCAGATCCATCACTCCCGTTACGGAAGGTGCGCAGAACTCTGGTGAAAACAATTCGACAAAATCTCTGCGTGAGTTGGCGGTCAATCGAAACGATACTACCTTGGCAGGAGCCGGCCACCGGCATTGTTTGTCTCCTGCATGGAATTTGCCGGCGATTGCTTCCCATGCTTCCTTCCATCTTTCCGAGATCGAAGGGATCGTAGCAGAATGGTGTAGTCAGCGGGAACATACCCTGGCGCAATCGACCATGGTGGGATTTGCACTTTCCCATTCAGTGCGAGCTTTTTGTCTGCACCTTCTCTGCCGAAGGTATCCCTGCCATTAGAGTGCTCCAGTCAAAGACCGTCAACCACCAAACTCAGACTTCAAGATCAAGAAGCCATGTTCTTCCCTTCCCGTCCTATTGTAACAATGGACTTCAAGGCGTCCGCATGTTCGCGCCACCTTCCATCAGAAACTTTGAGCAAAATAAGACTGAAATCTCAAAGAAAGGTGCATAACAAACATGAACCGCACGAACTGCGACAATAATGCCCTGCAGGATGTCATCGCGCTATCGTGTAGAGCCGCTGCAACAAAATCTGCAGAGTGCCGATCCCCGGCCCCGTTTGCTGACCGGAAGTCGTTGTTCTCGTAAGCATTCGGTTCCTAAAACTCTATGGAAGCTGAAAGGGCCGGGCCTAGGAGGTGGGACTCCACAGTTCGGCACGGCCGGGTGGCTCCCGGGACCGTACCTACTCCGGGATGGTTCTCCCCATCACCTTTCTTCAGTTCATAGAGGTATGCTGTCCTTTTTTTCGCTTCTTCTCTCTGATGGCTTCTTTCACCTTTACTCTCACTTTCACCTGTGGTACCACGAGAATCACAACATTGACCGCACTGTCTCTATCGCATCTTCATACTACTGCCCTTAAGCATCAACTGCAGTGTCATCAAAATCTCGGGACCACCGATCCCGACATGCTCTATTCTCCTTCCTTCACCTTCCTCTCAAGCCTTCATGATGCACGGCATTATTTTCTGAGAAAATCTCGGGGCCGCCGATGGTGTGCACACCTTCACACCTTGCAGTCTTTGCTACATCAACCTTCGAAAACGCTAAAGTCGTCATGGCCTCGTCTATAACTGCCTTCATGCACCTTGTAGCCCTAGCATTAGCTTAAACCGCCATATCCGATCGTTGATCTTTTGTTCACAAAGGCCGCCAGGGTGAACCCGGTGAGAAAATGCGGAGTGCATTACTCGACATGCGATGCAATTCAGGTTGCTCTTGCTTTGTGACATATCAGCTTCTGACTCTATGAGAAGACCATCCCGGTCGCTGTAATAGCACCTCCAAACGCTTGACTGACAATAAATTTTACTTACATGTCGTTTGGGTGCTAGAATCTTGGGCGTGCAGTTGAAATGTCGACAAGTTGAAAGCGGGCTTACCTAGCGTTGAAACCGAAAATTCTCTGAACTTGCACACGACAAGCGGGCTATACTGAGACATCCAAAGACACACGGCGTCAGGGATGTAAACAACACTTACACTAGCACAACGAGTGGTAGGTATGCAATGTCTTTGGTCAAGAATCTCGCATCAACGGAGGAGTCGACAACGCCCCCAAGCAATCCGCCTGAACAGTATACACAATGAGACGAGAGGCTTCCACATTTGCCAAATTGTTCAACGAGAAGGAAGAGAATATGGCAGAGATTGATGGCATTTTACCAATTGCATCGGTAGCCTTGCCATTGCTTCAGATGCCAAGGGCACAATCCATTTTTACAGAGAAAACCCTAACCCTCATAGAATAGAAACAAGTGTACGCACTTGCGAAAGCGACTCCTTTGCTATTGACACTCGCAGATTCTCGGTGGGGAAACAGGATATCCGAGACTTCGGTGCCGAGGGAAGAAAGGGAGGCTGGTTCACCATAATGTTTGGGCATGGATACGTCAGTTCACCTGCGGTGTACCGTTTAAAGTCACGAGTGTCTCAGTTGAGACAGTTGCACTTGCCCGCTTAACCGGCCCACCTGTCCAACGTGAAAGGAAGTGGAAGGTACTACGGAAGGTGCAAGCTCGAAATACTTTCCTGAAGTCTCGAGGTACATTATGGTACATGGTGCCATTTCCCATGTTCGAGAAGGGTCTGCAATGTTCGATCAACAATATGGGAATAACATGGAATGGCATGTTCAGTCGGAGTCGGGGGACGAGGCGTACTACATCATCTGTCACTCGCCATGCCCACCTTCACGCTCTCTCTACCTCTACAATACAATCTTGCCCTTTCCCTGTGGAGACTCAGGACAAATCTGCCGTGCTAGATACCTGGTAAGCATGTCTCACTTTCTTCCGCGCGAAGGTGTGTTTCGGAGATGCTCTCTCTCTTGACGAACTGAACCGACTGAAGCCAGGATTCGGTCGACTAGGCATCCAAAGCATCACACCACTACCTTCGTAGCCCGCCGGTGGCCTCTTCACTCCATCATCCTCACCAGTTTTGCACCCTGGCCAGGCCTCTTCAACACGTGTCAGTCCTCAAGTTCTTCCTCACCAAGTTTCATGTTCGCCTTGCAAGTTTTCCCACCTTGTCCGCAAGACATCAATGTCGGTATCCGTCCCGCGGCCCCTCTCCCCATGCCCAACTGCCAACTTCCGTTCCCGGACTTCCGTTCCCGGACATCCATCCCTGCTACCCATCCACTATTGGGAAACTACAAGCTATAAGAGCTCAGGCTATCATTGTACGACACTGCGATATTAGCTTCTTGTGAGAGAAACTTTGATGAATGTGATACAACATTCTGGCATCATCAATGGCAACAACCTGGCAACTCTTTTGTCATATTCTCGGTTCGAACCGAGAACAATGTCATGGAAGAGAAGTTGGAATGCTCGTCGACTTTTGGTTCATATGATGCCATCAGCTAATGCTCGGTGTATGCAGATGCTTCAAAGCTTCCGGTCCACAGATTGCTTGCTGTGAAGTCCGGTTACGAACCGCGTCAACTTCATATTGCGGCGTAAGCGACGCCCAACGGCGATGATAGCTAGGGCTTCGCTGGGACAATTGTGAAAGCACTTTGTCTACAGCTGTGTAGCAAGACAGTTTTAGCCAGCCTTTCACGGAGGACAAAAACTGTGTGGTCATTACAACTAGTAAAGGAGTCATTAACCCTCAACGGCTTTCACATGGTGAGCAACCAATGGCAATGTCCAAGAATCTCCCAGCCCCGAACTTCATCTACATTTTGCTCACCATCTTATATCCACAGCCTGCCAGCCTCAGGTCACGAGGCGGAACTGCCAGATTCCTCACCGAAGCCTGCCCTACGGCCAACACACTTGTACAACCCGACATCAAGCCTCGCTTCACCGAGCCTCGCTTAGGTAGATTCTGACACTCAACCTCATGTTTGTCTCAAACTTCGACCTGGGTCAGCACTAAATAGCAGCTGAGGACAGCCCGGAACTTTCAACAGTTCCCGCAAGGCTGCCACGTTTAATGGGAAGCTGTTTCAGTTTGATCCCACAGTCACCTGGGCTGTCTCGGTCATAAGGCGTCCGTCTGTATGTCTTGCCACTATCAAGATATCCAAATATGCCCGATCGACTGCATCAAACCAGCAGAGAGACTTCGGGACCGTGCTGTGTCCGTTCTGTGACTCAGATATGCGTGCGCTTCTGAACTCCGATCACGCTGCCAGAGCTTCCGGAGGTCTTTGATGCCTCGGATGGTCGAATGAAGGGGTTATTTGCCTTACAGGTTATCATCCAATGCAGGCGCATCACTCTACGATGACGAGCCAGTGCAAGACCAAGCAAGGTATTGAGTCAGAAAGCTACAACTCCCAAGGCCGATAACATGTAGGTAGGTAAGCAGACAAACAAACCGCAGACCACACACAACCAGGCAGCATCCGAATAAGAACCAGAAGAGTCGGTCGGATCTTGTTCGCCGAACGCACCACATACTTGCGATACTTCGTAAGTAGGTATATAGACTGCATGTCTCAAAGGCAAATGGGCATCAGGTAGGTACCTACTTATCCAGTATCGATGCAGACTGGAAAAATGTTTGCTCTTTCTGTGTGCACACTCAACCAATAATCGTTCCCGATATCAATCACAAGCCCCCCTTTCCGTGACCTCACCAGCTAGATAGATTAGATTAGGGCTTTTTTTTATCGAATCCAATGATCTCCCGCTGAATAAATCTTGTCGTAGGGAAAAATCTCCGATACTCGCACCCACACTTTCGGTGATCGGTGTTCATGTTTGCCTGTTGTGTCTAGTTACGCTACTCTAAGACTGACTCGATATGACATTCGTTATTGATTACTTACCAAACTGGCGGTCAACCTTGAAGCGAATCGAATCCCTTTTGTTGTATGTTGGTTGGTGATGGTGAATGGTAACATTGTGGCATCACATGTGTAAGTTGCCTTGTTTCGTTGGGACTTTGGGGCCGTGAGACGGGTGCGACGGGCACGACGGGCACGACGACGGGCGGAGGCATGAGGCTCTGCTGGTGACGATTGATGGTCGTTTGTGGGACTATCAAGTAGCTGTGTAGGTAGGTAGGTCGGGACTAGAATCTAGATACTCGACGTGGCTCACGAAACAAATGAGTTAAGTTACGTTCTCTTACAGCGTATAGAGACTTATTGTGACTGCATAGTGGAGGGGGGGGCATTCATTCATTCATCCAAAGGACTGAAGAAATGAGTGCAGACAGGCCGAAAGGCGAACATCGATGGATGGGTGTAATGATGCTGGGGGGAAAGATAACGGTTAGGTATCGATCCCATCGTATGGAATGTAGTAGATGAATAATTTAATATCTATGCAATATATACCGTCAGTCAGGTCAGTAAGTAAATGAATGGTTTATGGCAGGCAGTTGGGGGAGTGACAAGTCTACCTGCTCTGCTTTCTTGCAACAACTGTGACTGATGCTTGAGATTCTCAACTCTCAACTGCAAGTCTTGATGAAGCTTGTATTAGAGCACGACTGCTTGTTACATGATGGAGATACATGATGGAGATGATGGCAAAGAGGAGGGATGAAGGTGAGATTAAGTAACGAATAATGTTCATTAATAAGAGGTTAAAAGAAGAAGATGATGATAATGATGAACTCAAAAAAGTCAGACTTGTTGTGCCTCCCAACCCAGTATGCCATACCATGCCATGCTATTTGATCCCAAAACGCCGTCAATCGTAAAATCCGCAAAAAAAGTCACCGCCAATGTTTTCCAAAATTCCCTAGTTTTTTCACCGTCGTATCCCCCATGTGTGAGTGCTGCTGCTATGATGTGTCCATCAATGCCAATCTGAATGGACGACAGCTAGCTATGCAAGAGGAAAAAGTGAAAAAGATAAAAAGAAACAACGCTAAAAGTCAGAAAAAAAGTGAAGTAACTCCAAAAGAGCTGCTGAAGAAAGAAAGAAGGTGAGCAAGAAAGAACAACACCTCATCACAAGGACTAAAGCCTCGAAGAAGAATCCCTCAACCTACTCAACATCGGCTCCACAAAGAACCCATCAAACTTCTCCATCGCCACATTCCTCTCGCCCTTCTCCCTCCAGATCAAGCCATGCTTATCATGCACCGTAATCGGCGGCTCTACCGTGACCACCAGGCCCAAGTCAGCCTTTTTGGAGTCTGAGACGACGACAGGCATCGCATCGTCAAATAACTGCCTCAACTTCCTCCTGTGCTCAGAAGGAACGCTGGCCCGTACTGCCTCCCTGTGCACCCAGTCGCCCAGCGCCTGTGTGTTGGGGCGCTCCTTGGGCCGGAGCGAGTCACCCTTGGCGCAGGCTACTTGAGCGAAGCACACGGCGAGGATGATCCAAGTGATGGCTTCACCGGGGGTCGTGGAGCCGGGAGGCTGGCGGAACTCGATTGTGCCTCGAGACTTGTTGTGCACGAGGTTGAGAAAGTTCCACCGGTAGCCCGAGTGAGGGAAGTCGGACCGCTGGCCGAGGGCCCGGCCCGTGGACGAATTGGGGTCGCAGCGGACCATGTGGGCCGCCATGTCTTTGCGTCTTTTGACCGAGTCCAGGTGTGAGAAGCACTCGGCCATGGTCAGGTTGGCCATTTGCTTGTTGTGCCGGTTGCTCTTGGCGAAGACGGAGGTGCGGCGGTAGAGAGGCATAACGGCGTCGAGGCAGGACTCGAAGTAGAGGATGGACTTCGAAAGGGCACGGATGTCGGAGCGTGACCACTCCGGGTGCTCCGGGTCTATGGGAGCAAGGTGGATGGAAGTGCTGCATTCGTGTGTGGAAGTGGTCTCAAAGTCCCGGTTGAGGACTTGCATGAAACTCTCGAAGTGTTGGACCCAGGTGTTGAAGGAGGAGAAGCGAAAGAGGGGAGAGACAAACTTCATGGCGTGTTTGTACTCGGTGGGCTTGGACTGGATAGAATGGTCACTTGTGATAGTCCATACTTTATATGAAGGTGTGTGGGTGTGTGTGGCGTGATCGTATGGGTAATCCGAAAGAATTTGAGACTTGATGCCTTCGTTGGTGAGGGAGTAGAGGATCTCGTCCTCAAGAGACTCTGAGCTTCGATGGTCAGCCCGTCGGCTTCGGATCAGAAGGGTCAGTTCTGCGCAGAAGCGGAACTGTTTTAGCTCGGGCTCTTCGAAGTAAACCATGCTGTGACGACGGTGGTCACGGTCACGGTGATGATGACGGCTCCTGGCCGACCCATCAGAACTGACGGAGGGGGTGGTGGCATGAGGCATGGCTGCTAAGGTGTGTTTAGGTTGTTCTAGAAGTTCTTAAGAAGATAGCCAGAGTGACTGAAGAAGCGAGTGAATGTGAAGCTTGATGACTCGAATAACTTGAAACCAACAACACGAACACGGGGATCTGTCGAGGAATCTTATACATCTTGGAGGATGAGAGAGTGGCCCGTGGTCAGTCTCGGTCGGCCAGAGCCATCAAGGGGCCTAGGATGCGGGTGTTCTAGCCGGGCTCGAGCCGGGGTGTGTTACGGCTCGTCCTCGGGACGTCATGTTGTTTCTGGTCGAGGGTAGCATTGCACAAAGAGCTCAAACTTCGCGGACGATGAGTGGTACGGTGGGTGGGCAGGTATCTACCAATTCGGTACAAGAGTACTGAGCTAGGTCTAAGGCGGTAAGGAGGACGGTGGCCGTTCCTGTATGACCATGTCAGCATTCGAAGTGTCGGACATGGGTGAAGTGGGCCACCGGTATGGCTCACCACCCAGTTGTAGTTGGACCTTTGAGGTGTTTACATGCGAGTGTCATGCGTAGCAGCATCGAGCTATTCTTCCATTGCACACACCTACGCACACCGTCAGTTTAAAGTGGACAATCATACAGATAGCATGCAGATGCAAGACGCAGGCAGAATGAAGTGCCGTCCTGTAGACTAGACTTAGACGATCTCTCATCGGATGGCCCCGAAGTAAGCTGCTGCTGCTGTGCCCAATGATGTTCCACAGAATATGCTTGAGGCATAACCGGAGGTGCAATTGCCTTGTTGAGAGGAAGGATATCAACCCACGATCTACATCGGGAAACGAAGTCGGTAAAGGTCAAGACCCGGGCAACTCCAAGTCTACCTATCCGTAGCGCAATATCTCGACCAAAAACGTCGTCAAAATGATGATTCTTTTTGGCAATGCAGATTCGCCAAACCGAGCCTCTCAGAATCCTCATATTTTATGGCGAGAAAGGAGTTGGCGCGAGTGGTTTTGGGGTGAAATGCTATGAAGTTGTAGATGGTGGTTTCGCTGAAGACTCTGGCCCTTTGCCTGCCCAATAAACGCGCAAGCAAATATGGGCCAAGGCTTGATGCGCTGCGACTGGGGCGCAAAAAAGCTGCCCCGGTCCTTGTACCGATTTCGATCGGGAAACTGCTGTACGGTAGAGTGTGCCTGTGGATCGCCAAAACAAGACGAATAAACGAGGCTGCCAGTGGGGATGAAGCATCCGGTCGAACCTGTCTCTAACAATGGCAGTGGTCAATGGAGGCGGCCTTTGGCTCTTTGGATGGCCGCATGAGCTCCGCCACCAAAAATATATGATCCATCAGAGTGCTGTGTTGTCGACTTGGCCGTGTTACAATGGGCCTAGGGCCATCATGCTGCCGTCGTCAGGAAGTGGATTTCCCAACCTTCGGACTTAGGATGAGAGCGGCCAGACTTTTGACCCCCATTCTTTTCTTTCCCTTCCCACCATTGAGAGTTTCTCTTGCATTTGAGCGGCTACCGGTTCCGTCCAGCCACAGCGGCCCCCAGTAGTGTCAGTCGCTGTCGTGATTGGTTCCCTCAGGTGTCGACCAGGCCGGAACAAGGCCTCAAACTGTTACAGACTGCAGCCACAGACGCATGGATTGGTTGTCAACGTCCCATTCGAGCGACCCCCAGCGGACCCAGGAAACTGGTTCACAAACCCCTGGCGCTCAAAATCTCCTAAAAAACATCCTAAAAGCGCGAGCGCGGATCGGGATGTCGACATTAACGGTAATAGCACTGCCACCTCCGCGCTGTAGAGAATCCTTTTCGGAAGCTTTTGTATCAATAGCCGCGCGGATAGCACAACGACGATACCAAGAGGGATAGGGAGGGAAAGGTGAGTTGGTGTCAAAAAATAGGCCAAAAGCCTAACGCTGCGCGGCGAAAAACATCCGGCTTTGGTCTGTCTTGCTGGCTTCGGTGGGAGGCGCCGACTAGAGATGTGGTGTGGCTGCCCACCGAAGCTCTTCAAGGAAGGAAATATGTTCAAACGTCGTCCTGTGCCGATACAGGCGATATCTGTGTTCCGTTGCTAGGCGAAGCATGTATGTAAGATGATGATGTCGTGAACTTGTGAAACCGCACATCCCATTTGGACATGGAAAATCTCCAAATCCAGGATGATGCCACCTCAAGGGTCTCTTCCTGTTCATTTATGCAGTCAAGCCTTACTTATTAACCTCGTCTTGGTGCTACGCCGGGCATATGTTGCGGCACTGGGGCGAGCTGTCGTGTCCTCGTGTAAAGTTGTTCGCCTGCTTCAAGATTCTGGGCCATGTCCTTGTCCTTTTTGAACCTTGTCATGCGTGGCAGTGTGCGTCCACACCAACCAAATGCCCAGGCTACCCAGCCCATTCATATATGAACCAGTCTAATCCCGTTTCAGATCTCGGTGTTGAGTTTATCCTCGGTTCCTTGTTCTTGATCGCCTCCGTCTGGGGCGTCTGGATGCCTGCTGGATCGACGTCGACTCACAAGACGAATGCCGATACACGAGACCGAGCTGCCGAAACTGACACTGCCCGCTTTGCCTTTGCGCACCGTTGCGCCATTGCGCGTCGGTTGGTGAGTCTGATGGCGGGAAAGTTGTCTCGTGTGTTGTGCTTCGTAGCGAAGGTCTCGGTAAAATTGTCCGAAAGTCTGATCGGAAGATCGTTCAGGTTCAGACCTTTTTGTCTCGTGATCTGCATAGCAGTGCAACTAGCCCTAGAGAATGACTTGCATTCCATTGTCTTTGAAACTCCGAGGTTGGGTGGTGATGCATCACTTGTTGTCGTCCTCTCGTATCTTGGAAGATTGTAGTTGTATGCTCTTCCCTGACCAGCCAGCCCACCACTTGTCGTCCAGTTTCAGTCTGTCTTTCGGTCCGAACAGGGAAGATGATAGTAGACGAAGTCGAGTGCCTCCTCAGCCGTTGAAGATCAGTGTTTCCCAAAGTAATATGGAAATCGAACGATGTTCTCCCCGGGCGAGATCCGATGAGCACAGCATGGAGAGGTATAGTGTTGATAGTTGATCGGCATATCGCGAGACGATGCAATTGGAATCTGCCGAGTTGAAACTTCTTGGTTAGCTTTGGAGCAAGTAGAGGCATGAAATTTTGTGCGAAAGAGATGAGACGACCACCTACTGCTGAACAAATGAGCGTGCGCCGGAGGTTAACATCGGGTTGATTGACACGCCATAGACTTGTGCGATGTTGTTGTTGTCAGTTGTCCCTGATGGTACGCAGGTAATGGAGGAAAAGAGAGAGAGAGAAGAGAAAATTTGCCCTTATCTCAGTCAGACCAGTTCCACTCCCTGAAGACCTCAGAAGGGAAAGAACGTTGGGTGGGTGTCGAAGGCAAAATTCCCTGGGTCGTACCCGTCGAATATGCATGAGACACCATGTTCAAAACGGGAAAGAACTCTGAGCGAGGTTCACTTGGAACGGAAGACTAGAGCATTCTATCGTCCATGCATCAGTATACCTACCTCTACTCGTAGCTACCTCTAGGTAGACTGTCGAAAAACCCTCTCTCACCCGTTTGCGCCACGCTATGGTATCTCACCTAATGGTGAAGCCCTCTCTGCAACCCAAACATGCCATGAAACAGTAAAACCGCTTTAAAACAAACCAACATCAAGAAGAGAAAGAAGCGCCATGGAGATCCCGGAGATGAATCCTCACGGTGACCAAGAAATCAACCTACTCCTTCTTGGCCACGCTATCAAAGCACTCCTTGATACTCGTGGCACTCCTCCTCAACGCCTCCTTCTCCTTCTCATTCAACAACAGCTCCACATCCTGATGCGCACCCTTGCTGTTAAGCTTGCACGGCATGCTCAGCGCCACACCCTCCACGCCGGCATAGTTACCCACTCTCGACACGGTAACCAGCTGATCGGCATTGGTAATGATCGGCTCCAAGATGCTCACCAAGACACTAGCCACACCGTAATTCGTCTTGCCCTTCCTCTGAATAATCTCGTACGCGGCCTCGCGCGTGCGCTTGCCCAGGGCCTCCATATCCTCCTCGTCGTACGCGATGCCCTTTTGCTTGCAGTAGTCCTCCAGGCGCATGCCGGCGATGCTGGCGAGCGACCACACGGGCAGCTGGCTGTCGCCGTGCTCGCCGACGATGACGGCGTGCACGTTGCGCGGGTTGACGCCGTAGTGCTTGCCGAGCTCGTGGCGGAAGCGGGTGGTGTCCATGGCGGTGCCCGAGCCGATGACGCGCTGGACGGGGAATCCGCTGAGCTCGTGCGCGGCCTTGGTCAGCACGTCGCACGGGTTGGTGGCCACGATCAGGATCGTGTTGGGCGCGTGCTTGGCGATCTGCGGCACGATCTGCTCGAACAGGCCGTAGTTGGTCTTGACTAGGTCCATGCGCGTCTGCCCGGGCTTCTGGTTGACGCCCGCCGTGATGATGACCGCTGTGGCCCCCGCGCAGTCTTCGTACTCGCCTACGCTGACTTTGGCGTGCGCGAAGTGGGCGGCGTGCGAGAGGTCCATGACCTCGCCGAGGGCGCGGTTCTTATCGATGTCGATGAGGACGATCTCGGCGGCGAGATGGCTGAGGAGGAGAGCGTAGGCGGTGGTGACACCAACGGAGCCGGCGCCTACGATGACGACCTTGATGGACTGAGATTCTTGTCAGTAAAGCGCTTGATATCGATGACTGAGATTCAGATGTAACTCACCTTGGCATGGCTCTCGATCTCCGTGATTGGTACCGACATCTTTGCTGTTGTTTGTGTGAGCGAAGTGTTGAATATGTCCTGATCTCCGTGATGGACTAGGTAGAACGGTTGAGATAGACCCGGGGAAGAGATGGTCTATTTGTTGTAGGAAGCAGTAGGATGTCGTTTGAGTAGGTATGACGACAAATTTGTTGCCTCGTTGTTGCTTTCCGCAGAGCCATCTTATATGGAATTCAGATCAGATTCAGGCACCGCCTATTTGGGACGGAGCCCGATTGGGTACCCGTGCCAACATTGGATGACACCATATCTCGGTCCCTATCTCGGTCCCGATGCAAAGCTGAGTGGTTGACAAAGGGTGAGGCTCCCGTCAGATCGGCCTGTTGCAGGACTGCGCAGCTTGTCTAGTCGTGATTGGGAAACAAACAGAGAGTCTAGGTGGCCGTCCAGCGGAAAAGTCGCCTGATTTCGCGGTGGTCTGGGCAGCGATAAACGCCGTGCCTCACTGGTGGACTAACAGCCAAGACAAAAACTCCATCACGATCCCCTATCCGAGCCTAGCTCCCGTTCCCTAGGGCTGCTGTACTGGGCTGTGGCGGCTTGGCCACCAGCACCCACCGATTTGGAATCCAGGACTCGCCGTCGCTATCCAAGTTTCACCTGCTCGAATCATTTTGATGGCACCAGGCCCTCGTACAATAGGTACCTAAATCAGTCGATGCGAATGTCTTCGCTGTTGGCCGAAGGTTGACGAGTATGGTGCGGGTGAGTCACTGTTTGACCTTTTCGTGCGGGTACGCGCTGAAAGCTGAGGATCTGAGTTTGTGGTCATACATTCATTTCGCTTCGTTGTCACCTCGGACGGGGGACGAGAGAAAACAAAACAACAGGTCATGGAAACATTATGGACGACGTGTTTGAAAACAGAAAACTCCGATTGTTCAAATGCAATTGAAGGGTATCACGACAACAACAATCATGCAATCCAGAACCAGATCTTCTCCAACCAGTTCTTCGGAACCGGGTCCACGTCATTCGCGCACATATCGTCCATCTCCTTCTTGCCCGTCAAGACATCAATCTCACCAGCGGGCTTATGGAACCGCGTCCTGTGCCAGATCTTGTGGCCAAAGTACAGGACAAGGAAAGCAGGCAAGGTGATGTACGCCGCAAGGAAATCCTTGTAGTTCCAGTGGACAAACACCTGAAATCCGTTTGTGAGCGTCAAGATGCTGATCATGACCAGCGCAAACCAAGCCGCATATGGCTGACCCGGAGTTTTGAAGGGCAGTGTCGCCAAGAGTCCCTGGACTTTGAGCGCCTGACGGAATCGAAGATAAGTGATGAGAAGAACGATCCAGCCGATGTATCCTGAGATGGTGGAAAGGTTGGAGAACCAGGTAAACACCTGAGCGCCGTTGTTGGATACGTTCAGGTACGCAAGCAAGGAGAATGCCCAGGTCATCAAGACGGCGGTATATGGAACACCACGCCTGGTGGTTCTGGTGAAAATGGCGGGGGCTTGGCCGTTTTGGGCCAGCGAATACAGGATGCGGGATCCCGAGTACAAGAACGCGTTACCAGCGGACCAGGCAGAGGTCAGAATGGCAGCGTTGATAACATGGTTCAATCCACTGATACCGGCGAGCTGGATACCAATAACCCAGGGACTGGCGCTGGCGTCTGAGGAGCCGGAAAGTAGGTGCTTGTTATCCGAGGGAACAATGCAGCCTACGATCAAGGAGCTGATACCATAGAAGACGGCCAGACGACCCAGAAAACGGCGGGCAGCCTTGGGAATGTTGCGTCTAGGTGCGACAGTCTCACCAGCAGCAAGGCCGATGAGTTCGGGGGAGGTGATGAAGCTGAACCCGGCGCGGATGAAGGCTGTCCAATATGCGGCAAACCTGCCCGTGGCACCAGGTGCGAGATACTCTTTGAACGCTCCCGGATCGTTCCAATAGTGGAAACCTAACCGCTCGTGGTTTGGTCCGCCTCCCAGCATGATGACGAGACCAACAATGATGAGCCCCATGATGGTGATGAACTTGATGCTGGCAAACCAGAACTCGGCCTCGCCAAAGACCTCGACCGCAATGATATTCAAGACCAGGTTGACAACGAGGATGATGGTGATCCAAGCCCAGGTGGGAACTGGTGTGTCCCAGTAGTTGAGGAGGATGGCGCCGGCGGAGGCTTCAGCAGCAACAAGGATGGCGTACGCATACCTAAGACGGTCACGTCAGCTGGACTGCGCATATCAATCCCTCGGTCCCAAAAGAAACTCACCAATAATTCCATCCAGCGGCAAACCCTAAACTGGCATCGACGAAGCGCTCGGTGAAGTATGGTAGTGTGATGCCTCTAAGGGGAAGGTATGTGCTCATCTCGCCGATGCAGTTCATGACGATCCAGACAAGAAGCATCATGGAGAGATATGCCAGCCATAGCGGCGCTGGGCCAACGGTGGCTAGGATACCACCCGAACCGACGAAGAGACCTGTTCCGATACTGGGAAGAAGAGCATCGTTAGCAAATAATTTAAGGAATGTGGCCTTTGGGACAGGATTTGTAGCCTACGCTCCTCCCAAAGCCAAAAACTGAATGTGTCGACTCTTGAGACCTCTCTGCAATTGGTGGTTGGCATCTAGAGAGATGGTACCGTCGATAACCTGGCCTTGGTTGTTGGAAGAAGCCACATCCAAGACCTCGCCGCCGCCCTGCTTCTCGGCGAAGCTTCCATCGCCGTATTTGGACATGGCGACCGGATCAGAGCCTTTTGAAGGCACAGACGTTGGATTCGAAATTGGCCGAATGCTGAGTTTGTGACGCAAGATGGTGTTCGTGATGGTTGTCTTTGGTGTAGCAGTCAGACGAAGCCCGCGGCGAGGGAGACGGACAAGACACAACGGACCAACAATAACCAGAAGAAGAGAAGAAGGGAGACAACTTAAAAGTCTTGAATCCCGACTTGTGCGTCGAGGTCAGCGGCGTTCTTATGGTAGCATTTTGAAGATAAGATCGGCAGGGTTTATTCCATTCTTTGGAGAACATGTCCGAATCTGTCGTCTGAATCCATGGCAGCCATGCCCGAGCCCAGCACCACTAGGCCCTTAGTGCAGCGCATTTCCTCCACTGGCGATGCAGTGCAACTCGGTGCAGTTGGCATATTCAGGCACTATCACGGGGCGTTGCAGTACACAGTAGGGGGGGCACCGAGTGGCCGGCGATAAGCGCATCTATCCATGACCTGGGATATTCTTAATCTCTATCAGCCAAGAAGCCACACGAGTCAAAGAGACCTAAACAAATCCGGTTGCGGAAGAAGATCCATTGAGGATACCGATGGGCGGATCAAATCCGTTGGGAGAGAATAGAGCCGTGATTACCCCGGATTTTTGGGTGGAGAGGAGGCATCCGTATCGCCGACGAGAGGTGATGGTTTACCTAACAGTAAATGTCAGATTCAAGCTCTCGGTGAAGAAAAGAGGTTGGCGACCTTGGCGTGGTTCGAAGAAAAAGCGAAATCGGTAACGGTCAAGACCAAAAACCGTAACGGTCAAGACCCGGGGCAGCTTTTTGCGCCCAAGTCGCAGCGCATTAAGCCTTGACCCACATTTGCCGCACGATCATTGGGCAGGGCAGCAAAGGGCTAGAGTCTTGAAGTCTTCAGCGAAACCACCATCTACAACTTCATGGCATTTTCACCCCAAACCCCTCGCGCCAACTCCTTTTTTCGCCATAAAATATGAGGATACTAAGATGCCCGGTTTGGCGGATCTATGTCGCCTAAAAGAATCATCATTTTAACGGCCTTTTTGGGTCGAGATACTACGCTCCGGAGAGGTAGACTTAGACGTTGCGCGGGTCTTGACCGTTACTGTTTTTGGTCAATACCGTTACCGATTTCGAAGAAAAAGAAAGCAAGAACTGCCGTTGGGATAAGGCCGGCCGGACCACCTTCCCTTTCCAGTTATCTCCAGATGCTTGGCCGGGAAGCGGTGGGGTGCGCCGTTTAGGGTTTCCTTTCAGCGGGGATGGCCCTGGCGTGCCTGGAGATAGCGCCCCGTGGAGTCCAGTCTTGGGGAACTTGGGGTCCGGGCTTTAGGTAATCTCTCCAATTTCAACACCATCAAAATTCAATGACAGCGAAATACACCGGGAACAAATGAACCAAAAAGGCTTCGAATCCGTGCCAAGATGACCAGCGAGAGGCTATTCCTGACTTTCTGGCTCTCTTGCAAGGAGGTGGCATGATACCCCAACTTACCCCGCACGCAGTTCCATTCGTCCTGTTCAAAGTCGGGGTACCTTAAGCGACCCCTCGGGCGGCGCTGTGCCAAATGATATATATCCTGAAAACCTCGTGGTGGTCGCCTCTTCAAATCCAGACACGGGCAAAGGGATGACGTCGATAACAGTATCTTGGGTGTGGGATGAGTGTTGCGATTGAAACGACAAGACATAATTTGGGAGAGCTCTGGACTCCACTGGTAGTCAGATTCTAGTCTTCGTATCGCCGACCGAACTGATAAGACACTATATTCAGTTCAGTCGATACTTTCTCATGAAAACATGACGAGAACCGCAAATCAAACCCGGAGGCGAGTAAGGTAGCTTTGGATGACCGACCGATAGACGACGGGAAAGCACTCACAATGATGTTGTTTTCCAGTCGGATAACAACGCAGAGTTCAGCCACCATAACCAGCCATTATGCCATCCCACTGAGAACATCGAAAATCAAACAAGCCTCTAGAAATATTGAAATCTAGACCACCTTCAAAATGTTCACCCGACTCGATACCGGCCCCGCCCCGTCGACGTGATGAGCATCTCAAGCATCATGTCCCGCTGAGCCCGTCTGTTGAGTCAAGCCATGTGCCGACTTGCCATGACTTTTACTCCGCAATCACGGCCTAAAACCGGAGCGGCGATCGCTCCGGAACCACCCAAACTGTACCAAACCGTGACTAACGATTGCCGCTGGTGCCGCTGATTATCTTATCTGATCCGATTCATCTCCGCATTGAGACCCTTTTATTTACGCGGGCGGCAACCCTCTACCGAGAAACCGGAAGTGTGAACTGTATTTGCACTCTTGCGTCTCAAGACTACGACACAGCACCTACACGTATACTATCTTGGTCTCAATATTTTTTCTTCTTTTTTCTCTCTTTTTTATCCAAATTTAACAACGACAAACACCAACATGGCCAAAACAACTCTCTTCACCAACGGCCGCATCTTCCTCTCCCCCCTCTCCCCCGGCCAAAACGCCGGCCTCCACACGCCCCCCTCCTTCGCCTCCGCTCTCCTCATCCGCAACGACACCATCCTCCACGTCGGCTCCCCGCAAGATGAACCCATCACCACCGCCCTTTCTTCAACAGAAAACGACAAAGTAGAAACCATCGACCTAGCCGGCCACTCCCTCCTCCCCGGTTTCATCGACGGCCACATGCATCTCATGATAATGGGCCAGTCCCTGACCAAGCTCGACCTGGGCCCCTGCAAATCTCTTTCCGACATCCAATCCACCATCCGCTCCTACGCCGCTGCTAACCCCGATGTGCCGAGGATCTTGTGTCGCGGGTGGATGCACTCCATGACGCCCGACGGAGTCACAGCCAAGGACCTGGATGGGTTAGACGTCGAGGGAAAATACCGGCCGATCCTGGTGGACACCAAGGATTTACACTCGGCTTGGTGCAACACCGCCGGCATTAAAGATCTGGGCGCCGACGAGTGGAAGGATGTTCCGGGGGGAACTATTGAGAGGGATGCGACGACGGGGAAAGTGACGGGTGTGTTCAACGAGGCGGCCAACATCACGTACGTGTGGCCGTACCTGGCACGGGTGGCGACGGTGGAGGAAAGGGTTGCTGCTATCCAGGCGGCCGTGGAGGCCTATCATTCCGTGGGGTACACGGGGGCGATTGATATGGCCATGGACGAGGGGGCGTGGGATGCGTTGCAAGAACTAAGAAGACGGTCGTCGGACGGGAAGGAGGGCATTCCGTTGCGGATTGCGGCTTATTGGTTGGTTAAGCCGGGGAAGAATGACGAAGAAAACGTGAGGCAGGTGGAGAGGGCGATTGAGCTTGCCAAGGAGTTCAACAGCGAGACGACGCCCGATTGCAGGATTGTCGGGGTCAAAGTTATTTGTGATGGCATCATTGACGCTTGCACGGCGGGCCTGTCGGAGCCGTACGAGCATAATGGGCATAGGGAGGTGCCGCTTTGGACGGCGGAGCAGTTGGAGCCTGTGGTCAAGAGGGCAGATGAGGCGGGACTGCAGGTGGCGTTGCATGCGATTGGGGATGAGACGATCAAGACGGTGTTGGACGTGTTGATTGCGCACGCGAGCCCGGAGAGGAGGCCGCGCGTGGAGCACTTGGAGCTGTCGAGCGAGAGGGATGCGGAACGGCTGGGTAAGGCGGGCATCACGGCGTCGATCCAGCCGGTGCATGCGGACCCGGCGATCCTGAGGGCGTGGCCCAAGTTGTTAGGGGCGCATAGGTGTGGAAGGGCTTTTGCGTATCGCGAGTTTGCGGATCACGGGGCGCCGTTGGCGTTGGGAAGCGATGCGCCGACGGCACCGCATGCTCCGTTGCCTAATGTGTATGTCGGAACGACGAGGAGATCGTACCGCGAGCCAGACTACCAGACGACGGTCAACCCGCACTTTGCTCTAGGAGTGGCTGAGGCAGTTGCTGCGGCGTCTCAGGGTGTGGCGTATAGCTGTCGTGACGAGAACAGGATAGGAAGACTGGAGAAGGGAATGAAGGCCGACTTTACCATCGTGGACATGGAGTGGGAGAAGGAGAAGCTGAAGGAGGCAAAGGTCCTGGAAACGTGGTTTGCTGGCAAGAAGGTCTGGTCGGCAAAGAACTGATGAAGAACATCAGCGGGATATTGTCTTGTTTTTCGGATATCAAAATATCAAACTTGGCAAGCCTTGCATGTTACTCATAAGGCCAGTATCGCCTAGGCCAGATGTTCATCGCCGTCTTGAGCCCATCCCCAAGTGGAAGTCCAGCATGGGTTGTCCGTTCATCACCAGTCCCGTTGGCATGAAGGTTAACCCAGAAGATAGCATTGCCAGCAACCGGTCTGAATGCCAACCCTCCATCCTCATGCTCCCGCCAAAGAGGCTTCAACTCGGTCGCGTTCTTTAGCTTTTGATCCTCCAGTCCGCCACGCCACATGGGTTCATTCCACGGACTCGGCAATACAATGGGCTTCGCATGTGGGAAGTGTGTCTCGCCTTTGGTGCAGTTGTCCTGAAGGATGGCAAAGAAACTGGCAACGCGATTCCACACCCTGTTGCTGCCGTCGTTGGCTAACAGCGGCCTGTCGAACCAGTCGTGATGAACGTTGAACCTCTGACCGGCCCGGTACCGAACCAACTGCGGTGGTCCCATCTCGTCCCAGCCATCCCTCAACATCGTTCCCATGAACCCTCGCGCCCGATTCAACACGCACTTGACGGCAGGGTCATGGCGTGGTAGTCCAGCCGAACTCGACGTGCGGTCTTGCGTCTGTTGTTGACGGCCATGCTTGGTTACCACCGATGGTTTGAACATGGGTTCGGCTGTGTCGAGGAGTGAGGTGATCTCCGACGGTGTTATGAGGTTGTGGATGTATATGATCAAGGGGTCGAGAGAGACGAGCTCGGTCCTGTATGGATGGGAAACATCACAGAAGAAAGGATGTTGATGTTCTTCTGTAGATTTTGTTGTGTTCCGGAAGAGTTTCAGGGGCTTTGCGAGAGGATGGTCAGGTATAGGAAGGTCAGCGACCAAGGAGGTGAGTGATGAGATCTGGGGGGCAAAAGTCTCGGACAGGTATGGTACACTCAGGGCAACCAGAGCTGTCCAAGCCGATAAACCGGCGACTTTACTGAAGATGATACCATACATCCTAGGTTTTGCTTTCTGGATTAAGCAGTAACCCATCAGTCAGGAGTGAAAGAAGGACGAAGGGGGCAGAAGGATTGATATGGCAATATCAACCACCAGAGCAACTCCGGTCCATATGCCGATGATTTCATTTTCTGCGCATGGTCACATATCTCCTCCTCCCATTAGGGTATGACAGCGGAACTGAATCCAGTAGACCTCACAGGCCCGGAAAACATTGCCGAGAACCGTGAAGATATTTCATAAGAGCATCGAGATGGTGGTGATGGGCATCCAAACATGGTTCGATGTGGCTGTAGAGTACCACAGTCGTCGTTACCGCTTTCCCTAAACTTGCACACCTCTTGGCTCTTTTTGGACAGAGCGGAAGTCTCGACGCCGACGTACATGCGGAGCTGTTCGTTTTGGGAGGGTGACCTTGATCTTTGGAGTTTTGGTTCTTTGGAACTTTCGGTGACTTTGAATGCTACGTCGACGTTAAGGTAGTGGAACGCAACCGCTAACTGTTAGCGGGGAAGGTACCTGGGTACTTGGTTACCTAAGCGAGCATGTACCACTGTAAATCAGCTGACCTGGCGCTTTTGTACCTCTACGCGCTGTCCAAGCTTAGGTTATCGGACATCTGCTCACTGCACGGGTACCTTGATGGCCTTCGCCACTGCATCTCCTCGTCATCATCAATCCGGCAGCGGACACTCTATCACCATCCCACCTCCTCTTCCATCTTGGATTGTTTCTTTTGGTCAAAGGACAATTGGAAGTATCCCAACAGGGCTCTTTCTCTTCTTCGACAATATCACCATCGTCCCGGTCGCAGCAATGGGCACCAGCAAGACAGCCGCCTCGAGCAGAAAGCGGAAGCAAGTCGATGATGAACCCACTGTCCCAGACACCGAACAAGTAGCTTCCTCCTCCAAGAAGTCTAAGAAGGATGAATTAGCCCTAGCCACAGACGAGAAGCGACTACGCAGGTACGCATAGTCACCACATGTTTTGGTCCTCAAATCCTTTGGACTGCTAGCTGACTCCCACCCAGATTCCGTGACAAAGCACCCCAAGCATTTGCTGTCATCTACGAACGAGCCACAACCCAACGCTTTTTTGTCCTCTCGCGTAAACGCATACCAGTATGGGACAGCTTCGAAGGCTTCGAGGAGGAAGTGGAAATTGCAGGTTCGACAGGCAACATCTACACCGTGACGATTGCCCGACAGCCGACTTGCACCTGCCCCATGGGCGAGAAGAACGAGCAGTGCAAGCACATCATCTACGTGCTGGCCCGGGTACTGCGAGCCAAGTACGAGTACGTTTACCAGCTGGCATTGTTAAGCTGCGAGCTCGAAGAGATCTTTGACAACGCCCCTCTGATCGTGGAAGACGGGGACAGTGCTGCAACAGGGGAAGGTGACAAGAAGAGGAAGCCGATTGAAGGGGATTGTCCCATCTGCTTCAGCGAGATGGAGGTACACAAGCCCGAGGAAATTGTCTGGTGCCGTGCGGCATGCGGCCAGAACATTCACAAGGAGTGCTTCGAGATGTGGGCTGCCACAAAACGGAAGCAGGCTGGTGGAGCCAAGGCGGAAGTCACTTGTCCGTACTGCAGAAGTGTCTGGGAAGGTAATGATGATATGATCAAGAAGATCAAGAAGGGGAAGCCAACTTCGGAAGGATACGTGAATGTTGCTGACCAGTTGGGGATTAGCCAAGTACGAGATACCAGTACGTACCACTATGGGGGTTCGAGGTCGGGATACACTTTTGGCAGGAATAGGAGCAGGCGGTACCGGTATTAATTGAGGGAGTGCCAGCTTAGGCTTCAGACAGGAAGGGAGTGTCGACCGCCTGGCTGGCGGATATCATGCCGCCAGAACACCTGCTTGATCTACCAGTCCGGTTGCAGAAACACAGCTAGGACCAAGACAGCAAGGCAAAGTTGATTTTGCGTTTTTTTACAGGAGGGTGTCTTGGATACATGTTCATCCGCCTTGTTGGGTATATGACACTCGATTCGAATTAACGCAGCATACGATAGTCTTGGAATTAATTTCAACCAACACTTTGCCACCGCATGTTTTCCACAATATCTCAACGACAAGTCCAACATGATATACATGGTATGGACCTCCACTCATTACGCCTGACCACAAGTCCACACTAACTGCGTCCGTTAGTTCCCCCCAATCAAGTCCTTCATTCGCGCAGCCAACATAATCATGCGCGCTGCATCGGCAACTCTCTCTTCTGTTATCTCTGCAGTAACCACCGCATTGGATTTCGATGGTCGTGAGGACACCGCCTACCGCCAAGCAGCCGAAACCGTCCTCCAGGCATTCCTCAATATGGATTCGGAGACATTCGAATTCACTTACATCGACCCTGATGCCAACCTTGACGTCGGCCTTGGGTCCTACCTCCTCATACACGTCACCTATACAGTGATTGGGGGAATTGTTTTCCTTTTGGCACGGAAGTGTAGAGACCCGGGAATTCAAGAAGAACTGGTGCGTCGCTGCCCAAATCTGCCTTCTCTTTTCAGAGGCGTCGATAACAGGGTCTTGGGACGAGGGTAGATCTGGTTAAATGCAAAAGGAAGTCGACCTGATGGGAATGTTTGTTATCCCTCCATCCAATCTTCGATATTCGGTCTTGGATAAGCAGAGGCTGTGATGGGCTAAGTAGAAAGGCGGACAGTGCTGCTCTAGGGGGCCGTACATGGCTACCTATCAACATGCCTCTACCCATTTTCACCATTGCGAAAGAATACGGTACAGAGCGAACTGAACGAGATGGCTGGATAATTGGATTACGAATTGGGTGGGATATGACCGCGTTTTGGTTTGTCAACAAATGTAGCGTCAGGCAACAAATTATTGTTTAGCATTAGGTACGTAGCAATCAATCATAGTTCCGATTAACATTAAGCAACAAGCTGCTATCCTCGCCAATACACACAAGTATCATCTAAAAGCCATGCTGACCAAGGAAAACACAGCTACAAAGAACCTATGGATGTTCTAGTCATTTTCGTGAAAAACATGCCTACACGACAGAATAACGACGCCGAGTAAGGCGCCGATGGGAAAAGACAATATCACTCATTTGGCTTCCATCCTTTCGAGCCGGACGTTACCATGAAAAGGTGCTCAGGCGTACCCGGGCAGCCCTTTCATAGCGCTGAGGGGAGGGGAGGGGAATCAACGCTAGGGAAAAAAACCGCTTGGTAGAAAAACCCCCGCTGGGAAAGGGGGCCGCTTGGTATCGGGAAAAGGGAGAGGGCCCGGATTGCTGGAGTCAGTGTAAAGCAACGCTAGGGTGAAACGAACGCCGAACTTACCCACGAGAGGGAGGGCTTTTCCCACAACCAAGCTAAGCGGTCTCTTTTACCAGCGAGCGGGTCTTCAACCAACCGTTTCTTCTCAGGGACTTTTGTAGCGCACGGAAGGTGCCCAGGGAACTTGCCCAGAACATCCCTCCGTGCGCTACAAAAGGCCTTGAGAAGAACCAGTTGGTGAAAAATCCGTTGGTAATAGAAACCGTTCGCTTGTGGGAAAGGAACGCTGGGTGGGGTGTGGGAAGAAAAGAGGAAAACCAGAGAACGAAGTCCTGGGGACCCGGCGGTCCTTATATATGTCTTTCTTAGTTCTTATGCAAGACATGGACCACGAATAACCTCCTGGCAACTTCTAAGAGTCATCGTGAAAAATTCCGACCTGATGCGTTATGCAGCTCTTCGATATGAGGCATACCTACACTAGGGAGAACATGTCTAAATGCAGGTCGTTGGCTTGGCGTGGCGAGCAGTGTCAGCTTCAATGTCAGCATTTGGCGGTATACGGACGGAATTCCGAGACGTGATTATGCGGGCAGGAATTCACGCGTGAAGACAGCGGAGATATGACGATGGAATATTTTGTACGAAAGGCCATGTACCACAAAGGGCGTGCACCTACCTTATCTATCTGTCTGTCTGGATAATGAATGCCCTGTATCTAAACCATATCCCACTGATGGCCACCATTATTCCCATGCCCTGATCTAGGTCCGTAGCCATCCCGGTGACGAGTCCCATCATTCCTCCCATCATCGATACCATTCAACCAAGCTCCAATAGTCGAGAAGAACCTGGTTGACCTAGCTCTGAATCCACCACCACGATGCTTACTTGTATTGCACTGTTCATCATCATCGCGTCGTCCATGTCCTGAACCTGAACCAATGCCCCAGACACCAGGCCATCGTGTAATCCGTGCCCCACTGTCCTTTCCAGCACCCCTTTGAGCACCCCGTGTCTCTTTTACTTCTTGCTTCGATCCCCGCCCCCATCCCCACTCCCGCCCTTGTTGTTTTCCCTCTGTCGGCCCTTCCGGCTGCCACTCCGTCCACCCCTCTATCTGTCTCCCCGGTGCCCTACCCGCCGGTGGTAAAGGCGAAATAGGAATCTCCTCCAACTCAATCACCGCATCCCCATCTAGATCCCCGCTCCCACTCCCCTCCTCCTCCGTGATCCCCTCCAACCTTTTCAACGTCTCTTTATCAACCAGTCGCAACGTCGTCCTCGGTCTCGGCGGCAGGCTGTACTTCACCCCGGCGGCGCCAGAAGAAGAGCGCGCAGGATGGCAGAGACCGTAGTCTGGCGAGGGAAGGTCGCGATGGTCGAACCGGGTATCGTCGTAGATGGAGGGGCTGGAGTAGACGGAGGAGGTGTAGGAGTCGTGTCCGTGTCCGTGTGTTTGTGCTTCATGGCTTGGGCGGCCAGGGGTGGTGTTCTCGTAAGGGTTGGATTCGACTCTCGGAGGTGCGGGATCGGGATCAGGATCGGGGTGGAGAAGTGTAGGGCTGGACGCCGCGATGTTGGAGTTTGGGAGGAATAGGAAGCCGGAAGGGCGTTGTTTCTTCTTCCACTTCCTTTGTGTTTGTGCTTGGGGGTTGTACCGGCCGGTGTTGGTGAAGGTTGCCCAGCTGTCACGGTCGGGGTCGGGGTCGGGGTCGGGGTCGGGAGGGTTCCGTTGAGCAAAGTAAGTAGTATACAGGTCGCGGTAATAAGGAGCATCAGCCAAGTCGATAGATGCCGATGATCGGCCTTCCAACTGGTCCAGAGCGGCACTGCGCGCCTGGAGGACGGGAATAGGAATCGGCTTGGGTGGTGGCTTGGTGGTGGTAAGTTCCCGATTGTTGGCAAGTCCTCCTGCTCGGTATTGCTGTTGTTGTTGCTGGTTTGGGTTGGGATTCTGCTCCCCTCCTGATCCTGTTGCTCCTTCCCGACTTGACGATGTCCATGCGCCCCCGCCCCCGCCGCGTCCCTAACTGCGGTTGTAGTTGTCGACCTTGCCGTTCCCTCCTTGGAGCACTGCGTTGCCGAGTGAGCGTCCTTGAGAAGTGCCGTGCCCGTAACCAAGCGAGCTGTCGACTCTCGGGGTGCAATCATACCGGCTTGCGCGCGGGCCATGTCTATTTGCCATATTGACCCGATATGGGTCCCCGAATATCTTGCTCTGGTGGGAAGTATCACCATCCCTCCTGCCATCATCATCAGAAACCTCCCCAGGGGTAAGACTTCGTGTGCTGACGTGTACCCTCGGCCGTGGTTGTAACTGCCGCTCTGATCCAGCAACAACAACCTCCTCCAATCCCGCCATAGCAATCTGAGACGATCCACGATGATAATCACCGCTACCCACCGGACCACCCATTGCCCTCGCGCACCATAGTGCCTTGTTAAACTGCGTCTCCTGGGACGTGATAACCCCGATTGAGGCAGCGCTGAGGACGAAAGAAGCGCAGACGACCAGCATAAGAACCCAGAGGAGGTAGAGCTTCGTGCATGACACCCGGCCATTTGGCTCGCCAGAGAAATCCAGGACACCAAGTGGGCCAGCTTGGATGGTAAAGCCATCCTTTGGTTTGACTCGGGGACACTTTGTACCCCCATCGTGGATGGGAAGGCCGAGGAGGACCGAGAAAACGCCAAAGGGGAGGAGGAAGATTAGGTCGGTGACAATGGTGACTTTGTGGGGAAAGTGGCGACGGGAGTAGCCAGACCAGGAGGAGAGGCACCACAGGAGGGAGGCGGTGGTCTGTGATGTTTTGTCAGTCTCTCCAAGGATAACGACGACAAAGGGGCTAGAACATACCACGATCATGATGGCCACGAGGCTTGTGGCTGGGAGTTCACCTGATTTGGTCATGTTACCGAGCAAGCTGCCAACTATGCCTGCCATGGTTGAAAGCGCTATGATAAGGAAAAGACGGGCAAAAAGAAAGACATAGCTGTAGAAGCATTGAGGAATAAGGGACTCGAAGTCCCGAATTGGCGTCGTGCCAGGGGAAGAGTAGCCCATCTTGATGTCATGGGCTCGAAAGTAGCTAATAAAATGGCGTAAGCGAGCGTAGAGAGTGTATGGTCTAGAGAACACCCCTCTTTGATTTGTGGTTTCCGTTCCAGACGGGGTGGTGTTATTTGTGTAGGTCCGTGTCCAAGAAAATGTTTATAGCGAATGTGGCGCGCATCCAGGCGGCTTCATTACTTGAGCGATAGTATTGGAAAACAAAAAGACTCGGGGAAAAGAACTGGAACAGGAAACAGGGAGTAGGGCGTCCGCATGGTAGAGAGCTTGTTAAGTAGACGTTGTGCACGGCTCCGAGATCCAAGCCATTGATGTGTGGATGTTTCGTGTTGCTCACGGCAACAGTATGTGTTCGACGCATTGGTAATGCGTGCGTGCTTTGGTGCTCGCAGTTATTGATCATTTTGGTGGCAATGACTGATCGACTGTTGATGTTGTGATCAGTGTGTCGAGGATATTCGAGGCTGGCTATACGCCGTCATATCGAGGCGAGGCCGAGTGCGGAAGCTTGAGTCACTGGACACATGCTCTGTGATCCATAATAAATCCGTTGTTGAATGAACTGTTTCAGCTCTTGTTGATGAACTGGATGTTGGGATGATGCTCCAGCCCTATGGTACTATGGTAGTTCATAGCATCGGAGGAGGCTAATATGCCGGAAAAACAAAAACAGACGGAAAAGGAAAGAAAAAAAGGGGTATGTCCAGTCCATGACGGGCCGCAGGTGAAACCCAATGAAGGAGGCAAATAGATTCAGTGGTAAGAGTTCCAAAGAACGAACCTCAGGAATGGAAGCTATACGAAACTTACCAGCAAGATGCAACAACATATCGACCCCGACATCGGCGTACTTATCCATGAGCAACTCGGCAGCCGGCATGGGTCGTCTGGAAGTGTGAAAGATGGAGTGAGTGTATACGGGGACTTACAGACCCAAACACTCTTTCACGGACTCGCACACGGAGATAGAAGGTGACAAACACAAGGAAGCCGACGGGAATGTAGCATAATTAGATGTGAAATTTTGCTGCAGACGAAAAGCGCTGCAAGACGCCCGCCCCTACCTCCAATAACATTACTTGAAATATAAATCATTGACTGCTCATCTCCTCTTTGTGTAACTGCGAACCCTCGATCTACTCCAAGAATCCCGCTTCCGTCAGTGAATGACAGCGGTGCCAGATACCCCTTTTTAACAGGTAATTAACCGAGCAGATCGTCCAACCCGTGGTTGCCGCCAGTGGTGGGCCTGCTACCGCTGGTCGGGGTGGAGGGCGCAGGAGTACCCCAAATACCAGCACTGCTCTTCTCCTTGGCCAGCTGTCCGATAGCCGGGCCCTTGGTGGTAGGCGTGCTCTTCTTGATTCCAGCACTAGCCTGCGACCAGAGCGCACCGAAGGCGTCACCGCCAGCGGCCGGCTTGGAGGCAGCTGAACCGGTTGCCTTGGCTCCTGAAAGCGAGGAACCAGTGGACTGGGTCTGCAGCTGTACCGGGGAAAAGTAGTTGGGCTGACTGGCCTGGAAGCTAATTGGCCTGGGGGCCTGGGAGGCGGGCGAAAGGGGCGTGGAGAAAGCCGAGAAGTTGGCAGCAGGAGTCGCGGTGGAGCTGGGAGGAGGAGAGATGGAGGAGAGGGCAACCATGCCGCTAAGGTTGGCCTGTTGAGGCGCCGAAACTGGTTGCGGGGCAGCAAATTGTGTGCCGGTAGAGAAGGACGCGATTGGGGGAGGGATCGCAGAAGCAGACTGAGTGGCGGGGGCTGCGGACTGGAAATCATCGAACTCGTCGTCGTCGTCATTAGCGCCGCCGGCTAGAGACGCAAGCCCAGAGCCGGTAGAAGGTGCGGCAGCGAGGGGCGCGGCCGGGATGGATGGTGCTGCGGGCTCGTCGAAAGAGAACAAGTCGACCTCGGGCTCCTTTTCCTTGGGCGGCTCGGCGGGTGCTATCGTCTTCTTGACACCGGCTCTTTCTGTCGTGGATCGTGTTGTCCTTGGCGCGGTACGAGATGACGCCTCGCCGTCGAAGTCACCGGCGTCGTATTCCTCGAACTGCTCTGCCCGTGCCTGGGTCTCGCGGAAGTCGTTGTTGGAAGGCTGGCCACCAAAAACACCTCCGTCACCATAGACTCCTCCAGAGTAACCACCGTAGGTAGAGCTGCCACCACCACCACCGCCGCTGGATGTGTTTCCGAAACCGCCGTAACGGCCGCTGCTCCCGCTGGAGAAGCTCATGCCACCCGAAATGCCCGTAAACTTGCCCTTGTTTGCGCGGGCCTTCTTGCGCTCGGCTCGGATACGCTCGACATCGCTAAGGAGCTCGGCAAGTTCCTTGGCACGGTTGCGGACGTTGACACCCTGGTCTTTGCCGTTCTGATCGATGAAATGGAACTGGCGCAGCATCTTGAGGAGGGTAAGATGCGACCGAGCATCGTCGACCACTCGTTCGGAACCGTGCTTGATCAAGTACTCTAGTAGTTGAAGGGCCTTGTAGATCTGGCGCCATTCCTCGGCGGACTTTTCTGTGAAGCGACGGTAAATCATGGGCATGATCTCGTTGAGTGTTTGGCTAATAGCAAGGAGAAAGACACAAGTTAGCCGCGTTCGTTTGGTTCACATAGTTCTCGAGGACGTACTAGTTGAAGGTACCGTCGGCGATCTCCTGCATCAAAGTCGACGATGCACCCCAGGGTTCATTGTTGGTGGCCTCGCGCACCTTGGACTCCATCTCGGTATAGTTCATGACAGCTGTTTGGAGCCATTGTCAGCATCTTTCATGCGGACTGGACTGAGTAGTCACCAACCATTTTGAACCTTTCGCACGCCGGCCTTGATGTCGTAGAGTGTCAGGTTGGACACGGTATCCTTGAGGCTGTTGAAATCCATCGCGAAGCGTGTCTGTCGCCGGAATTGCTGGGAATTGTTCTGGTGGGCTAATCCTCAAGATCTGAGCCTTGCGGTGATAATTGCCAGAATGTAGCTTGCAAGGAGATGCTGTGGCGACTTGGTGGTTTCGTTCAAGATGATCGCTTTCAGGGCGACGTTTCACGGTCCTGTCGGGATCAGATGGACATTGGCCTCTCCGCCCTGGGCGTCTGGAGCGCTAGGGTGCCGCTGAGCCGCTGACCACGGCCCCTGTGCTTGACCCGACACACTGACGCCAAGAAACCAGTGGAACCCAAGAAGACTGCCAAGACTTTGAATGCATGGCCCGAGCGTCTCAGCTTCTGCAAGCCTGAATCATCAGGCAAGAATTCCACTTGGTTGCCGGGCCGGCCGACAACGCGGGGCGGCGGGCGACGCTCGGCCTCCGGAGCTTCCATGCGTTTTGGATGGAGTAAAAATTGACAAACACCCGACCCGACTCCGTTCTCCTTCTCGTCTCTGGTCTTCGTTGTGCATCCATCGCCCGTGTAGCATCTCCATCGTTCGTTTGTTCGTACGTTGTTCAAGTATATTACTACCGACAATCATCTAGGATTTCATCCTCAAAATTGGTACGTTATCGTTTTCTCTCGTCGCTATCACCGGACCTCTGCCTGTTTTCCTTTGAGCCTTTTCTGTCTACAAGAGCTCTCCCTGTCGGCTGGGAGCTTGCCCAAAGCTTACAGCTCTGGGAGCTTCCATTCTCGGGATTTCTTGGCATCAATCCAACTCGAATGCCCTCTTTCATCCACGCTCGAGATGAAGGGTGAGGTTTGTCGGTTTGACAATACCACTGCACCGCCCTTTGGTTCCTACCTCAGACATGGCCATCAAGGTCGTCATGCCGTCCCTAACAAGAGAGTATCGTCCATTGGCCCCGCAATGTCGTCAATGGCTGCATGGAGGGGGCGTTGACAGAGGGGGACTCCAAATGACGAGGCAATCGCAACGTTATGAAGACACAACAAGCCATGGAGCCATGGGTCTACGATCCTTTGGCCCGGGTGTCTTTGAATACTAGCTTTTGCCAGCACTTTAACTGCCAACTATTCAGCCATCCATCCCACACACGGGTGGTGGCATTTTGGATGTCATTGTCAGCGTCGTCAACGCCAACCTTCTTGGAGACTCGGGGGAAGCGCCAACACCAGATGGCAGCTGTTTACTTGTTGGTCTGGTGTTCCTGAGCCAACGAGCCAATCCGAAGCCCACATGCGCCAAACATGACACTTGCAGAGGCGGCTCATGCCACTCCACGTTGTCAAGCTGAGATCAGTCGCCGCACTGGCAATTGGCAAACGAGACCGAACTGCCCGAGTCGCAGCATCCAGTCACGTGGCAAGCAGCTACGTACCTTCTCCGCCCCCCACTTCCAGATTGGCTGACCCCTCATTTTAGTTGAAAATGTTTGGACCCCGCCATTTCTCTGTCCTTAAGACAACAGGTTCTCTCGTCTCCTCGACTTTCTCGTCATCTCTCAAGCCCACTGCAACTTTCTCCTGCGCCAGAGCTTTTTCGCAAACATCCAGCATCATGTCCAAGGTGTAAGTCCTGCCGCCCCTCCAGCTCCGCGCAAACCTAGAAGCTGTGCCTACCTACCTCTAGCTTGACTGACCTGCATGCTTTAGTTTCTTCGATATCGAGTGGGAGGGTCCCGTCCTCGGCCCCGACAACAAGGCCACCAGCACGACCAAGGGTAGGTCGACTCTCCTCCATCTGCTTTGTCTTCATCAATCAAGCTCAGACAGTTTGCGACGGTCGCTGGGACTTCACCTGGACGATTGTCGTCGTTCGCAATGAGCACCACGTCGTCCGGTGTTGCCGCAGCCCCCAAGCTCCTGAACTACCCCTCCATACTGGTGCCCCTGAATCAGAACGCCCGCACTTAGCCTCACCGCCCCCCGCCCCGCCCGTCAACCGTCATGTCATGCCCATCTGATGTCTAACTCCCAATGCAGTTCAGAATGGCCGCATTAACTTCAAGCTCTACGACGACGTTGTCCCCAAGACCGCCCGCAACTTCAGGGAGCTCTGCACTGGCCAGAACGGCTTCGGCTACAAGGGCTCTTCTTTCCACCGCATCATCCCCGAGTTCATGCTCCAGGGTGGTGACTTCACCCGTGGCAACGTAAGTCCATACCCGCCCAGCAAGCTATCGAACAGAAAAGATCAATACCTAACCTTTCAACACAGGGCACTGGTGGCAAGTCCATCTACGGCGAGAAGTTCGCCGATGAGAACTTCTCCAAGAAGCACACTCGCCCCGGTCTTCTCTCCATGGCCAACGCCGGCCCCAACACCAACGGCTCCCAGTTCTTCGTCACCACCGTCCCCACCAGCTGGCTCGATGGCCGCCACGTCGTCTTCGGCGAGGTCGCTGACGAGGAGTCCATGAAGATCGTCAAGGCTCTTGAGGCTACTGGCTCCGGCAGCGGCGCGATTCGTTACTCCAAGAAGCCCACCATCGTCGACTGCGGCGTTCTCAACTAAATTTCCTTTATGGAGATTTTCGAGTCTGTTGGGGTTGGAGTCGCGGTACCATAATATTCCCGTTAATGTGCTGCTATAATACCTAGATAGCTCATCAACAGGACATCTTGCGCGACAAACCTTTCTTCACTGCATTGTCATCACTGTCACTTTGATCGTTGACATGAGCACGCAAACTGCTGTCTTTCCCTAGAAAGTTTCCAGACCATGTGAATGTTGTCTCGTCAATACTTTGAATGCTAAACAGGTTGCCCCCAACGCCTAAACGAAACCGAATTACCCTTTCCTTTTTCTACGCCGTCGATGCAGTTCTAATAGAGACCATGAATGTCTTTTGACAGAAAGAGACACAGATAGATATCTTGTAGTCGATCAAATCGAAATGACTTGTTCCTTGACCTCGTCACCATCCAGCCACTGCTTGAAATAGACGCAGTTGCTCGGGCTGACTGGTCCGCCTTCTTCGCACATATCGTACACGGGGCAACGCCCACATGGAGCCTCCATAAGGCCACTTGCACTCGGCTCGACTCCCATAAACGAAGTGACAACGCCTCCTTTAGTTGGGTCGTGGTCCAGGCGTCGTTGGTTGCACGTCCTCGGATCCTGTTTGGGGATGCGGGTCACACGGTACCCCTTGCGCCCATTGACCTTGACCGGTTCTACCAACCCGTCGTAGTATAGCACGTCCACCAGTTGCTGGATATCCGCCTCGCTCAATGTTGTGTTGTTCGTGATGCCGGCGTGGTGGATGAATTTGGCGATATCCGATACGGTCGGGTACGACTTGTAGCCGGCCGGCAGAGGCAGCAATTGCGGCTTGCCGGGCCTGGTCTTCTTCGCCGTAGTGGTAGTCGCCGGTGCCGCCGCCGCCGCCGCCGCCGTATCGTCGTTAGAGATCTCGCCCGCGCTGCGCTTCGTGCCCTTGGAAACATCTTCCGAGTGGGGAATGGTCCCCTGAACCACGCCCTTCTTGGGGATCTTTTCACGCTGCTGCGCTCCTGCTGCTGCCCCTGTTGTTCCTACTCCAGCACCGCCGTGGGAAGTATATGTAGATTTCTGCTTGATAAAGTCGAACACGATCTCCTGCAACTCGTTGATGAAAGCCGTATCGAGCTCGCCCTCGGTAAACCAGGGACCACCCGTAGCGCGATCAGAGGGACGGAGGTTCGCCTTGATGTACATCTTCTTGTTGGGGTGTTCGACGTTCTTCATGCTGGCGATGTAGCCCTTTTGCTCGAGGTACTTGATGCACTGCTTCATGAGATGGTCGGCCATGTTGAGCTTGTTCTTGATGGTCCGGTTCCAGATGCCGTCGGCCCCGGCTTCGTCGACCATGGCGTAGACCATCATTGTTTCGGAGTTAGGGAGGGAGGTGTATCTGTTGACGAAGGAAGGGGGTTAGTGGTTGCGAAGACAGGGCAAAGGGGAGGGGAGGGGAGGGGAAGAGAAATTAGGAACGCACTTCTTTGCATCCTCCCGGCTTCGCCATCTCCATGATAGTCCCGACGCCGTGGTGTTGCCGACAAAGAGCTTCTCGTCGCAGAGAATCTGGATCACCTGGATGAGCAGACCGATGTTATCCTGGGGAATGACCTGCATGTCCATCAGGTCGCGCTGGGTGAAGAGGCGCTGGTCGGAACCGTGGTCCCTCGCCGCCTCGTACAGCGCATCCTTGAGGATTTGGATCTTGTCGCGGTCGGCCATCGTGTGCTGGTGGTGATTCGGGATTTCGTGTGGTGGTTCTGGTGGCCGGGACGCGACGATTTGGAGAGAGAAGGGACTCGTTCGTCAATGCCCAGTTGGAAATGATCTGTTGGTTGGATTTGGAGAAGATGTGGTGGATGGCCAACTGCAGGTCGGTTTGTCAGACCGAGCTACACTGGTCGGCCACGAAATTTCCCAGAAGAAATGCCCCGCTGTTCTCAGCCTTGCATGAAGGAGCAGAATGCGACGTTTTTTGATTGGTCAATATGAGCAACGCCAAGAAGGGACCGACCTCTGCTTTGTGTTCCACGAAGTTGATTCGTCAGATGTCGTCTTCCTTCTTATGAGTGAAGAGTCATGATCAATGTGAAGTAGACCTGCGAGCATTGATGGCTGAGGCCTTGATCTATTTGAACTAATTATAATCACAGTGAATCTTCCCCCGAGTTCTAATCTATGAACGGAACTTGAATTGTTGTACCTTCCACGAACTGCTCGATGTAAGCGGTCCTTTCAGTGGAGCACGTTCCACTTGCCGATCAGCCTTGCAGGACCACGCGGGCCGTCCCATTTCAAGGTTCTTCTTCTGCAACACTTGTCTCATTCTTCAACCCTCCTACCTCCAAATTCCAACGACACAGCAACTCTCGCCGATCGAGTCATCACATGGTGCACACGTCACCCTAGCTCACACTACATTGTTTCCTGCCCAATAACTTTTCTAACCCGACCTAACTCAATCTCCTCATTAGATTCCTTCTGCGAAACTCAAAGTGCAACCCGAAGGATCAACGCCCAAAATACTTACAGGAATTGAAAGGCAACCTCTTGCCGCAGTGTATCCCATGATCAAACCACCGACAATTTTCGCATAACCACCTCTCCATCTTCTTCCAACTTCACTCATCACAGAATGATTCGCCAGTTTGCTTGACGGTGCCTGATTCTCGCGCCAAAGGGAATCAACAACGCCATACCTCCGCCCATTATGAGCGCAAATACGCCTGCCGTTGTTCCGAAAGCCTCAACATAACCCACCTTCTGGACCCAGACTAAAACCGAGGCTGCGAAGAAGAAGCAAACCACATTCTTTGATCCTACATCATGCCATGATTAGCAAAGTTACTGAACCAGGAGGGAGTCATGCTGCTTCTTACCATTGACAAGCATAAGAGCATCCGAGTTCACTGGAAGCAGACAGTCCGAGACATAGGCCATGATGATGGTCGGCACCGCCGTCATTGCTACCGAGATCATGCCATAGCCAAAGAACAGGCTGACCCAGCCCATCGTCTTTTCAACGCCATATCCGAACACCAAGCAGCCCGAGCCGCTGATGATTAGGGGTACGATGCAGAGCCACAGTCGGTTCTCCGGTTCGTACACGCCATTGTTGCGCTTGGTCTTCCAGTCGCAAAACCTGTCAACCGCCCAGCCGCCCAAGACGCTGCCGAAGAGGTTGCCAATGAGTCCCGGGATGTTGATCAAACCGTTGACCATGGGCGACCAGTTATACGGCGGTGACTGAAAAACAAAGGGATTGAGGATGTTCACGGCCACCGTCATCTCCAGCGAAATTGCATATGCAAGAAAGGCAAAGATGACACAGGGATATGACCACATGGGGAAGGGTCGGAAGAACAACCTCCAGAGGGGGGTCTCACGAGAGACTACAGGCCAGACACTGATCTCCTCTGCCCAGGACTTCTTTGGAAGATTCAGACCTGCAGGGCTCTCATCAGTGTGGCCCAGAGGTGAACGAGCTCCCTGAGCATTTCCGGAACCGATCCCCTTTTCCGCATCCGAGGGACCGACTGGCCCTGGAGTCGGTCCTCGACTGGTCCCCGAGTCGGAGTCAACTGGCTTTTGGCTGTAGCGAACATAAGTGGTCTCCGGCACCAGGAACATAACCGTCAAGAAGTTGATCATGATCAGAATGAAGGCCGTCCACTTATGCCACCTCCAGCTGTACTTCGACACGATGAAGCCACAGATCAGCGGACCGATGGTGTTCCCTCCCGAGATGAAGTTCATATAGATACCCATCACGGAGCCCCGTTCGTGCAAGAAGTACAGGTCGTTTGCAATGCTCGCTCCGAGGGCTTCGGTCGACGATCCAGCAAACGCTGCGACGATGAGGGACCATAGCAAGGACTCGAACGTGTCAGCCAAGGCTCCCCACATGGAGCAGGCGCAGAGCAGCCCGCACGCGAAAACGAACACTGGCCGTTTGCCATAATAGTTGGCAATGGGAACCCAGAAGAAGTTGAAGGCGCCGAGGGTGAGGATAGGCCATAGAAGCAGGGCGCCGGTCTCCGTTGTTGTCTTTCCAAACTCCTGGGAGAGGATGTAGAAGGCAGGTGTCAAGCCCCCGATGCCGAAGTTGGTCAAGAAAGCGAAGGAACAGACCGATAGGAAAACGACCCTCTTCTTGCGCCGGCTCCAGAGCAGGGGATCATTTGGGTCGTTCTCAGATGGCTTCGGGACCAGGACAACTGGGGAGTTGTCAGCTAGGCGAAGCCGCACTGTCCCTTCGGCGGGATCGAGGTCGTGAAGACTATGGAGGACCATGATGACTTGGCGCGCTTCGTGTCCGCGTTTTCTCGTGATCAGGGCTGTTAAGGTTGTTACAACAAAGACGTATGACAACTAAACGGGTAAGAAACAACAATTGATGCTTCAGGCTTTACAAAAACAAGACGTGATAAATATTGTTGCCCAGCGACCATGAGGGTTGAACAATCCCTTTTCTCATTTTCAACCCATCTCTTCGACTCTTTTGTCGCCGAGGGTGTGTGAACAATAAATGCCACAAGTTGGGTTGTCTTTTGGCCGGTGAGCATGGCATTTACTGTTCAGACAGCCTGTCGCCCTCTGAACCGGTCTGCGGACATCCGATTGTGATATCTTGATTGCCGAATATCGACGCGCCTATAGCTTACAGGAGCGCATTAACTTCTGTTGTCATCGCCAGCTGATTGATATGCCCAGAAGTGTGTAATGTCGAGGTGTGAGCCTCCATAGAGCCTGTTGGCTTCCACAAACATCAGTCCAGAAGTCTTCGGCACCAGCTGACAGATACGCTGTGCATGCTCTGGTCAAAAACACATGCAAGTGTACAGACGATTCAAGATCATGGACCTACCACTGCTGACATACATGATGAGGTTCAATCAAGGTATGCAGGGTGAGCCAGTTCTGCATCGAAAGCTCAAGTGCAATGACATCGGAGACTGAGTATCGCGATCCGTTCAAACGCCACTGCTTCTGTTAAACTGTGTTAGCTCACAACGCGAACTCACCACTGAGCAGCTAACAGAAACAAACCATCACTGTGCATCAAGGCTCTTCACCACCAAGACCAAGACACATCTCGCCCTAAAAACGCACAGCGTACCATATAATTTCGTCAAACTCGGTTTACAGATCAGGTACAATCGTGCGGACCCTGTAGGGCTAAAGGTCTGCCAGTTACGTTTGGCTGTATGTACGTGGCTGTAGAAGCACATGGCAGAGCTATAACCCTGCGTTGCCGGACTGACCTGTAAACCGAGTTTGACGAAATTATATGGTATCCCCATCTCGTCGCGTTTATGCTCATTGGATAATCCTCATGCCCAAAGGCTGTGAGTGAGCTCTGTCGGAGACTTCGACAGTCAGTGAGATGGGACCAGCCCAGATCAACCGCCTTTGCAAAGTTCACAGAAGAGGGTTTAGCAGAGGCTTTCAGTCACCCTGTAACAGGATCGTTTAACAGATTTGAACTCATATAGACGAACTTCTCCAATTTCTCGTGTTGTCTAGAATCCTGTTCTGACACAGTTGAAGCTGCATCTCTTCCAACGCACTCGCCCGCCGTCGACCTGTGAGATCAGGTTTGAGGGCTTCCACTGCCAGAAGCAAGCATTCTCGCCGAGAAACAACAATCCGGAACCCAGTGCAGAACGTTCCAAAAACAAAAACCAGTCTGCCGAGACTGCCAATGCCTGCCAATGCCCATCAAGTGAACATCGAAATCGTCCTTTGGGTCTTCCAGAAATTGGGCAAGGTTTTGACTTGCGATTGTTCATTTCTTCGCTCGGTCGCTTCACCGGTTCGCTTGCGCGGATGTTTGCTCGATAGCCCGTCGTTCGGTATCGGAACATTGAACTGACCATCTCCGCTCTTTAGTCCTTGCCTGTTGTTGGTTTGATCTCGCTTGTTGCCGCTGTGGGTAGGACTTAGTCCGTGAAAGAACACCAACCCCGAACCCTGCGGGTTTTGATGGAGTTGTGGATGCCCATATCACCGTTCTTACCCCACGACGGCCACTGCAATCTTTTGGTGAAATTCACAGGATTGCGCGGTGTCTTCGGCGTAGGTAGAGGCGGCCAGTGACATCTCATCAAGCGCCAGGCGGCCACCGTGTTGTTGTGGAAGAGGCGAGGGCCTCGCTCGTTCGTGTTATCGCCCTGTCGGGCTACTACATATTGAACACCTTCTGCCTACCGCATTCGTTGCCGTATTCCCGGCGCTACGGATATCGTTCCAATGCAGAACGTGGGCGGCCAAAGGTGCGCTAGAATGGTGGATGTCACCCCCTGAAAAAAGAAGCTGGGAAGAACCTGGAGAGGCCCGCTGCGTTCATTCGCTTCTTGTTCGTGGTGGATATTTGCCCCAGAGTGCCACGCCTTTGCAATTGTCTCAGACATGACTTATCGGTTATCATTTCGATGCCTGGACGACTCAAAACATCATTTCTTTTCATGACAGGGGAGGCCGGCGGCCGCCAGAAGGTGACACCATTTTCTCGTCTCAGCGCCAGCCAGCAATGTTAGCCAAGCAAGCATGGCTTGCATAGAAGTTCGTCTGAATGGATACGGATGAGACGCAAGGTACGGTGCAACCTCAACATTTCCCAGGGTCGTGCACCTTGGTACCAATTCCTACTGGCTCTAGCAAAAGCCATTGTGATGATTATGGCAACCAACGAACTGTTTTCATTGGCCCTGGTCATCAAATTTCACGATGCAAGTGAGGAAAAGGCAATCCATAACAGAAATGGTCCTAGTTTCGGGGTCGCTAGCGTCCTTCTTTCGCTCACGCAGGGCACCCTTCAAGACATCCCACACATCGTGCGAGGTGTGATTGTCAGGGGTAAGAGGTGGAAAAGATGGAGCAGAGCTGAGAGTCAGAAGCATTACAAAAAGAAGCCCAACGGCCACCTCCACGTTTTCTGTTCCTTTTCTTTCTGATCGTCATCCGGCCGCAGTCACTCCTTTGATATCCGCAGTGCCGTCACTCCTTACGTTCCTTACACTCAGCAATCACGATCTGTTTTTTATTTATTGATTTTTTTTTTTGATTTTTTGATTTTTTTTTGGTTCTTCTTCAAGATGCGTCTTCTTGCTCTCGCTGCCCTCGCGGCGCCGCTCGTCTCGGCCCTCCAGTTCACTGACCCCGCCGCTAATGCCACCCTTCACAAGGGTGAGACCTATGACCTGAAGTGGTCCACCGTCGATACCGACCCCAACGACTTCAGCGTCTACCTGGTCAACTTTGTCAACTGGCCTCCTTACTATGCGCCTCTGGCCTATAACGTTGAGCCTTCCTCCGGCGAGCTCAGCGTGACCATCCCTTGCGACATTGATAGCTCCTATGGCTGGCAATTGTATGTTCATCCTTTACATGTTCATGTCAGAACATGATAATGCCCCCCCATCATACCCAAACAAACCCCTGGGTCTCTTTCCCCCTCCTCCTCTCGGGAAGTGGGACCCGTTTCAGGAACCAAAACAACCAAGAAAGTATAGGCTGACTCGTTGCCCCCTTTCTTCTCTTGGCGCTTCTCGTCCACAGCAACGCTATCAACGGGACCAACGTCTACGTTATCTATGCCCAGACGCCCAAGTTCTTCATCAGCGGTGGTCCCTGCTCAAACTCGCCCTTCCCGACCGGGGCGCCCTCGAGCTGCGCGCCAGAGGCCACCGTCACCGTCACGGTGAGCACAACCCTTTCGCAGTCCTCCTTCTCCACTCTTCTCTACGCCAACTCTACCGGAACCGCCAGCCCTACTACTCTTATGAAGCCCGCCACCATTACCAAGTCCCCCCTCCCTGGAAAGGTTCCTGACACCATTGGCTGGGGCCCCTCAGGCTACAATCATCCCGTAAAATTGACCGCTATCCCTACCGGTCCCGGTGACGTCCCCGTGCCGGCCACCACCGCTCCTCCCGTCGCCAACGGTGCTGTGTTCCTGGCCAAGACTGGCAGCACGAGCACCATCTACCACACCGTCTACAGGGATCTCTCTGAGGTCCTGGACCAGGGTTGCATGTGCTAAAGCAACATGGCTCATGCTATCATGCAAGAAACAAGGAAGAAGGAAATTCGATTGTTGAAGGAGGGAAGGAAGGATGATGGAGGAAGTTCTGTTGGGCTGAGTGTTGGTGGTTTGTTGACTTGGAAACCGAAATGCGAGCAAGCGATATCTTCAATCGATGAAGGGGCCCAACAGTGGTCACCCGAAGCGAGAAAGGATATTTATCATTTTTTTTTTCGAGAGCACTAGCGTTTGAATGAAAACCGTCGCTGAAAAATCCATCAACTGAGTTCGAGTTTGGAGTGTGAGTGTGTTTGCAATTTGAGTGCGATATGAAGAGCCAGATTCATGGGACTCGCGGTATAAAGAAGGTTATATAGGGGAGCTTTGCGTCGGGAGTCCGGCATGGCTTGGACTTTTCGAAAGGAAAGACACAAAATCTGGACTGGACGTAGGCCGAGGACATGAAGATGCCGAGGCTTGCGGAAGCTGGGCAACGAGATAAGGCCTGGGCACATCTGCAGGGTCAGCAATCAGCATGGTCTTGGCCTGACAGCAATCTCATCCCTACAACCTCTGGAATCAGTGGCATTCACATGCTGAACTTTTGCAACATTATGACTCTGATCCCCACGACAAAATTCGATGAACGGAGCGGCTGACTGAATCGCTAAAAGACTCAGCCATGAACTCATTCACAGACCGCCAAATATCACGAATCACCTTTAAAGAATCATAGGCGTCACCAGTCGGTGCGAGTTGTTTGCATTGGAAAGTCGCTGTTAGTGGTAGGGAATCGGACATTCAGTATTGCACCGTAAACTCCGGTCATACTTTCATGGACCAATGATATCAGTCGTTGTCTCCGAAAAAGGAAAAGCGGGTGGGTCCTGACACGGAGAAAGGGCGTTGTTAAAATCTCCGGTCATCGTCCACTGTGACCCTCACTCGCTCTTCCATGTTTCTGATTGACATTCCAGTCTGTCATCATTTTTTTCAATCGATTATCCCCTATCTGAAAGCCATGTAACACATCTTTTGAGTCTCTTACTCACAAATTTACGACAATGGAGCAAGTTGGGCGAGAAACAACTCCAACGGCAACGACGCACGGAGTTGGCGGTGGAGGAGGACGGAGTGGTTCATTAGCATCGGAGAGCGCGCCGTCCAACACGAATGCGAACTCGCATCCGACAAACGCCAAATGGGGAAATGCCTGTGCCCAGTGTGCGGCCGCGAAAGCAAAGTGTTCACGACAATCTGATGCTCCTGGGACAAAGTGCGGTAGGTGTGAACGTTTGGGTAAAGATTGCACAAACCAGGTGCACCGCCCGAGGAAGAAGAGAGCTGTTCGACCATCGTTAGTGACACCATCACTCATTCTCATTGTCTTCTTACACTAACACATATCCCGCTCATAGAAAGACTGCTCAGCTGGAACAACGGCTCAATGGACTTGTCGACCTCCTCAAGGCATCTGGGGATTTGCGAGGCATCCCCATCGCAGATAGTGTGGCCTCTCAAGAGGTCATGTCCGCCTATGATAGTGTCTCATGCATAGCCCGAGATCGTAAGCGACGTCTTCACCATCGTCATCATCAACCTTCAGAGTCATGCTGACCCAACCTCGTTCATACACCTAGACGACCTGCAGATTGCCGTTGGTGCTCCTCAAGCATCCGGCTCCGGGAAGAGGCGAGCAAGTCTCACTCCCTTGGAAGATGATCGTCATGGCACCAGCGAGGGTGGCTATTCCGACGATGAAAGTCATAGTGACAGCTCAGAACTTCTGGGTGACGGGCCCATCCATGTGCCAAAACACTACAACTCTTACGCACCATCCGGGTGTATGTGCAGAGCACGCGGCGAGATTCGAGGTCCGTCAGAGTCAGATGAGACCATCCTCACCATCTACCAGACTCATCTCAGCCCGCTCTTTCCATTCGTCATCATCCCTGTTGGTACAACCGTCCAAGAGCTTGAGCAGTCTCGTCCATTTCTCTTCTCGGCCATTCGGATGGTGACCACGCTTACGAGCATGCGGTCGATGAGAGCTCAGATGTATCGGCTAGTCCGACATGTCTCAGAACGCATGCTCTTGCGGTCAGAGAGGTCACTGGATCTGCTACAAGGCATTCTCGTCATGATCGGCTGGTATCAGTACCATTGTCTGATGCATGCCCAGTTGAACAACCTCATACACCTGGCCGCAAGTCTTGTTTCCGACCTGGGGCTGAACCGGGATCCGAAGGTGCAAGAGAGGATAAGCGTCATGGTACTGTACCCCGACGATCCCAAGCCACGGACAAATGAGGAACGAAGAGCTCTTTTGGGCTTGTGGTATATGGCTTCAACGTGAGTATTCAGCTTACTTATTATACCTATGGCCTCTATGCTGACATGTAACACCACAGTATATCCGTTGCGTTCGGAAAACTCGAGTCCATTAGATACTCGCCATACATCCAGCAGTGTCTGAATGAGCTGCAAGAGTCAAAGGAGTACGAAACAGATGGGATACTGGTCCACATGGTCCAGTTACAGCATCTGATGGAGAAGATCGCCCAAGTCAACTCCAAAACAGAATCCCCGGAATCCGTTGGAGGGATTGCTAGGGCTCCAGTTGCGGCTTACATGTCGACGTTCCAGAGTGAGCTTGACAAGATATGTGGTTCGCTCAATAAGAGTCAAAAGAACAATAGTATGATTGCACTAAAGCCTCCATATACCGCCAAACTATGCTAACATACACACTAGAATATCTCATGGTGTATGTACATTCGGCCAAGATGCGTCTCTGCGAGCCTCCAGTCATCGATGCATCCTTACTGGCCAGGTTCTACAAAGACCTCACTGCGCTTGACGACAACACTCCGTCGGCTCTTGATCTCTTTTACCGGGTAAGCAGTGGGGTACGAGAGTGGTTCGACCATTGGTTTGCTGTACCCGTATCAACATACTTTTACCTACCGGTCTCCATCACTTGTCAGATCGTTTACGCCGTATCGATGCTTGCTCGCTGGTCCAAGATCGTCTCCCCCATCAAGCCATTACCTTCATCACAAAACAAGAACACCATATCCACGACGTCCCAGCCCCAGCAACCCATCACCACCGCAGCATCTTACTGTTCGACACCTACCTCAACACCTGCCTTCGTACCTACGCCCTCCCCTCACCACAGCCGATCATGCGTGTGCAACTACGGCGCCGGCCCACCGCCGGACTTCTCACAACGACCACCCGCCACATCCTCAACCATCAGCACCCCCGCCCCTGCCACTCCCTGTCCCGGCCCCGTCTGCTCCCGCGCCACCTCCACCGAGCCCACGTCCACAACCACCCCTAACACCACCATCACCACCACCGATCAACAAACAGCCTCTAATCTTCCCTCAAAAAACAACAAAAACAACCCCCTCTCCTCCGTCCGCTGGCGCGAAACCACCGACCCCCAACTTCCCCACATCGTCGCCATGCTCCAAGAACAGCTCAACTCCCAGCCCGGTCTGAGGATTGACATCACCGAGACCATGGCCCAGCTCGGCGCCCGCTTCCAGCAGGCCGGCGACGACATGAAGGAGGCGAGCGGCGGCGAGCCGGATAGCAACATGTGGGAGGTCAGTGCGAAGGGGTTGGTCATGACCAAGGCTAAGTTGGAGAGGTTTGCGGAGTTTGTCGCTCAGGGGGGAAAGCTTCTTGATGATCAGGGGAAGGAAGAGGGGGAGGGAGTTGGAGTTGGAGGGGGAGGAGGGGGGGATGATGTTGCTTGTTTGCCACCGGGGACGCGGACGGGGACGGGGGCTGGGATGGGAGGTGGTGGAGATGGGGGGAGCAGGAGGGCAGCGAGCAGTTTTCCTTATCAAGAAGGAGGAGGAGGAGCAGCGGGAGGTGGTGGAGTAGGAAGTGCAGGTGCAGGAGGAGGGGTTGAAGCTGGGCGTACCTCGGCGTCTTCTGGCTCTGGATCTGGAGAGAGATATGCCCAGCAGTCCGCTTTAACGAGAAGAGGAGGAGGAAGAGGAACAGGAGATATTGTAACAAGCAGCCGCGGCCGCGGCAATACTACTGCTACACAGTCACAGTCACAGTCACAACCGTGGCTGGCCGGTCTAAGCCAAGTACAAGCACAAGGACAAGGACAAAGCATGGGGGCACCACCAATACCGCAGCAACATCAACAACCTTCTTTCCAAGGGTCCTCCTATGCAGGAGCAACATCAGGGCACAATATGAATGGTGCGAGTATCCATCATAGCCTGGGCGCTGCTACGGCCGCGGGGGTCCATGGCGGGGATGCCGGATATCCCTCCGCTATGGTAGGGGCGACAGGAGGGGGGGTAGGAGGGGCAGGAGGAGGATGGCAATGCAACAATCTACTTGCCACGGAGTTCATGGATCAACTGGCTCCTTGGCTTTGGTACTACGGCGTTGGAGACTGGCCGGGGGCAGGACCGGGTGGGGTATAAGCCGTGTATTGTAGGTATGGGTATGGGTATAGGTAATGAATAGTATGGGGGTATGGTTCAAGGGCAGGTATGTATAGGAGAAAGAACAACATCCAGCCTCCCCATTCCGGAAGGACTTGCGCGGGTAGCATACACATACACATATACATACAGCCCAGGGCTTATTGTGTTTACTGCATAGTAAGGGTATCACGGGCGGTACGGGCGTGGCGTGATCTCTAACCTGAACTTGGTTGTTGAACGACGGAAACACAAGATTCTACCGACTACGACTATGGCATACGACCCTGACATGGAAGCAACGGTAGATAGGTACGGTGGGAGTGGAAGTGACATGACATGGAGTCTGGTTTCAGCGAAAGGGAAAGTTCTACATCTGGATACTACATGGAACGGGCTCGGCAACGCTAGAAGCACTCGACTGCAACGCAGGATACACTATCAGTCAGGCGGTTGCAAAGTTGCAACAGGCCGGCAGAAAAAAAGGAGTATGCTTACGCCGAAGTCCGGACGGTGGCTCAGATAAAACTCGGAAGAGGCCCTAAGATTTCTTGAGACCGGTTAAGGTAGCCCGATGACAGAAAAACCCCGACGGCATGTTTTTTCCATGACTCTTGTCTGTATACTGTGCAAGGGCAAGAGATCTCTTGGGATATGACCGGCCAAGCGAATCCTAAGACAATTCCCGAAGCAAGAGATCACTAAAAGTGATGCTCCTGCATCCACCCATCAGTCACAGAGTACCGTATCTCTCCTAGCAAAATGTGACGGAATCTTCAGCGAAAGGGCAACGCGCATGAACGACTCGATATCTCTCTTCAACTCGAAGGATTCTTGAGCAAAAAGAAGGCAATACGCATGAACTCCTCACAAATATTCTCCCCAATATCCAACCGATATCCCATATATGTTGTCTTCTTGGTAAACCGTGCGGGCTGGAGCCAGACTGGTCTGCATTGGCAAAACGCATTGGCAAGCCATCGATGCCACCAAATACGGAGGCTACCAAACAGGTAACTGTATGTAGTAGTGAATGAAACCGGTTTATCTTCACATGTGCAAGTTTTTACGTAAGGACATTGGTAGGCTGGCAGGGTAGCCGGTCGTGCCCCGGTGTAGTAGGGTGACTGGGTAGGTAGGTAGTTCGCCTTCAATAATCTGTACCTACCTACCTACCTAGGTATCCATCAAGATGCCAGACCGGCGTGGAACACAGTCTCGAGACAGTTTAACAGTAAAAAAACGACATTCCCCTTGATCTTTCAAGCATGACCTTCTCAGAAGACAAGGAAAAGGAAAATCATTTGCCGCTTCGAAGTAGCACTCCCGCATCTTTACTCCTCCCACTCCACCTAGGGTCGTCTTCCGTGGTCTTCTCCTCTGCCGAGACATACATACACAGTATATACCACGCTAGGGACGCTCCGCGTGGAGTAGGATCAGCTGTGAATGCCCACGGGGATATGCAGGACATTCTACCGGTCGGTCGCCAAGATAGGCCAGAAAGAAAAAAAAAAGTCGTTGACAATACGACGATCATGAAGCCTGGAAGCTCGTGGTGATTGTGTGGGGTATAGTGGATAGCGGTGGTGGATAATGAACTTGAAGATGGTTACTGGAAGGGGTATCAAGGGGAACATTGATGGATGGACGTAGGGAGGACTACTACTACATGGAGTATCAATTGCATGCTGATGGGTAGGGATGACTACTACATGGAGTATCATGTTTGGGATGAATACCACAGACAGTACCTAGGATGGGAGGCAAAAGACAGACAAGGCAGGGACGTAGGAGTCGTTGTGTATAAAGACGGGAGAGGTTTGCTCACCATCTTCGAGGGTTCTGGTCGATGTCAGGCATCCAAGTGGCTTTAAGTGTTGAGTGAAGACTCAACAGGCAAAGTTGCACTTACTAAGGTACTTTCTTCTTTACCCTCTGAAAGGGCTTCAGAATCTTTGGTCAAGCCCTGAATCAAGCCCAAGGGCAACGATCACACACAATGCCCGTCATTGACAAGCTCACCGGTGCCACCGGGTTGTCAGGACTACACCTGCTTCTCGGTGCCGTTGGAGTCTCTGTAAGACTATCCCAATATCATCTCATCAGTTAGCCCATTGAGTCGACATGAACCTTCCACCGTCTATCAACCCTCACTACCGATGAGAAAGAACCTCCACTAACCGTTCCCTTCCCACCCAGCTCATCCTGTACATCACTGCCACCACAATCTACAACATCTTCTTCCACCCTCTCGCCTCCTACCCCGGTCCCCTCCTACACCGCGCCTCCCCCATCCCCTTCGGCATCCGCCACACCCTCGGCCTACAAGCCTTCCACACGCAGACCCTTCACGACAAGTACGGTCCCGTCGTGCGCATCTCGCCCAACCACCTCTCCTTCACCGACGTGCGCGCCTGGCGCGACATCTACGGCCACATCGCCGGCAGCCGTCAGGGCCAGGAGGAGATGTCCAAGTGCAAGTCCTTCGTCCGCCCCGTCGACGACCAAGCCACGCACATCATCAGCGCCGGGCGCGAGGAACACACGCAGCTGCGCCGGGCTTTGTCCAACAGCTTTTCGGACGCTTCGATGCGCGGGCAAGGGCCGCTGATCGGGAAGTACATCGACTTGCTGATCCACAAGCTTCATGAGCAAGGGGAGGAGGGGAGGGTGCCCCTGAATGCGACATCGTGGTATAATTGCGTGACGTTTGATATTACCGGTGACTTGATCTTTGGCATGCCGTTCGGCGCGCTGGCGGGGAATGCAAACCATCCGTGGTTGCAGTTCATCCTGGGCAGCTTGAAGAGCATGTCGCCGTTGGGGGCGCTGAGCTATGTGGGACTACACTGGGTTGCTCAGGTCCTCTGGAAGATGTTGGGCGCGGAGGTGTTTAGGAAGAGTATGGAGAGCGTTGATCTGATGTTGAAGGAGAGGTTGAAGATGCCGGTGGATAGGAATGATTTGTTCGTGGGTTTGGTTCAACGGCAGGAGAAGCTGGTAAGTGCTCTTGTTTTTTTGCCCTTTCGTTTGTCCTTTGTCGTTTTTCCTGTTGCGTTTCGACCACACGGAATTCGGCAAGGCCACCAGCCCTACCCGTCGGAAGATTTCCCTTTCCGCGTTGATGACGTGCATCGTGGTGGTGCCAAGGTGGCACAACCGACAGCCACCCGTCAGCATAACGTTCCTCCCGCCCCCTTCCCCCCTTTTGCGAACCAACAGCATAAAGCTAATCATGAGTTGCCAATTAGGGTCTCAGCTTTGAGAAACTTTCCGCAAATGCCTGGTTTCTTGTGCTGTGAGTCTTCCCGAACTCTGGCATTGTCTGACATAACCTACCTGATTCTAACATATGTCAAAACAGTGCCGGATCGGAAACAACAGCAACTACCCTCTCGGGCGTAACTTACTTCCTCACGCAGAACCCCGAAGTCCTCAAGAGAGTGACCCAGGAAGTCCGCACTGCGTTCAAGTCCGTCGAAGAAATCGACATCAACTCCGTTAACAAGCTCACCTACATGCTTGCCGTGCTAAACGAGACCCTGCGTTTGTATCCCCCCGTGACATCGAACTTGCCTAGGATTGTGCCCCGTGGAGGAGCCAAGGTTTTGGGAGAGTATATCCCTGAAGGGGTGAGTAATGCCGTTTAACCCCGACACATGTGATTGAGCAGGGAACACTGACTTGGTGATTGTTCAACACGCAGACACTCGTCGAAGTCCAACAATGGTCCATGAACCACAGTCAAGAGAACTGGGCCGACCCCTGGACTTTTAATCCCGCTCGCTTCCTCGACGACAAGGAGACGGCTATGGCGAAGGGCAACATGCTCGACGCTTTACAGGCATTCGGTGTCGGTCCTAGGAACTGTCTAGGAAGAAAGTAAGCATATCTCGTCGTTCCTGTCATCTCGGATGACAATGGTCCTGTACTAACCGCAGCTCACACTCCGAATAGCCTCGCGTATGCTGAAATGAGATGGATTCTTGCCCGTATACTTTTCGATTTCGATCTGCGGGGGGCACCGACCAACCAGAAATGGATCGAACGGCAAAGGTCGTACGGTCTCTGGATGAGGGTACCTCTTGATGTGTACTTTGAGCCTGCGAGAGAGAAGAAGTAAGGGAGATACTTGGGTACAGCAGTGTCGGTAAAGTACGATCCATGGGGTTTGGTAGAGGCTTCACTTTCCTGTCACTTGGTGGAATGTAGTAGAAATAAGAAATGAGTTCAATGGGATTAGTTGTGACTGACTGGCTTCATGAGCCGTTGCCTCCACCTCATGCATAACATCGTGACTTCTCCGGCTCCCATATCTCCCTTGCACTGCTACCCTGTTCTTGCCCCCATCACGACTCTTGTAGATCAGTTCTCCCTCCGACTACCCGTTGCTATGGGAGCTTTTTCACAACAACATCCGGATTTCGGCGCGGGGTATCAACAGAAGCTCTTCATAAAACGGCGGGATGGCTGAGCAGAGACGATTGGTAGGCCTTAGGCAGGAATGAGATGTCCCCAGAGTGACCAGACGAGGTCGTAATGGTACTTTGGGTTCTTATTCTCCGAGTCCCAACCGTGCCTACGAAGTCTTTCACGAATATGGGGTTTCGAGAGAGTCTCGCAAAGAGCGTACTTGGCCACAGCTCGGCCGGTGCTCCAGGTCTCCCAAAGTCGCCGGTTGTTCCTGTCCGGCTCGGGGATGTCGGTATCGAGGAACACATGAAGATTCTCCATCCTTAGAAAGTGTCGGATCGTGGTGTCCCAACTCTCGAGGTTGTGGTGCCCGTCCCCATCCAGTGGCACCAGAGTATGCGGATACGATGCCAGCAATGCCAACCGTATCATCGATGTAAGCACATCCCTGGGGGGCCTGCCACAGTACCTGCTGCTCATCGCTGAAAGGCTGTTTGCCACTTGGCAAGCGGTTGTGTTTGGGAATTCTAGTTGAACTAGAAGAATGGAAAGAAAGGAAAGGAGGCAAAAACGCTTGTTTTCGGGTGCTCAACTCGAATGAGGAGATGTTGCTTGAGAGAGGCCACTGAGCTTTACACCAGTCAGTTGAGGCATCTACGGAAGTGTGCGATGAGGGAGACACCTCATATTGGACTTACCAGCGCGATCAAAGGTTGCGGCTCGATCAGACGCCGAAAGCGACAGATCAGTGCGGGTGCTTCAAGCTGGTTATGCTCGCGATGAGAGCGACGGCGGGTAATGCCTCGCTTTTTCCCCAAGGTAAGTTGGAATCTCGGACGCGGCGACGGTGAGTGCAATCCTGTCTTTTGTGTGTGAAGGAGGAAGAGTGTGAAAGGTGGGGTGGTGAATTGACAAACAAGGAGGAGGGGGAACGCAGCTTGGGTGGATCGTGCCCGCCGTACTGAGAGGAGAGGGGTCTTACGATCTGTACTTAGACACCTCGAGAACCCCCGATGTTAAACTGGTTACGACTGCCAATTTACCATCAAGTAACTATCCCGCCCGACGAAACGTCCAAATTCCCAGACGTTTGAAATATTCGGATTGTCAAAAGACTGTGAATTAATGGTCAATCAGGTACAAAATCTCTCAAAGGTAAAACGTTAGTAAATTTAAACATCAGAAAAAGTCGAGGGTGCCCTTCTAAATACAAGTTACTAAATTCCGAATTGTCATAGAACCGTTGGCGGACAGATCGAAAGACCCCCCCCTCCCAGTACGGGCTCATCAGCGAGTTCTCGAACGCCTTTACTGGCCGTCCAATCTATACGGGCGTCAAACTAGGCACCCGTTTGAAACAAGAAAATGCCCAAATTCCACTCGACAGACGACAGTGAGCTTTCGGCTTAGTCCTCCTATGCGACGGACATAATTCAGCAGAGAAGCTGCCTTTGAAACACCAAATGAATGGGCATGCCTTGAACATGCACTGCGTCGTTGAACGTTGGGAGCAGTTTCTTGAACCATGATCAGGTATTGTGCTGGCAGTTACTATGCTATCTCCCGGCAGGCTAATTTGGTCGGCACCGAGATGGCCAGGCACTGTATCTCATTAATTCGTACACGGCGCCTGTGCTACAATTGGGTGCCAGATAGCATTGCGGCAGATCTCAGCGCAAAAAAGGTGGTACGACCATGTTTGAATGATCCTGTTTGAAGCATTTTCGACTGTTGGCTCAAAAGACCTTGTTTTGACCCTGTTCACAGACCCGGCGTTCTCTCTATGGTACGTTTTGCTTTGTACACGTCAGCTCTTCCAAGATGCCCGGGAATAGCAAGAGAATTACGTTTCTGCTCTTTTTTTTTTTTTTTTTACATTCCTGACGCTTTTAAAACCAAACTCGCGCGTGTTATCCTACAGCAGACGCCCACCTCCACTGTGAGTTTCCGAAAACCGACATTTATATCCTCACCCGGGTTCAACTTGAGCATCTTACCGTGTCCCTACTGCCTTTGGGGTTGCCCGAGAGCGCCTTGCTCGATGTACTCACCTGCATCTGTTGGATTGCACACAGAAGGGCTAAAGTAGGGTCAGGTAACCTTCCGACCTCCAGCGGACACTCGAGCTTTTTTGTAGGTTCTGACCGTATTTCATGCAAGGTGAGACCTTCTTAAGAGTCAGAGAATAATAAGAAAGCCTGTCCACTCGTTCACATCTTTTCGTACTTTGTTGTGTGATCTCGTGGCTCAAGGGGTGCCTGTGGACTGACTGTTTTTGGGGCGCGCCAAGGATTGTATTTGATCCACAGTTTTGGCCAAGACTCTTGTTACTTCACTAACAACAACAAAGCCAAAATATAGAGCCTTCAGTTAAGTCTGCATCTAATCCCCAAAATCTGTCCCGATATCTCTTCCATGTCTACTGAGTATGGGCTTTTGCATCTAACCCAAATTGGCCACACAAAGAAGTCACAAATGTCGGCAGACTGGCTCAAACGCTAATAAGGCCTTTGTTGACAGGTAAAAACGTCACGCTTTGCGTTCTTCTTGAAATTCCCAAAAACCAGAATTCCGTTCAAGCTTGTTTGAGATGTTGGTCATTTGAGCTAAGTGAGTGACTGCCCGAAAAGACTATAGCTAGAGGCATCTAGCTGTGCTTCCCTTGCAGTTGGAGGTATCAAGTGGAAGTCAACAAACTTGTTCGACTGCGTGTCCTGGAGACACTCCTCGCATGCCTTACCGGCGTCGAGGGGTCTTAGAGTCCAGTGGCTTGCTGCTCCGTAGCCCAAAAAATGATGATTTCATACAACTCATTTGGGTTCTGGTTATCAATGAAGAGCCAATGCTCTTTTTCTCTGAGCCGCTTCCGTACGTCGGGGTGCTTAAGGGTACTACACAGAATGAACATCACCAGTGCCCGCTCCCGGCGCCAAGTCTCGTATTTCCAGGATTCTGTCTAAACGTTCGGCGGGGAACTTCCTCGTAGATGTAGTCCAAGAGATTATCAATTTAAAGGTAGTGTCGCAACATCGTGTCCCACTGGTCAAAGTTCTTCAGGTCGGGCTGGAGTTGCTCCAGGAGCGATGCGAGGCCGAAGTTGAACGCCTCCATGATTTGCTGGTGTGGCTTGATTTATCACTCGCAAGTGAGCTTTTGTAAAACATCGGGTGATGGCGAGACAAATAGCTGAGGGCTTTTTCTGCCGACCGGACTTTGGCGCCGGATGACAACTTGAATTGAGTAACTGCTGGTCTTGACTGGTTAGCCAAGGGAAAGCCAAAGTAAAAATGCTAATTCACATGTACCTTTGCCAGAGATTTTCGCTTTTCAGCAGGATTGGTGCGTCGAAGCAGAATTGAGAAATCAGCTGGGCGCAACGAGCTTTTGAATGGTTGCAGGAGAGAGAAGAAGAAAGCCGGGATAACGGAGGCTGGAATGGGAGAAAAGATAAGATTCTGGCCTGGATCTGTAGCCCATATTTTAAGCAGACGGAGCAATATCTGCGAAAAAGTAGAATGAAGGTCGTGGTTTGAACTTTGAGAGTTTCAAACGGCGGGCGAGTTGGTGAAGTAGTGAATGGTTCCGAAAAATCGCAGCCTCGGTACAACTGTGAGGTTTGCCGGGAAGACAAGGTTGTAAGGTTAGAATTTTCTGGGTCCCGGGACCGTATGTGGAGGAGGGTGAAGCGGTGTTTCCTTCCTGTTCTGAAACCAAACGACGCGAGAACCTTGAAGGTAGATCCGTGAAGCTCGCCTGCGTACCTCCTTCCCTGCTTTGTCTCGTTCCTGCCTCTTACACATGAATGCACATCGGGCCATGAAATATCGTGGGAAGAAGTGAATTTATGGTACATTGGTGTTCTTCTCATGCTTTCACGATTAATACAGATGGACCAAGCAAGCCACTTTGTACGCTGCTGAACATTAGAGTAGTACCTCAAAATCAGACAATAATAACCAAATGCTGTGCCCGAAAAGAAAACCAATACTTCCAGACTGAAACAAAAATGCCATGGCCCCCGGAACTCCTTGTCTTCTTTCGTGCAAATTCCCATCTATGCCGTCCCCACCCACCAATCTTTGCACCGCTAGAACACATGCTAAAAAGGACCGCCGCCCAAAAACATAGGTAGAGACCGAAACAAGAACTCTTAATCCTCCTTTTCCTTATTGTCCTCCTCCATGTTTTCCTTCGCGTCCTCCTCGTTACCGTCTCCTTTGCCGGTGCCGTTGCCGTTGTCGTTCGCGCTATCACTATCGTCCTTCACCAGCTCCGGAAGCTTGCCCTCAGTGCGAACCTTCCTGCTCCGGGCTGAAAGTGCCTGATACCGAAGCATCACAACGGTAAAAGGGGGCATGGCTTTGCTCGTCTTCATGCCCTTGCTCCAAATGTCGTCGGTGCCCGGAATAGAAGACAGCTGTAGGAGCTGGTGTTTGTCGAGAGCGGAGGAAGATGTGATAGCACTGGTGGAAGCGACAGGGTCGATAGCGGACATTGCCGAGAGGAATAAGAACGCGGGATGGAGGCGGGTGGTTGATAGGGATGAGGTATCGAGATGGTGAAGACGCGGAAGAAGGCCGTCTTGCTGTTGGGAAAGGCGGTCCCTTCGGGTCTTGATGTCGGGGATGGTGTTGAACCTGCTTTTGTTCAAAGTGGTGATGTTTTGGGCCGAGAGTTTTACGCTGAGCTTCATCCTCGGGGCTGCGGCCTTCATCCTCACGGCCGTGCTGGCGCGATGGATAGGAAGAAGTGGCATCGCGTGGATGCTGATGAGGGCTTGGGTTAGTCTCATCTTTGGCGTTTTCGCTTGAAGGATCGGTCGGTTATCGCCAAATGGCGTATTATGAAATGCCTTTGGCGATGGTTGTTGGTGGCATTAATAGGATATTCGGGTACGTTCTAACGGTTGCTCAGTTAACGATTCTTATATATACTATAAAACCGTTGGAAAGAAGGTGGTGATGGTTGTAAGAGGAAGAAGTTGGGAGACGTCGGAAAACATCAAGAGTTTTTACTTCAATACCCCCGCTTCTCTTCAGTTCTTTCCCTTCTTCCTCTCCCCACCTTCACTTTCTCATTCATCGTGCCTTCCTAGAATGGAAGATTTCCATTATGATTTCAGGGTCTTGCACCGGCCTAACGGTTAGGATTTTTCAACGCTTGGGATATATCAACGGTTAAAGGCGTTGGCCAACGGTTGAGAGCGTTATACATCCATTGAGATATATCAACCGTAGAACGCTTCCTTAGATTCCCGGGAATGAGTGGTTGGAAGTCAGCGGAAGTGAAGGCAAACATGAGGTGCTTTATATCCTGTGAGCCAGCCTTGGATAAAGAATGGTGGATGTGTAACGGGAGGCGAGAATTTACGCCCAGTGAAGCATCTGAAAAGGTGCATTTTACGGTTCACCGGGCTTCCAGTGCCGCATATATGCAATGCTTCCATTCACTTGATGCCCGTGGTCGACAACCTTTGTCCGGTCACCGATGGACGAACGACATCTTTGAACCTTGTGCATCAACATTCACCAACTCGAACGCCACGGCGCTTTATGTTTCCAATCGCGCCCTGCATGACTGGCGCAAATATTCGTGGTGATGCCCCCAAAAGTTGACCGGCGAAGACGTCGCTCGTACGCGGACCAAGAATAGTCGCTGTGTACGGTACCCGAAGAGCGCTTCGAGGGCGTAAACGCCCCTGTCCACGTATCAAACATTGATACGTTCCACGACTGGACGTCCTGCCAACAACCCTATCGGTATTGATCTCAAGCCTCAAATGGGCTGACTAGGAGTGCATATTCGTGCCATAACCAAAGCTTCACGGGCCATACCAACCACTTCGGTGACGTCCCGATGCTAAGAACGACGGATTTTGATGGCACTTGTCATTAGAGGATATTTTCTTGGTAAAAATGCGGAAGATGATGCTCGATGATACTCGGTCGCTTAAGGACGAGAATGGATGCGCTCGTGGGCCAGAACACTAACGGCAATCAATCAGCCTCAAAGTCCAGATTCGCTAGGACACGGGAGCTTCAATGACTCGAGGTCGTTGTTGAGGTTCGTCCCAAATGGTCATAAGGTTGAGATGAGCCTCAATGGAGACGCAAGCAATGGTGGCAGTGCTGATGTGGACAGTGGACACTGGGGTTATCGTCGTCATCCTCGGCGGAAGTGTGGCCGTCGCCCTCAGAAACCGCGAACTGGTAAAACCATGCTCGTTCACCTGGGAATAGCCTCAGTCGGAAGTAAACAAATCCATATCTTTCGAGTCTCTCCATCAGGGGCATGATCTCGACGTGGCCCACAGTGATTCTGACAAGCGCATCAACTCAAAACATCGGCGAAACAGCGATAAGGTGCACGATAAAGCGGTCCCTACCGAACAGGCTTGGCGTCGATCTGCACATGCAGATTCACGGCACTTTCGCCCAATGACGTCTTTAGCTCAGCCATCACGATGTGCCCTTAACCTTTAAAACGTTCGGCTGCTTTTGCCAACGCAGTCTCGCAGATGTTAGCGTCCCCCAGGTTCGGTCGATTTGAGTTCCCGTGAAGGGGGAGTCAAGGGACGGCGGGGGAACCGCAAGGTACTCCACCAAACATTGACCAGCACGGAGCATCATTCTTCACTCCCGCTCGGAGACCGGAGTATGTACATACAGTTGGAAGTCTAGATCAAAATGGCCAGCCATGATGATTGTCTGATGTCCATTCACATTGTTTCTTGGGACTGTGCCTTTCCCGGGTAGACGTCAGTCAGCTCCCGTGATGTCGGCGTTAGGCGGGCGCTAGGAGCGTCTGGGGTGTTAGCGCATGCACACAAAATAGGCGTGACTCTTAGCAGTTACTAGCGGGTGCAGCGCGGGGCGTGGGCAGGCAGGTCTCAGACTGTCCACCACCAGTCCACTAACTGCATCGGTCGTTTCCGCTAGCCTTTTCTTCACAAAGTCCCCGGTCTGAAGTGGTGCCCTTCATTCTTTCCGTCAACCCGACTTGTTCTTGCGCGTGCGTTTGGAGCCAGTGTCTCTGTGGCAACATTAGTTCAAAGATAACAATCCGGTAATTCTTCACCCTCTGACTTCATCGTCTTGCCATTCCGTACCATTGACAGTCGCAATTTGCACTTTCGAAGCCAACCGATACGAACACAACGGCTAATTCAATCCCCCCAAAGAAGACCTCCCAAAAGACTATAAGCACCTCTAGTCTCTACTGTACATCCGAGGCTCCGACCCAATTAGCGACACCGATACTATTTCCCGCGATACCAGCCATCTAAACTTTCGATACCCTAACCCAGTTCCACTCCTGCCGTCTTCCGAAAAACCGACAACCACAATGCCAGGATTCCGGCGGAAAATCACAAAACACTTTGGAGATTCAGTGAGCAACCCGCGTTCCCTTCCTTTTACAAGTTCCCGAGGTTCATGGTTGGAAGGCGACGACGAGCAAGCTGGGGTTGGCTTTGGCGCCGGGGCTGGTGCTTGGTGCTACCTCGATCTGGAGTGATCGAGTAGCCGCCTTCGCCAGAGCGCCACGAAGACGACAGCTTCCAGTCGCAATTCGCGGCCAGTTGCCGGTTGATACAAGGAAGAGACTGTCGAGCTATACGAATTGGCCGCCCCTGCCTGTAGGATTCCGGGCGTTGACGTCGCGGGATGACCGAGTTCGCGCAACTAGGCGCATCGCAGCGCTACTACTGGAAAAGAAGACTTTGGCTAACAAAAGCAATTCCGTTTAGCTCACACCTTCAAAACCATACCTCTCCTACCATGATATTCTCCGTATGTGGATCAGTCTGGCATATGTCTGTTGACCTTGATCTGACTTGGGGGTGATTAGTAACGAGTGACGATATCGTCTCGCTCAAATATGACTGGCTTACCGATAACGTAAGTTACTCCCAATGTTGTGGTAGCTGTTGGTTGCTAACATGCCCGGTTTAGAACATCGCCTTCTGGGAAGAGTATGTCTCTGTTGATACATTCCCAAATACTAATCCCCTTCCTACACCGGCCTTCCAATCTGACATCCGTACTCTAGATGGCTCGAGAGAGAGGTCCTTCCCAAGTACCCGCGCGCCCACATCGTTCTCCTACGACCTAGCATAACGTTCCTCCTGATGCAAGCTATCGACCTCAAAAGCATCGGCAGCGCGCTACCGGACTTCAGGAAAACGACGCACATCTTCCTGCCGGTCAACGACAGCCGGGACCGCGAGCGCGCCGACGGCGGTTCCCATTGGTCTCTGCTGGTCGTGTCCGTCATCGACCGTGTTGCGTTCCACTACGACTCGCTCGGCGGTGCAAACTTTTACGAAGCGCAAAAGTGTACGGACCGTCTCGGCCGGGTGCTCGGCGTGCCCCTGCGGTTCCACCAGATGGAGGACTCGCCCCAACAGGGCAACAACAGCGACTGCGGCGTCTACGTCTGCATCGTTATGCGCCATCTCCTCATCAAGAGGCTACTCAATGCCAACTCCAACGAAAAGGTGTCCATGTCCATGGCCAACAAGGTGATCGACAGCGCGGGCGGCCGCAAGGAGATGATGCAGATCATCGAGTCGTTACGGAAGGAGGGCGAGAGGCGACGGAGCTTGAGCCCCATGTCGACGTCGTCGAAATCCGGATCGTCAAAGACACCGCCCCGCATTGAGTAGTAGTGCAGGTTACTAGCTTGGCTGTTTTGTTGTAGATTGTGTGTGTTGGACAGATGATACCCCCGCCTGTCTCAAGAAGGTTTCGATTCACACAGGCAAAAAAGAAACCAAAAAAGTTTTAGGATACCCCTTTAACGAGAGTGCGCACCACCCCCATTGGAAGAAAGCTGGAGCACGGAACGAATGCACCGTCAGCGGGCCCCCCTTCTACTGGCAATATTCCTGCACCACTGTGTTGCAACGGGAGAACTTTTTTTTTTTTTTTTTTGGTCACAGCGTCGAGATGGATGACCAACCCGCTCTGTAGGGGTCATCAGCACAACGCGCGGCGTCAGACTGACGGAGAGGCGTTTTTATAGGCGTTAGGGTTCAAGCTACGAGCCGTAACAAACTCAACGCCGCGCATAATAGTTCTTGTGGGGGAGAGAAGGATAAAGGGAAAAAAACCAAGTAAATCATATTTCAAGTGGACGAGCTCTCCCGTGGCTTGATTGAGAGCTTGGGGGAGCTGAGACGCCCGAACTTTACGGGATATCTAGCATAGGAGGTGGGAATATCTGCATTATGGCATTGTAGCCGCTTTTCAGGCGTGTGTGTATATAGCTTACAACAAACGTGCTTTTTTCTTTGGATCTCTGTACCGAGTTACTCATGGCTCTTTATGTTTTCGCATTCTTCCTTAGGTCGCAGTGGCATCATCTCGCTTTATAGCGCGTGGAGCAAGCCAAAACAGAGAGATATATACCTTCAGCAAGTTTAGAAAATGAAGAAAGCAAGATACAAATTTGTTACATATGAATGCCTCTCAAACGCCGCCAAATCCCAACAACAACAATAATGTGACAGCAAAAAGACCAGGAACATTCAAGGACCGATCATGCCGTCTTCCCCAAGAATGCAGGGTTCTGCTCCATCGTAGCAGAGATAAACCCCCTCAGCGCCGCCCACCTATTCGTCGTCGCCGGTTGTTGTTGTTGTTGTGTTGTTGCTCTCTGTGTCGCCTGTCCCTGTGTCTGTGTCGTCTTCTGCTGCTCAACCTCCATCGCAGGCGTCGTCGCCGCAGTAGCAGGTCCCTTCACCGTCGCCAACTGCGCCAAACTCCTTCCAAACCGATCCATCTCCGTCTTAACCACCTTCTCCTTCCTCTTCAACGCCCCCGGCCGCGTCTTCAAACTCTTATGCCTCACCCTCCCCATCGCCTCCTGCATCTTATCCATCGTCTTCCCGCTCTCTTGGTCCTCCCTAATCTCATCGCTGATTTCCCCCAGTACATCCCCCAAACTTTCCAGGGTAGTCACCAACTTCTTGGAAGGTCTCCTCCGCTTTAATTTGCGACCAGAGCCGGGAGCCGTCTTGGCGATCCGTGACACGAACGCGTTGTGCTTGATTGTGCGCTTGTCTTTTTTCGAGTCGATGAAGGAGTCGGAGACTACGTTGTTCTCGCGGTGGAGCTTGCGAGGCAACAGAGGGTCGGCGAGGCGCTTAAGGGCTTTTTCGCGGGCCGAGAGGCGTTTGCCGGGGGTGGGGGCTGTTGGGGCCTGTGTTGTGTGGTGGTTGGGAGGGTTAGTTGGTTGGTGTCAAGAAGGGAGGAGAGGGGAGAGGGGAGAGGGTTCGAGGTTGCGCAAGGCGCTGGGAAGAATTGAATGAAAGGTGGGAAGGGTTGGGGGTTGATTTTAAGGAGGACGTACCATGGCTTGCGGACTCTTTGGTCTCAATGGACTGATACGAAGCAGAGGGGGGTGAGCGAGCGGGCGCGAGTGTAATTGATGAATGAAGACACGAAGCTTGAAAGAAGCCAACAAGATGGCCGGGGAACTGATGAGGTGGACTGGATGGAGTTGAACCACGCGCGGACCATTGACCACAATCGCTCGCTTCCCAGGATTGAGTGATGGGCAGAATTGACTTTTGAGTGGAGCCGCTAATCGATAACGTAGGGGCGTGAACGTGCAAAATCCTCACCGCCCAGGCCTCCGCTACAGGGGGCTGAGCTGTGTGCCAAGAAGGGCTGCAGCAGTGGTCAGTGGGGTTGATTCAGCCCTACGCCTTTCATCGTTTCCGTTTTCCTCATCCAGTTTCACGAGTTCATCTGGAAAAGACGCCCAGGGGAATAGAGGCAAATATCGAAGAGGTATAAGCTCAATGCCAAGTTAAGATGTGCTGAATAGTTTGAGATAATCAACCAGAACTACCTCTAATGGAAGCTCTTTGATCTCGCGATACGGTAGCTGCCCCGCACTCGCTATCACTGACACGATAACTGGGCACTTTTATCGCACTCCAACGTTCCAGATTACATATCTTGCCCCAAACACAACAAGATGCAGAACGGCGATACCAACTCAGCCCAAAATGGTTCAATCAGCTCTGTCCCTCGGGACACGAGTCGCCCTCTCACAGAAGAGGAGCTCGATAGATACTCCCGTCAGATCATCGTACCTGGAATGGGCAAGGAAGGTGAGCACTTCCCACGTCACTTTTTTAGCCAACTATTACCCCTGAACCAAAGTAAACAAACCACACCTGACTGACTAACACCCCCATCTCCCCATCCCCAGCCCAACTCCGTCTCATAAACGCCAAAGTCCTCATCATCGGCGCCGGCGGCCTCGGCTGCCCAGCCGCGCAATACATTGCCGGCGCCGGCATCGGCACCATCGGCATCGTCGACGGCGACACCGTCGAGCGCTCCAACCTGCACCGACAAGTCGGCCACTCCACCTCTCGCATCGGGCAGACCAAAGTCTCGTCCCTCATCACCCACCTCCGCGGCCTCAACCCACTCCCCACTTACGTCGCCCACACCACGCACATCACCCCGCTCAACGCCGCCGACCTGATCTCCCAATACGACCTCATCCTCGACTGCACCGACAACCCCGCCACCCGCTACCTGATCTCCGACGTCTGCGTCCTCCTCTGCAAACCGCTCGTCTCCGCCGCCTCTGTGCAAACCTCCGGGCAAATCATCGTCCTCAACTGCCCGCCCACCCCGCAGGGTCAGCTCGACGGAGAGGGAGGGCCTTACCCGCCTTGCTACCGGTGCTGCTTCAAGAAACCGCCACCGGCTAACGCCCAGCTGTCGTGCGGCGAAGCGGGCATCTTGGGCCCCGTGGTGGGATTGATGGGCGTGGCGCAGGCGGGGGAGGCGATCAAGATTATTGCTTCTGCGCTGCATGTCCCGCCGCCAGCAGAGGGAGCACCAAGAGCGCCGCCGGTGGAACCGACGCTGCTGCTGTACTCGTACTCGCTGACTTCGTTTTTGTCGCCGTTCACGTTTCGCGCGCTCAAGATGGCGCCGAGGAAGAAGAGCTGCTTTGCCTGTGGCGAGGGGAGCAGGGAAAGGTTGACGCTGGAGGGGGTGAAGAATGGGGAGCCGAATTATGAGTTTTTCTGTGGATTGGGAGGGGGGCCTAAGGCAGGGGTTTTGTCAGAGGAGGAGAGGATCACGCCAAGGGAGTTTGTTGAGAGGGTACAACGCAAAGAAGGAAAGGGGAAGTACGTGGTGCTGGATACGAGGGAGAAGGAACATTTTAGCTTTGGAAGCATTGAGGGAGCGGTTAATGTGCCGTTTGGGAAGTTGTTGAGTAAGGCTGCGCAGCTTGAGCGGAGCGGGGAGACGCCCGAGGTGGAGTACATTGTACCGCCAGAGGTGAAGATCGAGGATGAAGGTGAGGACGTCCCAATATACGTGGTTTGTAGAAGGGGCTTGGACTCGCAGGAGGCGGTGGAAAAGTTGAAGGAGATGGGACTTGATAAAGGAGGGAAGAGGAAGATTGTGGATATTGCTGGAGGAATGAAGGCTTGGAAGGAGCAGGTTGATCCAAGTTTCCCATACCTATAGCCAGAGTCTATCTGGTCTTTTGAGGAGACGCGCTAGATTTCTCTGCTATGGCGAGTTCCTCAACCTGCGTCCAAGACGTACATAATACATATAATGAATGAGCAGAAAGTCTCCAAGACAGTTGAAGGACAATGAACAAACAAGAAAATGGTTCTTCAATGACAGACACAGCCAGTCCCATGATTCCGACTAATGCCCTGCGGTATCTGTACTCATACATGTCACACGACCTGGCGTCAAGTCATCATATCATTTCTTCCAAGCCTTGGGGGCTTTCCAGATGTTGAACACAACGCAAATCCAATGCTATTCCGGTGATGTGCCTAAACGAAGGTGGTACGCTTCTTGTTGAAGGCCCTCTGGTCCTTGAGCCATTGTCTGTAGCCAGCAACGCTGGAGATCTTCTCGCCGTAGAAATCGGGAACTAAGTTTCAGTCATGTTAGCCCAACTGGTCCGTACTTCCCCATTCCACCTGCCATCTTTCCCTCCTGTTTGATCCTAAGACGGAAAATAAACCTACCAGGGTTGCCCATAGAGCTAGCGCTAGGATCAACACGGTGCTTCTTGATCCGCGCAAAGAACTGGCTCTCCTTGATCGCCATCTGACCCCTGTACTTGCTCTTGAGCGCGTTGAACACCATGGCGCCGATGGGAGGGCCCATCAGCCAGCCCAGCGCACCAAAGCTGGCCGTCATCAGACCGATCGCAAACATGGGCTCCAGCGGCACCTGCGACACCAGGCTGTCGGCCACTCCCGTGCTCAGAACCGCGCCTCCAACCCCCGACGTGACCAGCGTCATGATCACACTGAAGGCCAGCTGAACCCTCCGCCTGGTCTTGCGCAGCTTGAAGAAGGTGTTCCAGTCCAGCACGGGCTCCCCGGCGTGGGCGGCTGATTGCGCTGCGGCGGCGGCCTCGGCGGCGTTGGCGTCGAGCTCGGCATCGGAGCGCGGGCGGGTGCTGGAGGAGGAAGCTCTGCGGAGCTGCTGTTGGGCCTGGGTCTGGGCTTGTTGTTGGGCGCGGAAACGGAGGACGAGGGCAGAAGGTGTCGTCGAGAGAGGGCGCACAGAGGTCGGTTGTTGGAGCTTGGTGTTCATGGAGAAGGGTGAGCAGGGGCAGGCGGCGCTGCGGAGGAGCATGGGCTGGAGGGCGCCGGAGGACCGGCTGACGCCTGCGCGGAGCATCGTTGCTGTTGAGCTAAGCATCGTGTATGTGGTGTGTGTGTTTCGGCAGAGAAACCGGTCGAGTCGTGACTACTGTGTATGTGAAGTGTCTTGGATTCAAGGTCTAGTGCAGAGCTGAGAGCTCCCGGTTGAACAATGGATCGAAGTGCGTAATTTGGTGGGGGTGGGGATGGGGAAAGAATCGAGGCCGGTGGATGCAGTGACGAAAACCCACGGCCGGGGTCCTTCGACAAAGTTCGCTGTGATGCAAGTGCCAGTGGGCTGTTTTTAGCGGCCATGGCCTGCTGCAGCTACCTGTAGGTACGTACACAGTACAGCCGAGGGGCTTGCTGTGCAGCATTGACAACGATAAGATAAGAGCCTTGCGACCTCTCGCACATGAAGCCATCGCCGAGTTGTGAACTCCCGATTGACTCACCATCATTGAAAAAGGTAGACGGAGAACGACTTTGAACAGGCAATTGGCCTCTCTAATTCTCTGAGCAATGGTTGACAGAACACGGGTTTGGTGTGTCTTTATGATAACAGGAGAGTTGTCTTCAATGTCTCGCGACAAGGTTGGTCGGGGGAGCGGACACTGCATGTGAATGTTGGTCAATTGATAAATGTCTATCTGTCGGAAGACAACTCCAAAGTCCAGACTCTGGGCTGCGATATTACAGATCAAAAAAAGAAGCAAAAGTACAAAAATAAACAAGATAAATCAGGATTAGTGTAGTATCAAAGGATATAGAATAATAACACTTATTTAATACTTTTCTTTATCTTTTTTTAATTTGCAATTAAATTAACTTTTTTTTTTTTAATTTGCTAGCTTGCACGCTTACTAGACTGTTCTTGGCATGATCGATATTAATTATGTATAATACAAGTATGATGGGCCGACATTTTCCCGCCTTGGCGCTGGTTTATACCTAACGGTCGACGCGCTGGATCAACAGCGCGGGCGCCAACTTAACAATCAACCTGGAAACAAGCATCACTCGAAACACATCACGACATGGCGACCGACATGCTTTGTCGAGGCGCACTTCGCCAGTAAATTTGTCACTATCCCAATGGCGCATCTTGAGGAATTAACGGCGGTCATCTTTCTGCTCTCACGCGACAAGTCTCTTCGGCCCCTTCCTCCACAGCTGCGCGGGCCAATCTCTCGGGGCGCGTCGCACACGCCCACTTGAACCCAACCACCGACTCACAACCAATTCAGTTTCACATATCATCCCCCTATATTGCGCAATGGCTGGAAAGCCTGTCACCGGCCGTCCCAAGACGACTATCGAGATACCTCTCCCTTCGATCAAGAAGTACACCCGTGGCTCGGGTCCACCACCGCCTCCTATTACTCTCGCGCCGCCTCGAGACTCGACCGCATACATCATCGACCAATTTGTCCTGCCTGTGCTCAAGGACACAAAGCCAGACTCTCGACGTCGTGTTTTTTACCATATCGGATTTACCGACATCCCGGCTGCTAGGCTTCTAGTCCCTTGCAACGAAGCCCTCGACTACGTATCTCCACGCGAGTTGGAGGAATGGGAATACGATGCTCTTCAAATTAAGGAAGCGGACAAGGCTGTGGAGGCTGAGCGGAAGCGCAAGAACCAGGGGCAAGCTCCCGCTAAGAAGAAACCCGGTCGCCCTCCAAAGGCCCGCTTGAACGACCCAGCGCTTGACGCACCCGCGGAGCCTGTCTTATCGTTGCAAGAGGGGGACGTCCTATTAGCCAAGCAGGAAGCTGTTGGCGGTCCCTCGTTAGCTACTCCACAGAAACGAAAGCGGGCCGAGATCCCCAGGTTTGACGATTCGGACGAAGCAGCCATCCAGCTCCAACTACAGAACGATGCCAGCGAGGTAGAGGATAGCGGCACGGACCTGGAGGGCTACGATTCGGCCGATCCTCTGTCGGCCGACCTAGGTCCCAGGATTCCATCTTATTCACGGGCTAGTAGTTCGGTGTCGTTCGCGCAACAGCCTGTGGCCGGCCCATCCAAACCCACAACGGTAAACCTAGGTCTCTCGAGCAACCTTGCTTCGCGCCCGTCGTCGAGCGTCGCTTCCACCCCAGGAAGAATTCACCCAATGTTTGCGCGCAGCATTGAGGCAGGAAGAACCTCGGTCAGTGGACATGGCAGCCAAAAAGGGGCAGGCCAGAATGGGGTAGGTCATTCACTTGGCTTTGGAGGGAAGAATACGGAGTCCAATACACGAGCTTCTCCGTCTAGAGACAGCACACGTCAGTTCAAAGCGGTTCCTAAAACAGCTGTACTTCCTTTACCGCACCCAACACAAGTCAAGCCGATTGCTTTCACGCCTCTTGCAGTACCCATTGCAATCTCTAAACCGATAGTCACTTCTGACTCCCTATCCAAGCAGAATGAGTCTTCCAGCGCAAGGAAGCGTCGTAAAGACGAGCAGTCGAAACCGAACAAAAAGCAAAAGAAGCCTCAGATCGAAGAGCCCACTGGGTCCTGGGTAGTTAAGGAACTACTCGACGACCAACGGGTAACCGAGCATGGCCTCAAGGTTCACAAGTACCTAGTCCTCTGGGAAGGCGACTGGCCGCCCGACCAGAACCCGACATGGGAACCTGAAGACAACATCGAGGACCAGAGCCTCATCAAGAAATACCTGAAAAAGAAACAAGCCGGGGTCCTGAAGCCCCCCAAGAAAACACAACGGTCGATGCTGTCGTATCTCTCGCAGCCACAGTACTCTAGCGTTGCTGAGGCATTCGAAGGCGATATCGACGAACTACAACCAGAAGCCGCAGTCGTGACACCGGATAGTGACTTGGATGACGGTGATGAGCTTTTGGTGACGGAAGAGCCCGTCGCCAAGACACAGAAGAACGGGAAAGGGAAGACTAGCAGTTTCACCTCGTTCGACTCGAAGCTGGAGTAGTACCAGAAGACCTTTCCGAGGTGACGAGGGAGTGCTCCGGCGTATGGTTGGGGTGCTAATGGGCACGAACTTATCTTTTGCTGGAAAGCGGGTTTGAATACACTACATTCTTGGGATGAACGTGTTGGAGGAGCTACACAGTGACATCGATGGCTCACCAGTATCGTTATCACGCGGCTACATAACTAGGAGGGTCATAAGGCAGTGCCGCAATCCGATGCTATCCTGCTACGTTCCGATCTCGCCAGGTTTCTTCCATCAATTTCGGATAGACTGGGCTGAGTAGACTGGGTTTGGTGAACCAGATGGTACCATAGAAGGTTGGATGCATGAAGCAACATCTTGGGCCTCGCTTGAACGGTATGGGATGGGGAGAATAGCTCGGTGGGCACAGAGAAAGCACAGCGGGAGATCACTGCGGACGTTTAAAATCGGGACTTTGAATTGCTGGTATATGTATCCTGATTGCACATAATCCCAATAATACTAGGTCCAGCGAATCACAACATATAACCACCAACCACTCTTCCGTTCCGTCCATCTATCTATCCAGACCTGGACATATCCAACGGACATACCGTGGCCAGCTTTGTTTTTCAGATATGGAAACCATCAGGATTCATGATTCCACCGCCTACAACTGCCACCTCAGTAAGGCAGCGAGGCATCCTCTTGGACAGACTTCAGCTATATATCATATTCTCCCTTATCAGCATCATCCACCTCCAACTCCATAAACCATGACTCTCATCCCGGTGATCATCGCTAACATCGTTTTCCACGCCTACCTCCTCCCCCCCATTCCAGATCGTCCACACCTGGTAGCATCCGAGAACCGGAGCTTCGGCCTAGCAATGGCATCGACATTGTCATATCCCTCTTGAAGCACCATTTACCCCCGAACTGACCCAAGATCCCTACATGCACCACCTTCCGCAGCCAACCTGACGAAGATATCTCCTCGGCAGGCGAATCTTCAGCCCCGCCAGATCCCGACTCCGTTTCTTCATAGAAGAAACTTGGCGTTGGCGGCAAATGCAACATGTCCTCCAGACCGATAGCAACTTGCTCCAACGAACACAAGAGTTCGTAATAGGGCACCACCCTTCGCCACCAGTCATCATCGTCTAACTTTGACTCACCGGCATATTGCCCGCCGTACATGTACCAGTTGATGTTCTCCGAGTCGTCGTCTTAATAATCATCCATCAACTCAAAACAACGAACGTTGTCATCAGCTCGTGCTCCGGACGTACACTCCAACCCTGGTTTGATTGTTGGCGTGGTACTTCGACAGACACTTTTCCTTCTGAAGTTTGGTTCGGTGGACTTTGACGATGCAAGTCCTGGAAAAGCGCTGGAACTATTTCCCTTTTTGGTATTGTCTCTGGAATACCGAGGAGGCTGCTCTACCGTATTATCTCGGGAAATTGGGATTCGGAAACCAAGGCAGGTACGAGGCAGGGTTAGAGGTGTCGGTCAACCACATACATGCTTTTTTACACCTTCAACCCTGCCTTTCCGGATCCCAATTTCCCGAGATAATACGGTAAACCTCTCTCTAGGTACCCTGGTTTTTCGACGATTTGCCAATCATATCCTCTAGATCGCACATTTCTCCCCTACTGTACTCATAGCCGGAAGAAAGTCCCACGCTACCTTAACAAATAAACCAGTATTGGACTGTACTAGTTGCCGTATCCCCATCAGTAAACCCAGAAGATCCAGGACCGTCCTTCCTCTTCCTCATCCCCAACCCTCCCACTCCCAGGCCCAGCAGCAAAAACCCAAACCCCCCTTAACCTTGTCCCCAACCCGAACCCACCCGCCAACCTCCTCATAGCCCGCTCACACTCTGGCTTCCTATTCCATTCAACCATCCCTTCAAACACACCTTGACTGCCCAAAAAGTCCAACCCAAGGTTCTCCACGCCTCGCAACGGACCCAGCAGGTGCTGTCCAAGTGTCCTGATGGCGGTTTCGCTCTCGACTAGGACGTCGGAGGAGGAGATGTTTTCTAGCAGGATGACGTCTCGGGAGAGGTTGCAGTGGAGGATTCCGCACACTGCACGCTCATGTTCACGCTCACGCCCACGCCCACGTTCACGCGCTTGACCACCACCACCGGTTGTCGGGGTTGGGATTCGGGTTCGGAGGATCAGCTTGTCTGGTAAGAAATATGAGGCCGAGGGGCCGTTGAGAATTTCGGAACGGGACTCGGAGCAGATGGTGAGGAGGTTACGACTGGCGTGCGTGGAGAGGATGAGGGAGGGGGTGGGGAGGAGGATTGGCCTTGTGCTAGAGGTTGAGGATGTCTTGGAGTCATAATTGTTGTGATTTGGAGAGGTAGAGATATCGGCCACAAGTTTTAAGCGCACCCGGTGGACATTTCTGTTACGGCAGGCTGACTCTGCTGCTAACCTCCAGATTTGGAGGCGAAGCTCGGTGGGGAGTTTGGGGAATGGGTGGAATGTTCGAGCATATTTGGGATTGGGAGTATTATTTGGTTTTGGACGTGTCTGGTCAGTGGAGATATCTTCGAGTGGCACATTCTCTTCCACGTCCTAAAGCAAGGGGTATGTTAGTCAGACTGTATCCGTCTAGCATAGTGGTGAAGGAGGAACTAACCTTTTGGGTGCACCAAGGATTCGGCAAGTGTGACATGTCGACAATCGATAATTAGGTAGTAGGGTATTAGAAAGAAATATGTGAGCTTGTAGTAACGCAAAGTGGCTGGTTGATCTCGATATCTAGTAGTATATCTCCAGAACACAATATCCGATGTTGCTTTGAATGTCAGTGAGTGTTTGAGTTGCCACGTAATGCGCCTTCTTTTTCAAATCTTCTGTTTCAAAATCGAAAACCATAAAGGAGAGAAGAGATAAAAAGGCTGGAAAAGGAGCGTTCTTCTATCTAGTTGGATAAAGGTGCTACAAGTAGGTGTCCCCAAGGAACTTATGATTCTTCCTCTAACATCACAGCACATCGCCCTCGTCAAACTTCAACCATTTGATTCTCGTTCGTATTAGTTTTCTTTCTTACAACTACTGTTGGCAATCCGGGGGAGTGGGCGTTGGGCCACCGGCACGAGATACATTGCAGGACACGATGAATGGACTTTTGCCGGCGCTTATTCATTCATGTTCCTGTTGGAAGTTGGACGTTGGATGTTGGTTCAGTTCAGCGCTTAAGACCAGGACAGGACGGGAATCACCAAACCATGACGACAAAGGAGCCAACACCCAACACCCACCAGTAGATAAACTCTCCAGTCCAGCTTTGACACATAACGGGCACATAGTCACTTGTTAGAATGCGGCAGGAATGAGAAATGAGTTCATTAAGAAGACTTGGGACTTGGCCGACTTCATTAGGATCGTTGAAACTACTTCATCCATCACATCATGACTTCGTGACTTCGTGACTTCCCCCTAACCTTCTTATACCGCCGCTTGTCCATTCCTCAATCGCCAACCTGAACTCTGCCCATTAATCCTCCGCTTCATGTATTGCTCAGCATATGTCGAGGAAATCTCCGCGAGCCAACAGGAACCAAACCGCCCCAGTTATTCGACGTGCTGTTGGATGTGAAGGCATAATTAGGAGGAAAATTAATGTCATTCGGTCCAACAGTGATCCATGTTTTTACAACCCGCTGAATGCCCAACATCTGTCGCAGCTTCGCCCCCCATTCAGCTCTGACTCTCCCTCCATGTTCCGCGATATTTTCCCTTGATCCTTCACTCCACGCCGCATGTTTTCGGACTTGTCGAGACCTCCTACCGATGACATCGTCAATAACCTTCCTGAGCTCGCGAAATTCTGTCTGCCAGATGTTGAGGGTTTCAGCAACGGCTTCCTCGATCAAGGATGAGCAGTTCTGGTTTCGAAGCTACAAAGGTTGAAGGGCGATGCGGGTATATAGACGCTGACTTGTGTTTCTGATGGGTAGACTCGATGCTTTTTTCTTGTAGAAGGGTGATCAAGTTTCGAGGGTGATGTTGTTGTTTGCGCGAGAGGAAAAGCTTCGCGTCGTGGGGTATTTGACCTGAGTGTCTTCAGAGGAGGGGGGCAAACAGGAGGGCAGGCAGAAAGGGGAGGGTAACTCGGGGGGTCCACTACTGAATTCGTAGACTTTCGACCACTTTGATTTCCTAGTCTCGGTACCTGTATTCTTCAAGTTGTGGCACTTGCTTACGATGTCCCATACGTGAAGGAGATGGAGGTAGGGATACATGTATTCATATTGCTGAACTTTCAACCTCGCCTTTCGCTTCCTGGGGGAGTAGATACCGTACCTTGGATTAAGACCAACAGAAATCGCAGGCCAACACTGGCACAATCCTCGCAATTATAAGTCAGAATATCATTTGATCACAGGCACTTAGCTTCGATCTTCCGACCAACCTCCAGTTGACAAAAGATTCGCACATATGACGTGACTGCCCGAAAACCAACACTTCCTCCAGCAATACACGTACTTGTTCGAAAAAAAACGGCCGAAAGATTATTCGGAAACGGCCAACGTAACTAAACAGTATGAAAAGCAACGGATCAGTCAACGTAATCACTGTCCGAGTCATAGTGTGACGACACCTCGATGGGTTCCTGAGAACTGCCAAGCAGTGCCTCGCCATCTGGAGCAGGTTGCTTCTGCTTCGAACCGATCAGCGCGTCAGCGGCCTGCTCCATAGCTTGAGAAGTCGTCTTTGGGTCGTCTTTAATATGCTGTGCATCAGACTGCCTGCTCGGAAAGCCTATCTCATCGTTGCGAAGACGCTCGATGAACATGTCTGCTTCCGCATCGATTATCTGGAGCTTCGTGGTCAAAGCATCAGAATGCCCAATCTGTTCGTGAAGTTGTGACTTGAAGAACTCCACAAGGTCACCCTTCCTGGAGACTGAATCCTCATCGCCGGTTGTCGCGCGGGAAGCTTGTTCAATGTACTTGCTAAGGCGCTCGTCGCACAGCCGGTTCAACATGTGCATCTTCTGGCCAAATGCAGGCTTGCGGGTACTGGCCAGTATCTTCGAGATGTCAAATGACTGCAGTTGTTCTTGCAGGTGTCGGATATCCTGCCAGGCTGTGTCGAACAGGGAGTATAAGGTTTGGGTTGCCGCTTCGTGATTGTCAACAGTGGTTTCTCTTTCAGTTTCATGACAAGTGTTCATCTGCTCAAGTAGCAGCACTGAATTCTCCAGGTAATCCTTGATTATGTCGTCAACGACTTCTTCTCTCGGCTTGAGTGCGCGATGTAACATCTATGGGGAGATCGAGGTCAGGACATCACACATCATCAAAAACTTTCATGGGCGGTGGAACTTACCATCCCTATTTTGTGCACAATCGCAAATGTGGAGTCATCCACTGTCTCTCTCCTCCAGACCTCTTCCGGGCTTGTTTCTCTGCTTTGCTCTGAAGACGCCGAAGCACTCCCTTGGCTTTGCGGGCGCTGAGCTGGCATTCCTCGAAACTCGTTTGTAAGATCGGCAGCATGTGGCAGCGAGTAGGCGAGATCAGGATGCTGAGCGAAAGCCAGAACAGGCAACCGGTTGTGAGACGGCTGTTTGCGTAGTGTGGAAGCTGTGTTGCGGTGCGAAACTTGGCCTTCATAGGTCTCCAAGCCATTGCGGAACATGTTCCTAGGCGGCCATGGTGCTGCTCCAGGTTCTTGGTCACCATCATAAACAGGACCTTGATCCATAAACAAGGGAGAACTCGAGAGTTCAGAGTTAACATTATGATGTTCTTGTCCATGATTGGCAGGATGGAATACGGGAACTGCTTCCTGCGCCAGTTTGAGGTCGAGAGTCTGGTGTTGGGGTCCCCTCTGAGCCAACCTATCCCACGCATGAGCCATATGTGAAGGCACAGTGTCTTTGGGAGCTGGCAAAGAGACAGCCTCCCTTGAAATACGTCTGGGTAGTTCATTGACCACGTCATGTACGAGGGCTGCTTGCTTGCGAAATGGCCTCTGCTCATATTGTGTGCCCGCCATCAGATTGACAGTTGTCTTGGCAGGGAACGCGTCTTCGGATGTCGTCTGGGATCCGAATGCCTGAATTGCCTGGTCTCGGTAGATGGGCGGTGTCTTGATCTTCTGAGTTCTCTCGTGAAGGGGCTGCAGCATCTCCTCCAGCTCACTCGAAGTTTGGACTCCAGTGGTTGCCGAGTCTTGTTTTTCAACTCTGTTGTGATAGGAAAGAACTGACTCTTCCGGCTCATTAGGAGTCTGAAGCTTGTTGCTTGCTGGGTTGTACTTCTCAGTTCTATTATCATGGGGAAAGACTTCCTCCTCGGGCTCAACGGGAGTCTGAACCTCTTTGTTTGCCGGCCTGGGTCTTGCTACCTCGCTCTCTTTGGTGGGGGGTTTGGCCTCGGCCGGACTGGCTTGCTCAGTGCGTTGGATCTTGGAAGGCTTAGCCGGCAATCCTGTTGGTTTCTTGTCGTGTGTATCCGAGCCACTCGTTTCCAAAGTCTCGGTTTCATGTGGTTGTGCTTTTCGCTTCCTGGGTATGGCGGGAACTGAACCACTCTTCGATTTCTGACCGTCCTTCTCGACTTCAGACCGCGAAGAAGGAGGAGTAGTAGTCTGAAGCTTCTGGTGAGCCATGAGCTTGGAAATCCGAGGAGATCTCCGAAGAGCAGAGCCATCATGCGGGGACGTAGAATCAGTGGACTTGTCAGGTTCGGTGGGCGGGGTTGAGCCAGCACCTTTGCTGGGCTTGGCCTTTGGTTTGGCTTGGGACTGACGGGTCTTGGTAGGTTTCGTGCGGGAAGAAACAGAGTTCCATGGCATGTCGAGAGCCAGGTCGTCGGCGAAGAGAGGAGTTCTGTTCTGAGTCTGGGCATTGACAGCAGGCTGGGTCTTATTTTCGGGCTGTCGTGGTGTCTCCTTGACCGGATCGGGGTCACGTTTCTGAGTTGGCTCCCAGCTGTCGGGGAGCATGTCCGCCAACGGATCCCTTTTCTTCGGACTCGGGTCTTTCATGATGGGTTCGGGAAGGGGATCGAGATAGACCAGTCCATTGGCATCGGAAAACGTCGTGAGTCTTGAGGGGCTTCTAGCACGGCGTCGAGGGGAGAGGACTGTCCAGATCTCGCCGCCGTCGGCCCGTATCAGGTTGACAGAGCTCTCGTGGCTTGGAGGTAACCACTGCTCCATGGTGGAACGATCGTGATGAGGCGCGGAAGAACTGCTCGTTCTCGATCGCCGGTTTGATTCCTTCAGTATGCGTATGATCCCAAGTGCTCTGAGAATCGACCCCATCACAAGAAGAAAGCTATCCACTGACAGCGCACAACTTTCGGGAAAAAGACATCATCGAAATTGTGCGTGTGCGCATCGGCAGGGCAAAAGGGCCTCTCGACCTACCCATCGCTTCGCGCCTTCCCATTATTCTTGGAGGCATACGGGAGCTTGACCACAAAGGAAGGAACGACCGAGCGACAGGTGTGTTTTCAATCGATAAGAACGGAAGCCGCGCATCGGCTGTAAAAACCCCACAAAATCATCCAAATCGTGCAGTCAGCACCTCAGGTCGACGATGGAGGTGACTTTGAAGTATATAAGATCCAAGGTCAAAGGCACTAAAAGATGGGATGACAGCCTGAACTACCAGGAGATGGTCAGGTAGCCTGAACGTAGGCCAGGCAATGATAATGGAAGCACAGCGCATCGCAGCCCTCAACAGAGTACTCTGCTGATTTTCGCGGACCGGGACGCAAACCGGGGAGCGCTCGGACTTCGGAGACCCGCCATTGCCGAGCGGAGAGTGGAAGTCGAAGAATCTCGGGAATTGTTGTCACCGGATTGCCCCGTTCCGATTCGGCACGGCGGACAAGTTGTTGTCCTACGCCGGTGTAGGGTTGCATTCGATAAACTTCCACCAATCAGAGCGATTAGTCAGCATCGGTTCATGCCTTGTACCTTGACAGATTGTAAATCCAATCTAGACCTTCCTTCAACCACAAACGGATCTGTCATCCCATCTTTTAGTGCCTTGACCTTGAATCTTATATACTTCAAAGTCATCTAACGTCCATCTTTCGCCATTTTCGTTGCAATCACGTCTTTGCTGGCTTGCTCTCAATTGGTCCATCTTTCCCCTACCGATCCGTCATCTGCGCACGGGCGATATCCCAACCAAAGCGACCATGTACTCCTACAACGCGACAGAATGTGGTATGTACGCCGCAGACGATAAAGACACAACATCCGCAACTCTCAAACACCTCGAATACCTTCCACCCTCCGCCTCCACCGCACCGCTATCCGCATCCTCAATCCCCCGGACCTCTCGCGCCCGTCTCTCCCAACCAGACGTCTCACCAACTCCCTTCCCCGATGAACCGATCCCCGTACCCGCTGCGGCGGCGGGCGGCTCAGACCTCCCATCATCCAGCACCGTCCTCTACCTCGCCTACGGCTCCAACATGTGCGCCAAGACGTTCCTCGGCATGCGCAACATCCTTCCCCTAAGCCAAGTGAACGTCTCGGCGCCTTCGATCCGTCTGACCTTCGACCTGCCCGGGATCCCCTACCTGGAGCCCTGCTTCGCCAACATTGCTTTGCGGAAGCTTCCCAAGAAGCCACCAGTGGTACCGATCCCGCCTCTCGACCCGCCCCATCTCCCACCTCCGGGTAAACATCAACCACCGGCCAAGGAGAACTCTGCGGACTCGGATTGGAACATGGAAACCGGCGGTCTCATCGGCGTAGTCTACGAAGTAACAGCACAAGACTACGCCACCATCCTAGCCACCGAAGGCGGCGGGGCCAGCTACCACGAGATCTTGGTCCCCTGCATCGAACTGCCCGCGCCCGTTCGCATTCCCGAGCATCCACGCCCGGACTTGCCTAGACCTTTTCTGGCAAGGACGCTGTACGCTCCTCAGTTGCCTGAGAACCTCCCTGACGATGGCGGCAACGACCCTAAGCACCCCAGCCCTAAGCAGCCTCCCAGCTTTTCTTTCACCGGCGGAGGAGACTCCGATCCCTCCGACCCCAAGGAACCCCCCACCAAACCCGACGAGCCACCCTCCCTCCCCCCAAAATGGCGCCGCGCCCTCTCCAAACTCCTCCTCCCCATCCATCGCCCCACCTCCCCCCCAGCCCAACCCTCCCTCCGCTACCTCACCCTCCTCCGCTCCGGCGCCGTGGAACACGAACTCCCCGCCTCCTACCAGTCATACCTTAACAACCTCGAGCCCTACACCATCACCTCCTGCCGGCAGCAAATCGGCCGTTTGATATTTATGGTCATCTGGATGCCGCTTTTCTTCTTTGTGTTGAAAGCCACGAAATGGGTTGCTGACGACAAGGGCAAGGTTCCGGGGTGGGTGGCGGGGACGATGAGCGTTATGATGCATTTTGTTTGGGGGAGCTATGATTTTGTTTTTAAGCCGCTTTTTGGGGAGGGGGAGAGGACTGTTCACGATGATGAGGGGGGAAAGGATAAGGAAGGGGTGGGGGAGGATCAAAAGGGATGGGTGAATGGCAGAAAGAGATCGGGGTCTTGGTTGAGTAGGAGGAGGAGTGAGATGGTGGTTGATGATGAGGAAAAGAGATGTTTGTTGGGGGATACTTTGGAGGAGGATGAGTGAAGGAAAGGATTTGGGGATGAGGTTATCTTGCATGGCGTTACTATAGGCTTGATTTAGGGTGTTTGCACTCTTCACGGTTCACTTGGAGATCATATCGACACAGCATAGGATACACGAAGAAAGTCCCATTACGCCATGAGCTAAAGACGCCGTACATATACAGAATTAGGCTACACTATCCCACCCCCTTATGTTTGTATGTGTCTTTGTTTCCATTGCAAAGATATCCGATACGCTATGGCATGCATAAAGCCGACCGCATACACGATGATCCTGAAATCCCTTCCCCACACCCCGGAACAACTCTCACCAACAGGCTCGATGCACTTTCAAAAACCCAAAGTACCTAAACCGCCGTAAAACGCCCCATGATCGCAACCCGAACCGATTTTGCACCCTTTTCTCCTTTTGCCTCCTTACTTGAAGAGCTTGGGAATCTCTTCCACCTTGATCTCCTGGTTGATGATGCGCTCAACAGCCATGAAGACGGGGTAGCGCTCCTCGGCCCCCTTGGCACGGAGGAAGCTGCTGACCTCGCGGGTGGTGGAGATACCCTGCAGCTTCTGTCCGTTGAGCTCCGTCTTCTCAACCTCCTCAATGGGCAGGTTGCGCTCCACGGCCAACTTGGAGCACCTCCAGTTGCGGGCAGAGGTGCAGCTCACGATCATGTCACCCCAGCCGGCACTTTCCTCCCAGAAGGTCCTGGGCTCGATCTGGCCGGGGAAAAATTCGTTGGCAAAACGAATAGTCTCCTGCATGCCGCGACGCATAACGGCGGTCTTAGCGGTCATGTTCCAGCCGTGGCCCTCGACGTAGCCGCAAGCAATGGCGACAATGTTCTTGAGCGCACCAGCCAGCGAGACGCCGACAATGTCCGACACCATGGAGACGGTGAAGTAGGGGCGGCTGAAGAGCAGCGACCACTCGTCGTGGTCAAGAGGAGGGTAATCGAGCGGCAGCGGGGTGAGCTGCTTGGAGTGGCCATTGGCACCGCCGTTGCCGTTGGACTCGCCGTTGGCAACCGGCCTGCCGTTCTCGTCGCGCCTGTCAACAACGGGGGTGTTGTAGGCAATGGTGGTCTCGCACCACTGCTCATTGGCAATCTCGCTGGCAATGTTGGCACCGCTAAGGGCACCGCAGTAGATGTTGAGCGCGTCGCTGATGTAGTTGCAAATAAGCTCGATCTTGTCGTCGGTGACGGAGACGCCCTTGATGCAGCTGATACCGCGAGCATAGGGCGCAATGTGGTCCTTGATCTGTCTGCAGATATTGCCAATGAACTCGTGGGGGAGGTTGAAGATAAGGATGCTCGAGTCCTTAACGGCGTCTACCAGCGAAGGGTTGGCGACAATGTTGTGGGGCAACGGGATGCCGGGGAGGTACTTGACGTTCTCGTGCTTTGTGTTGATGATGTGGGTGAGCTTCTGGGGTTGCTCGCCGATCGAGGCATCGAAGTGCTTGGAGTCCTTGGGGAGGGTAACGTTCTCCTCGTAAACCCACATCTGAACATCCTTCTCGAACGTATCGGGGTGCTCGGCGCAGTTCTCGGCAACGAGCTTGGCCACTGTGGTGCCCCAGTTTCCGGAACCGATGACGGTAACCTTGTGTTTCTTGGTGAAGTTGTTGACAGTCATTTTGGCGGACTGAGAGTATCTGCGGACAAGGAAGTGTCGTGTGTGGTTGGCAGGAGGAACAAGGGAGGCTCTGCTACTGCGGCTGGGCCAGAGGGACGAAGCGGGCTCGAGTGCGGCGGTACGGGTTGCGGCTTGGGGGCTTTGGAGAAGTTGTTGGTGAAAAGAAGAAGTGGTGTTCGAAATAGCGACCGAAGACTGGACGTAAAACCGACGGCGGAGCGCTGGGTGGGTTGGCGGCGACGAAAACGATAGAGGTAGTTTTGGGCCTTGACCTTGTACAAGACAACGAGAGATGGCGGCGGCGTTTGAGCTTGAGACTCGGCTTCTGTAACGGGCCTGATGGAGAAGGGGTTGTCCGAGACGGGAACAGTTCATCTGATGTACGGAGCAGGAAGAAGAGGAGAAAGGGGAAAAAAAAAAAAAAGAAAGCACAAGAGCGAGGGTCAACAAATCTGATATATGGTGTACAACAAGAGGCATTCCAATGACGCAGGAGGAGCGCGGCAGCCGAAGTCATTCGCTGCTGCCACGCCGCTCAATGCCCTATCAGAATCTCAACAAAAAAATCGTTCCCGTAGCGCACTTTCCCACCCTCCATTTCTGCCGGGGCATGGCAAGCTTGTGAAAGTCACCGGGGCTGCGCAGGCCCAGCTTGAAAGGCCTGGATGGCCTGGCTTGGATTTGAGTCGCGCCCCTGCTTTCCAGAAGTGGAAAAGTGCAGCGCATTTCACCTCGGCCGAGCACCTCGGTTTACTTCCGTCTCGGCCACACCCGATGCTACATTTCATGAAGATCACCGTTGACCAAGACCAAGCCTCGCTTCATGATAATGCGACATTGCTATCATGGACCGAGGCAAAATACGCTTCAAAATGAGGCCATCAGCAACGTTGGCGACACGTACAAAATGGACCATCCCGCCCTTTGTTGCCAGAAGTCTTTCGAAAATTTTAGGCGGGCACAAGCCGCCCGGAACCGTTAGGGTCCCTGCGGGGAACATGGCGGGGTTTCGGATCCCCTTTTTCGGTTGACACTGCGAATCCCGTCCTGTCACGGGTGTGAGAGAACTGAGAAGCACTGAGGGATCCACAGAAAGCAAGTCTGGATTCTGCTAGAAAATCCGGGGCGCCTGGATCCTTGGAGCCCATCATGCTGGAGTTGGACTGCGGGCGTCTCGGTCTGGGGGCCGAAAGGGGTCCGTCGGTCGCCGTGCGGACCTTGTCCCGGACACAGGCGGTTGATGTCGGGGCGCGTGGGGGGTTTTGAAGGAATTGAGTTTGCACGCCCGGTCCCGTAAAGCTTGTTTGATGGAGTTACCACCTCCGGATGAAGACCGTGCTCGAGCAACTTGAAAAGTTGAACCAAACCGGCGGGCTTGCTTACTTGCACAGACATCATGCCGTACGAGCGGTCCTGACAGGAACATCATCAGGGTCCAAGAGTTGATCATCTGCACCGCACAACCTGCTTGGCTTACACGTTGAGGAGAGCCCATGTGGCCCGCTTGTGTTGCCTAGCAAAGTCTTTTCTCGTAAATTTATTGAAGGCATCCAGGAAGGTCCGCGACACCCGGCTTCGACCAAATTCTGATATCTGATCCAGAAAAGCCACCTCGACGTCAAAGGCAACTTGAGTTTCCGGGAACAAGTACCGATATTCAACATCGATGGGCCCTGCATGATGCAGACGCGAAGAATCTTGACTTGGGGTCAGTCCGAAGTCAAAGTCCCGAATTCCCAGGGTAGCTACCGTCTGATATTTTCGTGCACCTCATCCGACAATTAACGGAGGCGCTGGCTATTCACGTGGATATTGTGGCGGGACTCTATTGTGTATCTAACACCCCCCACCCCCGGAGCCGCATCCGGATCTTAGCTCGGCGAAGCTCCGCCCAAACCCCAGTCATGCCATGCTCCGGAAGCCGTACAATGGCCGGGCTCCGAGTCTGCAGTCGGATAAGCAGGGGGGAAGCGATAGAGGGCCGATCCGATCGGTCCACGACCGTCATCCGATGCCGTGACCTTCCGGATGTGCGAGTTGTGATGGTCCGTGCGCCTGCCAGATCTTTCCGATATTTCTGGAGCCACGAGAGCCTTGGGCGCGGACTAAACGGTGATGTCATTGGACAGGGATATGGAATCGGCGCGGGGCAGCCCAATGCCACCCCTCACTTCCTTCTCCAAGACAGCGTTTGAACATGCGGTCAGCATCCGTTGCGCCCAGGAGTGTCGAGGAAATTACTTTGCGATTCAAGAACATGAAGCTGTAAACCGGCTGTTGGGCGCCATGGGCAATCTTCTGCTTGTCCGATCGGACCTGGAGCTCACCGAGCGCTCTCGCAACTTGAATGGTTGGAACTGGCCAAGCGCGTTTGTGCCGAGTCAAGGATCTTCAGGCACAGACTGTCAAACTGTCAAGGCGTGTTTAATCGCCGATTTTGAAACCAACGATAAGGCAAACCTCAGATCTTGCGGGAGGGAAGGAACGTTCATGACAGGGAGAATGGTATCTTCAGGAGTGATAGAGATAAAGGAAAGTGCACAACACCTTCCGCATGCATCGTCCACCACTTCACAACTCCCATCTCGTCTTTTTTCTTTCAAAGTCGCAGCTACCTTGCAGCAGTCATATTCGCTGTCACTCCTGCATACCCGTCTGCCATTGGACAAGTAATTGATGGGTGTGGATCAAGCTCGCTCTTGGCATCATCTCGACGTGCTGTGCTCTCACGACCTCCATCAGCTCACTCCCACCACTTGCCGTCCCACGTCCGAGGTGGTGTTGAACACGGGTCGGGGTGGAATCGCCAGTGTTGTCGTTGCTGCATTTTGCTTGTTTTCTGACGGGTCCCTTCTGCTCTAGACTGCCGTCAACCCCTGGCAAGAGTCGTCGAGCTAGAAGCCAAACCTTGGTTGTAAGCTCGTCCGCCAGCCAAGTTGCTCCAGTCAAGCCCCAGTCTGGAAGCTATTGTCTGCCTCCGGTCCTATCACAGCCAAACCACACGGGCCCATACCTACGATATCACGATTTGGATTTCTCTTCAACAGTCGTCACCTACATTTCGTACATAATCCCTCTGGCCCCCGAGGCTTTTGTTGGAGCCACGTCGCTTGGAATGTTTTGTTGAGCCCTCTCTGTCTCTGCTGTCTACTTATTTCGTGTCTAGAGACCAACGACTGTAAGACCATCGCGATCCCTGATTCCCTGTGCTCTCCCAGCGTCGCAACCGTTACGGGCATCGCCACTACAGCTCCCGCAGCCCCTACGGACGTCGTTGATAGGGTGAAACTGTTCTGACTTCCTTGCTGATCAGGCAGATATACTTGGGATCCCACCGTGTTGATCCTTACAAGTTTTGTCTCCTCTCTGGACCGCCTAGCACCAAGCTCCATCACCGCCGGTCTGCTACGCTAGAGCCCTAGCGCCTCACCGACACGCCAGCTCTCCCAAAGCTCCCCTCAATACTAAAGGTCGTGGGGAGCTCCCTCCGACCCCGCCTCCCTTTCCCCAACAATGATCCCCAGAACCATGGTTTCCAACGAAGTTTACCTATTGCCACTGAAGGACGATGGCTCGCCTGACGTGCCCGGCGAGTACATCTACATTGCGCCCAAGTCGAAAGACCCAGTAACGATTCGCTTTGCCATCGAGGGCACTTCCAGCATCTGCAGCCATGGCAGCTTGTGGGTGAACATCCCTGAGCACGGCCAGCCGTTCCAGCGGAACAAGTTCCGCGAGTTCAAGTAAACAAACCCACCCCCTATTTTCATCAGATGAAAGCTGTAAAATACCGGTAAACAAGGCTAACAATCCCGTTACAGGCTCGTCCCTGACTTCAACCGCACGCTCGAGATTTCGATTCCGATTTACGAGGCCGGCGCGTACGCCTTCTACACCACATATGCTGAACTCCCTGATTTGGCCAGCAACCTGGTAAACGCCGACGGAACCGTTACCAAGGCCACACAGAAAAAGACGCCGCTGTACTATATCGATGTCGCACCCAGGCTCTCGCTGGACGGGCAGCCGCTGCCGCTTCCGGCGCTATCCATCTTCTCCATCATCAGCAAGTTCATGGGCAAGTACCCAACAGACTGGGAACGCCACCTTCGGGGAATCAGCGACCGAGGGTACAACATGATCCACTTCACACCACTGCAGGTACGAGGTGCATCAAATTCGCCATACAGCTTGTATGATCAACTGGGCTGGGACCCAGCTTGCTTCCCCGCAGGCGAGCCCGATGTCCAGAAGATGGTGGAAAGTCTGGAGAAGAACCACTCCCTGCTCAGCTTGACGGATATTGTCCTCAACCACACTGCACACAATAGCGAGTGGCTCTTGGAGCATCCCGAGGCCGGATACAACTTGACGACTGCGCCATGGCTCGAGTCCGCCTACCTCCTCGATACCAAGCTGCTCGAGCTGGGTACCAGGTTGGAGGAGCTTGGCCTTCCCACTGAGCTCAAGGACGTCGATGATCTGGTCAAGATTATGGACGCCATCAAGAAGGAGGTCATTGCTCAAATTCGCCTATGGGAGTACTATACTCTCGACGTGGAGCGTGATGCTGACGCTGCGGTCGAGTCCTGGGTTGCCAACGACACTGACTTCCCACAAGGATCCGTTGGAGCTGGCGGTATTGACGCTCTACACTCCGCTACACCTAAGGAGCAAGCAGAGTTCCTAATCCAGCATGGTTTGCAGAACATGGATTATCTTGGCGAGCGCTTCAGGCGGAGGGCTAACCCCAAGGTGGCTGCCGCTCTTTTGTCTGCCCTCTTCGGCCGGTACGAAGGGGAGACGAAGGATACTGCCGACCAGGCAGCAGCCAGGGCCAAGATTGTCGAGATTCTGGAGATCGTGAACGTTCCATTCTACAAGGAGTACGATGACGAAGTTGCCGAAATCTTGCAGCAGCTGTTCAATCGCATCAAGTACGTCCGACTCGATGAGCACGGCCCAAAGTTCGGACCCATCAACGCCGAAAACCCCCTAATCGAGACGTACTTCACCCGTCTTCCAGTCAACGAGAAGACGAAGAAGCACAAGAAGGAAGACCTGGTTCTTGCGAACAACGGATGGGTATGGGGCGGAAACGCGCTGGTCGACAATGCCGGCCCCAACTCTCGCGTCTATCTTCGCCGCGAAGTCATTGTCTGGGGAGACTGCACAAAGCTTCGTTACGGAAGCGGTCCTGAAGACAGCCCATGGCTTTGGGAGCACATGACGAAGTACGCCCGCATGCTGGCCAAGTACTTCGCCGGCTTCCGTATCGACAACTGTCATTCCACTCCTCTTCATGTCGCTGAGCACATCCTCGATGAGGCTCGCCGTGTTCGCCCCGACCTCTATGTCGTTGCCGAGCTTTTCACCGGTTCCGAAGAGATGGATTATGTCTTTGTCAAGCGTCTGGGTATCAGCGCACTGATCCGCGAGGCCATGCAGGCATGGAGCACTGGCGAGCTCAGTCGTCTGGTTCATCGTCACGGAGGTCGACCCATTGGCAGCTTCGAAGTTGACGAGGTCTCAAGCAACGAGGGTCGCTCGTCGTCCATCAGCGGCACGAATGGAGATGGCGTCTACACACGCGAGGTCATCCGCCGTATCAGGCCAGTTCCTGTCCAAGCACTCTTTATGGACTGCACTCATGACAATGAGGTTCCTGCTCAGAAGCGTGATGCGCGTGACACGCTTCCCAACGCAGCCCTGGTCGCCATGTGCGCAAGCGCTACCGGCAGCGTGATGGGATACGACGAGATCTATCCCAGGCTTGTTGACTTGGTTGGCGAAACCCGTCTCTACACGTCCGAGGCTTCCAATGCCCCTGTCAAAACGGGAGAGGGTAAGGGTGGAATCGCTGGTGTGAAGAAGCTTCTCAACCAGATTCACACCTTGATGGGCATGGATGGCTACGATGAGACGCATATCCACCATGAGGACGAGTACGTCACAGTTCACAGAGTCCATCAGGAGTCGAGAAAGGGCTACTTCCTCATTGCCCACACTGCGTTCCCCGGTTATGGAAATGGCAACGGCGCTTTCAACCCTGTCCACCTGACCGGTACAAAGGCTCGCCATCTCGGTAGCTGGATGCTTGAGGTTGATGCTAGCAAGGAAGCCGTTGACGAGGTCCTGAGCGATAAGAAGCATCTTCGTGGTCTTCCCAGCCGTCTGGTCGGTTTGCCAGGCGTGCGGATGGAAGTCAAGGGGCAAGATACCATCATCACCGTCCGTGAAAAGTTCCCTCCTGGAAGTATTGCTCTCTTCGAGACTTGGATCCCGGCGGCAGAGCACTCGAGCGGTTTGGACAACTTTGTCACCTCTGGCGCAAAGACAGCAATGGAGGAGCTTGATCTTGTCGACCTCAACTTCCTTCTGTACAAGTGCGAGCCTGAGGAGCGTGATGCTAGCGATGGCCAGGATGGAACCTACGACATTCCCGGCCACGGCAAGATTGTGTATGCTGGATTGCAAGGTTGGTGGAGCATCCTCAAGGATGTTATCAAGGACAACAACCTCGCACATCCTCTATGCCAGCATCTAAGAGACGGCCAGTGGGCTCTCGACTACATTGTTGGGAGAATTGAGCGTGCCTCGAAGAAGGAGGAGTATCGCCGGCTGGCGAAGCCTGCTCAGTGGTTGAAGGAGCGCTTCGACGCTATCCGTCCCATCCCCAGCTTCTTGCTTCCCAGATACTTCGGTCTTGTGCTTCGCACTGCCTATCTTGCGGCCTTTGAACGCGGTATCTCCCTTATGGACAGCAATGTCATCAAGGGGCAATGGTTCCTGCAAAGTTTGGCCATGGTCAGCGTTCAGCAGACTGGTCTCGTCAAGTCAGCGTCACTGTATCCCAACCGGCTCGTTCCGTCGCTTGCTGCGGGTCTGCCTCACTTCGCTGTCTCGTGGGCTCGCTGCTGGGGTCGCGATGTGTTCATTTCCCTCCGCGGCTTGTACCTCGGTACTGGTCGCTATGCAGAGGCCAGAGAGCATATCCACGCCTTCGCCAGCGTGCTCAAGCATGGTATGATTCCTAATCTTCTGGGAAGCGGTAATAACCCCAGATACAACTCCAGAGATTCTGTTTGGTTCTTCCTGCAGTGCATCCAGGACTACACCCGTCTGGTTCCCAATGGCTTGTCGATCCTAGATGACAAGGTCAAGCGGCGCTTCCTCCCTTACGATGATACCTACTTCGACGTCAATGATGAGCGTGCGTACAGCAAGGAAAGCACCATCGCCGAGATCATCCAGGAGGTTTTCCAGCGCCATGCCGAGGGCATGAAGTACCGTGAGGCGAACGCCGGCCCCAACTTGGATATGCAGATGAGCGATGCCGGGTTCGACCAGGAGATCAAGGTTGACTGGAGCAACGGTTTCATCTTCGGCGGTAACCAGGCCAACTGTGGTACCTGGATGGACAAGATGGGTGAGAGCGAGCGTGCTGGTTCCAAGGGTGTGCCGGGAACTCCCAGAGACGGTGCTGCCGTTGAGATCACGGGTATGTTGTACAGCAACCTGAAGTGGGTGGCTTCTCTCAATGAAGCCGGCAAGTTCAAGCACTCCAGCGTTCGCAAGGCCGATGGCACCGAAATTGCCCTGAAGGACTGGGCTGCTCTCATCAAGGAGAACTTTGAGCGTTGCTACTTCGTCCCCATCTCCCCCGACGAGGACTCCAAGTACGATGTCAACCCGGCGATCATCAACCGTCGTGGCATCTACAAGGATCTCTACCGTTCCGGTAAGGAGTATGAGGACTACCAGCTCCGCTGCAACTTCCCCATTGTCATGACATGCGCCCCCGACCTCTTCGTTCCGGAGCACGCTATGCATGCTCTTTGGGTTGCCGACACCGCTCTCCGCGGCCCCACTGGCATGGCTACGCTCGACCCCAGCGACATGAACTACAGGCCGTACTACCGCAACAGCGAGGACAGCGAGGACTTTGCCACCAGCAAGGGTCGCAACTACCACCAGGGTCCCGAGTGGCTGTGGCCGACTGGTTTCTTTCTCCGGGCGCTGCTCAAGTTCGACTTGATGCGCCGCGGCCGTGACGATGCCGAGGGCCGCACCGAGGCCTTCCAGCAGGTCACCAGGCGACTTATTGGGTGCAAGGAGATGATTCAGCGGAGCCCGTGGGCTGGACTTACGGAGTTGACGCAGAAGAATGGAGAGGAGTGTCATGATTCGGTGAGTTTCCCATATCCACAACCGCCTAAACATACGAATAGTATACTAACCGTTGATTTTCTTGTACAGTGTCCTACCCAAGCGTGGTCCGCCGGTTGCTTGATTGACCTCTACATGGACGCCGCTGAGGAACAAGCCAAGCTTGAGAAGCAGTCTCTGCCCTTGAGATAGGTGTCGAGGGTGGTTGAAGAGGCTACGAACTTGGTTACGAAGCTTACGACTACGGCAACGGTGACGAGCGAGCGTGACGGTGATGACGACACGGGAAGTGAGAATGATGGCGCTTAGAACAAACAAAAGATGCAATAACTGTAATAGATCATTGGCGGAGCGTTTACGAGTAAACACTTTGGTTAAAACCTAGACAGAGAAAATGTTTCCAACGAGGGCGGACAGAGGCAAAGACAGGCAGGCAGGACCTTTCTTTTTGGAAACAGAAAAGAGATATAGGATTCAATCTAAAAGAATAAGAATTATCCCTTTGACCACCCATCGCCTAGTCCACCTAAGTAGTTCAACTGCCCGGTGTTTCATCATGTCCCGACTACCGAGTGTCTGGGACTCCAGTGATGAGCAACAGGGGCTTCGGCATTTATAGTTCTGCCAAGGCCCCAAGGCTCTTGGAGCTCTTGGAGGCTCCAAAGTCAAGGAACTTGGGAACGTAACGAGATTGCCATTCTTAGATCTTGACATTGCTACGATGAATCGAGATCTCCACTAGGTACTTCGACATTCGGCACGGCACGTGGGAGATCAAAAACAAAAAGGTCGGCATTTCTGTCGTTTTCGGAGACACAAGATCAAAGGGGGGGTTTCAACAATGAAGATCGCCAAAAATGCATTTTGTCGTTTTGGACACAAACACGTGTGGAAGAAAAAGGTCAAAAGGTCAAAAGGTCAAAAGGGGGGAAGGAAGTGGGATAGCAATTCGTGCAACAACCAGAAGGCGTTGCTCTCGTTTTCGGACATACAAGATCAAAGCGGGATACGCAACAGTAAACATCGACAAAAATGCAGTTCCCGTTTCGTTTTTGACAGACAAAAAACCTCCGCTCTATCTGGTGATGAAGAGGGCTTCCAAGGATCGAAATGCCTGGTTTCAGCTAGTTGGTATGGAATGGATTGGGGGGGTATCCTTTATCGTCCTTCCTCTTCTCTCCTTTTGATTATATCTCTTTCATGCTTCTCCTCCTCCCCCCCGCCCCTTTCTCTACAGCCCATAGTACACAGTTCATAGCCCAGAGCCCATGCGGCAGCGCGTATAGGAGGTGATGGTGGTACTACTGATACAATTGACACGACCGCCCTGCCGACCTTTCTCTCTCCTCAAGCACCCAGCCCCCGCCCCCACCCCGTCCATGTATAAGAAAACCAAAATGATGGAAAATTTCGCCGCAACGCCGACTAGATGAGAGAATGTCCGAAGCCCAACCCAGAGGTGGACAGACAGGCGGAAATAACATGGACCCCCGCGCGGTTGATACCCAAAAAGAGCGGAAGGATGATGATGGTGACTAAAAATGATAAGCGAAACATGACCCCCCGTTCGAAGAGAGGAGGGACATGGAGAGGGGCGGTAGGCGATGAGGACGACGGCGGCGAAAGACAGATCTATCGTGTCGACGTCGATGTCGTGGGTTGATAACCGGCGAAGATGGGTCCGAGGCGTATTTATCAGGTGTTTCTTTTTCTTTCCCTCCGTGTCGTCAACAGGAAAAGCAACCGTTCAACTCGACAGCCATATACGTGAGTGAAGGTAAGCAAGGCCCAATGGCAATAACTCATGTCCTCTCCGTAACAGTCCACTTCTTCTTCGTCTTCTTGGGCTTCTCGTCAAACACGGTAGCCTCGGCGATGGGCGCCGGGGAGAACATGGTCGCACCGGGAACATGCGCGCCGTCGTTGGGAACCACCCGGCCTGACTCGGTGGTGTGGGCCATGTTGTGGCCAAGCGCGAACTTACGGTCACGCTTGCGGAGGTAGGCCCGCCGCCAGAAGCAGGCGCCTATCCAGATGCCGACGAAAGCGACGACGATGATGACGAGGAAGATGATCCATTGGTAGTGGTTGTGCATCCTGGGAGGTACAGGTGTTAGTTACATTGCTGGGTCACATTGAAAGATTAAGACTGAAAAAGGAACATACCATGAGCCTCCGCCTTTATCCTTGCTGGCGACAGCAGTACCTGTCGACGTTGCTGCTGTGCCAGTCGTTGTCGCAGTGGCCTTGCAGTAGCCTGTGTACCATGCCTGTTTGACATCATGTCAGTCACAAAGCCGTACTGTGTATACGACCATAGATTCCCCCGTACCTGAATCTTTGCCAAATCTGTAGGACTAGCCGTACAAGCAGCATCGCACACACCGGCGGTGCCGGTACTGAATGGAGCTAATCGTGCATCACCGCAGAAGCATTTCTGGAGAACATTGGCGGCGGCTGTCGTGGTTGCGCAGGCTCCGTTGACATCGTATAGGGGACCACATGCCGTTGCGCATGCAGGCATCGATTGTGTTGGAAAGACTGTCGTTACTGGTGTGGGCGCTAAAATACAGTGGTGTTGTTAGCTACAGCAACAAACAAAGGAACAATCAAGTAGCAGGGGGGCCAGATAGTGAGTGCTCTTTGTGGGGAGAGCCCATGCAACTCGTGAATTTCGACGTACCAGCCATCTTGAATGATTATGTACGGGGTTGGAAGGGGGATATTTGGTGGTGTCTGTGCAAATATCGACGAGTCGTCGAGGTTTTGGTATTGTTATTGTTTCCGAAAGAATTTCTGTGTCAGGTGTGTCGGCTGCCGTGATTTGCGCTGCTGCGTGTGGTGGCTTACTCCGCCCCAAAGTGTGTCGGCGGAGGGAATGTTACGTCCGCCCGACCTTTAATTCCTTCCACCAGATGCCCTCGAAAATGCGCCCGTATGCGGCGTATGCGAAGCGAGCGAAAGCGGTGCTGGTCGATTTACGAAAAAGACCGAATATGTTGTGTTGTTGTCCAATTGACACCTTCCTTTCCTGATGTTGGCCGTATTGATTCCTGTCCCTGAACCCGTCGTCGTATGGTCGAATGACAACTGATGGGCAAAAGCTTGTTGGTGCTCTCGTCTCACCGTCACACCCGATGTCAGATGGCTGCTGGCGCCCGGATTCCGTAAAAAAAAGAGGGGACGACAGTGCAACGGGCACTGACGGGACGCTGTTGTTGTTGACTGTTGTTGTTGATGATGATGACAAGATGGCTGAAGAAACGATTGCAGGTTTGGTGGTTGTGCGTGATTCAGTTGGTCCCTTTGCCGTCCGGGGGGTTGTCTGGGCAGACAAGTACGCGGATCTTCGACGGATCTTCCCTCAGTGTATTTCCTGGTAATATCCGAGTGTTCCTCTCCGATTAGATCAGTCCAAGCGAGCGGACGGACGGACGGTGCGGGTGTTGTCAAAGCTGAATGATTGATGGCTTTGCCCGTCGTAAGCGGCAGAGTCGGGGGAGCTCGAGAGTCGAGGAGTCGTCGGGGAAACGAATGTCGGCGGTCGTCGAGTCGTTCGGGGAGTAAAATGGCAAAAGGGAAAAAGCAAGTGACAAAGAGCAAAGAGAAAGGCGAACCGAAGCGAGGGGAAACCGAAGCGGATGATTACGCAGTGTGCAAACGAGGGTGTGAAGAGCGTCAGCACTCAGGGCAGCGCAGATGGACCAATCTGGACTTTGGCACCGGCTTCTGGTTTTGGTAGCCGGCTTCTTCCCTCTCGCTGGGCGTGCTGGGCGTGCTTGGCTGGGCTAAGGCGGGCTGAGTGATGGACTCCTGGCCAATCACAGGACGGAACTCACGGTCAAGACCCATCCACATACGGGACAATGAGCGCCTGGAAAGGTGAACCCGGAGTGCTGGAAGTGCTGGAACAGTGCCAGACACTTGGCTTGGCAGGCATGGCAGATGGATATCCAGGTGGAACTCGGATCCACCAGCTGGCGCGTCTCACTTCAAGTTGCTCCAAACCTCGCAGCTGTCGTCTCAAGTTTCCGCATTCAATGTTGTCGGGTGCTCAATCTCCGCTCAGTCAGCAACATCAACACCAACACCAGCGGCATCTTGTGACCTTCCGAACCGCCCTCCACGAGACCGACGGCAAGTGTGTCGAAAACCAGAACAGGATTTCCAACCATTTCGATTTCGTTTCGACATTTCCCATTTCTTATTTTCCAGCTCAAATCACCCTTGGCACTCTTGGCGGCCCCTTGGCTCCATTGCTCAGCACCTGAACTGCGAATCGAGACCATGCCGCTTTGGGGAGTAGCGGCCATTCCATTCGATCTTCCCTCGACCTGCACTCAAACCTTGAACTCGACAACGATGTTCTGGGTTGACGTCACACTTCTTCGGAAAATAAGATAATGAGATGAAATGCATTTCTGGCAAGTTGTCTGTCGTGGTTATCTCACACAAATGGGAGCTGGAGGTGAGAGCAAGTGCGTGAATGCTGAATACATACCTCCCCCCTGGACATCAATAATAGGAGCTCTTTATTTCCCGCCCGTGTTTTGGCCGCCAACTGTCATGTTGTCCAGTCAGCACCAGCTTCTTTTGTTCGTTCAGACTCTTACAAGTTCCCAACTTCAAACAACCCCCAACACTCACTCACACCGAAGGGAGCATCGAACTTCGAGAAACAAAACGGCACATGGAACAGGAAACAGAAACCTAACCGAGCCGTTTCTCCGACACCACCCTCTGCAATACCCCTCTTACGACGATCCGATCTCCCCGGATCTTCCTTCTGCAGCCAATGTCATCATCCCTCGGGTAATATCTGGTCCTGTTATGAAACTCGTGCCGATACGTATCAACGCCCAAAGAAAATCCATCAACTGTAACGACACATCGACGAATTATCAATCCAGGGGTTCAAACTCAACATTTCTTTCTTCATTTTCTCCCTGGCATGTCTAACAAAGGTTCCAGTTTAAGAAGCGTGGAAGACAATAGAGTGATCATGATAACCAGAAGGCTCAGTAGCTGTTGTTGCCCCCTACTTTCACAGAGCCTCAAAGCCAAGAGAGGCATATGGTAGTTGACCACATGGCCGGTTGCCTTATATCGCGAAATTGGGGTTGCCTTGAGCTTGGGATCATCTCCGTGTTACCAGTGGCTTGCTGCTGTGCCATTCTCATGTGGCAAAGCCGTCTCTGAGAACAAGAAAATCGTCCCTTTGCCATCCGATTTTACGCCCGTATGGCATGTTCGAAGCTCCTTCCGCGCTTACATGCTTTGGTGTCGAATATATCAACGCTCATCCGATGTTCTTGGGCGTGATACTCTCCATCCGGCGGTGAGAAAAGGACAGCCCTGCACGCATGGGCGGGGATGGTGCGTTGCAGCCTTCTCTAGGTACATCATGTAAGTGCATGATATGTACATGCCGTCCGGCACATGATACCCGTACCCACCACTTTGAAGAAGACGCAAAGTCTCAATATCATCATGGTCTAGGACGGAAACAGCATCCGTGGACGGTCGAACCTTTCCTTCGGGTGCCGGAACGGACTCCCTTGTGCTTCTCCACGCTGCCGTAGAACCCGCGGATGCCCCCATTAGCTTCCATCCCCCTGACAGGTATACCTATCTCGTCCTTCGGTCACGCAGTCGGGTATGATCAGGTCATCAACATGACAAGGGCGGCCAAGCTCTCCCTGCACATCAACTTGTGCTTCAGCTGCTTGAGCTTGTCAACTACTGGCTCCGGACTCCTGGCTCGATGCGTTGTTCTACACTACGGGCGATACTAGACGCCGTGCAACTGTCGAGACGCGGTTGTGGAAAAAGCACCGCTAATCCTCATAGGCGCAATGGTCATCAAGGCTATTCCAAAGGTATCACCTGATGATAGGACATCAAGCCTCAACTACCTCCAGACGCGAAATTGCCTGTCCATGTAAGGCACTAACTTTTGCCTGTAGTACCGCCGAAGTGCATCGCTCGTGGGGGTTTTGGCTCAATTTCTATCACAGGGACTTACTGACGGTCAAAATGGAACCCCCACTCGTAGAGAGGCCTCTGTTATGGTCGCAGCTCGAGTACGTGGCTTCTCGTGGAAGATGATGTATAAAGTGCGGTTGGAAGCACGACCTCGGGGTTTCCTATTGGAAACCAAGGCTTTAGCAACCATCTGGACTCAAGAGAAGTCGCACGAACTGCTTGAAGTCCGAGGGCAGCAAGACTGGCCGGCAATGGCGGCACAAATCCTCATCCGAGCCAACTCCAAGAAAGCCAACAGCAAGGTGAGGACCATAAACTCGCTAATCTTTCCTGCCGCCTCTCGCGGTCCATCTCGATACACACCACACCCCGGTTTCCATACGACATACCATTCTCTATATACCAGCGCAACCAAAAGACATCAGACTGGACCCGATGATGTCGATTTAGGGTTCGTATTCAAACCCTATGACTTACTAGCTTTACCCGCTGGTACACGAGATGTCTTGTATCGCGAAAATCCCGCGTGTGAGGGAAGTACCGGGATCTGTTTGGGCATCTCGCCTTGTATTCTCCTGCCAGCCCTGCTTTGGAGTGACTTCTAACCCTGCCATAACGGGAACTTGCATATGGTATGGCGATGCGGTCGAAGCAACATGTATGTCACGCCGTCACTTCTGGTAAGATTCACATCTCCCATTCCGCAGACTAATCAATCTACCGGAGGCTCGGGTGTGAGACAAATTTCTCCTCGCAACAAGAATGACCTACTAACGATACTGGGAAGTAGCAGGTTGTGCTACCGTCGCTGTTAGAACAGCTTTTTCCTGGCACTTTGTGTAGTACTTGCGGGCCGTGAGATGACTGGGCTCACTTGCTGTTCATAGGATATGTGCAAACCCATGACAAGCTGCACCTTTCCGCCAGCAAGCACTCCTTGATAACGAATTATCAAGCCAGGGCGCTTGTGATATTCTTGCCGTCTTGGGCAAGAATCCCCGTCTTCGGGACTCGGAACCTCCAGGTCGCGGATACGAATTCCGGCTTACAGTCACGGATGGGCTGGATAAGGCCCGCTGTGGGAACCCTTGTCGGGACACTCGTGGATTTCGAGGCAACCACTCTGAGAATCAAGTGCTTTCTCTTGACGATACCGGCGTTGACAAGACGATTATTCACAGAGCAAGTTGCCAGTTGGTTGTTATGTGCGGAGGCTCCAAGGTTCGTGAATGACATCAAGATGGCAATACCTCGGAGAAAATAACCAGGAAAGGCCATCTATATCACTGAAACATACCGAGCATGACAGCACCCCTTCACCCTGGATGTCTGACAGCTGACAACATTAGAAGACAACTCCAGAGTACGTCGCGTAGGGCGGGATATGCTCGACGGACGCTTCCAAGCCTGCGGCTCAACATTCCTGGTGCCTGCCTTCGGGTAGTACGGACGGGACACTGCCTATGTAGGCCTTACGTAGCTGTCATCACAGGCTACCATTCGGCCGTCCCATCTTTTCAAACGACCCAATGTTTTGACTAGACAATATCCCACTCGGAATGGGATGTCCCAAGCCTTGAAGTGCATGCTGCACCTCTCCCACACCTGGACATTCCCAGATTCCTTCGTCATGCGGCCCCCTGCTATGTTGCAGGTTGACATCCGCCAGTGTCAACTAAATAGGCGTGGGAGACTACAACATGTCACCCTACGCACGTAGGCCGATGCTGCTGGCACACATGCACTCTCTCGATAGAGAGCGTGTGTGCAATACAGCATGTGTGGCTTACATACATGCTGGCACTATAGTCGGAAGAAGACCGGCTCATGGGCGGGATACTCAGACCGGAAATCAGCCGAGACTGGGATACCTTGACTCCCGTGAGCTTCGACAAATGCGTATCAACTCTCATCGATACCGACCTGGCGAGTAGGAGATGGGTGATCTACACCGGTCATTCTACGTTGGCAACCAACCTATCCAGAATCTCACGCCTACACCACTTCCGAGGACACCAGACTTCCATCCACCAGTTCGGAGGAGTACATAAAGGGGGCTCCGCCCTAGGCTCATTGCCATCTGAACAGCATCGGCATCAGCATAATCAGCACTCACCAGCATCCAACTCATATTATCATTGTTGAATCATTATCAGCTCGCGGCTGAACTGAAGCGCAGTCTCATACAAGCTGCTTTCACTCATCGACCAACTCTCCGGTCTACATTCAAAATGTCTGGCCAAGCTTCCTCAAGCAACAGTACGTCTACGCCCAGCCACCTCCTTCACTACAGCACAGCACAAGCCCCCAAGACCTGTTCACGCACCATATCAATCTTTGATCTTTATCCCTCCCTCTCTCTTCCTTCCCCTTTCCCATCCCAATCCTCCATCCCCACCCCCCATCCAGCTAACCCCCCGCCAACAACTCTCAAAACATTTACTAACCCCCCCTTCCCCCCTCCAGTCAACAACTCCTCAACCTCCTACTCCTCCTCCTCCTCCTCCAACAGCACCAGCAGCAACTCCATCAACTACTCCGCCTACAAAGACACGTACGCCTCCGCCAACGGCAGCACCCCGATCGATCGGTACAAGGAGCAGAGCCGCTACGATGAAGGGTGGAACCCGCATCATGTTACTAGTGGTGGGGGTTATGGAGGTGGGGGGTATGGGAAGAAGTGAACTAAGAAGGGAATGAATGGGAGGCGAGGGTGGACGAAGGGGAGGGGGGGGGGGGGGGGGGGGGGGGGTCGAAACAGAAGGAGGAGAGGGGGCTGACACTGGCCCCAGTCCTGGTGCTTTGGGATTGAAGGACGGGTAAGGGGGTAGTGTAGGGATGAGGGTTGGTGAAGGGGGGGAGGTAAGGGGAAGGAGTGAAGCTGAGGCTGGACCTCACTTCAGATGTATTTTCTCTTTTTCTCCTCGAGTTGGATGGGAGGAGGTTCATCGGCATGGGATTCATGATCTGGTCTGCTTGGTACCTAAGGTTTCCATTTGTTTGTCCAGTTGGTTTTGGGTTTGGGATGGCTTGGTCCTTGTCTTTAGGGTGTTGGTGGTGTTTATGTTGCTTGGTTGGTCATGGTAAATCGGGCGGGCCGGTATCATCGTTTGGCATCAATCACTTTTTCCACATTCACAGGTATTCCGGCTGCGCTGGACATGTTTTCTGAGGTTTCATGGACGGGAGGAGGGCGGCTGCTTATCGCGATTTCCTTAGGTTTGTGCTTCTCAATCATGATAATTTGCTCTTTCCCACAACCACCATTCACGTGCTTTCAGGTCCTCGTCGGAACTTCGGAACCTTTCCGGCAACAAAGAAAACGCATACAAGGTTCTGGTGACGCACCGAAAACCTTTATCCCCCCCTCCCCCATCCCCTTTTTTTCCTTGTGTCCCAAATACAATGGTATTCACTGAGGCTGTCCATAGCCCCTTCACCCTATTACCTCCAAGGTTCACAAGCTCCCCACGGCACGAACTGGCTGTTCACTTGGAAGCAGACACTAAGGGATGGATTCCGAGCGAAGGAGGGACTATTCACTGTATATCTTGGTGCTTTATCAAGGCTTGTTCAAAAATGGGCAGGAGGAGAGGTTTTTGGTTTAAATATCCTACAATTCCCTTGTTCGTTTTTGTTCCAACCATTATCACTACTACCGCCGACTAAGACAGCTCGAGACCTCCGACTAGTCGACAGTGTTTGGAATTAGCAAGATCGTGAGCTTTGCAGCGACCACATTCGAGTTTTTTGCGACAGCTCCGGTACAAGATGGCAATTGTAAGTGCCCTTACATCTTTTCCCTTTCTTGTTCCATAGGTGTGGTCTAGTGAACTTACTAACATGCCCTTCATAGACCTACATCAGCCCCCGAAAGCTGAAGACGTACTACATCGATCCATCATGTGATGCAAGGTTTGACAACCAATTTGAGAGTTTCGTCAGAGAAGCCATGGATTATGCCCGTCGGGCCGTGGATCGGCTGACCTCAGATTCCGACACCGACTTCGCTAGAGTATACGAAACTCTCTTCAAGATGCCCAAGTCCGACACGCAACGGTTCAACTGGGGCAACAACTTCCGACTAATGAACCCCCACAGCGCCTCAGTCCGAATGACAGCCTATGAACATGTGGTTGGAGTGCTCAGAGACTTTGCTACAAACTGGAGAAAGACTCACAACCACTGGGAAGCAGATGTACGGTTTCACTGCGACGCTGGTAAGTAACCCCTTTCCCCCCATTCCATGATCAGTTCTCCTTCCTGTTTCCAAGCCGTCAAGAACTTCAATGCTAACAACCCCAGAAACCCGCTTCCACTTTTTATACCTCCGCAGCTCCGACTCTTTCACCTCCCTCGACCCCCCAAACTTTGTCTTCAACACCGGCTCCTTCCCCACCAACGTCACCCGCCAAGCCTTCACTTCCTACAAGCTTTCTACCGAGGGCGCAAACGGAGAAGTCCGCGACCTGTTTGGTCTCACCGGCATCCGAGGTGACTCCAACGTCCAGAACCCAGCCAGAGTCGTGATTGACCTGTGCCAAGAAACATGGGAGGCCTTCTCGGACAGCACAAGGGCAAATAACGACAGTGCGTCGGACTTGCTGGAGTATAGAGGTAAGGTGGATGATGTCTCGAAGTGGTCGATTCCAAGGATTATCTTCCACGAGATGATGCATTGTCGGTACTACGGCCTTGACATGGATGATACGTACGCTATAGCACTATGTAGTGCTACCTGTACATCGGGCTGGGAGTCGTGCATGAATATCCCCAGGGGACCAAGTTGCGTTGATGCGGAGAGATATGCGTTGCTGGGTTTTATGGCTAGGTTGGCTGATTTGAGGCCTGAGGGGGAGGAGAGGGGGGGATATACTCTGTCGAGGACTGATGAGGGGGAGAGGGTGAAGGGGGTAGTGCGCTTCTATGAGGATGTTACTAGGTGAGATGGAAAGGTTGTGGCTTGGGTGGAAGGTGGGAGGTCTCTCTTTTTTTTCATGGTTGGTTTGGTATTTCTAAGGTGGCCAGTAGTTCTGGATATGGCCTTTCTCATTATCTCTCCTTTTGAAGTCGCACTGTCCGCTGGTTTTTGGTCTTTTAGCAAAAGAGGTCTCCCTTGTCTTAGAGTTTTTATTCACTTCTTTCATTTCCTTCATTCTTTCTGTCCATGTCATCAACTCTTCAGATCCTACGAACGTTCTTGCCTTCTCATCAAGACGAAGTTGACTGCGTATTCTGCCTACTTTAACTTTTTTTTGGTCTTTAAACACTGGTAGTCCCAGCTCACATAGCAGGTATGTATCAGTCCATCGTCGTCCAGTTCGATGGATAATCATGCAGGGATATGCTCCGAAGATGTAGAAATGTCCCAAAATGCACCGGTATGTTAAGCAGGGGCAGTAACTACCAGCATAACGGTCATCTGACATTATTCAGATATGATCTGGGCTGTGAATGAAGACGGGAGTGATGCCTGTCAGTCGAAGTGAAGGGTGCTTCAGCCGTCTTAAGTGACACACTCCGAACAGGCCTAGCTAGTCTCACGGCCACTCCTTGCCCCAAGCATTACGTCTTTCCAGAATGTACTATGCATTCCGTCTAACGGTTACACCCGCTTTCACAACCGAGATTCACCCTAGCTCGTAGCTATGTCTGTTCCGGTCAAGCCAATGACGATGCTTATCCCCTATTCGTGTGACCTCCATGAACCCTTCAGCAAACAAGAGTGAGTGTGCGGCTACCTCCATGAGCTGCCATGCGCAAGAGCAAGTCCTGCGTCCTGAAGAGTGAATGGCTTTACATATATAAAGATCAGAACCCTTGCCCAGGGATTCTTCAATACTCTGGGGAAAATGCCTTACGGCAGCTTTCACTTGCAAATGACATACATGGTATCCGTTTGGCGAGATGCCTCCAGAATGAGGACAATACCGGATTCATGATGCACAGCTCATGGAGTCTTCATATTCGCCCATCTCAGCCTTCATGTTCTGATAATGTTAGAGTGCACATGGGGGGTTGAATGGTGAATGACATTGGAGTCATGCTCGCACGATCACCATGGCGAAACTCATGATGAAGAGCGAGCATTCCCAGCGCCAATGACTGGATCTGAATGTAAGGAAATTATTGCCCAGATTTCCTATAAGACGCCGGTCATATTTGTTGTTTTGGCCGAGAGCTTGTGTTTCTTTTCTTCCCAATCCTCAACTGATACCGAAGAAAACGACGGGAAAATACTTTTCAACCATAGTAAAAGCGCAGAGAAGATACTCCACCCTATCCAAGCCGGAGCCAGATATTCAAGCAGTAACCATGGCGCCAACAACCCAGAGCCTCAACGCCCAGAACCCCAACTCCAAAAAGGTCCGGGAAGTCCACGAGTTCGACGCAACCCCCTCGACCAAGGGGCAAACCACACCGCGTACCTCTACCTACTCCTCCTGGTGTTACCCTTCCCCAGCCACCACAACCACGACCATTTCCTTCCCTTCCCCTCCCTCCTCCTCCTCCGCCGCCGCGGCCACCGCCCAAAAGCAGCAGCTTCAGCCCCTAGACGTAACCCCCTCAGTCATCTCCAACTTCGTCGTCACCGGGACGGACGCAAGTTTCGTGGGATTCACAACTCCCACTGGAGGCGGCACCGGAGAAGTCATTCCAGTTTCGTCACCGTCACCGGCACCTGAGTCTGAGTCCAAGCCTGAGCTTGACTCCGAGCCTGGAGCGGAGCTTGAGTTTGACTCCGAGCCTGAAGCAGGGTCAGGGGAAGCAGCAACAACGGCGCAGGAGGGTACACCGCAGGGTACTACAAGCCAAACCACAGTCACCCCTATCACCACGCCACAAGCCGGTGATGACTTGACCTTGACACGAAGTGAGGAAGAGGAAGAGGAGGATGCAGAGGCTGCAAGTAGGAGTAGGATCAAGAGGCAGACTGAGGCTGCTCGTTCTGTTTGTGAAAGGTGGTTGGGGGTAGATGGAAGCAGTACTTAGGGCGAGCGAATACAAGAAGGAGGAAAAGAGGATAGGGAATAAGGTGGTACAGATAAGAAGGAGACAGTGATCGAGGTTGGGTTGGGAACTGAACCCAGGTGGGACAGCTGCCCTGCCTGGGGAAAGGATACATGTAATCAAGAGCCGTAAAAGTGGAAGGGACAATTGGATTGCTGGAGAGTCATGGAATAGGAAGAAGGTGAAGAAGGATCAGCTGGGAGAGAGTCTGATGACATCATTATCCCTTCCTTAAAGGAAGGAGGAACTGAGGCAATCAGGGGGAAATGGACAAGGCAGAAACAATTAAAGGGGAAGGAAAAAAACAACGTTGGGAAGCGGCGTATTTACTTCTAAAAAGTAGAGGTAATTAGAAAGGCAAGAGAAGGAAGCAATAACGAACGTTGACAGGCTTCAACTGCCGAACGAACGGTCTGGCCAAGTCTTTCCAGTCATGAATCCATGTCCATGTCCACGTCGAAACAAAAACGTCGTCGTGCATGATTGTCTGGTTCAGGATGTGGGCTCGGAAAGAAGCCAGTCGGGCGGCTTGGCTTTTTCTACGGCGTAGAGGTCAGTAGAGGTATATATGTATCACTGTGTGATATGTGCACGTCGAATGTGTACCTACCTATTGAACAATTGCAGTGAAGCATGATGAATGACGATGAATTCATCTACTTCAGGGGTCTTGTGAGCTTCAATAGCAAGGTAGGTAACGTAACCTCTTAGGCCAGAGCGTGAAACCGACGAATGCGACGAGTGTGCTTGGAATACGGTGCACGCCCTGCTTTGTCCTTGCATCCTCTTCTGTTATCTGGTCCTCTCCATGTCTGCCCAGGCTAGGGTCGCTTGATCACCAGGGGCACCGAGAAAAGAAACTCTCAGCCTTGCAAGGTATTGCTCATTTTCTAATGGCTTTCGATAGCTTTCCGATGGTTTGGAGAAATCCAAGGACCAGCCCTTCGGTAGTTTGAATCCCTGTCTGCCACTGTTTAGTAATCCGTAATAGTAGAAAAAGCAACGAAAAACAATGAGATAGGGGTTAATCAAGACCGTGAACGTGAGCGTCTGAGCGAGATAGCCTCGCCTCGCCTCGCTTCATCCCTTTTACGGACTATGTACGTACTGTCCACATAAATCCGACCAAGGGGCTTCGTAACTCCGGGTGCACTGTACCTTCCTTCCACCTTCTCAGTCCATCTTTTATCATGAATACTACCAGACCAGACGACAGGGAGGAGAATCCTTCCTCCAACGTTTTGCTGACCTCGGCCAACACAAAGTAAGAGAAAGAAAAAAAACCAACGGCTCGCTTGTTTCCTAGAGCCATGGCATGCCAGAATTTGCAAACTCTGTCACTTTGCGATATATCGAAAACGATTTTCGGACGTTTCGGGCCCAGAGATAGGAAGTTGTGATCGAAAGAAGAAAGCGATTCGTATCTCCGAAACCGTGCTGTTCGGAGTTTTCAAGAATCAACGCTGCCGATATCTAGTTAGCCCCTAAAATCTCATCTCGCTCCGCTCCCCGTGGGAACTGGAAGACGAAACACCTAGTGTGGACACACCTACATGGAAGAAGCCCTTATAAAAACGGAAAGAAGAGACGGATGCGAAGGCCGAAAGGCAAACCGTTGGTGCATTCGGGGTCTTTGGTGTACTTGGCGTATCCGGAGACAAAGGGCAAGGACATGGGATGATGGGATTGAAGGCAACATAACGTTGGTTGTCAAGTGTTTTGGCACTGCGTCTACCTAGAGGTATGTAGGTCCCAACGCGGTTCGTCCCTACCTTACTGCATTTTTAAGCGCAAGGTGCCCCAGGCTTTTCTCTTTGATAGGTACCTTATTCGATGAAGAAAGAAGCATTCATCCGAGTAGCTGATGTCAAACCGGACTAACTTCCCTTTATCTCCCATTCGACCTTCATGAGCGATCAGGCAGCAGTTCCTCGGCAGAGTAGTCCATTAAGACCAGCGCAAGAATAGGCAGCCATGGTATCTCTAGGATTATCAGGACTGTCGATTACAAAGCAGACCGACGATATCTGAAGACACCCTATAACAAGTGAATGTTATCGTCCACTTAGCCGAGGTGAGATTTGACCGCGTAAGTACGAGATATTGCTATTAGTTATGACAGCAGATGTGCAACATGCCTCGGCACTACCCAAGCCTAGGCAAGGTAGGTTTCTCCTGCTTTCTTAACCTCCGAACCATATCGGAGAGAGTAGCTGGTACGGTAGAGGCAGGGTTCGTCAAGTCTAAAAAAGGTGTAGCTCCAAGATTTGACAGGTTCGGTATAAAGCCGTGAGGACCGAAAGATGAGGCAAGGGCACACATCTTACACAGTATGAAGGTGAAAGGTCCTTCACCTTTACCGGCATTGGATTAGGTTGAACAACCTTGAAACCGGCGAGAGTGTCTCACTTATCGTTGATGCTTCTTTTCCAAGCTATCGTAAACAAGGTTCAACCCCATATTTCTTGCGCGGTTCCCCTCAAACGGTTCACCGGTACTGCGAGGGGTCCGCGGGTCCCCCCCTTGGAAAGAGCTCTGTCGGTATTTCGCTATTTTTGGTCCAATTCCGTGGTGTTGCAGCGAAGGGAACACTGGGAACGGAACCCATTTCGATCAAGGAGTGCTGCACTGTTCTTCACAGATCGATGTTACCCAGCGGCTCTAATATGGCCAGTTTTTTTTGGCATATGAGCGTGGAATATAGGGTAGGGGGGGGGGGGGGGGGGGGGTGGTCAGTTTTCCCCATATCTTGGGAAATGGAAGACGTCGACGATCTCGTGGCTTGAAATGCTGAAATCATCTGATGTGTCGTCAATGCGGGTAGGGTGTGGATGATCATGTCTCGTTTTCGCATCTGGAACTCTTGGGGGGCTTGGGCTATTGCGTCGTGGGATCTTTCGTTTCGCCTGCGTTGGGTGGTAGTTAAGTGTGCCTCGGAGACGATGGACACGGTTTCGTGGGTGAGGACTGTCACTTTCCCGGTGTGCTAGAACCGGAGCAGTTCCGGGCCTGCGGTCGTTGATGATGCGCTAGAGAATAGCGTCAAGCTCATCGAGTAAGCCCCATATTGGGCGCCCATGGAGGAACCGTGATGAGTGGCTGTGTTCCAACGGGGTGAGAATCAGGGGGCACGCGATAGAGACAACCCAACTGCTGCATGTCTCATCACATCGACGACACGGAATCGCATCGACATCTATTCCTGCCCTATTCTGGCCTCTCTTGCCTCTTTCTCGCCCGTTTCTGGACACAATGGGCACACAATGTCAATGGAAGCCCAAAATCACATCAAAGCCAAGGAGAGGGCATTGAGTGCTTGGGCCCAAAAGGGAAATGGTCTGGTGCGTTGCATCCCGCCCAGTGACCACCAGCTCACAGTCTCTCACAGTGTTCCCGTCCGTGGTGGATGGAGAAAGGTGATGATCAAAGCTGACGCTGGCTGAATGCTGAGTGATGGGGGAGCAATGAGCATGGAAGCTAGCCTGGCTGGATGCCTGGGGAAAGTCTTCAGCAGCACCCACTTCATCAGTGATCAGGGGGTTATCAATAAGGTAGCCGGGTCAGCATATGAAACAAACGGAAGAGGGAAAACGGGGCATCACCTGTACTGTGTCAATAGGGGATAAGATCGAGCATGCATCACTGAACTAGTGTACTCCCTTGGCAATCGTAGCCGGTGCCCTGCCAATCAATGCCTTCATCATCTTGCTTTGCTTCGTTGTAACGTGCCCGGCCTTGGTTGCTTCACCAAAATCTTATATGTAAAGAGCATATATGAGATGTGTTATCCCCCACACGCATTTCGTATCCGTGTTTCCAGGTATACACCCTACGACGCCCTCACAATCCCTCTTGCTGTGGCGATAAGTTTGACGACGACCGACCGACACCCTCCAATAATCCGGTTTCTTTTGTCTCGGAAGTCCTCCCAAAGTGAACAGTCATTGAGTGGTGGTTGTTTGGTCTCATAGAGGACGGGACGCACATATAGTCAAACAGCAACACACCTACCTGCCCGGCTTGCCTGACTTGAGAGAGAAAATCTGCATCCATGGCCGCCACGCTCCCACGCCCGGCTGTCCTGCCGCACTCCAGCGGGTGTCAGTCGTGTTCAGCTTCAGATCGTCTTTCACTTCAGATCATTTCCCCTTCGCCAGCAGCATCAACCGCTAGCGGCAACAACACCACGGCGGGGAGCTTCGCCAGCATTACGCCCACCAATAACCCACCAACACTAAGTGGGGCCAAATCACCACCACCACCATCACCACCAAAGCAGCAACAGCAGCAGCATGCCGATTCCAACATGTCGCAAAGCGTCGTCTTGGCCCATTCGAGAGAGCTAGAGCCTCACCGCCCTGTTGCAACGTCGATGCAAGATATTACCTGGTGTCCGATGCAAGAATCACCGCAATCTGAGGACGATGTGACGAGGTCTTCCCCCGAGCTGCTCGTAGCCGTATGGCCAACAACATCAACCGATGGGCGCAGCCGGCAACCATCACAGAGTGTCGGCATCAGCGAGTCCATCGAAACACCATTCATCCACATGCCGCGATGCAAGCTTTCAATCACCAGTTTTGACGACATTCACCAACATGAACCGTTACCTGCAGTAGGAAGAGGGGGTCCGTATCCGGGACATGGAAGCATCAAGATCGAGCAAGTCGCTCTGCCGCGGGCCGTGGTGCAGGGATTTTTGTCCGGCGTTCGACTGCCCAACGGGCTTGCTGGTATAGACCCTGAGATTGCCTTTCCTCGCCACTTTGACGACGACGATGAGTGGGTGCAGTCGCGGTGCATCTTGTCGGACTTTTCCGAGCTGGAGGAGGACGAGGCGGCTCGGCTGTCGAGCGAGGAAAGGTTGTGCTGCTGGGGAAGCATCGTGTTGACGAGGGATAATGATGGACATGGATGGGACCTGGGATTTGTCGTGCATCGAGTGTTGACGCAGCGGGATCCTGTCACCGGGACTTGTGCATGTGGTCGTCGATGATGAGTAGCATTCATACCGTGTCGATTCCGGGGTTTTGGCGTTGGTTGCTCTTTCCTTTTGGCTCAACTGGATCAGGTATTGGAGGGGTCCGTCGTCTCATGGGGATAACAAAAAGACGGAGGAAGGTCCGGTACGGACGTTGACAGTGCAAATTTGAGGACTTGAAGAGGCAAACGTGAGCGGGAGGGGAGGACCGGGTAGCGTAACCACGCATCACTATATAATATCCAAATAATGACTGTAATCGATCTCCATACCTAGGCGCTTTGGAGCATTTGAAGGATTGGAGCACTGGAGCACAATCGTGGAGCGGACTTAAACAAATAAAAATAAATCAACACAGGGCTGCAATTGCCCGAGAACCCGACAAGATAAGATCACCGAGTTTTGTCCTCGCCTGGTGCTTGCCTCCAACAAGGGGGAAGTCTGTAGCGGAGATTGAAGGGAAAGAGCGAATGACCGGGCCTTCCTCCGTGTGACCAACCAAATGAGCAGGAACGGATTCCCCTGCTACAGGGCAGAGCGGTCAACATGGCAATATGCTGTGGTCAGCGTCGTTATGTGCCCCAACAATTCCTTTCCAGTTGGATCTCGATCACAACACCCAACACGGTGAAAGTGCGGGCCAATCGGGGAGATATTGGGCATGCGGCGGCAAGACCGTTGAAGATTGGAAAGGGAAACCATCATGATGTTTTGGATGAAGACCGAATTACGATTACGAGCAGCTTGAGGCTAGACTTGGCGGGTTGCAGTCGTCGTTCTAGCCAAGAGAGTGCAAGAATGCAGGAGTACTCACATGACCCGACCCCATTACTAAAGCTTCCTAACCCAAGTGGATACGCCAAGACCGACCCTATACTATAAAAAATCTCTCATCCGACCCTCGCCCTCTTAATATTTTCTTTCCCCGTAGAGAAATAATTAATCACTTACTCGAAGTTCTCTAAAGAGAAATAATATTACTTGCGTTATTAAAGATATTTCGTTTAATTATTTAAATAACACTATACACCGTCGTACTACCTACAAATACTTTAATATTAAATACTATAAATATTTAAACCTACGAATTTAGTAGGCGTATTAATAAATATTTACTATTATAATCGACGAAGAGGTTATAAACCTTTTATTTAAAATCCGCCTCCAATAAAATAAAGTCCCTTTAATTAGGCGAATTATTAAGTACGGATTTATCCCTAATTTATCCCTAAACTATCTTTTATATCGCTTTAATTTAATCGAAAATAATTATCTTCTGCTAATATTATTTTAATAACTAATTAAGTATAGGAGATTAGGATACATTAGGAAATATAGGGTTATAAAGAATCGAAGTCGTTATATAAATTCGTTTAGTATATAAATAAAGGAAATTTTTATTTAAAATATATCCTTAATAATTAACGTTATATCTAAGCATATCTCTATTAAGATAATTACCAGCTATAATCGCTATTAACTAAAGTATTAGAATTCGAAACCGGGAAAGAGAATATACTTTTTTACTAACTTCCTTAATAACTTTAATTAATATTAATTATACATTAAACTATTTATTAAAGGGCATTCAAGAGACTTTATACCCGATTTATTATATATTAAACCGTATACTAAAACAAATATTATATTAATAAAAAGGATGTACTATAATAAATAGATTTTTCCTTGATATATTTAAGATTTATTAAAAGCTCATTATTAATAAATTAAAGACCGATTACGCTTAAGGCTGTAATACTATTAGAACTCGAAATTGTAATATTACTATCAACTTTCATACTCTAATTAATATTAAAATTATCCTATATATTATTATAATTTCCTATAATTAATATACTTATCTACCCTCTCCCTCCTAGAAAAACTCCTAAATAAATTATTAATAATTTAATATGGGTATTAGAGAAAGTAGAAAATTTTCATATAATTTAGAATAAATAAATCCAGAATATATCGTTAATAGATTAGGGATAAATTAGAGATTAATCCGCGATTTAACGATTTTAATCTACAACCCTTACTCTATTTAATTCTTTAACAAATACAATACTAATACTATTAATTAAATCTATATAAATCTTAATAATATTAATAAAATTCAATTAGTCATTAAAAAATATCGCACTCTTACTTAACCTTTAAGAGCTTCGAACATTAAAATTATAATATAAGAATATTAATTGAAATATAAAAATTTAAATATTTGAATAAATTTATATATCTAGGATTTATTAGGGATAAATTACTATGTGTTATTTTTAATAATATATTTAAAAGGTCCTTAACAATGAAATTAATTTTATTATTATTTATCTCTTTAAAGAATAAGTAGAATTCTTTTATAAAAATTTTATTAAATTTTTCGATTTAGGTATAAATTATAAATATTCTTCTGGTATAAAGAATAGGGAAGTTATTTAAAGCTTTTATTTAAAATAATTAAAACGATATAAATTATTAAATCATCCCGAATTTATTTTTAATAAATTTCTAATTCTAATAGCTGTCCCTCTTATCCGGATCTTTATTAATATTAATTCGCCGAAGATATATACCTTTACTTTCAAAATAGTATTTAAAATCTTTAAAATCAATTATAGATATATAATTAAGTAGCGGGAATTATTTAGAGAGGGTCTTCATAGTATTACTATAAACTAAAACTTTAAAATAATTATAAGTATATTATTTTATTCTAAGATCCTTCTATAATATATCCTTATTAATTCCCTAATTAATTAATATAGGTTTTTTAACGTATATTTCTAAAATAGATCCCTACCCCCATAAAGTTATATACTTTATTTACTGTATAATACAATTTTATTATATCCACTTCAAACGTAGTATTAAAAAATATATAAAGAATAATTTTTAATTTCGCTAACAAATAACAGGGTTATTTATATATTTAACCCTTAATAAATATATATAGTTTTATTACTATTCAAAATATAAATTAAAAATTATTTATAATTATTTTTAGATCTATCTAGGATAAATCCTAAATAGAGCCTTAATTAATTATTCTATAGGTAATTTGCGGGAAAAATTCGGTATTAGGCTTAGAATAAGAATATCCTAACTATTCGCGCTAAATATAACCGCGCTTATTCTAATATAAATTAAGAAATATAGGATATATTTCAATTAAATATTAATACGGTCGAAATATTATATTAATAATTTTACCGTTAAAATAATCGGTTTATATCGCTACTTCCTTATATTTACATATAAATTATTAATAAAAGTTTATTATTAATATATAATTATTATAATTATATTACCGAACGGCCTTATAATTTACCTTTCGGCGATTACTTTATTAATAAAAATTAAATACGTAGGACTAAGATATTAATATTTCACTAATATAGTATTAATTTTAATTGATAGGATATTAAAAGAAATTCATATTAACGTAATTACTATAGACGGCGATAGCGACGGTAATAAAATAGGCTTAAAGGGATTAAAGATAATATATATTCGTACTATATAATATTTCACTTAAAATTACTATATTTAGGAGTTCTTCAACATTTATAACGAAATTATAAATACTCCGGCAATATAAATATAGAATTTCTTAGATTATATAGAATTTCTTAGATTATAAGTTAGGGTTCCCTATTAATAATAATACTATTAATAATAATAATAACAAAATCGCCGCGAAATTCAGTATAAAAACCGTTAAAATAGTAATTAAATAGAATTTTAATAGGGGCTTAATATATACTTTCGTTTACTTTAATTAGGACTTTAATAATTAGCCCCCTATTGAACCGAAACGAATAATAGGGTTTAATTATTTAAAATCGCCCCTTTAAATTTAAATCGTCTAACAATATTTCTAATAAGAATTATAATAAAAGGGTATTCTTATTATAATCAATTCCCTTTAGATATAAATATAAATAATATTTTCCAGAAATTTCATTACAATATTAAATTAATATTTTAATAAAACGTTCGTAATTATTGTAAAAAAGTAAAATTTTATTATTTAATTTATCCGTTCTTAATAATTATAATTAAAGTAGATTATTATTACTACTAATTAGAATTGGCTATATACGGATATTAATATCCTAATTTTAAATTTTAATATTAATACAATCGGTTTGAACGTATATTAGTAATATTATATCGGTATTGGTTTCTCCTTTATATAGAACGTTCTTACAATCTTATAATCTATTAGCCGCTTATTCTATATTAAGTAAATAGAATTAGTAGAATAGTATTTTCCTAATATTTATAAAACTATTCATTATTAGTAAGAAGAGTATATTATATACAAAGTTAATATTTTTTTCCTTATAAAGAAATAATACGATTATTTATTAATATATTTTAATAAATATATTCTTTATAGTTAGAAATTAAAATTTAATATATTAAGAATTTATCTTTATAAATTATTTTAGCGTACGAAGTTACCAAGGCGTTAATATCCTATAAATTTAATAGGTATTCGTAAGTAGCTTCCTGTGATGGCATTTGCGGGATGCATCTGTCATTACAACTATATAAGACCACTTGAGCGACCGAATTGCCAGCTTCGGTTACTTGTACCCTTTTGCGGGGACACGGGCTGGTTAGTGTAGTGGTCTGCCACCACCGTGACACTTCCTCTCTTTAAAGCGTAAATAATTATTATATTACCTGTACTACCCGAATTAGAAACGTATATTGATTTATTACTTTTTTTATATACCCGGGACCTTTATAAATTCGAGGCCAATTTAATTTATAAACGTTTCTTAGAAATATATTTTATTTTCGGCCTAATATTCATCGAATTTTATTTCCGTAGTTAGCCCGATATAGTTTTAATATTAAAATAGTTAGTCGAAATCGTTTAATAAGTTATTGACTAAATTGAAATCGTTTAGTAGTTAATCGACCAAATCGGTCTTATTTAATAATTTATCGAATATATTATATAATATTAATAATTATAAGAAGAGAAGAGGTTATTCCTCATCAG